TATCGGCCATCAAGAAAGTAGTTAAAAATGCTGATATAGGGATGGGGTTTCGATTTCATTAATATAAGATTTGCATACAAAAACTCATTTATTTCCTCTGATTTATAATCTATTCCATAGGTTTTTCTAAATTTGATTACTTGCCATAAGCTTAATGGTTTTTCAAGCTCATATAAACATAAGCAATATCCTTTAATTACAAAATCATCAATTTAATCTATAATATTAGACAATCTCAAATAGTTTTTACTCTCCGCATAGTAAACTCCATGTTTACTGTCTAATTTCTATTAGAATTGCAATTTTTGATTATAAGTTACCTATAAAAATTAGACCAAATATTCTTAATCGTTTTTTTTACCTAACCAAATATTGTCATGATAATGCTTAATCAACTCTATATTTTCAATTTAAAATTGTTCCTCGATAAAGAATTACATGGCAATTTCCTGTTATTTAGTGGTCTAAGTATCAAAAATAAATGTATCTCTAAGCTAATCAATAACAGTCTTAAAAATATAGGATTTTTTAGGATATAATATATACTATTGGATATTTAATGATTACGATGTGAGTGGAAAGACAATCTAATCAATTTATTCGAAATTCAATTAGCCTACCATATTAATAAATTCTTTCATGCTGTATCCATCCATTTTTTAGTTAGTTTCTAGCAATTTATTATATTATTTGTGAATATTGCTTTTTAGAGAAAAAGTACCATTTTGAACAGAAGTTTTCGTAATTACACGTATATTCTAAATAGCAGACCTCCTTACTACGGTCTTCCTAAATCCTCTAATCCAAATAGCCTTAATCTTAAGCACTACTACTTTTCTGCAATTTAACCACAGATTTTTCTCAATGTAATTTTATTACTTCTAGACTATGTTTTCATATTCTTTAATATCATCAGGTTTGTTACTGTTTTTGGTTACTTATTAAAATTTTTTTCTAAATTTTAATTAGGCATTATCTGAGTACACTTAATGAGTAAGTTTGTAATTCTATTTTAAAATATATAGCTTTCTTTAATCTAAATTCGTAATAGCCAATTTTTTCCTTTTCATGTAAAAATGTCTTTGAGTCAAACGATCTTCTGTCCACAATTTCTTATAGGTAGTTAAGACTGACAATTTATACAAATATTTCCAATATTTGATTAATTTCTTTTTTCTTTGAAAAGGATTTAAATTATTATACTAGATTTCAAATGCCCAATTTGAGACTCTTTATGAAAACAAGTTGTGCAACAATTCATATGGTGGATCATCTAAATCAATCTTTTTAGGTTATACTTTAGTTTCTCTTTTTTAATTCAATTCATTTCTCAATTAACCTTTTCTAATATGCTCTTCAAGATCTGATTACGAGCTGATAGTTTAAAAACTACCAAACTCCATATTATTAGTAGAACTATATACTTTAAATAAGGGAAATCTTTTATAGATATCTTCTTCTTCTTTTTTGATTTTTGTACTTTGTTTTGTCTTGCTAAATATTTCGAGAGTTGATTTAAGAAGATATTTATGCCTTATTGTCAATTAAGTTAGTCTGAAAGGAGTATCACCAAAAACTGAGGCAATTACAAATTTAAATAGACTGTTTGAGATTAGCAGACTTAAAAATACTAAGACCAACTATTCTCCGTATTTTTTATTATATAATACAGTAATTATACCAGTATTAGTGAGGATACCAATTTGATTTACAAGATCTAAAATATTATTCCAAATTCCTAAAGAACTTTCATTCTAAGGCCAGGGTCTTTGGAGGCAATACATGAAGGAATACTTCTTCACTTGCAATTATAAAATGTTGAAAGACCATAAGAGAAAATAGCTAAGAGGAAACGAGTATCCGAAAATGATAAGTAAGGAATAAAGAATCAAGATTTCCATGTAATCCTCTAAGGTGCCATATCTTTCAGGACTTATTGCATATGATTACCTTCTTGAGGTTTCATCAATAAATTAATGAATATCATTATCATTGATTTCATATTTAATTTTAGGATATTTGGCTAAATCTGATATGAATTTAAATAACTGCAAAATTTTGAATAGAAATTACCAAATAATGATAGTAGAAAAGTAATATTGCACATGTCTGGAGCAATTGCTTTTTGAGCAATATAAATTCAAAGGTCCATTGAGGTAACCTATGAATAACAGAGGAACCACATATGAACAAAAATAGAGGATAAACTTCTTAACAACAAAACTGGTTTCATATTTTTACATGGTTTTATGATTTTCAAAATCCGTGACTGAGGTAGAAATGTAATCATAGAATTTATCAACAAACAATTAGACGAATACATTGATTGTAGCTGATAGTGTAACTTCTAATGACATCACTGAGACATTAGAGAATTCACTACCAAATGAGTTTCTCAAGGCTGTGGTTAGTGTAAACAATCCCACTACTAATCCACTGTAGGCTGATATTAATAACACTAGCAATATGGAGGCAAGGAACAACCTTAACACTAAATCACTGTCATCTTGAGCAGCTGAGTTCAACTGATCATTTTCCAAGGATCTAATAAAGGTTCCTTTGAATGATGATCTTTCAGTAGATTTCTCCTTTTCATTTAATTAACCATATTTCAAATTAAATCTTACTTATTGTTGTTTCCAATAATCAGTCACTATGCTATTCCACTGTATTAATACAAATGTAAATATCATAGTAATTATGATACTGGCTTCACCATCTTGATTGTTCAATATCCATTCAGCCAGACTGCATCCAAAACCACAAACAGATATAAATGTCAACATTTTTGTATAATAACTCATGAAAAAAAAGTACAATCCGATTTTCTCACCATAATATGAACATATAATATCAATAGGTGCAAACCAAGGTTCAAATATTCTGAATTTCCATTCATCTGCAAAAAAGAAGAGCTTTTTATGATAAAATTAAGTTTCACTTGTTAAAGCCTTCTCAAAGTTCTAACAATAACCTAACAACTCATATTGATCATTCAAACAAAAAAATTGATGAATGTAGCCTTTCATAGTAAAGGAATTGATATCAAAACAATCGTCAACTGCAAAATACACTAATTTTAATCTGTCGATTGATGAAAATACAGAGATATTTCCATCTTCATCTTTCTAATATTTACACCAAATCATCTGTTATTAAGCTTAGAGAGTAGGTGCCATTTTCTTTGTGGGCCTCCTAAAGTTTATATAAGGCTCTTAGGGTGTTAAATCAACTTGGCTCCAGAGATTTTTTAGATATTATTTAGAATCATTAGCCACTTCTAATGATTCAATAAAGGCTTACATATAATTATATGCTAATCTCTCCTTCTATAAGATTTTGATATACTTTGTCAATGGAATGTTTTATTCAATCATATATTGTTTGTATTCATTCATTAGGGATTCAGCATTGTGATCATACACTTCTACTTTCTCCAAGTGTTATTAGTTCTCTGGGTTCAAAATATTTTGTTTATTAAGAAATATTTCCTATTTATTTCCTAAACCTTATGATATCAATTCCTTTTAAAATCTTTTGATGTACAACTGAAAGGAATCCATCTATTTATTTAAAATGGCTGACAAATCACTGTCAATAATGTTTTGTTGCCGATGTTCAGTCACACACTTTTTCAAATGCACCAAGTATTTATAAAATGCAAACCATTCATCATCAGATGGACCATGATCTACTTCATCATTTAAGTCCTATTTTCCATACTAAAATAATTCTTAATTGATGTGACTTTGATTTACCTCTCTACTTAATCTTTTGAAATTGATTTGTTCAATTAATTCTATGATTTGAGGTCTCAAATACTCAAAAAATGTTGTGCATTAATACTCATTAGGCTTCCACAATCGATTATTCAATCTTAAGGGTCTTAATCTCTTATCAACAGGTTCAAGAGAAAAAAGGTCACTGAACCAAAAATTTAATCGTTTTGAAAGCTTTTTTTACTCTGCCACAACTTTTAAATTCTCCTCATCCATCTTAATCAAAAGAAATATCCATCTGCCGTCATTTGAAATTACCTACCTTGTTTAAAATCCCTTCCTTGATAATTGAATCAAAATTGCATTCCTCAGCATTGTTGATGTGTCCAATGCCTCCTTTGGTGTTTTAAACCATTATTCTTGGATCTGATTTAAGTACTCCCCCTTTACGTCACATCTGGTTTAAGCCTCCTCTAAACTTTTATAATCCAAATTTATAAAATCTATCAAATTGGCTTTCATATTCGAACTCAACGCTGCCTCGAACTTTTCTCTCAAAGCCTTCATTGCATAATTCAATTTCTCTTAAGCACTCAACATTGGTCTTATACTCTTTGAAAATCTTTTGCCTGACAAAGTTTATTAAGTGAAGAATTATTTATATCTTACATCACTTTATTAGGATTATAATTGAAAGGGGTCTGAAGAAAGGGAGTTTTGCAGCTCAGACTAAGATATTGATAATAATTAATAACTCGTCTCTATTGCTTTAAATAGCAGTTGGTCATTTAGCGATTTAGGATTTATCTTCAAGGCCTATTAGACAAAGTCGAAAAACTCCAAGGGTTTCATTTACTAAGGACGAGCAACCTCTTCATAATCTGGGTTAGGAAAGCTCATAATTTCTCAATATATATAATTACGAAATCACTCCATCGGGATAAAATGTTGTGTGGAAATCATATGAACACTTCCCAATTAGTCTTTCATAATCTTTTTAATCCTCATCTGTAAATTCAGTTCCCTAAAGGGCTTTTAAATATAATTCATAGAGTTTTAGAGGATCTTAAAGTTTGTTATCAATCTTCTTCCTCTTTTTGGTTTTAGGCTAGTCTTTAACTACTTTAGATTCGCTTTTAAATTACTGGAATGGAAGGTATTTCTATCGAAAGCCAGCTTAACATTCTGTATTTGGTCTTGCTTACTGTAATTTATACATATATTATTAAGCACTAAATGCAAAATATGTAATTTATAAATAAATATTGATGTAAATTGTTTTCATAAAAGTTAATCAGCATCAGATACTTCCTCTTTATTTATAGATTATTACTATATTAAATTTATTAAATTCTTACAAATATTCCAACACTATTAAATAACTTATCTTCCATTTGTTCTGCCACTGGATCATCCGGCACTTTATCATCATCCTCAACTTCTCTTTTTTAAAGTTACTTTTATACCAAGGCTGGATTAGTAAATTTGTCATGATCAGTACCATCTTCAAATTTCTCATTATCGTACCCGTCATCATTCTCATTATTATAATTCTGTTCTGGTTTATTACTTTTTTATTGAATCTCCAATTCCCTTTCTTTTCTTTTCTCTTCTAAGATTTTCTTTCCTTCTTCCTTCTATTACCTCTTTTTGTAAGCCTTTTGAATTTTAACAGCTACATCATCAAGCTCTTGCTATTCCTTCTGCCTTAATTCTTCTTCCTTCTTTCTTAATTCCTCTAACCTCCTTTCCTCTTTGAGTTCTTCTAATAATTTCTTTCCCTCTGATTTATTTTTTTTGTGTCTATAGGCCCCCTGTATTCTTGATGCTGCCATATTAATTTCCTCTTCCTTAGCCTTGATTTCCTTCTTAACTTCTATTTAATCATCAAGCTCTTATTCAAATTCAAAATCATAATCATCTTCATTATTTTTTTTATCTTTAGCACCTTTTTTTTGATTCTTATGTATTGAATCCCTCTCGTTTCTTTTACTCTCCAACATTTATTTTGCCTCATCCATTTATTACTTATCTTTGGAGCCCCTTTAATTTTTCAAAGCACTTTCCTACTATTCTTTCCTTAATTTTTCCTCCCTCTCCTTCTATCTTCTTATCCTGTCCTCCTCCTTTTACTTTTAGTCATTAACAAATTTTTCTCTTTTCTTTTACTCTAATAATGCTTTGGCTTCTGCGATTTATTTCTTTTTTTAATATGCTACCTATATCTTCAAAGCAGCATCCTCCTCTTCTTTCAATAACTTATCTTTTTCCTCTTATTCTTTTAATAATCTCTATCTCTCCAATTCTTCCTACTATTTTTTTGCTTCTTATTCAGCTAAGTATTATTCTTTCTCCTTTTTTTTCTATTCCAATATTTTCTTACCCTCTTCTTTCTACTTTTTTTGTTTATAAGCATTTTATATCAACAATGCTTTCTCCTCTTCCTCTTTTCTTAATTATTCCTCATATCTTCTTTATTCTTCTTCTTTTTCTTTCTATTTTTATTCTTCCTCCTTCCTTTTTCTTTCTTCTTCCTATCGTCTTTACTAATCTTATTTCCTTTTTTAATCTTCTAAAATCTTCCTTTACTCCAATATTTTACTTTGTTCTTCCTCTTATCTTTTCATCTCTTCTTACTGTTTCTTTAATTATTATTCCTACCTCTCCTTCTTTTCTTTTTCCTCAAGATATTATCTCTTCTTTTCTTTTTACTCCTCTTAAATTTTCTTGCCTTCTTCCTTTTACTTTTTCTTTTTATAAGCAAGCTAAATCTTCACTACTGCATCCTCTTAGTCCTCTTAATCTTCTTAAGGCTTCTATTAGTAATCATCAAACTATTCCTAATATTCTTCGTCTGCATTGTCCTTTTTATCCTATTCTTTTGCTTTTCCTGAGGTTTATGAATTTTTATCCTCATCTCTCTCAAAATAATCATCATAATTCTCATTTTCTTCATCATGCTTTTAATTTTCCTTTGCAGACTGATAATTAGGATCATTATCAATTATTTAAGATGAATTTCTAGCATGACTTCTTATCTTGGCCTATTTGGAAGTATCTGAATTCTAGGTCTAAATCTTTATATAATCATTAGGGCTGTCTTATTTTTATGTATTAGGAGGAGAATTTAACTTTTATTAATTTTCCAATCTCGGCTATTGATTTGCCTTAAAATCATCTCTAAAGAATTACTCCCATTACAATTGAACTAAGTCCCTATACACTTAATAAATGTGAATGAACAATTAATCCTTTTACAATTCAGTAATGGATATTTGAGACTCTAATATTAGCTATTCAAATTATCTTATATTAATGTAGTCTTAATTTTGAAATTTCTACCTAAATTTCCTTGTAAGTTCTTCTTTATTTTTTAATAAAGTCTATAATTAAACAAAGTATTTACTTTTCTAACTTCTTAATAAATTGATGATCCAGGATAAGTGATGTATTCTTATATAAGTGATAATATCATATTCTTAAGTCTATTGGCACTTATCATTTTTTGAATTGGTTAATCATATCCATCACTTTTGAGTAATGCTTTTGCAAATTTTTAGGCTTTGGCTGCATCCATGTCTAATTTGGTCTTTAAAAACTCAACAACTCCATTCTCATTTAATCTGCCCTTATTCAAAGTAGACAATTTCTAAAATGATATGAATTTAATACTTCCTTGAATTTTGCAAAGGGTATGTTATCCAAATACAATTAACAACGTATTTCATCTGCATAACACTGTGCCAATTCTTAATCAAGTAAAATAGAATCTGTGCTATTATTCTACCTTAATTATTCTTATTATTGAAACTATTATATTTGTTGCTATTAAGAAATATTATTATTCTAATCCTTGGGACTGGATGATTGTTATTATTATAAGTTTCTACCTTATTTCTACTCCAATTATTTTCTATTGTCTGATTAAAATTTCTTTAATTGTTACTCCAATTTTTGGATCTTCTCTTTTTATTCTTCCACTAAGTAATTCAATTTGGTCCTCTCTTCTATATCCTTATCAATCTCCTCCTAACTGATTAAATATTAGCCATTAGTTCCTCTCTTCTTGAATACTTGTAACTTTTGATTTAACAACTAGATATCTCTGCCTTGCTTATTCAATTATTTCTATTATTGCTGCACTTGGTGTTCCAATTAAGTATTCCTCTCCTCATAAAGTCTAAAATCATTAATAATTTTACTTGACAATCTATACTAATTCCTAATTGTCCTTCAGGTAGGTTTCATTCTGCTGTTGCAACTCCTTGACAAATTCATTATTTGATGAGTGCTCCTGAGCATGACTATGATATACATCAATTTACTTTTATTATTATTATAGTATATCATCTCTTTCTTTTAGTAGTTCTCTCAATCTCTAGAGTTCTTCATAGACTTCCCTGATTTCAGCCTTGATTATGAGATATTGCTTACATCGAGCTCTTAGAATTTGCTTACTTTAGCATTTTTCTTAAAATTTTATATTGTTATTTCCTTTTCTCTCAATTCATTTTGTTACTCCTTGATTTGCCTTTTCATTTATAGAAATAGTGATGTCTAAGAATATCAATATGGAATTCAAACCTCAACTCCCAATTTCATTTGCACATTTTTCAAATTACCATTGTTTTGAAAATCCTCAATGATTCTCTCATATTTTTGTATTGTTTTCTAGCTATAAATTATTAGCAATTACTTCCTATTATAAAATGGTTGTCCTCAATTAATAATTATCTGTCTTCAAGTGGTTGATTTGTGTTTTAGCTTAAGATAAATGCTCAAAAAGTCTTTCTTTGTCAAACACTTCCATGTTATTTCTAAAAAAATCAGTTTCTTGTTAAATCTATCTTGCCCTTATTTCGTTCTAACCACTTTGTGGTCTCTCCTCTATCAAGTTATTCACTTTAACCTTTTTCACACTTCTTAAATTAAATTAAGTTACATTTTAAATCCTTTAACAGAATTTCCATAAGGTTGACTAGTCGGTATTTTTTAATTAGGGTTTTTGGCTGACTGAGCTCGAATCGCTTTCTACCATTTTGAATAAAATATATACTTATCTTTCGGACATGTAAAATTAATTATTAATAATATTTATATAGCAATATATTTAAATAGAAGTTGCAGCAACCTAATTTGAAACAACAGTATTTATCATTTGTTCAATTAAAAATGTACCCTCTTTTGCGACTGAGTATCATTGCCACACTGCCCCTTTTTAAATTGACTGTACTTCATTTCCTATTTTAAAATGCTCTTCACCGATTTATTGTCAGCACTTTGACTTCTCTAACTTTCCCACTCTTCTTTAATGAGTTCTTCTTTCATCTACTTGTGTTCACTGATAGATTTCAATTTATCCAGTCTTTTTGAATCAAATGATTTTAATGAATTTTTTGGTTGGAAATCGCACAAAGGAGAATCATTTTTCCTTTTCTTCTTCAATGAAGCCTAAGAAAGGAATCTTTCCTCATTTGCCTCCTCAATTTTTTAATGAAAATCATCTAATTACATAACTATCTCAGCCACCAATTGTATGTCCTTATTCGATTATTGTTCCGATTCTTGCTTACTGTGAATTGATTTATTATCAGCAAACGCAGGTGTTTATGGATCATCAATTCGAAATTGACCACGAGCACCTTTTTGCTTTTGAATTGGAGACCTTTTCATTACTCAATGAGAATAAATACAAAGGTTGGTTTTTGTTTTTCTTCCCATCACTTGAACGATTCGGATCTTTCGATGACTGAGCCGTTTCTTTCATACCAATCGCCAATTCTGATGCTTACTCATCAGTATTAATTGTACAGCATTACGAACTTCCCATTAATTAATCAATTAATAATAAAAAGGAACTAACTAAACCTATATTTGATATTTAGGATATAACAGTTGAAATAAACAATAATCCTGAACAAATATTAATTATAAAAAACTACTTGATTAAAACGATTAAGTTGAGTTAAATAGATTTAATTATTTTGTTAATATGGTATATCAAATAGTAAATTATTTAACTTAATCTAAGATTTGAGTGTTTGCAGAATTAGCAGCCATCACTCCATTGTATTTTATATCCATGTTCTAAAAACCATGAGGAAGACTTTCAAAAACCTTTAGTTTAATACTTTCTAATCCATTATTTTTACAGTAATGAACAAATTCTACGGAATTGTCCAATAATACATCTTCTGAACCCACAAAAATGACAAAATCTTTAGGAAATTGTTCAATAATTTTCTAAGGAGTTTGAATAGGAGACAAATAATAATCATTGGCTATAACTGATTCGTCTTTTATATAGCTCTATCGACACAACATTAAGAGTCCCATAGGTATTATCGAATCATTCATACTTTTGAGATTAGAAGGTACTACATCTTACAGATTCAAATTAAGAGCTGGATATTGTAAGATAATTTTATCTGGAATTCTTTAATTGATTTCTATTGCTCTGATTATTATTCCTAATGCCAAATTTCCACCAGCTGAATCTCCCATCAGGATGATGTTTTTTGGGCATATGTTGAAGTAGGCAGAACCAAAATGAACTATCCACATGTAATATTGCCAGCAGTCATCAAGTGCCTAAGGAAAAGGAAATTCAGGGGCTAAGCGATAATCAATTGAAAAGACAGCCGCATTATCCAATTTGTTAGCCCATTTTCTTGTATATGATTAATGAGAAAAGGAAGACTATGAGATGAATCCTCCTCCATGTATATGAATGATGATATTTGAAACTTTATTTAATCCCATTTCTCTGATATCTGTTCTTGATGCAACACAACTTGCACCAAAAAATGTCAATGGCTATTGTAATTATTAAATATGTTAAGTCTTTTATACCTAAAATTCACTATTTGTCAATCTCCTCACTACTTATAAAATATCTTAATTATTTATTTTATGCTTAAAGATTTATTTATTACACATGACTCTAACCCTAATGTCATTTTCATTTTGTTTCAGTCTGATACTTCTGAATGCAAGCTAATAGAGTAAGTTATTTGGAATGTCGGTTGAACAGGTATTAAAATTATGCAAATAATCTAAAGTTATTTGATTGAATAATCTTGGAATATAGATTATTTTCTTTAATTTAACTTTTTCTAATTGTAATTTAAATCCCGCTTTTACTATTTTTGACTCATCAATAATTCTCCATAACTATAATACATGTTCAAGAGTAGGATTTGTGATTACTTATGTGGCAGCAAGATTGGCTTCCTCTTAGTTTGACATATAATAGAGAGCCTTCAAATTCTTAACAACACATTACATAGCTTGGCATTGATGTTATTTCCCAGAACTAACGTAAGCATGCCCTAAAGATATTTTTTAATAAAAGTTGTTTAATTGTTATTTAATTTTGTCTGATTAATCCAATTTGATTATTTCTATGTTTGGAATATTCATATATTCCTCTTCATTAAAAATTGTATTTTTTGGCTTTTTATTGATATAAGGTAACATCTCAGTAACCTTTTTTATTTTTTAAAGTTCGAAAGCCAATTTTATTGAAGTTCCCCTACTTTCTTCCATGTTAGATAATTCATCAATTTTTGAAAGTACATCATTATAAATAATATTTAAACATTTCTTCACAAATTTATTATTCCCGTCTTGAGTATTCAAACTTTCTATTGTATTTTTGAACTCATTTAGAGTCTAAATGATGTTTTGATTATTTGTTTTCTCAATGATACCTGTTATATTGATTAATTCTTCTTCATTCATTTAATATATATATGATAATTTTATATGATTAAAATGCAATAGGTTCATACAACTACTAATTAATTAATAATCAATTGTCCTTCTAAATTAAAAGCATATTGTGAAGAAGTGATCTTTATTGATAATTGCATAATTTATTTATTAAATATTATGAAATTTAGTCAATCTCCAAAATCAACTTTCAATCAAAATTTCAATCCACCTCCTGGTTATTATATTGGTAATGATTTACATGATATGCTGAATACTATTAAGACTAAACCACCTCAATAATAATTCTCAAAATCTGATCGATTTGGTCAAATTCAGGAAATTATACATCCTCAAAGTAAAACTGTCGAAGGATTTGATAAAATTGCGTATTAATCCTCATTAAAACATTCCTTCTAAAATAAGAGATTACAAGATCGTAATTACGTTTATTAAGCCTAAGTATGTAAGTTTAATCAATTATTGTAGTCATAGCAATATTTGAAGAAGACTCAGGAAGTCGAAAATAAGATGAAGAATTTGCTTATCAAACAAATGGAAAACTGTTTAAACTAATAGCTAGAAATAACACCATCAGGATAATGCGTTTTAGATAAAACTAAACTGTTGCAAAAACTATAGACTATAGCCCCATTACAAGTACGAATATTCAGCTATGTCTTTAGCACCCTGGTCCTGGGCATTATAATTCAAATGAAACCATAATCAAGCCAAGAGTAAGAGGAACTATTATTAAAGAGGACAGTAAAAGAACAACTTACTAAGAACCCTTCTTGACTGCAGATGTCATCTATGGAAAATAATTAACCAATAATGGATAACAAGAATCAGAACTCAATCTCACTCAAAAGTAAAAGTAGAAAAAAATCAAATTCTTATAAGGAGACGATTATAACTTAGAAAAATTATTTGAAAAAGAAAAGAAAAAGAAGGAAAGATAAACTGCTCCACCACCTGGACATTATGATATTGAATCCCAATTTGGAAAAATAACAGAATTAAATTATCAAAATTAATGTTTTGATAGTAGAGAACCAAGATTTAAATATATTGCAGATGTCAACCCAGGACCTGGCTAATATTTAGCAGATAATCAATTCAATGAAACTGGGGGATATATGTCTAAATTACCTAGATAACCTCCAAAAGATAATATGATTGTTCCTGTTGGTAATTATATTGTATAAGATTTATCAAAACCCTAAAGAAGGGATGGACTCTTTCCATCTAGTTTTGGTTCTGGATCTAAAAGAATGTAAGATGGAATAATTAATAATGACGCTCCTGGTCCTGGTAGCTATGATAATTTGATGTTAAAGAAGAAACAGTTTAAATATGTTTTTAAAAAGAAAGAGAAAAGACCTATGTATGAGAAATGCCCAGAATCATTTGGATTATCAGTGGCTAAAGAATTAGTATCTGTTAATACCACAAAAGAACGCAGCAAATCTCTATAAAAACAAGTATTAATGATATAAAACTTAAGTAATAATCTTCTATGTTCTCCTCAAGTGTTCAAAGATTTAAGGATAAAAAGATAACCGAAGAATTGGGTCCAGGAAGTTATACTGTGCACGACTAATTTACCAAAATTACTTTTAATAAGGGAAATGATATCTTTGGTAAAGGATAAAGAATCTAATAATAATAATAATAAGAAATTGGTCCTGGGGCTTATGATGGCGATTACAAACTACTTAAGAAAAATTTTGTTAGAGATGTTCATTTTTGATTTTATAATATGTGTAATTCAATTAATACATTTATTATTGTTTTTTATATAGTTCCTCTTTGGTTCAAATTATATAGAGTAATGCTTATAGTTTATTTTTAATATTATCTTTTCATTAAATATATAAAACTTCTTCATTATACTAATGATCGATACCTATTAATAACTAGTAAAGTATCTAAGCAACAATGTCTCTAGTATTTATTTTAATCTTATAAAAAATACTATAATAAAAGTTTTATTATTTATCGAAGACCTTCTTTTCTCTAATTTTTTGTTTTATTTTCTGACTTTTCTTTATTCCTTAACTTTTGAGGTTTAATCTCCTTAATTAATAGAATTTTTAACAATGAACAGAAAAAATTTCTTATCCATTAAAAAACAAACTACCTTATTTTATCTTTCTATTACATTAGGAAACATAATAACTAAGTTAGTGTCTTTCAATACTTTAAATTATCCTTATTAAAATCTAATTTGGCTCACAAACAACACATTTAAACTGTTGAGCTTATGCATATAATTATATAATAATACAATTGGAAGTAAATGTAATTTATTCTGTTCAATTCAATTTTGCATTAAGTAAACTTGACACTCAATCTTCAAATAATTATTTTTAAAGCTCCTACAACTTTAACTAATGATTATCTTATTTACCATGCTAAAATTGTTTAATTCATGCAAATTGCAGTGAAACATACCTACATTTTGATTTGAATTAAGATTATCTATTATTTTTCAAAATAAAATAAGTCATTAACTAATAGTAAGCTGCTTCATTATGAGAATAATTTTAAGTCCTACTTGTTATCACCATATTAAATAGTGGGCATAAGCAATAGTTTAAAATAAATAAATCCATTTTTAATTCTATCAATATAGAAAATAAATGATATTAAAATTCAAATAATAGATTAAAATAATAACTGTTCTAAGCTAACACTATAATATCAACCTTATCTGATAATATCAATCATATTATATGTATTATTAATCACAATCATCATCCTCATTTTGCATACATGCCAGCAAGTCAATAACACCTTTTTCATATTAAGTCTTTGTTTCTAGTAAATTATAAAAATTGAGGTAATAATTCTCTATTTATGATGAAAAATTCTTTTTTTGTTCTGGTTCTTCGAGTTCTTTGAGTTCAGTTATGTATTTTGTAAAAAGACATTATAATATAGTTTCTGCTGTTTTCAAATTTTAATTTGTCTGTTCAGAATACAATTCAGAAATGTTTCTTCCCAAGAGTTAATATTCCAAATAGAGGGAATATTCATTTAAAAACTTCTCAGTTAACATCGGTGCTATCTTTAATAAAGGAGGGTAGTTTTTAAATTTATCAAATTTATTCACGAGTTAAGGTTTGCCTTCAATAATTTCAAATTCAGGATAAATGAATCCAAAAAAGAAAACAACACAATTTTTCTTTGATTTTTCAACAATTTCACAATAAATCCCTATTTGCTTGGCTAGTTATATTTGGTTATTGTTAAGAAATATGCCTGGCACATCTGAAATGTTTAGTTTGACCTTATAGTTGCGTTATAAATTCTAGTCAGGTTTGGGGGGTTTTTTTGTGCCTGTTTGTTAAAAACAAATAAATCTTCCCAAACGTGATAGCGTTTAAATAACTTGTGTACTTTACTAATTAGAACTCCAAGCGTCAGTTTTAGCTAGAGGCTTTGAAGTATTCATTCCCTTCGGTTTACCAATTTTGTTTATTCTTTTTTCAATACCTGGAATTTTGGATCCTTAATTCTATTATTACATATTTTATTTAATAAATATCATTAATTATTATCTTCATTATACATTTATAGCTTTTATTAGACAACGATTAATCTCTCAGCAAGTGTTTATTTCTATTTTTCTATTTTTAAAGAAGATATACTTATTATAATTCTAAGATATTTTTTTCGTTTAACACAATTTTTTCATACTCTTCTAAAAAGGCAATCTTTTACTGAATTTTTTCCATTTGAACATTGATGATGGCATTGATACATTGATTTAATTTGCTTTCTTCTTTGACAATTTCGGCTTCGGCCTTTTGGATTGAGTTCTCTTTGAAATTAACAATCAAATTTTGATCAAGGTCATTCTTAAATATGATACACAATTAATACTAAACTATTCTAGAGGTTGGTTTATTATTGTAGCAAATCTGAATGAGTGGTTCCATTGCATAATTTATCACCGTTTGGCTATTTGGGTTCTTCGTCTTGATTTAAGCGTTTGTGGAAAATGGATATATGATAAGCATATAGATTGGAAGAATCAGAGAAAATTTATGGCTAATGTTTAAATATTATAAATAATACTTCTTCACTAGCAATTTTACTTGCTAAATCATAAATAGTCCATTTTTATAACTATTCTTTTACATCTAAAGAACGGCTAATGGAAGATTGCTTTTTAAGTGGATATATTAGAAAATTAATTAAAATCTAGACGACATCCAATTTGACTTTTCTGTTTTCATTCACAAATTCAGTAATTTTATCCCAACCTATTTCTGGGTTGTCTTGGATGTAATTTAGCATTTCTGACAATTCCAGATCGTTTAATTGCGAGTCGGATAATTCTGCCTAATCAATTGAGATGTTGGTGTTTTTCAATCTTTCTTCAATGTCAGTTCTAAAAAAGTCCTCTGCACAAAGAATGTTTGGGAAGTGATTATTTCCATAGCATTTAATACATAGAATAATTTCTTTAATATCTTTAATAGGTTTTTGTTGGTACCAAACTAAATTGCATTTCATTTAACATGAGTCACAAATAGGCCTAATATTATTTTATCTTGTAACCTTAATTTAAGCGATAATTCTCTTATAGAATCAATAATTTATTATTCACTTAATTAATATTGTTGCGAACTATTTTTCGATTAAAACAATTCTTTGAATAAATTATCAGGAATAGCAGGTTACGGTATAATTTTGCCCTAGTATTAATCTGAGTCCACTTGAGAATTGATAATTCCCCAATGATTCAAAAAACCATGAATTCTAACGATAGTGCATGCATCAGCAGCTAATTGTCTTCTGCATGCAGTAGTTGTCAAGTAAACGTTCGGTGTGTTATAATATAAATTGATAATAAAGTTCCTATGTTTCTTATATAGTGAAGGTGTTTTGTGTTTGTTCTCTTGATTGAAATATTCTTTAAAATTCTCCTTCTCAATTGAATGTATTTTGTCGATTCTGAACCATGAAGTGCAAGAAGGTACAGTGATTTCAAAAGATCTCTTTTTAGTCACGAAAGGATCAGGAGGGAAAATTTCAAAATTCTAAGGTGCGATTGGTTGATTAATCAAATTCTATTGTATGATGGGCTTGTAGGGAGGTGGAGGAGATGGATAAATGATGGGTTGTTTGGATTGTTAACCTTGAATACTTTATTGCATTCCTGGAGTTATTTGTTAATATAAGAACGATTATTACGGAGAGAGTATTGCTGGACTAATTTGTAATTATTATTAGGGTATTTATGTTTGGGAATGTAATGATGTTGTTTGAGACTTATTTTTAATCTAAACTGTTGATTGAGGAGGAGTATTTTGAACAATGCTTTTTGGTATTCGAACAGTGGTATCTGCATCATGAACAATAAATCCATTTGCGACTTTCTTGAGAGTAACTTTAACTTATGGCATTTTCTTCTGATTCATTTAATATATATATTTTATATATAATTTATATATATGAAAATTTCTATTTTAATTAATTTTGTATAAAATGAATACAAAGTCATTTGAAGTTTTGATACATTCATAATATGCCTTCCACAGATGCAGAAATGAAGTGCATAAGTACGAAGATTGTAGATAAACAACATCCCCAATCCCCAAAGATCCTCGTCTGTGTAGGAATACTGCCAGAGAATTGGTAGGATGCTATAAGGAGGCGTATTTAATATGATGTTTTATGATCATTAGAGAACGTATGCACCCATTGTGTTTGGCACCTTTCAACGATGTCAGAGAATGTGTTTTCAAGGCTGATGGAAATATCTTCAATTGCAAGAAAGAATCACAATAATTCGTTGATTGCCAGATGGATTAAGAGAAATATCAAGATTTCTTGGCTGTAATATAATATAATACAAATAGCTTTCAACAGATAAATAAAAAGAAGCTTTACAATTTGATTTCTTCAACTACAGAGGCCATTTCGACAAGTATAGTTGAGGTAGTAGTGATTTATAAATATAAAGACATAATAATATTAATAATATCGATATTTTATTAGATGAGTGACTAGCCTACCCAATATTAAGAAAAGAATAGAACCCAACATCCAAAGAATCATAATCCTCGTTATTCGGATGATAATAATTCTTAGAACAAATAAGGACACAATTTTAGAGACTCCTATAAGTACAATCATTTTAATATCCTACATAGTAAAAATCAAAATCATTATCGTCAAAGCAATGGCAACTACTCTCACAATTATTATAATAATAAATAAAATAATTACAGATACACTCACAAACAAAGAGATCAGCCCTATTACTCCTAATCTGATTCCATTACTTATGATCAAAAACACTCTGTGCAATCTGAAAATCAACAATAAACTAATAAAGACCTTTTCTAATAAAACAATCAAGATTCAAAATCACGGAATCAAATCAAAATTGGAGACCCATCTATACAAAATCAATAATTATAGGAAATTGAACAATCAAAGCAAGTTCAGGTGTCTAAAGATATACAAGGGCAATCAATAAAAAATACATAGTAATCACAAAATTAAATAAGTGGTTACCTATCCTCAGATGCCAAGGAAATATCAAATTCATCATATAATGAAACAATTACAAATGTAAATGCTAAATAAAATGATTCAAACTAAAACAATAAATAACTTCTTGGCATTTCATAATAATAATTGATTTAATAAAAATAAATACCATTATTAGTATAATTTTTGATTCTACCTAATGACACAACTTCACAACCTTAATTGATCCCATTAACATTAGTAATTATTAAACTAATTATCTATAGTAAAATTTAACATAAACTTACGAGTAATTAAAGCTATTAATTTAAAATGATGATTAACAATAGAGTTGAGATGTAATAATGTGTGTGTGCATATAAGATATTATTAATATAATAAATTACTAAATAAATATACATATTCTGGTTTTACATAAAATAATTCACAAATCAGATTTGCTTTTGTTTTATTCTGTATGTGTAAGCTAAACATTTTGTTTAACGAAGGCATAAAGATTCTCTTTGCTAAATTCTTAATCAAAATTGACTGGATTAGATGTCACCTTTGGAATGTATAATTTAAATCCTGGATAGTTTTCAATCTTCACACTCTCCAAATCATTGTATGATAAATCTATTTGAGCCAACACTAAATTTTCATTGCCCTTCAATTCCTTAGCCAAATCTTCAAATTCTGGTTCATAACTATAATGATAAGATTAATATGTTACCATTTGCTACTGGATGTTTGGCAAAACTAAACTAAAGTGCTCTTATTTGAATTCAGAACCAATTCATCAAAAGTATCACCTACAACTTTGAGAACATTTGATGTTTGAGTTGGTATAGGTTGAGATTTTTATTTTCTTGCAATTTTTCCGTTGTTGGCTCCATGAACAAATCTCATAACATTCTCAACAGTAATCTATCCTTCGAATTTATAGACTTCATTGGTTGTCTTATAATAATACAATGACAGGGAATGTGGGAGTATTAATGAACAATTGACCTGTTACTTGATTCAACATGTAATTATCAGAGTAAACAGAAACTACAGTGATTCTTTTTTTGATGTTAGGAGCTATCAATTTTAGAACATCCTTTGTTTCTTAACTTTATTGACTCCAAAAGAGAATCAAAGCTGGTGTATTTTTATTAAATATGGATGCGTAGCTCTTGTTGTCTAATTCCTCAAATGATGGAGTTGAATTCTCGTATAAGAAATTTGTTAATTTTTCTAAGGTTATTTAATCTGTGAATTCCTTTCTTCTCTCTTCAAATGTTCTAAATAAGACGATTTATCCTTCGTCTACGTCGTATAATTTCTATAACAATATTTAAATAGCTTACTCTGGCATAGGCTGAAGTGGTATAACCAAATTTCAAATTGGGGAATATTTTGGCAGCCAATGAATAAATCTGTAACTCTGGTTGTTGAGAATCCTTAACGAAATATAATACACTCAAATTATTATCACTTAAAAACTAAAATAGTGAGATCTTCATTAATACCTTATAAACATCATCGATTTCATCAACTCTTACTAATTTATCCTCAAGAGCTTAAGTTACAAAATTCTTTAATCCATTAGCACTTCTATCACCATTATAAGGTACTGCATGCCCTTTAATGAGCAATATTATTGTTGGGAAACTTGATACTTTGTATCTATTTTTCAAATTAAATTAATAAACCTGTTCATAGCTTATTTTTCCTGATCTCCACCATTCAGTTTGGCAACGATAAAAGGTTGGCCAGCTTGTTTCACTTGTGTAGCAAATTGAGAGTACTCGGGGGCAAATTGTTTACAATGACCACACCTATAATGAAAGGTAAAATATCAATTTAAGACCATGATGCATAAAACTCAACCAATAAGTAATCATACTACTTGATAGCAGCATTTATAGTATTATCATTAAGTACTAACACATCTTCATCATATGGGAATGTGTATCCGAATGCTGATAGTCCAAGCAAACAAAGTATTAAAAACTTTAGCATAATTAAATATATCAATTTTCAGATTTCTAATTAAAATTAATACATTCCTATTATAGATTCTTAATATGAAAGCAATTTACTATTTGATGATATAAAATTTCCTTTTTAATAAGAATTTTACACTATTAATCGTGATTTGAATATTCATCATATCTCAGAATTAAGTGTTTTCTATATAATATACAGAACAGAACAGAACATTGTCAGTATTAGATTAGAATTATAAAACTAATTATTCATTGCAAATTAATATTTTAGTTGATTTTATCTTCTTTAGGAATTAGATGATTAGACTATATAATATCTATTAAGTAATAAATATTTAAGAATTAAGTAATAGTATTAATCGAATACGTGAATCATTATACAAAAATTATTTTTTACTTAACTGGAATACCCTTTTTTATCCGTTAGACTTTTATTTATCAATTATTTAGGCATTTCCAAGATAAATAGAGAAGCAGCATTTATTAATTTCCATAATCTATCAATTATTTCAAAAGAGCTCCTTTGCAACTTCCTTAATTTGGTCTATGTTTTAGTCTAAAGTAGATTGATTTATTATTTAATCAAGTTCTCCGATTAATATTTTTGCATAAAATAGCAGCCTATTAAATTATAGATGAGTAGGTAACTTGATGGTAAGTTTTTTTTGAAATCCTTGGAGATATATTTTTCACTATAAAAGCAAACCAGAACATTTTTGGTGGTCTTAGAATAATGTAGATATTTCTTGATGTATCCACTCAGTGGGGTTGGATGGAAAAGATTTGGATTCGAATAATAATTTATACAGGCAAAGTTATTTAAAATAATATTAAGTGAATATAAAATTTATATATATAATTACTGTTATGAAAAGTTTAAATTATCGATTTCCTCATTCAAGATAGGATTCTGGTTAAATGAACTTAGCAAGATCTTAATTGGGATAAGCCTAGTAGGTGACGAATGTACTAAATAAGTAAGAAAGTGATGTGAATGTTAAGCCGACAGAATGAACAAAATGTTGATAGATCACCTGCTCCGATGGTACATGGTTTGCATAAGTTGGCAGTGCCTTCTAGTTAGCAATCATCTGCCAACCATTCAAAGAAATCATCGATCTCTAAATAGCAATAGCCGAAATAGATATCCTTTCTTAACTACTTGATTCTGAAGGATAAATCTCAAATAGTTTAAGATGAGGAGAAAGAAAGTTGGCTATTAAATATGAAATTAGATCTTACTGAGCCAGTAGTGTAAAAGAATATGTTCAACTTCCAATTTGTGATTGGAATAGGAGGATTCGGGAAGGTATGGAAGGTGGAGTACAAAAAGAACGGGTAGATCTATGCGATGAAGGAGATGTCAAAGGCACTGTATAGATTTCATCATATTGATTCAGTATTATAGCCAAAAAAAGTGTGAATTCCGTGATGAACGAGAGGAATATCTTGAGCAATCTTAAACATCCGTAAATAGTGCATTAAATATAGATTCTTAGTGAATATCTACTACGCATTTCAAGACAGAGAGAACCTATTCCTAGTGCTGGATTACATGCAAGGAGGAGACTTGAGATATCATGTTGGGAAAATGAGAAGATTCACTGAAGATCAGACAAGTATGTAATTACAATATGCAGGGTTTTTCATGGCTTGCATCTTCTTAGGATTGGAATACATGCACTCCAAAAACAGTTTACATAGAGATATTAAACCAGAGAATTTAGTTCTTGATAAACATGGTAGAATTCAAATCTATTTGTAGGTTACGTCAGAATAACGGACTTAGGAATTGCTCGAAATCTCAGGCCTGATAATTCATAAGATACATCAGGTACTCCTGGTTATATGGGTATCTTCATAATCCTAAATTCCTAGCTCCGGAAGTTATGTGCAGATAAAATCATTCTTTCGCGGTTGATTACTTCGCTTTGGGAGTCATTGGATACGAGTTTATGTTGGGGAAGGTAATCATTAATTCTATTAATCAGCGACCATACACGGGGAGATCAAGAAAGGAAATTAGAGACTAGATCCTGGCTAAGCAAGTTCAAATTAAAAGATCTGAAATTCCAGATAATTGGTCTCTAGAATCAGCTGATTTTATCAATAGAGTATTTGATTAAAACGAATAATAGTTGATACAAAGGAAACCAGCCAATCGACTAGGATTTAATGGACCTCATGAATTAAGGTAGCATTCATGGTTTAAGAATTTTCCATGGTCAAAATTAATGAACAAAGAGTTAAAATCACCTTACATTCCCAATGTATATATTCTATTTGAAGTTTGTTAGCAAAATGAAGATAATTTCGATGCTCGTTAGATATCTATGGAGGATGATGAAAATAATGAATTAATATAATAACATTCAATCATGTTAAGAAGAAATTCGATTTAATGTAAATTATGTGTCTATCAATTTTTAAGCCTAATTTTCTGGATATGAGATGGATAATTTTAATGAGAAACAAAACACTTAGTTTAACAATTTTTGATAGTTATTAAATCATTAATTTTAAGATTGCAAATTGCATTTCATTCTCTAATCTTACGTGTCATTAATTTTAATTAGACATTTTGCATCATCCTAATCAAGGATAATTAACATATAGAATTGAATAATTTAAAAATAATTAATAAATACATATGTCATTAAGTTTGAGTGAATTGATCAATCAATCATTGGACAAAATCAAAAAGGCAATAACTAAAAAATAATTCGAGTTGAAATAAAGCATCGATGAAGCTTAATGTAACATATTATTGCCTATTTAAAAGAGCTCAAAGAACATTTCGATGCTAATCATTTAATAACAGTGTATTAATAGTGCATTTAATCCAAACAAGTCAAACTGATTGAGTTGGCCTTATTCGACATTAAAGTATTAAATGGCCTAAGAATAGAATTTAGTAGAACAAGGGTTTTTCGCTGGGGAATAATTGATTGGAGAAAAAAGAGTGATTGAAGTAATCTTGGACATTGTAATCTAATGTCAATAAGAGAAGGAGGAAACAGTTCAAATTCACATGATAAAAGCCATATAAGCAATTATGACTAATAGAAAGCACCATATATATGGGGAACTAATCACTAAGGTGTTTTCAATGCTCATCAATTTGCATGCAGGTAAATTGAGATATTCAATATAATAGTCTCCAAAATAGTTGTGATTGTGAATGCAAGCAAGGAGGCATGTCAGAAGATAGTTAGCACTTACTTTTAAAGATTAGAGGATTATGGAATTTTAAATGAGGAAGAATTCCAACAAGCTATTCAAAAACAAGGCAATCAAGGACAGCTGGTCTTAGGTAAATGTAGAGCCATGGTTAATGCCGAACAATATATGAGATCCTTGATGACTTCTCTTATAGATGAAGTGCAGATCTATACTGAAAGGAAATCAGTATATGATAGACAAATAGAAGATTTAAATCAAATGAAAGTTATTAATTTAGATCTTCATGAACCCAATTTAAGAAATGTAACAGTTGAAAAAAACTAGATCTAAGTTAGTGTCACCAACGAACAAAATATTAAAAATGGGAAATTTGGATGGTGTGTAGTGTGCAGAAACTCAGCATCACAATATTGTAAAGATACGAAAGTACCAATTTGTAGTAAAGAGTGTAAGTATATACATCTGAATTAAATGAATAATTTCTCATAATGCTATCAACACTCAAACAACAGTGACCAATATTGCAAGGATGCCTTGGAAATCTTGGAATTGTTATGTTAACTTAGTCAAAGAGATAATACTAATCCTTAATTAAGTTAAATAATAATCAAGTGCAAGATCCTCTCTCTTGAATTGATCTATGAGGCCTTGGCTTAAAGTGATACAATCCTATAAAACAAGCCAAAACTAATCTAAATTTTAAAAGAACAATTATTGGAATCTCTATTAAAGAATTCCCTATCTACAGAGAAACAATTACTCATATTGACACTTAATATCTTCATTCAATTGATATGGAAAGTAAGAAGCCATCTCAAAAAGGAATTAGAAGCTTTGATTGAAAATGTTTATTTTAAGTTCTTGGATAGTAGCAACAGCTCCTTTGATCATAAGTAATACACTCTCAAAGTATTTAATAAAATCATGACCAAACCCAGAGTCGTCATTGAAATCTTTGTGAATTATGATTGTTCTTTAGGATAAAATAACCTCTTAAAAAAGATATTAGATATGCAATGTAGAATCATCTAAGGCAGATTCAGCAAACAAGAATTCTAAGCATCAATCACTCAAAATCAGGAAACCTATTTAAAATCCTTATGTCTGGATAATTATTATGGGTACATTAAATGTCTTAAGGAATTCTGCGAATAGAATGAGGACCAATAAAATGTCATATAAGTTTAACAGCTTGAAGATCAAGAAGAAACAGCCATTCAATCATAGCTATTATCACAAGATCCCATAGAGAAATAAAAATAGATGAAATTAGAAATGAATAAAGCTGTTTAGAAATTCAATTTCAAACCTGAACATTGTATAAAACATTTGCTTGCTTGTTAATTTATGGAGACGAGAGATCCCAAATTGTTTGCATAATTCTTATGGGAAAATCGAGATTTAAACAAAGATAAATTAGGAGAATTATTTGGTTGTTCAAGTGAATTCAATTAATAAGTATTCCAATAGTATATAGATTTTATGAACTTTAAGGATTTGCAAGTGGATGAAGGCTTAAGATATATGCTTGAATTCTTTACCTTGCCTGGAGAATCTTAATAAATAGATAGAATTATGGAAAAATTTGCTTCTAAGTATTGCATTGATAATCCTGGAATCTATTAATCAGCTCAAGCAGCTTATACACTATCTTATCTATTGATGATGTTACAAACAGACTTACACAATGAAAGAAACTTAGAAAAAATGACAATTCCATAATTTGTTAATTTGGCAAAAGGAATCAATGATGGGGAAAACCTTCCATAAGATTTATTGCTTGGATTTTATTAAAGAATCTAGAAAACCCCTCTTGCATTACATGCCAAAGAATAAGCTAAAAGATCTTTAGAGTAAGCAAATTAAGTGGATTAACGAAAAAGACATGCCATGCTAGCCAAAGAAGCTGAAGAATCTTTAAAAAAGTGGTTCAAGGAACATCCGAATTAAGATGCTTATTTCTATGCCAATTCAATTGAACATGTGAAATCTCTATTATAATAAACTTGGAGTGCTATTTTTGCTTCTATTAGTGTATTTTTAGAATAAACTGAAGATCAATAATAGATTTTATTATGTTTTGAGACCATCTAATCCTTTATATAATTGATGGGTAGATTTGATTTAGATGAAGAAAAAGATACATTTATCAGTTTTTTATAGAGATATTGTACAGGTATTCCAAACACTTATCGATAAATTTTGGGTGTTTAAGCCTTAATAAAAGCAGCTATTCATTCTGGCTAATATTTACGCAAGAGTTGGAAAGTTGCTTTGTAAATGGTTTCTAGATTAGAGACCTTGCATTAAGTTGTGAAGAAAATTAAGGTCGATTCACCTTAAAAGGAGAATTATAATTAGGAAGATATTTAAAATATCGAGAGATTGTTTTAATCCATTTCATACGATTAGATTGATAAGATATTCAATATGTCTATAAATTTAGATTCCAATTCAATCTTGGAATTTATAAGAGCCTTATGTGAATTATCAAAAGAAGAAATCAAGCAAAATAGAACATTTTTGTTAAGCAGAATGATTGAAGTAGCAGATTTTAACATGGATAGAATTAAGATCATATGGTCAAGAATGTGGGAAATAATGAGGGAACATTTCCTGGAAGTAGGATGTCATAAGAATGTTGATTTAGCAATTTATGCAATTGATCAATTGAAATAATTGAGTTGCAAATTCTTACAAGTAACCTGAACTAAGCAAATTATCATTTCTAGAAAGAGTTTTTGATGCCTTTTGAATAGATCTTCAGTCACAGTCAAGCATAATCTCAATATAAAATATAATTAAGGGAATACTTGTTATCTTGCATGTGTATGATAACTAATGTTTGTTTTAATTCACTAAAAAGTGGGTTGGAAAATCATAATGAGTATTGTTAATTAAGCACTTCAAGAAGATTAATAATAGCTAATAAGATTGTGTGTACAAATTACAGATAAGATAATGGAGGATGTGAACAATCAATAGGTTAATCAAGAAATCTATATGGAACTAATTTAAGCATTAATTAAATTTGACCAAGAATAAAGATAATTAATATTGTTGAAAATGCAATCAAATAATTGAAGACATTAGTTGATCACATAGCATTGATAAAAAGAAATGACAATAAATTTTTGGACTCATTATGGATTCCTGTATTATCATCATTGTCTATATTATACAGCGATGAGAGAGTGGCTGTTCAATAATTGAGTGTTCAAACACTCTTTGATTTGCTTTAAAAGCATGGAGTCTATTAATCAAATGAATTCTGGAAGATGATATTAAGAGGAGTCATCAGACCATTATTTGATGAAATCCAATTTTCTAAATTACAATATACCAAATAGTAATAATCCAAGAAATCTATAACTTCAACATGCAAAATGACATTTTTATTGTTTACGGATTTAGTAATTTCTCAAATTTAATAAATGCAACCTTGTTTGAATGATCTAATAGACATTTATATTCAATTGATTTTGCAAACTCAAGATGTAATCATTAATCTTATTAATATAGCATATATCCATTTTGTGTCTTTAATCACTTAAGAAGATGATCTAGAATGTAGGCCAATCATTGACTGAAGATAACTGGAATCTCTTGATCGAATAGATCCAACATTTATTGTCTTAATGTTCTCCTACTGAGTTGTTTGAGGCATTTAATTTGGATGAAGACTTTTAAAAGCCTTTAGATGAACTATTAAAAGAGGAGATAAGACCAAAGAAGTTCAGTTTCAAAATAAATGCTTAAGAGTGTTCATCAAAATAATAGATCTAAGAAAAATGTTTGGAGATTTTAGAAGTTTAAGTAACATAATTCTAAAATCAAATTACTTCACAAAATAAACAATTGATATTGCAATTATTTTAGGAATAATATTAAAAATGCAAAAGATTCAACACTAATATATATATGAGATACTTTTTAGAACAATGGGCAGTTTAATGGAATTTTGTTAAGAGAAGTTCATAGGAATTTGATGATTTAGAAAATAATAACACAACCCAAAGTAAACAATTGAGCTTCATCAATGTGGAGTTTCTGGCAGCCAAAGTCATTGTTTAACTTAGTAATGACCCCTTAGCTTTTATCGAATAATTGATACAAAGATTTCTTGATGCCTATAATGGGTTTTCTTAGCCTTTGCATAGATAAGATAGCTTAAATGGTAATTTAGAGCAATTAAGACATCTTGAATCTTAGATTGTCATCAGTAGATTACAATTATTGTTTATGGAAACTGTATTCCCGTAATTAAAATAGAATTTGAAATCAAAGGTTGTTAGTAAATGGCTGATTTAATTACTAAAAGCTGGGTTGAATGTGTCAGGAGTTGAAAATAAAGAATATAATAAAGTTTTGGTGAATTTATTGGAGGAAATTATAAATTGTGAGAATAATGTATTTTGAATCTAATATATCTAATTTATTGTTATTATTAAAATGTCATTTTTTCATAAAAAATGAACTCAAACTTTTGATTAAGCCACTTTGTTATTCTTATTATGCTGGTTAGGTTTCTTATTTCCTAGTTTGTTATTATTAAGAATGAAGATATCTACGAAAATTATCCATAATCATATTACTTAATTGCTCTCAATATTTATTTAAACTCCGAGGATTAATAAACTTCTGTTATCTTTTAATTTGATTATTTGTATGTTAACTAAAAATGATCCTCTTTTGTTCTATCAGGCACCAAATCTGTGATGTCTTAAACATTGATACTCACTCTATCTTTTGTATTTTCTATCTCTATTACGAATTATTCGAATATATTCCTTCGAATAATGATCTATGCATATGCTCATGACTCAATACCAAACAAGGAAGATTCATTAGACCAATCTTCTAAACTCGATACTGCTGTATTTGATCGCCAACAGGTTTTGTGGGAACAGGTGTTGGCGCTGCTGGCTAAGGAGCCGGCTTACTTTATTCTTGTATCAGGGTCTATTGCAATTCTTTGTAGTCATTCTATAATTGCCTATACATTTTTTCTTTTTAGCTCAATTCCAATTCTTTTTATAGAATTTTTTGGTCATAAGCATCAATTTAATGTTTTAATGTTTTCCTTAATTGTTCTTTCTCTCTTTGGAAATAAATTGAAATTGTACTCATTGAGTTTCTTCACTTGGACAGTCAAATCCTAAAGATCCCTTTTGCTTTGGTCTCTACTAATATTACCTCTTGGTGTTGATTATTTGAATGTGGTGAAAAAGCTGCTTTAATCATTAACTCTAGAATATTCATTTCTTTAAGATTCTCTGTTATTCAATTATGCTTATAACGACTTAATTTATTCTATGAGTAGCTGATTTTCTTTTTGCAGTTCATTTTCCATTTTATTAATTTTTATATCAAAAATGTTTAATTATGTCTTCAAAATCAAAGCTCTTAGAATTCAAATGCAAATTTAAAAACCCTCACTAATTATAACCATATACTAAACGAATTCTTCGAAATACTATTACAAGCATTTGAATAATTCACTTATCAAATATCTGAATTGACGTATACTCCATTACTCAAAATTTTAAGATGAGTTAATATTTTTAAAAAGACTTAATTTTCTTTAAATATGATAGAAATCAATGAAATCTGCATTTAGTATTAATAACTGCAAATAAAAAGTATAGGATAAAAAGAAAGAGCATTAATCTTAATATTACCTTTTATTAATTTCTCATTTTATTAGATTATATTATTTTCCGTTTGTCAAAACAGTAAAGTTTCAAGATGTCAAGCTGACTTATTCAATATATTGATCTTTTTAATAATAATTATTCTATTATAAATTAATAATAATATAAAAGTGCCAAGGGTCATTTTAGTTATTATCATACATATAAGCCTATTAATATATATATTATTATTTCAGTATGTGATTAAATTACTTTAGAAGTATAAATTATTGCTCTGTTATTTTATTTCAACTTATACTGTAAATAATTTTGTTTAAATCTAAACAATAAATTTGAATGACTTCATGTGTTATACATATTTATCTTAAATAAATATAATTTATTTCATAAATATTATAATAAATTTGGCAATTTCAAATTGAATCATAAAATTCTTAATTTTAGATTAACAATATTTTTATTGCAATGTTGATTATATTTAATTTCATCTTATGTTAGATCTTACTCATATAAAAGAATTTTGATTGTGTTTTAATAAATTATATATGTTTTTAATTCATTATTAAGAATTGTTACCAGAAAAGCCAGGAAATTTGTTATCTGAATTGGATCCATCACTTGGAGATCCAAATTGTTCTTATTAAGTAAATTCCTAAATGTTATGAAAAGATAAATTACAGTATCGAAATTGCTAACGTCTTCAGGTCCATGAATTACAGGCAAGAAGGGAGGTATGACCTTATATGTTAAATAAGATTGCCAATCTTCGACATTTTTAAAGAATGCAAATGATTTAACTTCCATTAAGGAGGGTCTTTGTTTTGGGTCCTTCTACAATAGACTCACAATCAGATCTTTGAGTTCATTGGATATGGGGAAGTTGTACTCAGGTTGTTTTGTTTTAATCAACTTAATCAATTGATCTCTCTATTCTGAGATGAAAGGAGGGCATTCAGCAATCATTTCGTATAGTAAACATCCCAAGGACCAACAATCTACTTTATAATCGTATCCATCGCCATTTTAAGTAAGTATTTCAGGAGCTAGATATTCAGGTGTTCCAACTATAGAGTCTGCCTTTTCTTAAAGCAAGATTTTGGAAAGTCCGAAATCGGTTAACTTGATATATCCTTTTTCGTCTATGAGTACATTCTCAGGTTTTAAGCTAAACATAAAATTCCATATTTACTCTCTATAAATAATTTTTTAAGTATGTAGAAATTACAATGCATGAATTATTAAAATTGCATAGAATTATATTTATTCTTCCTTTAACCTTCTTTTTACTCTTAACAAACTGAATAAATCGCCGCCAGCACAGTATTCCAAAACAAAATAGAAATGTTTGTCAGATTAAAACGTATATGAGAGGGAAACAATAAACTAATGTTTGGCTTAGTTTAAAATAGTTTTTTCCATCATTACATGTTACTAACTCTAACATATGATTAAATACAGCTTATTTCTTCTTATCAATTTCTTTTTTTTTCAATGTTTTTATAGCATATACTTTGTTGGTATCCTTCTTTTTAGCTAAAAATACTTATCCGTATGCTCCTTTGCCAATTAAACGAAGCATAGAGAATTGCTTTATATCCATTTTTATCATTTTTAGGAATTATTTAATAATAATTCGTTTAAATAGTTATCCTACATTATGAATGGAAGAAATCCATATTAGAAATTGCATTGAGGAACACAAGGATGCATAGATATCTTTTTAATAGGATATTGCATTTGAATAAATTAAACATAAACATTTTAATTATTTACACAGCTATTGCATATTTAAATTGTTCTGATTGATATTTTGGAGTTCTAAATTTGTGTTTAGACTAAAAAAAACAACTAATTTAAAAAAATAATTTGTTATTTCAGTTTTTTTTAGTTTTCAAGTTCATAAAACAGAAAGAGCTATTTTTATAAATATTGTTATAAAATAGTTTAGAAACACAATTAAATATGGAGAATTAGATAGTAATTTTGTTTGAGTAATTAAATAGATCGATGATACAGAGAGAGATTAAATTATTAAATAATTGAAACTTGTTTAAGGAAACGATGTAAAAAATTCATTTTCAACAATTTTTAGAAATGCATTGATTGTGGAAAAAAAAATACCAAATGGGCATCTGTCACTTTGGGTTTATTTTTATGTATTGATTGTTCTGGTAAACATCGAGAATACGGTGTTCGTTACACATTTGCAAGGTTGAAATTTCATTTAAGTTTAGATCTCTTACTTTGGATTCTTGGTCTAGAAAATAAATTACATTCCTATAAGTAGGAGGCAATGAGAAAGCCTTGGAATATTTTTAAAGTGTTGGCTTGATTGGTCCTGGATGCAGTCAAATTGATTACAAAAGTCCTTTGGTTGAAAAATACAAATAGGAACTTCTTAAATAAGTACTCTGATTAAGTGGATTAGCCTTGTGTGAAGAAAAGTTGAACATCATTCGTCCATCGCTTATCCCAAGTCCTGTAAAAATTGCTCAAACCTCAGAAAAGCCAACTTAAAACAAAGAAGAAGAATCCCCAGTTAAGGAATAACCTAAATAAGTGTTTTAAAACAATCTGCTATAAGAAGAAGCAGCTGTTACAAAGAAAAGCAATAAAATCGTGTTTGCAGATAATGCTAAACCCTAAGCTGCAACTAGCAAAGCAGTTTAAGGTAAGAAATTAGCTGACGTGGACTTTGATTCATTATAATTTGATGATCCATTTTCAAACCCATTCAGTAATGACCCATTCAAGTCTGACTCCAGTAAACCAGAGTTGCCTTAACAAGAAGAGCCAAAAGTGATCATTAAACAAACTCAATAACTCACTTAGCCAATTCCACAAACCAATGAGACTTTAGAAAAATTGAAAGACAAGAATGTTAAATCAATTTCATCCGAGACTTTATTCTAAGCTTAAGATAGGTATTTAAAATAAATATCATCATTAGTGAATAAAATAAACAGAATATTTATAAATTTAATGGATAAACTGCTATTTCTAGTAAATAATTTTTTGGAGAAAAAGAGGAGGATTCTGAAGACTCATCATAAAGTAACCTTATTTCATATTTTAGAAATGGATTAATTTAAGAATATGTTTAATTTTGCAACTGAAAAAACTTTGGAAACATTTGGCACTGTTAAAGAAAGAGCAGGAGGTATTTGGGAAAATTTAAAAACAAGATTCAATAAATGATGATATCACATCAATCAATATTCATATCTTAATATATTAATAATCATTCATAATTGAATGAGAAGTTTAATTATAATTCTTTTGTTATAATTCCAGTGTTTGGTCTTTAAACTTTAATTTACTTATCTTATAAACTACTGAAAACTCATTATTAACTTGATAGATACTATTATAAACCTTGTCCTCTTTCAATACTATTATAAACATGGATGATTCTAAAAAAATTGATAAAAATTATTTATAATAATAAAGCATATTTTTTGGAGGTTTATTTAATCAACTTTTTTATCTTTTAATTATATATCTAAAGTCAAAGTCAATTTCTTTTAAGGATCTTACCTGATTCATGATATGTTAAACATAGCTGAGTGAGAATTGTAATTAAAATTCAAATTAATTTATAATATATCAATGAATCGATTATTCTGTAAATTAATATCATAATAAGGAAGTCCAAATTGATTTATCATCACTTTTATTATTGATTGGGAAAATTTTATCTATAGTTAATTTAAAAGCTCCATCTAATTCGGCAAAAGTATGAATTGGATTTGCATTTATTCCTATTAAATGAATTTTCTTAGTGTCATCAAGTAAATAATCGAAACCAAAAATTTACATACAGTATTTCCTCTACCTTCTATTTAATTTACAAGGAAGCAAAGAAATTGAAGACTTGATTTAATTCAATAGATCTTTCAAGGTTATTCCCTATGAACTCAAGAATTCAACTAAATTTTGATGAGAAATGGTTTATTTTGGTTTAGTGTGAGCAAAAGGATCTAACTAATTATTTTAATTAAATAGGATACCGAATTGAGATCGTAATTAACCGAACAACATCTTCCCGTTGGTTCTGTTGAAATATAAATTTAATTCTCTTAATTAACCAATACATTAATTTAAATATCAAACTTCTTACCATTATATAATAGAGGATTTGTAATATACTATTAAACCACAAATTCTTTTTAGTCTTTGTATTATTGATTCAAAAATGTTTATAATTAATCAATGCCATCTATAAGCATTGCTCCAGAGCCTACAGATGATTTACAAATCCAAAATTTAGGAATATCTTGAATTAGCCTTGAAATTTGTTTATTATATGTATAACCTCCTTTATTAGGTACATAAACAGAAAATGGAAATTTCTATAGTTTGTCTTTTTGAGGAAAATTGGCAATTAAATAATCCTAAAGAAAATCTAGATCTTCAACCCATTAGGATATTTTAAAATTTAACACAAATCCTGGTGGTAGGACCTTTAATGCTTGTTCTGGTGAGATGGAGCAAAGATTGTTGTATAATTAAGATTTAGCTGACCATTCATGCTGAAATTCCATTAAATTAACCATTTATCTCTTGGAAACAGCATCCTATTTTGTAAGACAACTAAAATCCAGGAGTTAAGTAAGCCATTGCAAATGGGCAAAAGAACTATTAGGTACCTCGAACCATTATTAGCGAGTACTTAGAACTTATCTAAGGAGTGGGTCATTTACTTACATTGTATAATTATACTATCTTAATAAGGGTATAATTTACTCTGAATTGGATGGGTTTGAGTTCTTTTGGAGGTGAAACATTGACAGGTTGAAGGGATGGAATTTCAAATCTTTCATTTCTTTTCAAGGGAGTATAATTCTTATCAAAATATTTAGAGGGTGTTCTATTGCGTTGTTACTCAGGAGATGGGTGTTATGATAATTTTTTTTGTGATTGTTGCAAATAAAATTATTTAGCCTTAACTCTATTGTATTACATAATAAGTGCCTCATCATAAGCTTGGATTGGTCTAGAATCGTAGTAAGGTTCCTCTCTTTTTTTTAAGTATGCTATCCTCTTCCTTTGATCTTTCAAATATTCTTCAATATTTTATGCATAGATGTCCAAACTCTTAACTACATTAGGTTTGTGTTTAAGCAATTTTTCCAAAGATTGCTTTTGCTTTTCATCCTTTTTGCAAAGTACTTAAAGATTAGGATATGAGTTTAATGATTTTGTTTATTCTTAAAGCATAATGCAGTCTATTTTATATAGTATTTAATTAATGTAATTAATTTATTAAAAATTAATCACATCATCCTAGTAGTTTTTGATCTATACTCATAGAGATATAATTAGTCTTGGAATATCTCAATACTAGATGGAAAATTATTATTTATGGATGAATTCCTTTCTCTATATTAAGTGATTTCGAATTTTCAAACCCTATATTTATCTCAATAACAATCTATTAAGATTTGAATAAGTGACTAATTAAATAAATCTATCAAATTCAAATTTTGAAGTTAAGGCTAAATTAGAATGATAAATTTACACCCAATTATTATGTATTTTCAATTTCAAAGGTGGAAAACCCTAAATAATTTAATAAAGTATTACCATGCTATCATATATACCTAAATTCTTTATTATCTTAAACTAGAAATACTGTATGAATCTCTGTTACAGCATAATATAGTTATTTATAAAGAGGATTTAAAGGTTAGAAAATACTCCATAAACAAATCTCTAGTAGCTTTAGAATCTTTTTCAAATGGTAGATTTTAAACCTTTAGATCACAATTGGTGATTTTTTCTAGAATACTTTCTTTGATGTCTTAATTAATTAAAGAAAAAAACCTCTTGCCTCTTTTTTCAGATAAATTTTTATCTCTAATAAGATGATCAGGATCTCTTTGACTTATATACTCTATAATCATATAAAATGCAGATTTTCATCAAAGAATCTAGGATAATTAGACTATATTTGGATGACGTAATTCGAATAGTAAAAATAATTTCAATTTGGATGAATGTAAAATGATAGTTATGTTGAGTTCACTGCTGTTAAATTGGCTGGGTAATACCATAATACACCCAGACTGAAGGTCTCCTAACATATTATAAACACCTTAGATATATATAATTATCAAAAGAATCGTTACAATGTTGGTTTAATAAATATGTAAATGGTTCATATTCTTTAAATTATTAATAAGAAATCACAAATTTAGATTAGTATTATTTATTATCTAAGCTTAATTTCTTATTTAAGTTCGATTCGGATGGCAGAAAATAGATGAAATACATCAATATATATGTTCATTAATGAATTAACAAATCAATTTTTTTGTTAATGCTATTGAATGCGTCTTTAAAGTTTGGTTGTAGCCAACACCATCAATTAAGCACGCTAATAATTATAATAGTATTTATTTACTCTCAATTTTCTACGAGCATTTAATTCTCTAAGTTTTTCAGTCACATATGACAAATCCTTGGTCAAAGCCTTCTCTCCAGTGATCCAAGGATGCTTGCAAATCTAATCAGCCTTATATCTTTCCTTGGGATCAACCTTTAGAAGTTTCTCAACTAGATCTTTAGCTTCCTTAGATATTTTGTCCCATTATTCCCCTGAGAAGTCTATCTTACCTGATTTGATCTACTCGAATAACTTCTCATTAGACTCTTCATAAAATGGAGGATAGCCACATAATCTAAGTTAGGTCCAATAAATTCAGATATATACAGCACATAAAGGATTACACCGATACTCCAATAATCAACTGCCATGTCATATCCCACTCCTGTTAGGATTTCTGGTGCTACATATCCAGGAGTTCCACATGCAGTAAGCATCAATTCATCAGAAATAACTTTTGCCACTCCAAAATCTGATATCTTTACTGTTGCATCTGGATCTGGAGTCGTATAAAGAATATTCTCAGGTTTAAGATCTCTATGTACCACACCCATAGAATGACAATCTAAAAAATAATTTCTGTAATGAGTTACATCTGATAGCATCCACAACCGGTCTAATGACATCAGCTGCTTCTTTTTCATTATATAATTCCTTTTCAACAATACGATCAAAAAGCTCACCGCCAGTCATTAATTCAAGTACAATGTAAAGTTTTGATTTATCATCAAAAACTTCCAAGACTTTAACAATATTTGGATGATCAATCTAACTCATTATTTCGACTTCACTTTGGATAGCCAAATGATCATCGCTTTCCAATGATGCCCTAATTTAAGTAATCTCATATATAAGTACTTGTCAATAATTTTTACAGCAACTTCCAAATTATCACTTTTTCTAATAGCCTTTCTCACAATTGCATAACTACCCTCTCCCAATATTTTATCTAATTTATAGAAATCCTTAATATTAGCAGTCTTGTATATACTATCCATTTTAATTTAAATAATGCTTAAAAAGGGTCCAAAGTAGGATTGATATGACCCTTGTTCTATTAGAAATTTATAACACTTCAAAAAAGATTACTAATCTTGTTGAAGAATAATTAAGTATATATTGTCCTTAACACATCATAGGATGTAGTCTAACCAAAATCAGTGTTAAGAAAGTTACATAACAAATAATTTATATAAAGCAAAAAAAATAAGTAAGCTACTGTGTAATCTAGGTAATAGACTAAATATTAAACTATATCGTAATAGAAGTAACTTTAAGCCCAAGCCATTTGTTGTTAGAAATAATAAATGAATAATTTTTAAATGTAGAATTGTTGTCGCTGCAAGCATTTAGACTAAGCACATTCAAGTATTTAAGTTAGGAAACTAAAGACTTACTCTCAATAATATATCCAAAAACAAAAAATATAAGATTGATAGTTTTACAATTAATATCCAAAAATATAAACTACATTATTGTATTATTTTTATTTGAATTGCAATTCTTGTCACACTCTTTTAGCATTTGAACTAAATTATCTTCAAATTCATGGTTTCTTCAGGTTATTTTTTATCTAATTCATTTTCTTATCCTCTTACTTTTTCATCCTTTATGAATAGCAAGCTATTTATCCTTTTACATCTTCTTGTGTAGCTGTTTATCTTTCAATTGATTTTGTTAGATTTATAAAGTATAAGACCGTATAAATCTGATCTAAAGATTTCAAGCTCCAGATATAGATCGAGTTCTCATGCATCCAATTAGTCCTGACATTTAAACCTTAACTTTAGACATAAATATCAATTAAATAGGCTGTTTGTTAGAGAAGAATAGTGTAAGTGAGCTGTTTTTGAACTTACTGCTTCCAATCTATTAAGAAAGGAAGAAATGAAGTATTTGGTCAACTATTAAACAGAATGATTAAAAACAAAAGAAGTGTGATGATATTGTACTCCCATAATTTTTATTTATACCTATGGATGAATTCAATCTTAAAAAGAGTTGGGACAAAAATATGTAATTAGTTTAATCAGGGTTAGAGCTATTTTTGTATTTGATTATTAAAACATTACATCAATAAATAATAAGGTACAATAAATAGTCCAGAATTTTCTAAATAGAAATTACTTTAATGAGTAGAGATAAATAAAAGGAGTGTTATTTGTTAATTAAAATGGGAATTGTATAAATTATAAATAAATAATAATTAATGGAAGTGTTCACATTACCAATTTTTTAGAAATTAAACAAAATGTAATCTTGTTTGGAAGAGGAAATATATGAGCCGATGGAGGAGCCATAGTAGCAGCCTACTTGTGACGAATGCAAAAAGGTTTTTACCAACAATTCTAAACTATAAAGACATATACGAGAGACACACTAAAATTTGAAGTTGTTTCGATGTGAGTAGTGTGGGAAGGAGTTCAAGCGTTCTTAGCATCTGAAGAGACATCAGTTAACTCACAGTGGGAGTCGACCATTTAATTGTGAATGTATTTAATAGATTTGAGATTGAGGTTGTCCATAGAAGTTCACGTGTAAACATCATTTGAAAAGACATATGCAATTAATTCACGAGATGAAATCGTACGAATGCAATGAGTGTGATTAAAAGTTTGGTAAGAAGAGACAATTGAAAAAGCATTAGCAAGAAGATCATCATAAAAAATAATAATAAAATGATTTATTTTAATGTTTAAAATGCAATAAAGTGTTTTAGAGATTGAGATCCTTGAGGAAACACAATTTGATTAGACACAAAAACATACGAGCATTTGGATGTGAAAAGTGCAATAAACATTTTGCTCATAAATAAACCTTAAATAAGCATATATAAAGGTGTCACAGTGAAATTTGAAATTTATTTATATTAATTTATTAATGAAAAATATGATGTTACTTCTCTTGAATTTACTTTTAGTAACTCATTCAGAACTCCTACCCAAAGTGGATTAATGCACTTGCAAGCAAATTCTTAGTTCTAAAGATTGTGCTCAATTAACTAAGTGTTAATGGAACTCAGCATCAGGAGTGTGTGAAGATCGCAAATCTACAGACTTGGAATCCTATTGCTCAATGAACAGTTCGAATTGCCCAACGAATGGTTGTGCCTTGTATAAAGGAACTTGTAGGCCATTCAGTGGGTGTTCTGTATATTAAGGAAAAACGCATGAAGAATGTCAAAAGATAACAACTTTGTGCACGACTAACGGGGAAAATTGTATTATGACTGAATTATTATGTGATAATTTCAATGACATTTAATTGGCTTGTTAAGTAGATTCGAGTGGATATCCATGCTATTGGAATGATGAAAATAAGAAATGTTACTAAATTTAAAATTGTAAGGAACTGCCTTCAACCTTTACTACTCACTAGTCTTGTTATGATGCTGGATAGATAAAATAACTAAAATGTACAGCCAAAGAAGGAGGAGGTTGTGTTGATATCACAAGTGATTGTGGCAGTTTATAAAGACTAGGATGTGTAATAAATCAATAAGGTAGTGAGTGTTTTTGGGATGGATCTTTATGTAAAGATAAGATTTGTACAAATGCACCTACTTCTTATACAACACATGCTTAATGTCAAAGTTATTTAAATACTTGTTCTCTTAATTAAGATCAAAAAGGATGCATTGATATGCCAGCCACATGTGATGTTTATACTAGTGAACCACAATGCATTTCAGTCAAAGATACTTTATGTTTTTGGTTCTCAATTACCTGTAAGGATGGCGATACGAATTGCTAACCAAAAGCTGAATGCAAATCCTGGATATGTGAAAATGCTCAATCTACTTATAACAGTGATATCTTATGCAGATAATTCAAAACTGAATGCACAGTCAATAATACGAATAATGGTTGTATTAAGAGATTGGAATCATGTTCTTAATACACAACTCAAAATCAATGTGTTAGTGTATTGAATGATCAACAAACTTGTTATTGGAATGGCACCAAATGTGTTGATAAAACCTGTGCAAATGCAGTTCTAGCCAAATTCGATCAAGTCTCATGCAGTAGATATATGTCCTAATGTGCTGCTGTTAATAATAAATGCACTTTAAAAACTTGTAGCACATATTCAAGTGAAAAACAATGCAGTAATGACTATTTAAATAATAAATGTGCTTGGAGTGGGACTTGCACATTGAAAACATGCGAGAATGCCAGTGATGAGTTAACTTCTCATAAGGATTGTTAACAATGGTTAGATACTTGCACTGTTTAATCTGATCTCAAGGGATGTCAAAATTTAGAATAAGTTTGTAGTATCTACAAGATCTAAGATTAATGTTACTTGGCAAGCAATACTAAATATTCATGTTTGTGGATCAGTGGATAGTGTGTTCAAAAGAGTTGTTCTACTGCTAGTCTTGATATATCTACCGATGAGGAGTGTACGAGTTATTTGAGTGGATGCATGATTAGTAATCAAAAGAGTGGTTGTGTAAGTCGTAAGGCTACTTGCTTAGAGTTATTGGAATACTAATGTTCAGTCACTAATACAGGATCTTTATGTTTCTGGAATGGATCATAATGCGTGGTAAGACAATGTAATTAAGTTGTTTACAATACATTTAAAGCATGTAATACATTTTTATCAACTTGCACCGCCAATTATGATGGCACTCAATATAATGGATGTGTGACCAAGGAGACCAAATGTAACTAATATACCAATGAATTCATGTGTATTGAGAGTTTATAAGAAGGCAAGTGCATTTGGAATAAGAAAGCTACACCTAATGCTTGTGAAGTTAGATCCTGTTAGAATTCAGATCAGATCACAAGTGATGAGGCATGCAATAACTTTTTGAATACTTGTACTGTCAATTCAGCCAAAACTGGATGCATAGAACGTTATCAAAAATGTAGTGAATATGGAAATGAAATCAATTGTAGATACACCAAATCAGGAGTTGAATGCATCTGGTATAACAATGCTTGCGTAGATAAAACTTGTGATAAAGCTGATAAGATTTATACTTCTCATGATGAATGTCAGTCCTTCAGTAAGAATTGTACTACTAATGGCAAGGGATGCATTAAAATTGAACAATGTTCTGCATACACTACTAAATCAGGCTGTATCATTGATTCAAGTAATAAACTATGTGCATTCCAACCTAGTTGCAATCTACAATAATGTAGTGATGCTCCTTAATCCTATTCTACTGATGAATAATGTAAAACATATAAAAAAGAATGTACAACAAATGGAAATGGTTGTGTTTTGAGAACATAGTGTTCTGATGCTTATATTGAATAGGCATGTGTTACTGACTCCAATGGTAATAAGTGTACATGGTTTAATAATAAATGCGTTGGCTACAGTTGTTAAAGTGCTCCTACTAAGTATGTCACTGAGATGGAGTGTCAGTTACATAAATTAGGATGCACTGTAAATTAATCTGGAGGGTGTGTAACTAAAGGTCTCTGCAAAGATGCTAAAATTTAATCAGCTTGCACAACAGACAAATATGGAAAGTAGTGCAGATTCACAAAGGATGGATGCAGAGATATCGTATGTTCAGATGTTGCATACAACAATCATTATGATTGTGCTAATTTTGATCCTAGTTGCTCATCTGATGGCTTAACTTGTATTGCTCAAGCAAACTGCAGTACCAAAATATAAAGTGGATGCTTTTTAGGGAAAGATGGACCATGTTTATGGGTGAGAAATGCATGTTATCAATATTCATCATGTACATCTCTGTAATTCTAGACTCATGATTTATGTTATGAATTCAGTAATGAATGCACAACTGATGGAAATACTTGTATACCAATTGACAAATGTGAGAAATTGCCTTAATAAGGGTGTATTTAAGGAACTAATGGTAAATGTGTCTTTCTATCTGAAAAAAACAAGTGTGTTGTTTTTAATTCTTGTAATTCTGTAGAGTATTCTACTCATGAGGAATGTTAGAAAGTGAGTACAACATGCACAACTGATGGAACTAAATGTATTGATCTATAAGATTGTTCATCATACAAATAATCTAATTGCTATTTAAATAGTGATCAAGAAAATTGTTATTATGATGAAAAAGAAAAGAAATGCGTTGATTTGCAATGTTCTCACCTTTAATTTACAACTCATGATGAATGCAATAGTAAATTAAGAACTTGTACAAGCAATAACACAAGTTGTATTTCAATGGACAAATGTGAAACTTACACTAAAGACTATTGCACTACTGCTCTAGGTTCTGATGGTAAATGTAAATATGATCCAACTAGTAATAAATGCCGTTTAATTAAATGCACCGAATTAGTAGACAATTGCACTTAGATTAGTAAATGTGTAGATAGTGGAATTGGGTGTGTAGAATAATTAACATGTGATAAATATCAAACTGAAAAAGGATGTAAATAAGCTGGTACTGATGGATTTTGTGTCTGGTATTTAGATAATGGAGAAGGAAAATGTAAAATCATGAGTGCTTGTTCAGATGCTTCAACCAACAAAGAGGCATGTTAATCAAGATCATGGGCTTGCTAATGGACTGAAACTGCTACTAAGAGTACCTGTGCCTAACATACATGTTCATCAAAGTCAAAAGAAACTGGATTATGTCTACCCATCTTAGATTTCTCTCAAAAGAATTACTATTTGTGTGCATTGTCTAGTGACTAGTGCATTTCAGCAGAGAAATCTTCTTTAGGAGCATAAACCTGCTTTTAATCTACTGCTTATACATACACCTGGGATTCTGCTAATTCTTTCTGTTTGTAATGTGGAACAAAATATACAAATACAAGCAATCAGACAAACACTCCCAACAACACCAATGTTACAGATAGTGACAATTAAGTTAACATATTATTCCCATTGCTGAGTCTGATTATTAGTATATATATATGATTTTTCATAAATCTTCTAGATTGAGTACATTAAAGTTTTCTTTCTAATCATCCTAAGTGTTATCAAACCATTTAATCAACTATCCTTCATGCCACTCTCCAAACCTAGTCTACCCATTACTCAAGATAACTTTGCCCTTCCCATTTGGCTTCGACTGTTTAAAACTACCTTCATAAGTCTTGCCATCTAAAAATACTAACATGAAATACTTGGCCATTTGAAAATACCATAACCATTAGGAACGTCTTTATTGAACAATCCAACATAAGTGTAACCAGTAGGCCATTTAATTTGACCTTAACCACACATAAAGTCCTCAAACCACTCCCCTTGATATTCCTTTCCATTCTTCCACACTTGACATCCTTGTCCATGTCGCTTATTATTAATCCATAATCCTGTATATGTTGAACCATCATTCCAAACATAGGTTCCCTATCCCTATTTTATTCCTTCATAAAAGTATCCCTCATATTTGCTCCCGTCTTCCCAAGTCTCTATCCCAAATCCTTATTACAAATCATCCTTCCACTGTCCTTCAAATTTGCATCCGCTTGTCGATTGGAATATCCCTCGACCATTTTATTTATCGTTTTCCCATTGTCCTTCATAATAGTCTCCGTCAGGATAGATGAACTTTCCTTACCCATGAGCTCTATTATTCTTCCATTCTCCTTCATATTCTGAACCATCTGGCCATTTCAATATACCATATCCTTCTCTTTTATTGCCAACCCAATCTCCCAAATACTCCCCTCCACTTTTCAAAGTCACTGCTAATAGTTTGGTTCTCTCTTGAGTCTTAGTGGTTTGACTTGAATTCATCTCTCTCTACTTTTTTTTATAATTATATTTAATAATTATTTAGCGAGCATCCAAATGATTCAATTCTGTATCATCACATGGTTCTACATCCTCTTAATACGACTAATTGTTGCAGCATTATGCTCCCATTACAAATTAAATTTAATCAAAAAAACTATTATAATAGTTAATAATTAAATAAATCCCATTATATTGTTAGCATAGTTAAAGAGGATAACCTACACCCAATCTAACATTTGATTTCTTTAGACAAAAATTTGAATTTCTCTCTCACTAATTGATGCCAATATTATTATAATTATAATAAATTAACTGCAATTCCAACGCTATTTTTAGGATATCCTTTATAATGATGAATTAGGAACCTAATATTTCTATTTATTATCTAAAATTAAAGGTAATTCATAAGTCAATTTTATTTGAATTATTGTCATATTTAGATAGTATTACTTTACTTGAATGATAATGGAAATGTAAATTAGTCATTGATCCCAAAATTATTGCTATTAATTTTGGTAATAATAATTTAAATATTAATCATAAGTACAAATTTGATAAAAAAGGATAAACATTTATGAATAAACTCAATAAACCTGAATCGAGAGTTCAACGCAACATTCGCGTAGTAATGACCAATATCAAGGAGGAACAAAAGCAAAAAGGTATCCTTGTATTTTGAACATTTAATAAGTTGTGAAATACTTAAGTCAATTAAAGGAAGAAGGTGAACTAGCCAAACCCAGATATGCTCATTCATAATTTCCACAGTAGAAATTTAATTAAACTGTTACAGAACCTAGTCTTATTGATTTTTAACTTGACAATCTGAATTTGAAAGTAAGTAAAGTGGGAACTCTGGTGGAACCCATGATTCCAATAGTGGAAGCTCCTCATAAACCTATAATTAAGAAGTTCAAAGCCCTGAAACACCCAGTGTTCTTAACAGAAAATATAGTTAACACCATAAAGCCTGTCGAAAGGATAAGTGAATTACCTGTATCGATAAAAAGAAGCACCAAATAATAAATGATGAATAAAGAAATTCTTCATCGTTTGGGATTGTTGAGTGTCCAAGCAAAGAGGGAACTCCAAATCGAAAAACTCAGTAACAGGGCTCTCAAGGTTTCCAAAAATAAAGAGACCTCTTCATTAAATCATAAATAACTGGAAGCTATTACTCTTTAATTGAAAGAGAATGAGAAACAAGAGCAGGTTCAATCAGCTCAAAGATGCACTACTTCAGCATCTGGTGCGTCTAGAAAGGCTTATGATTATCAGGATGAGTATTTGGTTGATTGTCTAACTGAAAGACTTGATTTGGTATACAGTGTTTAAACCTTTAAAAATAGGCCTCAGACAAGAATAACTAAAAGGAAAATTCACAATTTTTTTAAAACAGTAACCATGGCGCACTTGGATAATTTAGATGAAATTAAAAAGGACGATGTGAGTATTCAGATAAAAATTAAGTCTATTAAAGAGAGTTTGCAACTGTGTAAACGACGGCTACTGGATTATAATGACGAAATAGAAATAGCTCTTACAGAAGATATTAAAGGGCAAGTTATTGAATATAAAAACATTATTAAAAATAATAAAAAATGACAGACATCAAAAAGCTCTATTGCAGATTTGTAACTGGGATGACTGTAGAATTGGATATTAGATAGGAAACAAAAACGGTGAATTAATTAAAAAACTAACTTTCCGAAGTCATAAACCTTACTCCAGAAAGATTATATATTGGATTCGAAACCACATTACTTGACGATAATGACTATTTGAGTGCAAAAGGGATTACTGACAGTGATACTGTGCATGTGATCACATCCCAATTAACAGAAAAGATAGCATACATAAAAAAATGAAATTTCATTCAATTTTATTAAATAAGCAACACATAATTCATTTATTTATCTTCTTGTTTTGGTGATTTTGAGTGGAGGGCTGCCGAATTAGATGGAGAATTAGAGAGGATTGAATTTTGTAGAAATTATTTTCTTTTCTCGTCTTCACATATAATAATATATAAATAATATATAATATAAATGGATCTGAAGAATGAAAAATATAATGCATCATTAACCTAAATTGAGTTGACTGTGGAGACACTAACAAATATTCTTTTTAATTATGAATTTTTTAAGAGAATATCAGGGTTTTTAAGTTTAAAGGATGTTTTAACTCTTGGATAGACCTGTCATATTTTAAATGAAATCGTTGAGGTTAGGTGTGAATAATTAACATATAGAAACACAAAGAATTCTTCGGAGAGATCTATTATAAATTATTTCTTCATGAACAACTTGAAATGACTCTAGAGTTAAGCTACCCGGACATACAAAAAAGAAAGTGGATTAGATTATAGAATTTTGACAACTCTTGCTTTGATTGGAAGAATCAGCTTAAAAAAATGGTCGTAACCAAGTAAACGAGGCTTTCAATAGTTAATAGATAGACTATGAAATTTCCATTTATCCTTTGCGATGCTGTGTTTCCCAAACCCATCTTAAAGAGAGAAACCATCGGGATACATTGTGAATCTGAGTTCCAAATTATGTTAGCTTAGCGCTTAGAACTGGAACAAAAAGGATTTGATAAGTTGTTTGACTTTTAATTCATTTAGAATGAAGTATTTATGTAATCTAATCTAACCCTGTAGTTGATGAATGAGTTAAAACAGAACAAATTGCAAATATTGGCCGAAATGCAAGCTAAGTTGCAACACAACGAAAAATTGAAAAGCCAATTTTTGTAATTCAGATGGAGTTTGGAAGAGGAACTCTGTGAATACCAACAATTGAGTCTCTAAAAAATGGGTATAGTTGACGAGGAATTCGAAAAGCAATTGGAACAATTAGATGAGGAATAAATTTGCATATTAACTTTATTGAACGAGTTTTACACCTCTTTGGAGTGTTATTTGGAAGGGTTATAAAAGTACTTTAGTGTATTTATAAATGCTAATACCATAAACAGTATTGATTTGCTTAGCGAATACGTAATGTATTGGCAAGCTTATAGTAATGCCATTATGGACTTATCAATGATTATCTTTCCATTTGAGAATATCATAAATGAGTTGCATCAAAATGTCTTCTCAAAATACCCTCAATATCCGAAGTTTTCAATTTGGAGAGTGATGACTAAGATGTGGATAAAATATGTAAGCTTCGAAATAATCTAAAGATAATTAGAAATGAACAACTCCAACCTATTTTAATACAGTGTTATTTACGTCTACTCTCAGCTCAAAGACAACAAATGTTCAAAAAGGAGTTCGATCAAGGAGTCAATGATGATCTTGAAACTGCCCAATCCTTTTAAATCACTTATGAGATCTATGATAATTTCTTACTTAAACAAAGGAATAGTTATAGGGATCAATATTAAATTGACACCTCGCATCTATTCTATACTGAAATTGTAGATCTGCTAAGAAGTTTCACTCGATGCATCTAAGACATATCTATTAGTGAGGTTGATCATTGTACTTAATAACTTAGGTGTCTGTACATTGGGTAGGCCATAAAGATTGTTGCTATGAGGAGTTTTATGAATAGTTGAGTGAGAAATTATAATATGAAACCAGCTTTTATTATGACGAGAGCAGATAAGTATTTGGATCAAACATTATATCTTTTATCGAGTTTATTAAGTTTGATAAGGAGTAAATTAATAATTAATTAAACCATTTATTAGATTTTTATAGTAAATTGTACCTGAACCTCTTATGTTTAAAATTGAAAATCTTTAGCGAGAACACATTTACACATCCTTATATTATTTTTTAGAAGTTTCGTATCTTTAGAAATTTGTGTAAACCAATAAGGACTAAATCATGCAGGTTTATAAAACCTCCAGACCCAAATCTCCAAAACAAGAGCGCATTTCAATAACATCCTCCTAAAATAACGAACATCTTGAAACTTAAGGAGATTCTAATTTAAATGATGCTCAGAAATTCTTTAATTTGTGTTTGGAAAACAGCAATATAGATCTGGAAGATCTGCTAATCAAAGAGAAAAACAGATATCAATAAGATCCCTTGTTAGAAATCATCAAAGTAGCACTTTCTCAAATGAACCTTGAATAATTGGCATCCTTTGATGATACATACTAATTTGGGAGTTCCTAAGAATTCCTTGATTTTAATAGGCCGCCAAGAATACACAGAGCATTTTCAAATACTAAATGTAAACAAACTATTATATATAATCCAAGTGAATGCAGAACAAACTGAAGTTCCAGAAGAAATTATTAAGGCCGCTAAGCAATTTCTATTAACTGATGCCCAATTTACTAAGCTCTATCAAGTATTCAATGAATATACCGTTTATTATGAAAAAATGCTACTATAAGTTGTAACTAAAGACAGAGACGTTGAATTAATAAACAGTGACAGAGAAGTTCCTAGAGTAAGATGATTCAATCTATTCTAGATCCTACCTGAATACCTTTAAAGCTTTTATTATGTTTCAAGATTCCTGACCAATACTTTACTTGAGGAAAATATTGTTGAGGATCCAGAAGACGAATTTGAGGATCTAGATCTACCTCCAAGTCTCTCAAAAAATTCATCCAAAAAATTGAAAAGTATAAATGATTTTATTTTAAATAGAAAATTCCAATCAAATTGAGTATTATTACTCAGAAGAAGAAGATGAGATTAGCTACAACGACGGTGCTTGATGGCATTAGCATAAATTAATAGGAATGATAATATTAATATTAATTCTAGATTGTTACATTTTTTTCTTTTTATGAATCTTAAATGCATTCTTATGCTATATATTAATCATATTAATGTATCTGATTTGATCTTCCCCTCCTATACCATCTCTAACATATCTCCTTGAACATCTTCCACATATTACTTTGCTGTATTTATAATCTTTCCATTCATTACGGCAATTAAAATCTAACGCAATAGCTACTGAATCATTACCTCCGAATTAACATAATTGGGATTCGAGGGGAAAACTAGAAAATTATTTTGATTTAGGTAATATTTAACAAATGACCATCTCCATCTTTTAGTCATTTCATTTTTTTATGGCCATTCTTCTGGAAATACATTCCCCTTCAAGGGTCTCTTGTCATTTCCACTCAAAGTCTTCAAATTTGTGACATAAAATATTTGGGTCACATTTTATTCCTTTACTTTTCTCTGAATTATAATAGGATTTTATTGTTTACCCAAAATTGCTTTTCAAATACTACTTCCACAGTTTGACCATCCTTATGTAAGTAGACTTCAGACACGACGTATCTCAAATACTTGAATTTCTTGAACCATCTCAAAAACACTATTATAATTTGTTCAATTTAGCTTACACCAAAACTCAACTGTAAACATCATTGGCAATGCTGCAGGAAATGTTGAATAAACTAACATCAAATATTAATATTACAAGGATTGTGCTTGATTAAATTTCCCAACAATACCATGGGGAATAAATACATCCAAAATTAAAACTGATAAGTCCAAACCTGCATAATAATTAGAGATTATGAATACCAGAGGTTTGTAATAGTAAAGTAATGATTTGTTTGATGAATCAAATTTGATTTTCTATTATGGATTATAAGTTAATGTTCTAACTAAATATAATCTTTTATAAAAACTTGTAATCTATCACAGTATTCTAAGGTTTTATAGTGTAAGATTCGACTTTGCAAAATGCATAGACGCTTTTATACTATTGCGTGAATCTTCTCAAAACCATTAATAAATTTTTTAAAATATGTGAATATTTTTATTCTCAATTACAAGAGAAGATAATTAGTTAATCAATCAAATTTTTTATTTTTTGCTCATGTCCCCTATATTGCTTTTGACGATCTGAAGCAGAGACTTAGTAGAATCAGCAATAGTTGCAAAGGCTGATTCAGCTTCTTTTAAGGTTCTATCGCATTTTTCGTACTTTTGTCTCTTGATAGCAATAGACTTATTGAGTTATTGCAATCTCTAATTCAAGATTTGTACGTCTTCTAAAATTTAAGACTTCTCTTCCTCCTTCTCATTCAGTGTATTATCCATTAACAGATATCTAGAAAAGAGTAATTCAAATTATTTACTATTGCTTCAGGGCTTTGAGAATATTATTTATTTGCGATTCGTCCTCACAGATCGTTTCCTCCTGTTCTGGCTGAATGTATTGTTTTTTATAAGGAGTGCTCTAAGCAGAAGACTTTGCACCTGAGGGTTGGGCGAACATCTAAAAAATAAATTAATTGTTAATTTGAAAATACAACTAATATGAGCATTATTATTTATATATAACAATAAATATGAATTCTAGATAAATGTAGAATGTAAATCAAAAGGTTATATTGAAAAGAATTGAAATTTTAACAATCCTAGAATTTACAATAAATTGGATACTATTCATTATGTAAGAGTATTTGAGGCATTCATGGTTTTACTTTATAACTGTATAGTAATATATTAAATATCATAGATTTTTCTTTATCTCATTTTAAATATAGCAGAAATTCACTTTATTGGCTATTCAAAATAAATAATTCCCCTACATTTCCTACTATTGTAATTATCTTTTTTAACTATTAGATGTATGGCCTTTTTATTAATTTTACTGATTATCACTATAATAGTTTATGGAATGTAATTGAAATTAATTCTGCTTTTCCTTTAAATCCCAATCTTATTTTTAAAAATAAGACTCAGATCTTTGGCATTAATAGGTCACTAGGATCGATAACAACACATTTAACTTGATACATAACATGCCTAATGATTATATTTGTTTATTTTATCATCGTAAAGAAACTTTCATAATAAACCACCCTAAAAACACTATAAATTAGATCTATCCCTCTAACTTAAACAGTTGTAAATATCACTATCTTTTTTTCAAGTTACAATTTTAATTGTAATTATTATTAAACCTGTTCAATGTTAAAAATCTATTTTCTTTTGAAAATATATATCAAATTATACATTGCTAGTGTTTTAAGTAAAATAAGAAGAGCATTTTAATACTCTTCCAGATACATCTCCTGAAAAATTAAATTGTCAATATTTACTTCGATTTAATTGATAAAGTACTTATAAATAATGTGATTTCAATTTGTCTAGATAATTTTAACCTTTTTTAATCTTTTAGTATTTACAATACATTCTTATAATGTACCTTGAGATGCTAGAAGAAAAATAACAAGACAATGAAATGGAAGTAGAGCGGATTAAATAAATGCAACCCAAAAATAATGTATATCCTCATAAAAGCTGGCTTCTAGTTTCTTCTAGAAATTTATAAAAACAAAATCTGCTAAACCTGCCTCACTTTTTACTGTTTTATTTTAAATATACAGAATGATATTTTTAATACTGTTTTTAATTTTTATGAAAGATACAAATTAAAGTAATTATCTAGTAGATGGAAAGGGAAGACACAATTACCTCAACAATTTCAATGGTGAATTTTGGATATTAAATTAAGAATAAGCTACCTATACAGAGACTGGTTCATAACCTATCGTAGATATCAAATATCACTTGATTCTTGAATGGATTTAAGATTTAAAGATGCAAAATGATGGAAGTGTCATTGAATAAATCAAATGATGTACTTATGGAGAATATTAAAACTGAATATATCATATTAATGAATGAACTAAATTAATGAACTGATTTGATTTATTTGATATTTCTCATACTCTATTTCTTTCAAGCTGGACAGCCACTGCTACTAGTTGTCATAGCACACAATAACCATGCTGATTTATCGTAAACGCCAGCAAAGACCAAAGAAAAAATTGCACTTAATTTAATGAGAATATTTAAGGAAGGACCTGAAGTATCTTTTAAAGGATCTCCAACTGTATCCCCTATCACTGCTGCCTTGTGCTCATCAGTACCTTTACCTTTGATAATATCATCTAGAGATAAATACTAAAATTACCAATTTCGCATAAATCAGCTTCAATATACTTCTTAGCATTGTCCCAGGCTCCTCCTGAATTAGCGGATGAAGTGGCCATACAAACTCCTGAAACCAAAATACCTGGTAATAATCCAGCTACAGCAGTGGGACCAAGGAATAATCCCAATGCCAAAGGTACTAAAATTACAAGTAATCCTGGAGCGAACATCTCTTAAAGAGAGGATTTGGTTGATATAGCAATGCATCTGTCATAATCTGGTTTCTCTCTTCCATCTCTTATTCCTGGTCTCTCAGCTAACTACTTTCGTACTTCTTCAACCATTTCAAATGCAGCCCTTCCAACGGATTTAAGTGTGAAAGCAGAAAACCAATAGGGAATCATAGCTCCAATTAAGAGTCCTAAAAATACTAATGGAGAATTGACTCCTAAATCTGTTAGTGGATGCTTATTGAGAGAGTTAGATGCTCTTGTGATAAAAGCTCCATACAAAGAGAAAGCCACCAATGCTGCTGATCCAATGGCAAATCCCTTTCCAATGGCTGCGGTGCAGTTACCAGCGGCATCCAGTTGATCTGTTCTGTGTCTAACATCTTGTGGATATCCAACCATTTCAGCAATACCTCCAGCATTATCAGAGACAGGCCCATATGCATCAATTGCCAAACCAATAGTTAGAGTTGATAACATTCCTAAAGCACTTAGAGCCACTCCAAACATAGACAACAGAGAATATGAAATAAAGGCTGTAAATGCTAGCAAGAATACTGGAATAATAGTAGAGAGATTTCCCAAGGCAATTCCATATATGATATTAGTAGCTGCTCCAGTACCACATGCTTAAGCAACTTCTTAGACTGGTCTATAAGAATGTGAAGTATAATATTCAGTGACAAATCCGATGATGCAACCGCTGATAAGTCCTACAACAGTGCAAAGCCATGCATGAATTGGTTGTCTATCTACTGGTGCCAATCCGAAGATTCTCTCTGGTAGAGTTAGATATGCAACATAATAAAGAGCAGGTAACATTAAAAGAGTTGAAAGAATCAACTAAAATTTCAATGCATTTGAAACTTGATCAAAGCTTTCCTTCTCTCCTACAAATGCAAAAATGGAGACTATAAAACAACTATGAATTAAGATGTAATATTTACACAAGAATTCCTGCAGCTGAAACCAATAATGGATAATAAAATGTGGTAGGATGATAATAAAATGATGGGGATACACTGCATACAACCAAAGCAGCACAAGTAGCCTCTGCAAATGATCCAAATAAGTCTGCACCCATACCTGCAATATCTCCAACATTGTCTCCTACATTATCTGCTATGGTTGCAGGATTATTTGGACTGTCCTCTTTGAAATCATTTTCAACTTTTCCAACCAGATCAGCTCCCACATCAGCTGCTTTTGTATAGATTCCACCACCAACTCTGCCGAATAATGCAATCACTGAACCACCTAATCCATATCCTGCTATTGCTTCAAATAATTGTTAGAAGTCTCTATAATCCTTAATGAACCAATTTATGTAAATTCCCAAAAGTATTGTTAGACTAAGTAACGCAAAACTAACCAAAGCAAAACCCATAACACATCCAGCTCTATAAGCAACTGCGAATGCATCTGTCATTTTTGTCTATGCGCAATAAGCACAACGATAGTTTGAGAAGGTGGCTACTCTCATTCCAATAAATCCTATTGTTTATGTTAATATTTGAACCTGAAATGATTGAGGTTAAGGCTCCAACCAAAAATGCAACAGTAGTCCATGCTTATCCTAGGACTGGCTCAACGATAAAGAAGATCAGCAAGGCTAATAATATAATTACAACTCCAATGTATCTATATTCTGCAGCCAAAAATGCAGCCGCTCCACTTTCTATATGAGATGCTATTTCTAACAGAAGTTAAGAATGGTGATCTTAATAATCATCCTGGAAATTATTATATTAATTTGGAGTGCCAATCTTTATTCGGTTCAGTTTGTATGCGTTATATACTGCCCAAAGTAATCCAATACCTGTTGATACTAGAATTAAGATGTTTGATAATTCAAACGATATCATTTTATTTAAATAATTTAATTATTTTTATTCATTTCATATGCTATAACCAGATTTTAAACATCAAACATAATCATTTCGAAGATGTGGGCTCCATGCGGTGAACAACTTGCTTCAAGTAGAGAGATATACCTATTAAGATTTTGAAAATATTGGAAAAGAAATTTAAAAAGAAACAAACTTATCTCATTATACATATTTCATTGGAAATTATGATTTAAATGTTTTGGAGAGAGTGTTATAAAAAGAATCGCTTGAAATTGAATGGATTAAAAAGAACCAAATAATTGATGAAGATCTTATTGCTGATCCCTAAGTTTTTGGGTTTTTGATTAGCTTGACCAAGCAACTCAATTTCATCGAGAGAGTTTGCTAATGGGATCCCAGACATTGGATTTCCATAAGAAAACTTGTCAAGTCTAATGGCGACTTTTAGTTTTATTATCATGACTCACAAAATAAAAGTCCGTAAATTAAGGAGACTCCAGAGATGATTTTACAATTGATAGAATTACAAAAGTCAAAAAATGAAGATAATTTCATATTGTTAGTTAAGAAAAGATGATACATTCTATTTATATTGAAACATTTATTAAGCGAATATTGTAGATATCTTAAAATTATAATTTTAAAATATTCAATTGAATTGTTTAAATTCATTTAGATTTTCTACATCTTATCGAATTTCCTTCTTTTGCTATGTGATAAGTTCAAATTGATTCTACAATTTCTTATTCATTCTTTCCAATAAGGAACCGAAGCATTCTTGATACTATTGGTAGTGTTTTGCTTTGTGTTCGTTGGATTGCTTTTGATAATTGGCCACAAACTTGGTCAATTTGTTTTAATAATATTGCATTATGTTTTGAATGGTGAGATCCTCATCCTTGACTTCATAAATGGATTCCTAAATTTCTTGATATTTCTGTTGTTCCTTATACTCCTTCAATTTTTCATTGATCTGATGCAGACTCTCTTAATAGATATTTGATTTTTCGGTGCTCTATTTTAAGTGGATATTATTATTTTACAATTTGTCTTTTTAGAATGTAATTGGAGGCATCAATATTTGCATTCTAAACTTCTAATACAAGCTAGGTATTTTTGGTTTGACATAGATTAACTTAAAAAATGAATAATGTATTACAAGCCCCTTGCAATGAATCATCATCAACAATCAAAACTGGATTGCTATCATCATCGTCTTGATAGATGACTTAATACATCGATTGAAGTTCATAGGCAAATCGTGCTTCGATTATTTCAATCAAACTATTGAAATCAATATTGCCAACTTTTATTTCTTATCCCTTATAATTGATTAACATAATTTAATTAACATGGATGAAGACAGACCAAAAACATCTTCGTTTTCTTTCTCCAGATTTGGTCGCAGGTTGGATTAGAGAAAGACCACTGGAACTAGATTCTACCAACAAAATGTTGTTGCGGTTCCTCCTATTAAATTGGAAAAGAAAGCAACTTAAAAAGGAGATTGGCTCTTCAGAAGAATAGATAGATCATAAGGATCAATCTACTCCCAATAGCAGTAGGTTACTTAAGCAGAAAGAGATTACAAGCCTCATTTTGATATTATAGAGAAACATATTCCAACAATAAGTTTTGAAAAGCAGACAAAAAGAAGATCTATGAGTCTGTCAAACAATCAATAGGATATTTCGAATGTGAAGATACCTCCTCCGAAAGTGAAGATGATGATTCCATTTGAAAAATAAGAAGGGAGAAAGGATGTGTAAAGAGATACAGTTGATAAATTTTATTAGCCAATGGATCAAATGAAAAACAACAATGCTCATTCCTTTGAATCCTATTCAGCAAGAAAACCATTAGTGGAAAAGGATGCAATGCCAGATTATGAGATTTAGAAGAGTTTTAATTACATAAAATCAAGAAGGCAAACAGCAGTTGACTTTGGTAAGTCGTCCTAATAGAAGGAACATCTCCCTATAACATGTCTCCTAGATTATGATGTTAAATCAGGTCAAAAAATTAGGACGATCTAATTCAATAAGTAGATTCCCAGAGAGAAAAAAGCCTAGAACGAAATGTTCATAAAGTTGTTTCAACGGTTACAAGCCAAAGTCAATTGATTCAATCAAATTTTTACTATCCTTCATATCATATGCACTATATAAAGAGTATAGATCAAGTAACTTATGTAACAAAGTTATTGTGTCTAATTATTTGGTTGTTTTATATATTCAATATTCTAATGAATGAGGAATTACAAATATTATGATAATGTTATAAAATTATTCAGTATTTATAGTTACGCACTAACTCAAAAAATGACTCATTAATATAAATGAGTGAAAAGAAAGCAGCAGGAGGGCTTCAAGGAGTAGTTGCTGGATAATCAGCCATTTCTACAGTCGGAGTAGGTGGCATCGGCTTAAATTACAGAGGTTATGATATTAATGTAAGTTATAAGTTAAGATAATTTTAGGATCTTGCTTACAAATGTAATTTTGAGGAAGTCACTTATTTGTTATTAAAGGGTCATTTACCTAATTAGTAATAGCTAGATGAATTGAGAACTCTTATTTCTTAAAAGAGATAAATCCCATGCAAATTGAAATAGATTTTGGAGACTTTGCCTAAAGAATCCCATCCTATGGATATTATGAGAACAGTAGCATCCCTTGTAGGTATATTGGAACCAGAAACAAAACCTGGTTAGGAATATGAAATAAGCATCAGATTAATTTCATTATTTGGTCCAGCTTTATTGTATTGGTACCATTACAGCAATTCTGGGATCAAAATAAATGAGAATACAGGAAAAGATTCCATTGCTGAAAACTTTCTTAAGCTCTATCATTTGAAAAGTGAAATAGATCCTTTGGTTGTCAAGACTTTTGATGTCTCCTTAATATTATATGCAGAGCATGATTTTGCTGCATCCACTTTTGCTGCTCGTGTTACTGTGAGTACACTATCTGATTTTTATTCTGGAATCACAACTGCTATTGGAACTTTAAGAGGACCACTTCATGGTGGAGCTAATGAAGCAGCTATGCAATATTTGGAACCTCTAAGAAGTATACAATAAGCAGATCAATTCTTGAATAGCAGATATCAAAGCAAATAATTGATTATGGGTTTTGGACATCGAGTCTACAAGAAGGAAGATCCACGATCTCCAATTATTAAAGATTTTTCTTTATAATTAAGTAAGACAGCTAATGGAGATCCTACCTTGTTGGCTGTTTCATAGCATATTGAAAAAAGAATGATTGAGGAGAAGAAGATCTATCCGAATCTTGACTTCTATAGTGCTAGTGCATATAAACAATGTGGGTATGATATATTTTTTTAAATTAAGCGTGCCTACTCCCATGTTCACAGCAATCTTTGTGATTTCTAGAATGACAGGATGGGGAGGACATCTCATTGAATAAAGAAGCAACAACAAATTGATGAGACCTGTTTCAGATTACACTGGTCCTGCTAAGAAGTAATTTGTACCAATAGAAATGAGAAATAAAGCTAATTTATGATAATCTATTATTAAATAGATAAATGAAAATTTCATCATTTTATAGTTTTGTTAACCAAATTTCTAGAAGATAAAAATGTTGATCTTTTTAAAATTCAATCAACAGTAACTTTCTCTTTGATAAGTAAATTGTGAATTTATATTGATTTCCTAAAATTCAAACGTATTTTCATCTACTAACATGAAGATGAGGTTAAATATTATACGATAATAATAGAACTCAAATTAAAAACGAGAGTGGAACATCCTAATATTCAAAATATTAATATCATATTCATTTATTTTATAAAGAAAAGTTATTACTTGATTTTTTAATGCAAAAATGGTTTACAATTGCTAATGATGGGAGTTCGTTTAGTGAGGATGTTATAGTATAATAATTTGGTTTACTGACTTAATTAGTGTATTCAATCAGAAGTATTATAATAATTTTAATGTATTGAATTAATAGTGAATATTTGTATTGATTTTATAAACATATGATAAAAATTGATTTAATCGTTATTGGTAATCTAGGTATTTGATATATTCAAGATGATTAGGGTCTGGCAAAACAAGTCTGATACAGAGGTACATTGACTGTAAGATTTATCCTATAATTCAGAGGATGCTCCCTTTTAACATAATTATCTTCCCACACTCGGATTGAATCTAGTGAAGAAGGAATTCGCTTATCAAGGACAGTAAATTAAATTATGTCTTTGGGATACAGCTGGATAGGATAAATATTTTAGTCTCACAAAAAGTAGGTCTATTTTGTAAATATGAAGATTATTTTTAAAGAGCTGATGGAGTCATAATGGTATTTGACATTGCAGATAAAGACAGTTTCAATCGCATTAGCGATTACTGGATTAAACAAGTCTAAGAATGTTCAAAAGCAAACTCGTAAACTATTCTGGTTGGCAATAAAATAGATTTGTGCGAAGTATAAAATGCCACATAATTAGAAACGATAAGTTAAATTCCTTGAAGTCTAGGAATTCTCATAGAAATACAAACTGCCTTATTTCGAAGTCAGGTTTCTTATCATAATTAAGGAAGTGCAAAGACTGGAGAAGGAGTGCAAGAGGCATTTAACTTTCTATCGCGAAAATGTACGGAATGCATTGAAACAGAAGTGAATGAAGTGCAACATTTATAAATAGATACTGATAACAAAAAACGGGGATTTCAAGGATGTGTTAACACTATTATGGTATTTGTGCAATTTATAATAGAGCATTTGGAAGAAATGATTAGTGATTAATTATTTTAAATATTATTATTATATTACAGTTTTACATTTAATAATGTCAATGAAAAAAACACCCAATCAATCCTCAGGTATCCCATCTCATAATTCTATTTAAAAAGGTCCCAAGTTCATTAAGGATGTTACTAACAAATCTAGATCTGAGCATAATCAATCTTTTGATGCAACCTATAGCAAAAATTACGCTCCCACCTTCAGCAATCAAAGCAGACTCAAAAGCTACAGTCAATAGGCAAATTTCTTGGATGATTTGGAAGAAGAATAGTATCCAAATTAAATTAATGTTGCAATTCAAAAAAGACCATTTGAATTAGCATTATAGAATGAACTTCAAAAAATGCTATCTAAAATCATTCAGGGATAACATCTGTCAATTGAAGATTGCTAATCAATTATTAGAGCAATTGATGAATGCATTTAAGAGAGTTTGCAAACTTTGAGATTGAAAGATGCTGAAGTATCACTATTTTATAATGATTACAGGTTCAAAATGTCAAACAAACATACGAATTGAAAATACATCAATACGAAAACACCATTTTGGCATTGGAAAATGAAGTTCAAGAACTTAAACATATGATTACCTTAAATCCCAACGATTCGATTAATTTCAAATTATAATAGTTGGAATAGGAAAATGAAATGCTTAAACTATAGAATCAACAAGCCATTAAATTGGCTGTGTAAGGAAGAACTAAGAAACAGGAAAAGGAACTCTATGAGGCCATGAATAGTAGCAAATCAAAACAAAAAGCTTAAGTCAATAATTATTCAATCTTGCTAAACTAGCAATAATAATAAAATTTATTAATAAGATAAGAAGATTAAATCATAGTTATTTTGATTCTTATTATTTTTCATATATTCAATTAATTTTAGTACGAGTCAATTAATTTGAGTAAAAATTCTTTGATTTTTATGATCTTGAATTTTGATTCAATCTTTAACTTTAATATTCAACGACCTAAGCAGGTTATTCGTAAGATTAGTTTTCATCAGAGTCAATATCTAATGGAGTCTTTGTAAAATATACCTAAATTAGTGCTGATTTCATGACTATCGAGCATATCATTCATTTCCCTTATAAATAGATTCACAGAATCCTCTGTTCCCATAATCCTGTCTTGCATCTCCTGATTCTCATTTTCAATATTTCTTAACTTCAATATTAAGTAGATTTACTTTTGAATCAATCGTTTTATTGGCTGAATTTCTCCTTAACTCATTTTCTAAAGATGTCACTATTAATTCTTTTTGTTTTATTTTCTATAGAAGATCCTGTTCTTTTAGTTTTTAATTTGTTATATTCTCCATTATTTCCTACTCCTTGATTTACAGATTTTTAATCTCTGTCTCTTTAGAAGCGATCACCTACAAAAAGGATTTCCTTATTTTATCATTTTTGTTTCTAGAAAACTGAAGGCGAACCTTCAGGAATGCAAAATGCAAATTCCTTTTTTATTTTTTTTGAATAATCGCTCCAACTTACTTATATTTTAATGCAATCTATGTAAAGAGTACTTTAAAATGATTAGCACTGTATTTATTAGATTGCTTTAGTTTTCTAAATGCGTAAAACTTCTACTGGTTTCCTCTACTATAATCAGTTAGAATTACTTTAATTTTATTATCAAGGCTAACTTTCTTATTGATATTTCCATCTTTAAGAATACTAACTAATATTTTGCCATCATATTAAGAGTCTCAGTATGAATAACTTGTTCTCTTAATTTATTTTTTTACACATCTAATTCATCAGATGACATTTAATATTTTTAATAATATCAATATAGTTTTTTGTTAAAATATAGTGGCATTTCTTATTCTAAGCGAACCTTTTGAGGGATGATTTCACTTGATTTCAATATTTTATTCACAAAGCCAATCCATAACTAACAAACTCTATATAATCTATTACTTATGTATTTTATTCTAACTCATCAAATTTCTGAATTACATCTGAAAGATCCTTTATTTTGTTCTAATTTATCTGAAAAATAGAATCAGGAACCACAATGTTCGGTGATGCAATATTAGATTTGGATATCTAACCTTGTTTCTTGCTAAGTTCCTCTAATTCTTCAATGATACTCTTCATATTTTCTCTAAGTTATTATGTAATAATTGCTTGGATAAATTAACTTTAAATTAGTTATTCTATTTTACCTAGTTTTAATAGTTTCAAAGATAAATTGTGTCAATTACTTTCCTTCTTGTAACTTGCTTTTTTGAATCAATAATTCGCATAAGAAACAACCCTATAATAAAATTGCTTAAAATATGATAGTCAAGTATTCAAATACAGAATTATCCAAATTTTTTAACTACAAACAATACTTTTGGAATTGAGTGATAACTTATTGAAAATTTGTTGAAGTTACTATTGAAGGCACTTAAAAGTTAGAGATAATATTATTTATGAAGGTATATTTAGAATAATCTTGTTAGAACATCTAATCAAAATTTTGAGGGAATATTCCTGAATTGGAAATGAAATATTTTTTATATTCATTGATTTGTTAAGGATATTTCAGAATTGGATTTAATATCTTTAATTCTTCCTATTAGTAATATATTAATATAATACATCTAGAATAGTATATCTAACAAAATAATGTCTATTTGAATTTCCCTAAAGAAATTCTTCAAAATACTAATATTTAGTTAAAGCTATGCCAATCTGACTTTTTGGATAAATTATTTTATGCTCTGCAGCTCTTTACAAAATTCGAGATTTTATTTACAATACCTTTTATTGATCAAACAGCATCAAAAGTTCTTAGTTTTTCTGTTCAATAAATTTCTCTAATTCATTACCTAATGGAACCAATCTCTTTTAATTTATTTATTCACAATGTTCATAGATTAAACCTGATACATTAGTGTTCATATTAGTCTTTCCTTGAGCTTCAGCAAACACAACAGGAAATTCCACTTGAGTCACAACTCTATCATTAAACTTCCACCAAAATTTCCCATCATAAATAAAACAATAATAATGACCACTTAAAGCAGTACCAGAGTGAATTAATAGAGCAGTTAGTTGATATATAGTTTTCTTAGCTTCAATTACTCGTCTTTTCTGCTCTTCTATTTTAATAAACTCCATCTATAATTGCTATTTTTTGATCTTAAAGGCTTCTTGATACAAGGACAATTATTTAGCCATTTCTAGATGACTTTAGAGATTTGGTTAAGGATCGATGATAAACTGTTCATTGGGCTATTTAGTAAAAAGCTTGATTAAACCTTCGAATTAAGTATCTGATTAAATGTCTCCACATTATTCTAATTTTTATAAGATTTCTTGTTCTTTTTTTAGTAACTCTTGCATTTCTTTAGATTAATTTATTGAATCATCCTATATGAATTAGCTAATATCAATTGTCTAAAATATAAAAATATGTGATTACTGAGGGGAAAGTAAAGACCTTATTATTTTTAATAAGTTGATTTTAATTAGTATCATATAGCACTCTATTGAGATAGAATTATAATATCTTTGGGACTGTTTTAATGTTTTGATGAATTAAGGCCTTGGTGAAAACCTTCTCTGAAATTTCATAGTCATCTATATATAGAATTCTAGAGGAGGTAAATGCTTTTAATAGGTTTTCTTCATTTGCCTCTATCGTGATCGAGCTATATTAGGTTGGATTAGTTTTGACAACTTTATTATTAACAATAATGTTTTCTTCTGATTAGCCATAAAATATAGATTTGAATTCTTGGATTACTTATTCATTGTTTAAATCGAGCAAAGAGCTTTCTATTGCATCCAAAAACATCAGCTATAATTCATTATAATCATTTTATTCACCCTTAATAGTTAGAATATCTAGAAGGATAACTAACAGAATTACTTGGTTTATATTCTTGAAGGGATGTAATTAATTCACAAGGATTTATATAGTTCCTATTGCCTGATTACATTAAGGCAAAAAGCTCCTTTAATTTTTAGATCACCTTTTATCCATTATTCTTTGAACTAGGCAGTTACACATTAAAGATCAGTTGCCTGAATGGAGTCACATTGAACATATATTAAAGCATTATGTTGATGTAGCAAGCTAAAGATGTGAATGATATTTTACTATTGCCTAGGTTAATTAAACCTGTTGGCTTCCAATTTGGAGAGTTGATTTAATTCGTTCGATATAATTCTTAGAGAGTTGGCAGATCACATTTCCTATTTGATTTTAGATAATAGAATACTGTAGATCATCTACTGTTTGAATAAATATGGAGTTGCGCATTTATTTTTGATCAGTTTAAGTTTTGAGATTAAGTTGCGATTATAGTAGATCTTTGCTCACAGTACCTTTGGCATTTCTAAATTAGATTGATTGTACACTTATTAGATTAGTACATCATGAAAGAGATACTAATCTTGATTGCATTTTTGCCAGGCTTGCAATATCTATGATTAGGTAAATCCATAGGCCTAATATTATTTTAAAATCTGATCGAGTTAGTGTTGGGTGAATCTAAAACTTTTTAGTTGATTTGCCTAAGTATAATTCTACATTGTTTAATTGAATTTATTAATGTAATATAAACAAATAAATTAAAATAGAATAAATAAAATAAATAAATATGTAGTTACTGAAAAATAGTTGATTTATAACAATTATGCTTTATAACATTCATTATTTTTCACATTTTAATTTAATGAGCTATTCTTTAATTTCATCATAATTAATTAATTGAAAAAAGTCTTCTAGACTAGATTGTTTTAGATATCTAATGTTGTTGTAACTAGCTTCGATGATAATGACTAGATTTTCTTAAGATTAGAATTAGTCAAGTAAATTTTCATAAAACTATTTGAATTGCTCGTCTTTACAATAGTTATCAATCTTTGAGAGACAAAGAATTTTGAATGTTTTATCGTTTGATAAATATTTTTAGCAAAATTAATTAACATTTTGAATCAATTCTTAAATTGATTAAGGATGATCTTCATTGGAAAAGGTTATAAGTTCCAAATTTTTATTTGTATAATATTTCTATTATTAAAAATATGATTTACTTCAAAGTATTTTTTTAATATCTATATTAACAAACTAAAATTTTCTTTAGAGCAATCCTAGCTATGAATAATGATGATTTATTTATTAATTTATAAGTAATTAATTTTTTTTTCAAAACTTAGTAATTCTTTCATATCTAATTAATTTTATCCTTTAACTAATCTGATGACAAACTTTTGAGAGAGTTGATGTTATTTTTGCAGATATTTATTTTAATTGATTGGGTAATTATCATTAAGTTTATTTTGAAACACATGATATTCAAAACAACAACACACATTTTTTTCTTTTTCTTTGTTCTAAATCTATAATCCAATCGGTATATTAATATTTAAGATCTCACTGCTTAGAGTTTGATTATTTTTTATATTGAGACTAATTGAAATATCATCAAATCTAGATTCATAATTGTTGCAATTATGTTCATTAACCTAGCATTATTCATCTTCATTGTCATGATAAATTTAACCTAAACAACCTTTTTCACATTATTCCACACTTTTATACTGTTTTCCGCAAAAATGATTGAATCTTTATTTAGAGCATTTTAAGTGCAATTAATGAGATTTTGTATATCCAATCTTCGCAGGATCTTTCAAACATTCTTAGTCATGTTCATGAAAGCAACAGCATATTTTAACGCTTATTGGATTTTCTTTTAAATAGACTTTAAACAGCTCATCTACTTTTTTCTTTGCTATATCGTATGAATCTTTAAAGCTTTTGTTTTCAATCAATTATTTATAAAAATATCTCCAAAATTAGTTTCCTAAATTGTCATCTTAATTGAAAAGCTTTACTTATCCTACAAAGGTTACTGATGCAAAGTTTTACACATTTTCAATTAAATATGGATTATTATCATTTGCCTGTGGAACCTATATTATATCCTTCGCTATCATCGAACTTATGCAAATCAACCTTAATCGTTTGAGTTTTCTTTAATGATATGACATTATTTAAATGAGACCATCCAGAGTCAATTTTTCTACAAGACTACCCTCTTATAGTTCAAAATAATAACCAGAATTCAAATCATAATCCCCATTCATTATTAAATGCAATATTTAGGGATTCCATTTCATAGCTTCATCCAAATTGTCCCTTGTAGCCAATAAAATTTCATATTCTATTTCTTTGGCTGAATTTTTAATTTCAGCTTCAATATTCTTTATTTCACCCTCATAATCAGTAAATAGCGCTTCTTATATATTATTCTCCAATTATATCAAAGGACTGCTATAAAGTACAACAATATCAACTTCTTTCTTTTTTTTAATTTTAATCTGCTCCTTGGCTAAGTCGTACATATCATTTAAATCTTCCTTCATCTCTTGAAACAACTGCTTTTATTTATCTAACTCGTTCATTAATTTCTATTGCTCTTAATTTAATTTTTCTTTTTTCTCCTCGCACTCTAAAAAATCTATATCAAACCCTTTAATGTTCCAATAATTGATTTCATAAATTAACTTTATCTCCAAAGTTTCTGGCATTCCAAAAAATTCTTGGGGAAAACTGAATAAATTATTATTAGCATCAAATACTTGTTTTTCCTATTAAAATTTACTTTAGGATTTGTCGAAAAATTCTATCATAATTTTTTTTGAAAATACCAAAATGTATTTATTTCAAATCTGATGGCTATAGTAAACTCCTTTTCTCTAAAAATCTTATAAATCTCTCTTTTGTGATTGTATACATCTAATTGATTTTTTTTAAAGGCAATTTAATCTCCTCCTCCTAATATTAAGTAGCAAAATTGTTCAAGACCACAAATCGTACTAGAAAAGGTTCCTTCATTATAGAAGAAAATTATCTTTTAATAAAAATAAATAAAATCACTTGTTATACAAACTATGCTTTCCAACTTAAAATTAAACTTACTATCTGACTCAGAACTGTTACTAGGTTACATTAATTATGAAAATATCTCAAGAGAAAGATTGTCAAAAAAATAATATTTATATATATTTTATTATGTTAATACCTCCAAAGACAAAAAGAAATTAAACTATTGATTAAGGAGAGTACCTATTTTAGTAGAGAAAAAACTTCGATCCTTATATTGAGATGATGAAGAAGCAACAGTAACAGGAAATTAATTAATTTCGAAAAGCATTTGCAAATATTGCTTCATCTAGAATTCATGCATAACACATGAATGAAAAAAGAGACTAAATTGTAACAATTCGTAAAATTTAGTTCTAAGGTATTGACTGTCCATAAAAAAAAAAGAATCTAAGCAAAATCAGAATTCAAGTTACCGACCTTAGGTTAGGGAGAAAGGACAGAAAGAGTGAGAATTAAATTTCCTCCCTAGAGAATTAAGAAAATCTTCGTTTGATATATATATAAATTCTTAAATAATAATTTTCCTTTTTGTAATGACGCAAAACCTCGAGATTCTCGTTTTAATATGAAATAATACAAAACTAATAGCGGATGATTTAAGTTTATCTATAATATTAAATATTGTTAAATGAGTGCTCAAGTATTATTTCGGGTGAAATGCTCAACAGAATTTAGTTAAATGGTGAGAATCGTTGGAAACACTCCAAAATTAGGGAATTGGAATCCATAACAAGGATTTAAATTAATAACCAATAATGAAATGTATCCTATTTGGTATGGTGATTATGCTTTGGAAGTTGAACTAAGTATATTCTTTTTATAATTCTAGATTAACTAGTCGAATTCAAAATAATAATCACTGATGGGTGCAATTCTTTTTGGGAATGTGGCGAAAATCGATCTCTTTAAATATAGGGATAGAAATTAGTGGTTGTTTTGACTTACAACTTGCCATCCGTCTTTATTTACAACATTAAAAGAATATTTTCTGACTCTGATCTCACTACAATCGCTTAAGGTAATTTAAATTAAATAAAATCTAGGAAGAACAAGAAAAGTTTCCATTTAACTGAAAGACAAGTTATATGATTCAGACGATGACTCAGTAATTTATTTTTTTCATTCTTTTCTAGGATTCAGAATAAGACAGTGATGTAAATTCCTTATTTTAAGATGAAATCATTTCATGTAATTCAAATGAAACCATTTCAAATTCTCCAAATTCTTCTCATTTCGAGCCAATCTTTTAGCTCGCCTCCGAACTGGGAACAGGTGAAAATTGATTTTGCTAATCTCCACATTAACTTAAATTAATATAGATAAGTTCTATTTTTAAAAGTATTAACTTTATTTGAGTAATTTCAGAATTTCATTCTCTAACATTTTCTCCTTGAAAAGACAAATTATTTGCCTTAATAACATCAATCAATCTAAATTATCAGTACTTTTTAATTGTTAATCTCTACACATTTTAATTAAAACTAATTGTAATATTCTAAACAAATTTTCAAATATTACCAATTAAATGATTTATCATTAACTATATTTATTAAATAAAAAATAAAATTTATACATTCATTTTTATAAAAATAATTCTCAAAATAAAGTCATAAATTCCTTAATGTCAATTCATAATTTATTAACAATTTATGAGATTATAAAAAACTAGTTCAGAAGTATACATAAAACATGTTCTTAAAAATAGAAAACACCTTTATTACCCATACTAAGAGGGAATGATAATATATTAAATTAGCCGAATTTTACAACCAGAATATCAGAATTGAATAGGCTTAATCTAAAGATATTCTTAATAAATTAATTTTGCAGCACTTAATTATAAATAATTCACTTCAAATCTGATAATTATCAATAAACAAATTAGTTAAATCTATTGACAATATAGAGTTCAGTTAATTAATTCATAAATTATTACATCAAAAATTGATCTATGAAACAACAACAAACAAATTTATATAGTTTAAATCCCAAAAAAAATGAATTAAATATATAATCTATAAGTTTAGAAAATAGCCAAGGGAAACTACACAAAAGTAAGAAAGACCATTTGATTTTTAGTTTTGACTATTCTTAATAGTTTATTAAGGCTTCAAAATTTAAAAAAAAGCTTTTTCTTGATTTCATTAAAAAATAGATTGTGAATTATCTTTTAAATGCAAAAATAGTATATTTCATTCAAATAATTTTAGCAAGACTCCTGGATCATATCAAACAAATCAAAATAATAGTTTTGCAATAACACAATAGGTTTAATTAATATAAATATTAAAATATAAAATATGTCAAGTTCTTTAGAGAGTTAAGTATTATTTGCAATTTGGGAATTATATCAACAAAATAAAATCTCATTGGAATAAAAAGGATGTATCAAAGGTTGATGTATAATTTATGCAAGATTTATTAATCAGAAAAGATGAGAATTTCTACTCTTTTATAGGTAATTGCTAAAAATTTGATGAATTAGAAGAAAGGCTACTTGATATTTTGAATTGTATTGAATTTTTATTTTTTTCTGATTAGGGTTCTCCAAGAGATCTAGATGCTGAAGAAGCTATTTGTCCAATTATTCGATTAAGTAACCCATCCAACACTCCAACAACTATCAAATCATTTTAAAACCAACCTTAAAAGAGATTTAGGTTTATGAGTTCAAGCAATGAAAGTGAAATAGCCTAGAACAATTAAAAGCAGAGATCAAATTCATTCCATCATTAATGAAATTAGTTATTTTAGTTTTTATTAATCTCAAACTTTACAAGAATCTTAATCATATAAATTTAATTAATTTATCATATATATATGTAAATGTTTTAAACCTATTATTTATAACAGTTAAAATCAATTGTTATAATATAGCCATTAAAAGACTGATCCTTTAGGAATTTAGTTCCACAATAAATTTATAGGTTTGGTATTTTTAAACTTGCAATAGATAGATCAATTATATTTGCAAAAATAATTAATGAACGAAAATATCCTTTTTTATTTTTGTTATTCTTTTAAATTCTCAAACATATGAAATTAAAGCGAATTTAAATAAAAATTCACAAAAATCGGATTGATTTTAATCAAAACATGAAGTTTTTGAAGTAATTCTTTAATTTCATTATATCAAGGGGAAATGAAGATAGGCTAAATTAAATCATCCATTGATTATTTCATCATAATAAGTGATTTAATTGATTGATTTATTTTATTGTAAAGCAAGGAAAATTTGATTATTTAAAAATAGCACTATCACCTTTTAAAATTTTAAATTTCTTTCATTTTTTAGTTAAAAATTATGATTTTTAATTTGATAAAAACTATTTTTTAAAAAGAAAACCAAAATATTCTGTTGTAGAATAGTTTCTAATGATAGGCTACTTTATTATGGATGGATAAGACAGTATTACAGATTATTAGTAGAGAAAAGTTATTCCCATTTAAAAATAATAATAAAGGGAATACTTCTCGTTTTCTATGAAGAGAACAGCCATGTTATATTTAATAATTGATAATCCTTTCTTTAACATTCTAAACACTGAAAGACTTACTAAAATTATAATAATATAATGAAATTTAATTTCATTTTAATAGGAGGTTGAAGTATTAAAAGTTTTGCATTACAATTTTAGAAAACAACTTGCTTCATTCTAAAGATATGTATTGTATCATTTATTCTATTACTAATGATGCAACAACATTAATGAATAAATATAAATCTAAGAAACAAATCAAACAAGATTACATAAATGATAAACAAGTCATCTATTATTGTTATATACAATTTTGTAATCAATTCATCCAAATTAATTAAGATAGATATTCTGCTATTAGCTCTCTGTATTTATGTAGGGCTTTCTAATTACATTTAGTTTTCTTTAAAGTTTAATATATTTAGCAACAGTAATTAAGTTTAATCATAATTAGTAGTTATTCTCTGATAGAAATCTATGAGAATGAATTATCAAAGCTCCATGGATCTATAATTTAGATGTAATATTGTTATTGATTGATTATTAAATTTAATAAAAAGCAAGGGATCTTCATTTATGGAAATATTATTCGTTTTATTATTGATTATTATTATTATTGTTATTTTTTTATATTGTTTAATTTAGTTTGCTCATCTGAATCAGACTCTTCATTGAGAATTTACTATTATTAGATTGATAATATCTATTGTTATTGAGTATTGCTGTTTTTTATACATTGTTTCTTTTATTGCATATACAATAATCTATTCTACAAAATTTATTCGTAGTGAAGTATTACCATTTTAGTAATTTCCTAAACTAATTCAAACAGCATCATCATAGTTCTTATAACTCTAATAGTATATACTAGACAATATCTTTGATAGGATTCTGTTGTGTTGATATAATCAACTAGTGATAAAACATCAATTAACGCAAGCAATAGCTCATAAAAACTGAATGACGATTTGATATTAATTATTTTCTTGTAAATAGTTGGTAGTAAAAATGGAATCAAGCAAAGCCTTATATCCTAATGATTAGTGATTACCTACTTTAGTATTTGGTCCAAATTCATAGTTGTAAAGTAGATTCTTTTCAACTCTGTAAGCAAACTTTAGAACTCTGCCACTCATTTTGGTTTCTTCTCTTCCAATCTTCATGAATGCGCATAATGAGACTGAAAACAAAAATTCAAGAAATTATGCCAATAAAATCAATATTTTGATCATTTTAATAATAGTTTTATTAATTGATTCTAATTATTCAAGGCTTATCATTTCTGATTCATTTGGAATAATTAGATAAAGTTCATTTTCGAATATTACTAGAATTTATAGCGATTGAAACTATCACATAATATTATTTATAGAAGTATATACTATGCAATAGATTTCCCATTTTAAAATAGCTCTTAATTTTCAAAGGTATCTATATATAGAAATGGATTTTAATCATTTAAAGAGCAGCTTTCATTTATGAGTATTCAAATAGTGAAATACCTTCATATTAAACATTATTTGATTATAATTGCAAATTTAGGATCAAATAACATGATAGACTTTTTGATTTAGAGTTTATTGTAGTGATAGAGAATTAAATTCAAGAATTTATTCTAAAATGAACTACTTGCAATATAGATTGTATAAAAACTTATAAATAAAAATCAAATTTATTTTATATAAAAATGGCAGCCAATAAATTTTGGAACAAGAAAGAAGTAATAATCACATAAAAATATTGAGTTATCAAGTTTAGAATAATAGGTTGGATTAGCTTTAACATAAATTGAAGGAACGATAGCTGAGGCTAAGAATTTGAGATTATCATCAGTTGTTGATTTCACAGCAAAGATAAATGCTAAGAAATAGGTTTATTTAGTGTTTATCCCATATCCATGCCTATCGATATATAATAAGATTAGGTATAATTTTAGTATGAGGTGATATTAGCTAAAAGCTATTACCTGAATTAGAGAAGAGAGTTAAGGCAACTATCTTAGTGGCTGCTAAAAGAACAATTGAAAGTAAATGGGTGAAGAAACACAGATCTTAAACAAGACCAAATTCAAGAACACTTACAACTGTTTACGATGCATTGCTTGAAGATTTAATATCTCCATCTGTTATTTTGGGTAGAAGAACAAGAGTCAGGGTTGATGGCACTAAATTCTATAGAATGTAGAACAAAATCATTGATTTATAAGATTCCTTGATGAAAGCGATTAGAAAGAGTTGGAAGCAAGACTCGAATCAATTAAAGATGTTTACAAAGTGTTGACAACTAGAGATTTAGAATTTGAATTCAGAAGAGACGATACTTTCTATTAAAAAAAGGGTGCAAAGAAAGTGGCTAAAAAGTGATGAACATTAAGTATAGTATAATAAGCATAATAATAAAATATATATATATATTTAATATTTTATTAGAGATGCAAAGAGTAGTGAGGTTTGGTTGCAGCACCATTAATAAATTAGAAAGTGAATTGAACAAAATTGAAAAAATCTCTTTCAAAGAAAGATATCTATCATTTCAAAGAGAATGGAATGAATTCAAAAATAGAGCAAAAGAAATGTATTTATTTGCACTTATCAATCTAATCTATAGGCCTCCAAGAGTTTTCAATGATAAACTAGATGCCAACTAATAGAAAAAGATTCAATTTATTAGCAAAACACATAGAATACTTGAGTGAGAATGAATTTTAATATCTGAATTACATTTTGTAGAAACAAGTGCTCAATAAACCTGATTATGCTGAGTTTTCTTTAGGTATCTCCAAAGATGATGCCCAAGTTGGTAATTAAATCAATTGAATTACAGGTCCTGGAGTGTGGCCAACAGCACATCCTTAATGGCTATAATAATAAGAAATCATAGCCAAATTATGGCCTTTGGGGTAATAAGGAATTGCAACATTATTCTCTGAAGTTGTTGGATTTGGAAGTGGAGTCGGAGCAGGAGGAGCTTAAGCTGCAGCTGCCAATTCTGAGGCTTCTGCAAAAGAGGAGAAAAAGGAAGAGGCTCCTAAGCAAGCACCAAAAGAGGCTGCTGTATTTTCTATTCGAAATAATCTAGAAAGCTAATTACGATGTTATTCTTGATTCTATCGATGCTGCATAAAAGATCAAAATTATTAAGGATGTCAGAGCCATGTTCAATTTGGGTTTGAAAGAAGCCAAAGACTTGGTTGAAAAGTTGCCTGCCAATTTAAGTAAATAGATGAAGAAGGATGATGCAGAAGAATTGAAGAAAAAATTGGAAGCTATTGGATGCACAATTAAGTTGGTGTGAGAGTATATTATTAATCATCATTACATTATTATATTATTGGTGTAAACCTTGATAATTAGATAGCTAGCTCCTTAATTGAGGCCATCTTTTAAGATAATTTAGTGAATGCGGATTATTAATATTATTTACTGTTAATACTCATTGTTACTTAATATCAAATTTCTCTAATTCACCAATGAATTGATTATAAAAGTTTATTTGTTAGGGTACTGCTCTTGCACTCACTATTGGCAATTCATAGGTTATCAATAAATAGACTCTCTTTCCATTAAGCTTTTTGCAAATTCCCTAATCATCGATATTTCAATTCTTTTACTCTAGCTAATGAGATCCCTTCTCCTACATCGGCATCACCTCTTCTTCCATACACCAGGGGAGGATGCCATCTGTGAACTTCGTAATGTTCACCTAATAATACAAAGCCTGCCCCAATTGTGTTATCTCTCACATCGTAGGCTTTTAAGTATGGTGTCAATTCCTCCTTTGTTGCTGCACAGTTTTTATGAGTAATCACATTCAAATCCTCGTCAAATATAATTGCTTTAGCCCACTAACTTATATTTCAAGTTTTATACTTCATCTTGTTTCTTTAATTCTGCCAATAACATTCCCGGGTCTAAACCTTAATCCATTAATATTTAATAAATAAAAATATATTTAAAAATTAAAATATCTTTCCAGTCCTTAAATTACACTATCTATATCATATTCTAAATAATATTATTAAAATATATATATTCTTTTTTTCTTATTTTTTATTACATTAGTATTACATTAGTATTAATTTATTTAATTTTTTTTCATATTAAATGGTTCAACTCAACATCTCTCAAGTTGAAGCATTACTAAATTTCATTCCACTTTGAAACCTTAAAGAGCTTATTAATTTCATTAAGTTTCTAGTTTATTGGAACATAAAAAATACACTCAACAGAACCGACGTTAACTATTGCTTATCTTGAGAATCCCTTTCGGAATCAGATATTTATTAAGCAGGTTTGTTAAAGGAGAATTCTTTGAATTTGTTCGAAATTTTGCTTTTCCATTAAGATAACAGAATAAAATCAATACCTTCACTTGTATTAAATATAAAGATTTTGAATTTGATATCTAATAACATCTAAATAATCAATAGTGCTTAATCTACTTCTTCAACTTAATTTTTTTACTCACTTTACCAAATGAGAAGTATGATTAAAATCTTTGAGGATAACTAAAACATTGTTTAGATATGCAGGTAAATCTTTAAACCTGATCTTTCCTAGTAAATTATTTCATCTTACTTCAATAATTTTAATAAACTCTTGAAGCCTGATAATACTGATGATATTTTAATTAAGTTGAATTAATGGCAGAAGTGGATAATTCTAAATTAAATTCAGAGTTAATTGTAAATTTTTTATTTTTTAATTCTTAATTCTGCATTCACCACATGATGATAAATTTGAAATCTCAAAAATTATACAAAATAAAATTTATAAAATTTAAAAAAAGTTCTGTATAAAGAATACTGATGTTGTTAGCGTTTATTTTATATTATTATTTATATGCATCAAAATACTTAATGAATATAACACAATTATTAGTATATTTAATTTTAATTTTAATTATAAGCCTAGTATAAATTTGATAAGATTTAATCTAATTTTACAATTTAAATTATAATATTCATGAATAGATCCATCAAATACTAAATACAAAGAATCATTTTTCAGAATGATCATGCTGGCAATTTTTTAATAAATTGCTTACAGTCTAATCTAAGGAGGCAATGAGTTTTTAATTCATTTCATTATTTTAATCCCCAATTATTTACATAATTGCATCTTAGGCAGAAGGCTTATTTTACTGTTCAAACCCATCATGCTTATCTTCAATTTGCTGATTCTAGATGTTAGGAAAATTGTCAAACAACAATCTTTGGTTTTCATTAAATATGATATATTTTAACTTTTCAACATCCCTAAGTTTCTTTAAAATATCTACTATGTTCAATTAACCCATAATTTATTTTTAGGCTATATGAAACTACTTAATTCTATCATTATCCTAATATAAAACAAAAATGTATACTTATGTGACGATGCATTTAAGTTTCTAAAAGGCTTCAAAATATCCAAATTATAGTTTCTTCTTTTTCCTGATGATGACTTTCTGCAAATATTCGGCGTATGTGGTAAGAATAGTTTTTTAAGGTTTAATCAAAGTTCTTTTTCTTTCCTAAGGATCTTCCTAATTCAATTTATTTGTGAATCCATCTTTTTGTTGGTTTTCATTAATTTTCGGTATTTAGATTGACAATGGAGATGCATCTTACCCTTATCTAAATAAAGAATATTGCTTGTAACATTAGTTATCATCGCCATCTTCAGAGTCACTCAATTCAAATAAGGAATTAATTAATTCGAGATATCTGCTAATTTTATTGATAGGTTTGGAAATGATATAAAAGAAACTGAATAAGACTTACCATAACCCCCCTAATTCAGCCAAGATTTCTTAAATCTTAGAATAAGTTCTATAATCTACATACTCTGTAGTATCCAATCTGATGACAACATTCATGATTAGATCATTTGAACTCAGATCTAACATTTCAGTATGTCTTCCATATCTCAATGTCTTGTAGTACTCTAAGTCAGTTTCAATGAGACCAACATCAGTAACAGTGGTTAACGGTTCAAGATAGATGGATATTTCTTTATAAATATTGCTTGATATAGTTGTAAATAAATCTTGACCTTTTGGATTGTAAGGCGAATTAGGTTTCATTAAGTTAGTAGTGTATGAGGATATTTGGAATGAGAAATAGTTTTATTCTAATGCTTTTTTAATTTCTTATTGTTCTTGGCATTATTTGCCCTTTTTTGTTTCCTCTGTACAAATATAAAATTAGATTAAAACATATTAGTAAACAGGAGCATCAAATGTCCCCTCAAGGTTTATTTTATCTATCTTGTTCCAATCAATACAGTAATTGGAGGGTAAATCAAGATGCGAAAAATATTCGCTTAAATCTTTTTATTTAATCATATCAGAACTGCATTCTATTAAGGGCAATTCTGATTTTTCCCACACTTCCTTTTTGCTGCCATTAATTATTTTTTCATATTTATGTACTAGTTATGCTTTAACCACATATATTGAATCATCTATGTATGTGTGGTAAGTTGAATTTTAAAATGCAAAAGTCATCGTAAAGTTCTACGGAAATAATTAATAAATCTCTGGTTGGGAGTGATAAATTTCTGAACTTAAGGAAGTTGGGTTGCTGTGATCAAATAGAGAAATTAATTTGGAGTATAATAAATTTGAGAACAGTAATAACAATCCAAGCGTGAGCAGCGACCCAAAAATTGTTTGATGATATTCTTTCTCGTTTACCAAAAGTTAGATGGGTTAAGCAAATAAATCAAACTTTTTAACACCTCTAATAAACAATCTTCTTCTTTCCATAATTTTATTATTTGTGTGATATAATAACTAAATTTAATTTGAAATAAATTACAGCTTAATAAATAAATAGTAATTAATTCAATTCAAAAAATGGTATTTCGACTTAATAAATAATTAGTCAAATTAATATTATTAATTAAGAATAAGTATTTTTGATCAACAAAAGATAAAAGGAATGAAGAAAGTCGTTAAATTAAAATTAATATTATCATCCTTTTTCAAAACCCTAATTCTACTTCTTATTATTTATTATTAATACCTTTACAAATATAATAATAAATATTACTGTAACCTATTTTAATCCAACATGTTTTCATAAATATTGAATTCAATATCACTCCTACTTCTATTTTCTAAATTTGTTCTAAATCTCATTAGATCAAATCAAACTATAAATTAAATAGTTATTACAATAATAGTAAATATTGAGATGATTTTTATATTTTTTATATTATAATATAATGAATATATACAAACTCAGATCTCTAGTTTACGTGTTTGATTAAGAGTAATGGTTTAAATCAATTCAACAAATGTTAATAACTAAAAATACAAATTCATAATATTTGGATGTTATACAATAAGCATATTTCTAAAACATAAATAAGATTGAAGAATAATGCATTCGAGAATTATAGAGACTTTTATTAAAAGACAATGACAAATTCTAGAGTCTCAGATTCTCCAGAATAATACATCATTATATATTGAAAAATGCCGATAAAATAGAAGGTTTAGAAGAAATAATCACAAACTCTTAGTAGTTAACCATTAAGAAGGTTATGCAATAAGATAACTTAATGGAAATCTTGGAATCTCTGTAATTTAGAGTAGCTCTTATGAAAAGTATTCCAAAACAAATAAGCAGAGTATATTTTGAGGAGAATATAAAAATTTATAATGAAAAAAATTGAGTTTCAGATTGTTATTGAAATTTATTAAATTCTAATTGTAATTTGAGAAAGCAGTATAATTAATATAACAAACATAACATAATCAATTAATTTTGATATAACTGTTTAGGAAGTAAAAGTAGGAATAGCAAAGCTAAGATGAAAATAAATTGATTGAGAGGATCATTTATATGGAAACATAAATAATTGATTTTATATTAATATCTGTGTTTAATGAAGCACTTTATGAGATTCTCTAAAATAAGCAAAGCCTTCCAGGAAGTGCCATCCCAGTACGTTTATCAAATCAATCCAATCAAGAACTTTGAGCCCATAAAATAGTTCAGAGTTATTGATTTGGAAGGTAATCTTGTAGCCAAGGAATACAATAACATTCCAAAGGAGATACTCAATCAAATCTTTGATTTAATGATAAGTGTAAAGATGTTTATTTTGAAGGTTTTAGATTGAAGAGATGGACAACCTCCTTTACATGTCTTAAAGATAAGGAAAGATTTCATTTTACATGACATCATTTGGTGAGACAGCAACTACAGTTGGTACTACAGCCGCACTCCAACCCTAAGACTTTATCTTCCCACAATATAGAGAACAAGGTAGTTTTATGTGGAGAGGATTCACAATTGAATAAATTGTAAATCAATGCATAGGAAACCATTTAGATGGCGGAAAGGGAAGATAAATGCCTGTTCATTATGGAAGCAAGGATTTGAATATTGTCACTGTGTCATCACCTTTAAGTAAAATATTATTAATTGACGTACTATAGCTACGTAAGTGCCATAAGCAAGTGGGGCTGGATATGGATTTCGAGTTAATGGGGAAAATAAGATTGCAGCCACTTGGTTTGGAGAAGGGGCAGCTTCTGAAGGAGATTTTCATTCAGCAATGAATTTTGCTTAAACTTTGAAATGCTAAACACTATTTTTATGCAGAAACAATCATTATGCCATCAGTACACCTACAGATGATCAATTCAGAGGGGATACTATTGCTGGAAAAGCACCAGCTTATGGAATGAGAACATTGAAAATTGATGGTAATGATCTATTGGCTGTTTACAATGGAGTCAAATATGCAAGAGAACAAATTATTAAAAATAAAGAACCATTCTTTATTGAATTCATTACTTATAGAGTAATTTTAATATCTATTCATTAGATTGGAGATCATTCAACATCAGATCACTCTGTATTGTATAGATCATAAGAAGAAATTGATTCATGGAAATCAGGAAATAATCCCATTAATAGATTAGGATTATTCTTGAAAAAGTAAGGACTCAGATAATTTAATGATGATCATGATAATCAGATTAGAAAAGATGTTAGAAATAGAGTCATTGCTGCATTGAAACACGGATCTGAATGTATTTTTTAATTTTTATTCAAAATAGAACAATCACCATCAATTCAAGATTTATTCACTGATGTTTATGATGAAGTATTACCCCATCTATAGGAATAATATACTCAATTAAGAGAACATTTAACTAAATATAAAGATTAATACCCAATCAATAAGTTCAAAGGTGGATTATGATAATTTACATATAGTACGCACAATAAATATTGTATAATTAATTGATTAAGTATTTCTTCTAATAATATTAAACAAGTTTCACAGCAATTGTATGAGTTTATTTTCTTAAAATAATCAAGGTTCAATAAAGTTCTATTTCAAATTTTTGAAATTTCGATTTTTTCCCAAACTGATTTTATCAATTTAAGATTAAAAATATTGTTGTTATATTAAGGTATGAAAAACTCTAATATTTTCATTTTAATAATGAATTAATATATAAACAAAATTCAATCAAAGTAATTATTTATTCTCTCTTTATTTCTCTTCAATCACAAAGTTTATTAGTATCAGAAACCACTTTTACAAGGTAGACTATTAGGAATACCTAGTAAAAGAAGAGAATGATAACTGGTTAATATTTAGCGAATATATATTAATGAAATTCCATAAATTATCTTTAGAATTTCTATTTCTTAAAATTTAGTACTATGAATATTGGTAAAAAGATGAATGATAGTATCATCATTGTTATAACATAAATATATCTTTAACAATTGGTTGCATTATTCTATGTACATTTATCTGAAAACTATTAAAAAATTTCTGAGTTTGAATTACAAATTTTGCATATTTCAGAAAAACAGATTTGGCAAAATATCCTTTACTTTTCATTCTCTAAACCAATGATTTAATTTGAATGACATTTGAAGCATTTTTTAAAACATCCGCCGTTTTTGAATTATTAACATTATAAGCATTAGTCCTAGTTATTGCCTATTTAGCATTTTGCTTTCTTTTGGTGAAATATCTAGATTGATAGATTTTCTTGACTTTATAAAACATATAGAAGTTCACAATTCGAACATTTCAAGTATGTTTTATTATCAGAAGTAAATTTAAGCAGAAACTGCATCTCATCAATTAAGATCTAGAGAAGATCTTTACTGTATGAAACTTAAGCTAAGAAAGCATATTCTGTATTATTTTTATAGATTATATCTGAATCTAGCAAAGGATTTTCCATTAAATTTAAATATTTAATTAATGATTTGCAATAATAATATTATATATTGATTAAATAATATTATAAATATTTTGTATAATAATTATTATATATTTACATTAAGAATAATATGCATTATTTTTTATGATAACAATTTTGAATTCCACTAAAAAAATAAATAGAATATTGTTCATTGTGTTTTTAGTTTGAAGTACGGAAAAATTGTTTTGAAATTTGATTTAATTGATTCATTATGGGCATTATTTAAATAAAAGTTATTTAGATTATTCGATGATATATGGTGGAATTAAAAAATAGTCCATTAAAATAAAATTAATTGCATGTAATAATAATAGGTGGTGTTGAATTTTGATTACCTGAGACCAGCCTAGAATTTGGTTGATGCTATTGTTCATGAGGGTATTTGGAATGTACAACTATAAAGCCTAGTATATTAAAAGAAAAGAGCGATCTAAGAGCCAAAGAAGAATTTGGGAGAATGTGCCATATGATGCATATGAAAAGGAGAAGATGGCTGATTTCATGAAAATCGTGACTAAAAATAAGATTGCCTTACCTGAGAAGTAACTATTTAGATCAATCTGTTAGTTGGAATGATAGTGACACATTGAAGATGGTGTATTGTGGTAAATTCAAGGACAAGAATTACTTAAAAGTGTTGCAATCCCATTTGGCTTGGAGAGCTATCCCCAATAACTTTCAGCCAACTGACATCAATATTGCATTTCTCTAGAAAGGAATAGTTTACACTCACGGTAGAGACAAGCAACAAAGACCTATCATAATTATGAACCTCGAATTGGTGAATCTGAAGCAAGTATCAAAGTGAATCAACCTATAGTTTAGTGAAGAAGTCTACATAAATGCATTGAGCTATTACTTTGGTATCATCAAGAAGCATTGTTTTGTTCCTGGAAAGGTAGAGAACTGGGTTTTCATAATGGATACTAAGAAGCTTGGACTTTCTAAATTCCCTTTTAAGGTATCCTATTCGAATCTACTAGTTAGGCTATTCAAATAGCAACCAAAACAATGCAAGTTAATTTCTGTGGTTGTTTGGATAAACTCTATTTACTAAATCCATCTAGTTCATTGAGTTTTTCTTGGAAGATGGTCTCTGGTATTGATATTGACATAACCATTTAGCTGTGGCTGATGCTGATACTATGGAGAAGGTCTAAATGCTTAAACCTACTGAATACACAAAAATTTAAGAGAGAATAGTAGTCAATTAATTGGAGGAATAATTCGGAGGCACATGTCCAAACCTTACAAAATTCTGGTTACTTTTCTAATGCTTATAGTTAGGCCACCTATCAACATCGCCATTCCAGGAGGATATACATAAGAAATTTTGATGGCTGTCGAATCGATGAAAACTGCTGAGATTGTAATTCAGGCGGAAGTACCTGCATCGGAGGAGGATGAAATGAAATTGTAGGAACAAATTTCTAAGATGCAAATTAAAAAAGATGACGACGATGATGATTGATAGAGTATATAATGAAATTACACATTCCATAAATTTAATATTAATATGAGTTTCTTTAGGTCTAAATAGATGAAATATTATAGTTTAGTCATCCCAAGAGAGAGTGCTTGGATGGTCATGGATCAATTGGGAAGATTGGGATAGTTACACATGATAGATTATGATCCTCTATTACCAATGATGAATCGGCCATTTGCCAATTATGTAAAAAGGTACTTAAAACCTAGATTACTTAGATGTGATGAAGCATTGTTCAAATTGATAGGAATTGAGTCACTCCTAAAGTAATTCAAAAAAAATCTAATTCATTGTGAAGATACCCAAAAGTTACTTGATCATTTTAGAGACATTTAAAATTCAAGATAAAAACCTGGACATACTTATTTTGATGAATTAGAGTAGGAAATAGAGAGAAAAAAAAATCATGTTTAAGAGATGTCAAATAATTTGTAGAATTTATTAGATAGAGTAGATTCAATTACAGAATAAAAATTAGTATTAGAAAAAGCAAAAGAAGTTTTGGGAAACTCGATGTTTTCATAGTAAGTTGAGATTTATAACTTAGAGCTATTCCTCATAATGTAAATGATTATTAACAATTAAAATTTGGACAATTAATTGGTGTAATTGATAAAGAGGATGAAACCAGATTTAAAAGAATAATGTTTAGAATTACAAAAGGTAATGCATGGGTTAATATTGTGGATCTTTTGCCTGAAAAATAACACCATTAAATAAAAACATAAATAGATCTCAATAGAGTAATTGTTCTTCTTTAAGCAAGGCATAATAACCAAGATGCTTGTATGTAGTTGTTTATCCTGGAATGAATGATTAGAGCACTTTGAAATAGAAATTGCTCAAAGTTTGTGATTCATTTGCTAAAAATAGAATAGAATATCCAAATTCTTAAGAAGCTATGGATAATAAATTAAGGGAATTATCCATTCAAATTAATGAGGCATTAAATTTAATTTAAATGACCAAAAAATAATTAGATGTTACTTTGGATGAGTTTGTTAAGGAGTAGAATGGATGCAATTGCTCTTACTTTGAATAGTTAAGATTATATGTTTTAAAAGAGAAATATCTCTATGTTAATTTAAATTACTTGATGATGTAAGGTTCAATTTTTACTGGATATTTCTGGTTACCTGAAGGACTTGAAGCTTAAGTTGAAGATAAATTAAGAAATGCTATGTAGAATAGTATTGACAGATTTCCGACTGGATAAATTTAAGAGATGAAACCAAAACCAGGAGATCTGGCCCCTACTTATTTCAAACTGAATGAAGTTACAATGCCATTCTAAGAAATTGTAAATACATATGGAGTACCAAGGTATCAAGAAGTTAATCCTGGTTTATTCACAGTAATTACATTCCCATTCCTATTTGGAGTGATGTTTGCAGATATTGCTCATGGTTTCTTATTGCTGTTGTGTGGATTATATGTGATAGTCTGGAAAAACTAATTAAAGAAAGAGACAGATTCTATGTTTAATGCAATGATTCCATTTAGATATCTATTAGCTCTAATGGGATTATTTGCATTCTATAATGGATTAATTTACAATGATTATCTCTCAATATCTCTTGATCTTTTTGGTAGTTGTTATTATCCTAAACATGAAGAATGGGAAAGGGAATAGAATTGTGTATATCCATTTGGGATTGATCCTGTTTGGTTGGCATCAGGATCAAGTCTAAATTTCATGAATTCCTACAAGATGAAATTGGCTGTAATTTTAGGAGTAATTCACATGTTATTTGGAATTTTAATGAAAGGAGCCAATACTTTATATTTCAGAAACTATTTGGATTTTTTCTGCGAATTCATCCCCCAATTGTTATTTATGGCTTGCACATTTGGTTGGATGGATTTCCTAATCATAATGAAATGGTTGAATGTGTATCCAAATGGAAAAGATCCTAGTATCATAGAGACAATGATTAATCAAGTTCTAAAACCTATGGATGAATCTGCCACACCAGTTTTTCCAGATAATGCTCCTTTGCAATTAATCTTAACTTAATGGTTAACAGTAATTGCACTAGTGAGTATTCCTTGGATGTTGTTGCCAAAACCCTTAATTTTGGGTTCAAGTCACAAGAAACATAAGGTGAGTGATCCTCAATTATAAAAATTGATTCCTGAAAAATAAGGATCCGAGGATATTGATCCTTAATAATTTAGAAAGGATTTACAGTTTGCTATTTCTAGCAAGAGCATAGAGCTTTTTGAATAGGAACATGATTCTGGAGAAATTTGGGTGCATCAGATGATCGAGACAATTGAATTCGTTTTAGGAGGTATAAGTAACACTGCATCATATCTTCGTTTGTGGGCATTATCTCTGGCTCATGGATAATTAGCAGAGGTGTTTTATGATATGTGTATTGCAGGAAAATTAGACATGGGTGGAATTATAGGGGGACTAATGAGTGGATACTTTTACATTGTGTTTGCCTTGTTGACATTTGGAGTGTTGATGATGATGGATGTTATGGAATGTTTTTTGCATGCCTTAAGATTGCATTGGTATATATTTTGTATCATATCTTAAGGGTTGAATTTTAGAGTAAATTCTATAAGGCTGATGGATATCTTTTCGTTGGATATTCCTATAACAAAATTTTAACAGAACATCTTAAATGATTTTAGAGTATTGGATAAGGATATGTAATAATATTATATATTTGATGTGCGTTTTATTAATAAATTTATGAATAGTTATTAATATGTCAATGCTCTCTTTACAGTTCAGGTAACAAGGAAAGCATTTCTTGCTGATAAGGTTTATTAGCTTTACTTATTCCAGGATGAAATTGTTATGACTGAAGTATAATCCATTTGATAAATATAGAACACATTACGTTAACCCAAATACGTAATTAAATTGAATTTAACTACTACAATTAATTGGATTGTTTAGGACAACAAAATACAAGTATTTTCAATTGCTTATCAAAATACTGTTAAGGCTTTTCATGCTCCTAAATTGCAAATTTTGAAAGAAATGATCGCAGGCAGAGTATTTTATACTTCAATTACTGAATTTTATTAAATTTAAATGCTTATAGGCCATGGAATGTCAGGAGAAGTATATAAAATAGTAATGTTATATAGGTTTATAGATGTATCTCTAATAGTGGTGAGTATTTTGCTGTTAAAAAATGTGAAAAGTTGAAATTAGCATCCTGTCAAGGAGGAATTGTAAGTATACTTCCATTATTCTAGCCTTAATTAATACATGAACCCTCATTACTGCAATCTCTCTAACACCCAAACATAGTAAAATTAAAGGAGGTTTATACTGATTAATAATATTATTACATTGTGACAGAATTAATCAAAGGCAGAGCATTAAGCACAGAATTGTAATCTAGGCCATATGGATTGAGTGTGGCTGAGGCTATTAAGATAATGCTCTAAATTCTAGATGCTCTAATCTATATATCAGAAAGAGGAATTATGCACAGAGATATCAATCCTCATAACATTATGAAGTCAGATACCATTAAATTAATTGATTTTGGATTATCGAGAAAGATCAAAAATTAGTTGATCTTTCCAACTTCTGGAACTCCTGGATACATTGCACCAGAGGTTATCAATTTTAATAAAGGCAAACTCTATGATGACAGAGCAGATGTCTATAGTTTGGGATGTGTTCTTTACAAATTGTATTCACACTCTTTTATTCTTAGGTTAACAGGAGAGAATCTCTTTCTTAAACAAAAAACATTTTCTAAGAAAATAAGGAGGGCGTCTATGAATTAAGAAAAAATTAGGCACACCCTGAAGTTAGCAGCATTAAAATGGAATAATTATTTGTTTTATTACCTTATATGTTAGAGAATGATCCTAATAACAGAATGATAGCTAAAGTAGGTAAAATTGTAATTTAAGAGATTGAAAATAATAATTAATAAATCGAAAACTAATTAAGAAACTTGTGATCTTCAAATATTTTTAATTTAGTACTGAAGAAACACATAATGAAAATAAAACTCCACATAGCTTATCCTCTTATAGTAATTTGCATAAAAAGTAATCCATTGACATTCTCAAATTCAGACGAGACTTCAACTAGTGGACATAAAAAATAATAATAAACTATGGGTAATCTAAATTCAAGTTTTTATACTAAAAAATGAATAATGTTATTTTGTTGTTTCCAATCTTAAGTGTGTGTTTATAATCATAATTATTTTTATTGTTGTAATATACTATAAATCCTTCTAAAATTTGTTTCAAATGTAATTGACTTAATCACTGGGCACAAATTACAATTGTTTGGTTTGAAGTAATAATGAATTGAAAATAATAAGCAGAAAAAGTTTTATCATAATCTTTAGGAATCAATCATACAAATCATTTTGATAACAAAATTTTATTAAAAACAATCAATCAAATAATCATTAAAAGAAATCCATTTTAAAAATGATAGAAAATAGATGAAGTAAAAGGCTATACACTATATGAATAAGGCTCAAAGAATTAGAAATTACATCTGAATGGAATTTAGAGATATATTTCTTAAGGATCAGATTAAATTATGAAATTGTATTGAAAATTCTTATATAAATTGAAAAATCAAGTTTTGAGTATTAGTTTATAAATATTACTTTTCAAAATGCTAATTTTTCGAGCAGATGCTCTACCTTGTCACCCAATGATTCGTTTATATCTGATTTACTAAATTCATGATATTCTGAAAATTGAAAATATTGGCTCTCATCTTTAAGAGAGTTATCTAATTCGTATATTATAGAGCTTTATTCAAAGGATTATTTTTCTTGGTTTTTTTTAACATTTGATTTTGATTAGCTAATTTGTATTTAATTTATTTCAAAGCTTCCTGATAAACAAGTTATTCTGTTTATCTTTTGTTTGCTCCTGTTTTAGTAATATTTATATAAGAATCCAATTCTAATTATATTTTGTATACATTTATTGAATTCTCATCTTTTTTCCATTCCACTGATACCTTTGGAATTAGATCTGTTTAGTTGTTAATGTATTCGAGGAATGACGTCTTTGGATTTTGCTTTAATTCAGCAATTGGAACGTTCTAGCCTCTAATATTCCATTTGAATAATTACTTGTCTAAAAGTTCTTTCAATATAGATTATAAAATCTCTCTAGTATGTTCTAAATCGAACCCGGAATCGTAATATTATGCTGCCACCATAGCCTTAAGTGTTTCAGCCAAAACTTTAGAGTTCTTTCTAAAGTAAATATAAAAGAAAATACTTTAAAGCTGTTTGATTACCTATTTACACAAAGTTGTGAACATTGTATTATATAGCAATTTCTGCTAAGTTTTTATCATTTAATAGTCTTTATCTCAATAAGACGAGATCACTAGGCTTTTTAATAGAGGAATCTTTTTTGGGATAGCTAAATATTGTCTTTGCTAATACCCTCTCTACATCAGATAATCGGAGAAATAAAATTCTAAGATCATTTAACCAATCACAATAAATTCTTCATTATTTCCAAATGGATATTTAGTCCCTTTTTTAGATTAATACTCTAACTCATGAATTTTATTAGTTAATGCTTATGCTAAAATATTAGTATTTTAAAATCTAAAGATTCTATTATTCATTATGAATTTAAATAATATAGTTAGTTTGTTGACAATTAACCCATTTCTAGACTCCTACATTCCATAGCAATAAAAGATACCGAATCCAATAAATCCCTCTATCCTATAATTCATGTATGACTTACACCTTATTGTTAGTATCAATGATATTCGAACATCTTGTCGTTCCAAAGGAGGAAGAATTATTGTTCCTAAGAATTTATTTCAATTAAGAAGAAGTTTTGATTGTACTAATGATTTTATTTGAAATGACTTTTAGAAGGGAACTAACACCGAAAGATTTCATTTTCAATTTAAATAAAATGGTTAAATTTTTCAATATTGTTTTAAAAGATTATATGACTCGGCTTAAAATATTTCTTTTATTATAAAAATTAATTAATAATTAAAATAAGTGAAATCTCTATATGATCAGGCTTCATCTAAAATTAAGGAGATCAATTCTTCAAGTTATTCATATTAACAGCCCCTCCATTATTTTATTTTCTTTCTTCTTTCATTAGTCATTTCCACGCCATAATGTTCTTTTAAATCCATTAGAACTTCTAGTGCCAAATGACAATTCTAATAATCAAAATAAGTGTATCTTTCCTCACCTATTTCAAAAATAATTTCATTCAGCACATTAATCTCAGTTTTAAGAATTTAACTTTAAATTAGTTCTGATAGAATTTTTAAGCAAATATCGATGGATCGTTTGGAATGAGATGTTCTTAGTAATTTAATGATATCATCATATAACAAATAAGCAAATGATTGTGTTGTTTCATTGTTCTTAAGTGCCAAGTGATAAATAAAGTCTAAAGCAGCCTAACAAGAATAACTATCTTCCTAAGCAAGTGCAATCTTGACTACTGCATCTATATTTAGATTATCCAAACAAGCTATGATAAGTTTGACATCAGATCTCATAAATAGTTCATCAATCAATCTTATTATTTAACAAGTCTGTTTGTCATCTTATTATTCAGTCTATTTTAACAAGTATTTTAGTTTATCATCATCAAATAATTCAAGCAATCCATCACATATCTCACTTGCCTTACGTAAAACTAATGAAGCCAAACTGAGTCTAGCATCCATTAATTCAATTACTTTGATACAGATATCGGCAATCTGGGATTACCTAATTAATAAAGTGCAATCGCAATCATTGATTTTGTCAAGCAATCCAAAGAGTAATCTGAAGACAGCATTAATATGTTCAAGTTAATCCTATTGTAAATTGTTTAAAGATTTCTGGGTTTCAGCAAGTATATTTGATTAGAATAACTATTTTTTAATTGATCTGGCTATTTTGGAATCAGAATATAACACGTTAGCCAAACCCAAATAACATCTGTATCTTATTTCCTCATCCTCATTCGATTGTAGTTTTTGCATAAAATACATATGAATTTGGTAGTCATTAATTAAAGTGTAAATAGTTTAATCTGATTCAGAAGCACAAGAATTAGCTAGTATTACAAGAGCCATTTTATCATTAGACTCAAAGAGTTCTTTCATTAAGGTTTTGTCCTATAAAAGTTTGTTTGATTATCTCTCAATATTATGTATTAATTCTTAATGAATAGCCCAATATTTAGTTGATTATTCTTTGTTATCAATCACTCTTTTGGATTTAAAAATGCTCTCCAACTAGTCTCTTCTTATTTACACTCTTAACTAATCTCTCTTGGCTCTCAATAAAGCATTTGAATCCAGCATTTATATATTATAAATAATTAATATAAATAACTAAATAATTAGTTAATATTATGTTAATTGTAGTACTCATTTCAATTAATAACATCCTCTCAATTCAATGAGATTCTTCCTTTCCAAGTTCTCTTCAATTGTTGAGATTCTGTTCAATTTCAATAGAAAATCTAATGACTCTAATCCTTATTTTGGATCATCAAATTTTTTAAGGTAATTAATAATCAACCATTGTGTTTTTGCTCCACTTTATTAATTAATAATTAATAATAATGTCAGAGAATAACAAAAAATCTGTTATTATTGTGAAATAGAACTAAAAGGAAGAAGAGGAAGAGGAATCTGAATCAGAATCTGAGTCCTCTCATTGTTTCGTGAATTTTGTGAATTCCTATTCAAGGTTCATTAATGAATAAAGTGACACCAGCTTGGAGATGGGCTCAGTCCTTAATGATTTAAATGAATCAATATCAAACTCTAAGCCTCCTTAAGGAACAGTTGAAGACCTATAATAGATCTTAGAAATAACTCCTTAATAGATCAACGAACTTGCTCAGCAGCTCAAACAACTTCCCGATTCTAAAATATATTAGTGTATCTAAAATATTGAGAAGTATGCATAATTTTGTAATTAAATAGATTAAATTTGAAACTACAACTAGATTTGAATGTTGAAATGGAGAAAGCCAAAGCAAATGGATTGATCTGATCAATTTTGGTTATTTTTATTTATGAATTATAAAAAAAACATCTAATGGCTATTAATTTGCACTTCTCAATAATTTACTGAATGAATTAATGACCTAAGTGCAAAGTTTGTACTAGATCATAACACAACCATCTAACAACACTTCCATAAAATAATGAAAATAAAAATCTTAAGGAGAAACGTATTTAATAAAAGAAAATAAATGTAAATAGAATTTTATTAAGAGCAACAATCTATAGCAAGATTATCAACATAACTTGCAATTAGATAAAAACGAAAGAGAATTAATTAAGATTAGGAATTATAACAATTTATATCTTAATATGCATGAATATATAGCTGATTAATAAATGAATTGAGTCAATTGTATTTTTAATGCATATTAAAGAGCAATAATAAAAATATGATGATGTTTAAGTTTTAGTGATTGAATAGTCGACCATACAAATCTGTATATTTAATTGATTGCAAGTTCATAAAATAGGGATGGATTTCTATTGTTTATATTATTTTAAACACTGAAAATCTCATTTTTGTTAATATTAAATTAGAAATATAGTACATTCGTTTTTTTACAAATAATTTTTATGAGTCCAAAAACAAATATTCCTTTGTTCAATTTGACTTAGATAATAGTTGGGATTGTGGCCTTTTCACAAGGAGTATAGCATTTAGCAGATCTATCAATTTAATATTTATACAAGGATGATTTTCATGTATCACCTAGTAAGATGGGAGTATTTGTTGGATTATCATAATTACCATGGTATTTTTGTTAATTAGATATCCATAGGATAATTAAGCCTATTTGGGGAATAGTTTGTGATTCCTTTCCAATTTTGGGATCCAAAAGAAAAGCATATATTGTCTTCTGTGGCTTTTTAAGTTTTTTAGGATGGCAATTAATGGCATATATTGGAGTTGATAATGTTTATGTGGCTGTTTCTTTGCTTATTATGATATCCTCTTCTGTTTGCATCTGCAATGTAGTTGGAGGTAACAATATGTTGAACTGTAGAGGCTTTAATGGTAGAATAGTGTGCAAATGATCATGCAGCAAATAATGTTTCAGTATTCTTTGGATTCAAAGCTGCAGGTGGATTGATTAGTGCATATTTCTCAGGAATGTTACTTATGTATTTAACTAAGAAATAAAGTAATTTTTCAAATGACAATTAGTATTTATGATCAACAGTTTGTTTCCATTAACAATGGCATTACTTTCTTTGAAATTGAAAGAGACTGAATAAACCCAATAATCATAAAATATAAAGGAAGTATTGAGTATTTTCTGGAAATTCTTCTCTAATCCTAAAATTTATTAGTAATTGTTTAATCTAATTTAAGAGACCTGTATTGTTAATTTTAGCATTCATGATGGTACCTTCAAGTAGTTCAATAATGTTTTATTTCTATACTGAAGTCTTGCATTTTACTCCAAGATTCATGGGATATCTAAAATTTATCAGTTGTTTGGGCACACTTCTTGCGATTTTATTGTATAGAAATTATTTAAAGGATGTCGCATTTAAAAATATATTTATTACTACTACAGTTGCTTTCTTCTTTTGTTATCTCACGACAATACCTTTGGTTACAAGAATGAATGTAAAATGGGGAATAGACGATAGATTTTTCTGTCTAGGTGATTCAGTGATCTTATAATTTATTGGAGAACTGAACTTACTACCTATTTTAGTTTATGCATGCAAAATTTGTCCTAAAAACATTGAAGCAACTATGTATGCTATGCTTATGGCCACAATGAATCTAGGAACCTTTGCTGGAGGATAAATCGGCAATTTGATCTTATATGAAATGGGAATCAATTAATAAGATTACTCTAAATTATATATTTTCATTGCTTTATCAAGTCTCTTTATCATTTTACCCTTGCCATGGATTCATCTAATAAATGACAAGGTAATGCCACAAGAATAAGAATAATAGTCTGCATAGATTGAAGACATTGAGGAGAAATAAAAACTAATTGCTGAAGCAGAATGAATAATAGTAATAAAATAAATTTATAATAAACAAAATTAATCTCTATATAGATATTTTCAATCAGAAATTAGATGATAGTTATCATCCTTTATTTATTTTAATCATAAATTAGGATTTTTAACATCTTCATATAGTTGCACTTATTAAATAAAATAATACCAAAATATAGATAATTATTATAGAATATATTAACATTAACAATTTTTATAAATCTTCCAATTTTTAAAATTTCTTATTCGATGTAGAATATTTATGATTGAATTATTATAGATCATATTAGAATGTATAAGATTGCGGTTAAATTATAAAATCAAAATTAAGGTGGGTATTCAAAATCACCAAACTCTGATGGAAGTTAATAAGTACCAGGACCAGGGACTTAAGATGATTAATTTAATTACATTATTTATTTTTAATCTCTTAGGTCTATCTTTCCTAATAACCAAATCGAAATCCACTTCTGGTAGAATATTGTGAAGGCAAATAATTCCTTGGGTCTCCTATATCTCCTGGAGGGTCATATGTTCCAGGGCCGGGAATCTTTTTTATTCTTTGAGATTAAGCGGTTGCAGGAGAAATAACAGGGGCTCCACTACTTTTGTATTTGCCAATAAAGTAGCTTCCTTTTTAACTGAGACCCCCTACATTATATCGACCTGGGGCTGGAGTAGTGGACTGAATGTAGATGTCTTATAGATATAAAGGGAAAAGTACGTTTGGCAGATGTTCTTTCTCCCATTGTATACTTGTATGTGGTTATGATATCTTTGACTTAATATGAATTGGGAGCAGGATTAGAATTTGGTCTACCATGAAGCCCTTTAGAATGCATTTCATCTCTTCCGTATGCAAATTTCACTCCCGGCTTTGGCATTAATCTGATATTGTAATCTGTAGGTCCTGGAATATATTTATCTCTTTTTGTGAAGTCAGACTTAGTTCCATAGCCCAAAGCTGCTGCTCTTTTATTTAATTATGTTTAAATTCTAGAATTAATAATACAAATTACTAAGAGTCATAAAACTACATTGAGCAGTAACTTTCTTTTGGCTTGGAAAACCTTTAAGCTTTAGGAAAAGTGTATTATTGTTTTGCATGAGATTTATTTAATTAATCATGCACTATTTTTGTATCAAATTATTGAGGTGCTCGAAGATGCATGAATGATTAGGTATTTCTCTTGTAATAAATCTATTCAAGTGTTTTAAATGTTTTTTCTGAAGTTGTTTTTTGTCTTTATTACTTTTCAGTTTCTAATCGTCTATTCTCATCTTTTCTTTAAGTCGTAGTTTCCATTTCTCCTTAGGTTGGTATTCTTTTAGTTTCATCCTTTCCTTCTTATTTCTGACTATTCTATTGACTCTCTTCATGAATTTACTATAGATCTTAGTCTTTATGGCCAGAATCAAAACCTGCATTTTCCTCTTCCTAAGAATTTTTGTAGCTTTATTATTTTTAATCTTCATCTTCAATTTGTTATTGAGCTTATTTTAGATTTTAATTATCCTGGTTCTAATTCTCTTGGGCATCCTCTTATTAAATCAATTAGTTCATGTTAATAAAAAATACTCTTTTATAAAACTACAAATAATTGAATTAAGAAATTAAGAATAAATGTATAAACTTCTCCTTAGTTGATTGTTTCATTAACACATAAAAGATGTATGTTTTAATATAAAATTTGTAAACTAAAATCTAATTTCATTAATATATTTTAAATTTGCATCCTCCTCATTCTAATTTACCAAATTGTATTAATCAGTTATGGTATCTTTTGATATTCTATTATTATTAATTTTCAATTTTGAAGAACACATGAATATTTTTGTATTCTTTATTCAGAATATTATACAGCAATCATTACTTAATTTTTGACACTTATAATATGTAAAATTTATGTATTGGCTGTTATTTGAACGGAGAAAACTAAATCGATTAGAACTGTTTTATTATTGCTAAGATTGAGTGCAAACATTATAAGGAGCACCAAAATGCATAAAAGGTACAGCTCTATTAACTACATATAAAAATTTGTTCATTGATTTTGCGGTGTGTTGCAACTTGAAGATACAGTAATTAATATTATAATAAGTTTCCTTTTATGATTGTACGGAAATTTTCTTCTTAATTAATAAGTATTAATAATCCAATTTTATAATTATTGTCTCTTTTGCTAATAAGAATTCGGATATCTTCAACAAATTTTGAATATTTGGTTAATCTCTATTGCTAAATAGTTCTCAATTAAAAATCAAAAAGGTAGTAGTATTATCATAAAAAAAGTAACTGTCATCGAATTTGTTGTTCTTCACCATAAAAGTAATACGTCTAAAAACATGACAGAAATACTCAAAATATAGCAGGGATGAATAGAGAAAAATATAAATTTATTTTGAAAACTACGTTTTTCAAACATCAACAATGTTTATAAAATGAAAATTCTAGTATTAGTTATAAATAATACAGGCATTTATATTTACGTATGGATGAAGATGATCTTCCAATTGAGGCTGATTATTATTCATTAAAGTTGATTGTTAACTGTCTATTATATGCTATATAATCAATATATTATTTAATCATCATTTTGATTATGCAAAAAAAAACGCCATTAAATAGGTAGATTGTTCTTGAATGGTTTGAATAACCACACTTAGAATTTGCAGAGACACTTCTTAGAAATTATTAGTTCACATTCTCAAAATTACCAACGCAAGAAGAAATTTTATAGATTCTATGCTCAGTTGAAAAAGCATACAATAGTAAAAGAGGTGCTTGGACTCCATGCCAAGATAAATTTCTAAATCTTGCTGTATTAGGAACATGCCTACAGCATTTAATGAAGCCTATAGAGTTAGTAATAAATATTTTTTATTTTTTAATAGTCTTCGTAATAGTGGGAATAGATTTCTCGATTGTTTCGTTTTCATAATTGGAAAGCCTGCAGAAATAGATGGCTAGAAGAATGTCACAAAAAAGCAAATTGGACTCCCTAAGAAGATAAGGTTTTAACATAATTATAATAATTTAAACCTAATAAGTGGTGTGAAATAGCTATAGATTTGATGAGGATCTGTAAAACACCATACATAAGATAGGGAAAGCAATGCAGAGATAGATGGGTAAATAAGCTTGATCCAAATATTGTCAAGTAAACTTCCTATTTAATTGTAAAGCAATCCGTGGACAAAAGAAGAGGAGCTCTAATTGTTTCGAGAAATAGAATTAAGAGGTAAGAAATGGGCAGAGATTTCACTCAAAGTCTTCTAATTGAGGAGAACTGAGAACACTATTAAAAATAGATATTATAATTTATTAAAGCAAGCTGAAACAAAGATGAAATTTGGAAGAATAACAAAAGAGTAAAAAAATAAAGCATTAGTTGATTTAGTAATTAAACAACTAGAAACCTCTATTAATTATCAACCAAAACAAGAAGAAACCGAGGAACAGGAAGCTAAAATTTACAAATTAGATTAATTTAATCCCACTAATTTAGAAGATTATGAAGATATTGTTGTCTTGGTCAACAAGAAGCTTGTTAAACTAAATGATTAAGTCTGATCTTGTTTATTTATTTTACCATATTTATTTAGTTTTATTCAATCTTAATAATTTAGTAACTAAAAAACTTGATTTTCCAGAAGTTAAACATCAATTTTTTAGTATAGCAGTTTTATATTAATTTTATTTTTAAATAAATAATCAATGAAAAACAGCAAAAACATTAAATTATTATTATGATATTAACCATTTAGATCACATTTAAAGATAAACCAAATTTAAAGAATTGTTTATAATCAAATTATAACCATTAATAATTATTATACATAAATAATAATAAAAACTAAACAGATTAAGAAGAAATTAAAGCAAACAATAATTTAGCTATTCAATTTTGAATATATAAATTTTGAGCTTATATAATTTATGTTATTTGAGCCAATTTGCTTTGAGCTCACAATTCATTGAATCCTTTAGAATTCAATTGATTGTCTTTAAAATGGATTTAATCCTTTTAAGCAATTGCAAATCGTTCAAATACATTAAAAGAATTATTGAGATATGGTTTACATATTGCCTTGTCAATATTGTACTAATTTTAATATAATTGAATCATTCCTTCAAAGCAAACTTTCTTAATGGGAAATTGTTGAGTCTCTTCCATTATCTCTATGTTTTTTAAGCTTTACATATAACTAAATAGATATACCTTTTTCGCTTCTTGTGAGTCTTTATCTAATTGCTCTAGTTTTTTTGCCTCTGAGATCAACAGGGAGTTTGCCACTTGATTTGGTAGCTGCTTTGACTTAGTTTCTTCTTTATTCATTAATGACTGTCAAATATTTGGCAATTCTCTTTCTAACAAGCTTGATTATTCATATATTTTGTTACTCCAATTCTGCCAAGTTTTTAGGCATTACCTGCTGATACTTTCACTGTTCTCAATTAAATTAATTCACCCTTGAGCTTTTCTAAGTCCTTGAGGAGATCTTCTGGCTTTTATTCTCTGAGCTTTCTAACCTTGAACTTTTAGGACATTATTTAAATAAAAGGATTTAATTTTTATCAAATATGAAGAATTATTTTCAATATCATGATCAATATCAAGTAAATACATTACAACAAACATAATATTGGTATCAAATCACAACAACCCATGTTATTAACATGTCTATTCTACATTAGATCATAGACTTATAAGTAATTTTATTATATATTGTTTATTATAAGAAATTGAGCAAGAATTTTAGATTTTCTACTAAATTCTACATTTCTATTGAAATTATAAATTGTTTGATAAATTAGAAACACTGAATATATATCTAAGGGAAAAGTATTTCTCCCAATGTGCTCGAATGATTTTATTGATGTGTTATTAGGAATAAATTAGAAAATAAAATAATGAGAGTTCATAATAATCATAATAATTTATTTTACAAAAATAGTATAATTTTGTTAAAATGGCAGAATTCTTATAGCATCTGGGGACAGATTCATTTAAAATAAACAATGACTAACAGAATGATAATAATTGTAAAGTATAGAAATTTCCTAATGGTGTTACTTATTTAATGAATTATTAAGAAGGATTCCAATTAGAGTTTCAAAACAGTATACTAAAAAATGTCTACCTATATGGAAATCATGATAAATAATTTAAACCTTACAAAGGCGATTTACCATTTGGGATTACATTTACTATGTGCAATGCAGTATATTAATTTACATAACATTAGCATATAGTAGCTAAGTTTGGTGAACCCACAAGTAAATAAGGAGGTGGCCCAATTAATATAGGTATTAGTTATGATCATCTTGGCATTGAGATAACTTTTCAAACTAAAACTTGGGACTAACCTAATGTAGCAATAGATTAAATTATTTTATATGAGCCTGCTAAGTAAACAATCTGCGGAATTTGCAAAAAGAATGGAGAATTAAGATGTGGATAGTGTAAGTTAGTCTATTATTGTGGAGTTGATTGTCAAAAGACACATTGGAAATAGCATAAAGGATTTTGTAAGTGAGATTAGTGTTAATCACAAATATGATTGTCTTCTATATATTTAATGTTAATTTAAGTCAAAAATATGTTAAACAATAATTAATGTGTAAAATTTTGTATTTGATAATAATTATTCTTTATCATTATTTATTTTAAAATTAGAGTTTTCTTATATAATTTAGAAAATTCATTATCTTAAAGTTTTTATTAGAATTTGAGGATTTTAAATTAAATTGAATTAATTTATTAAATATAATGCAAGAAAACAATGAATAATTTGAGAACTTAACAAAGGAGAACTTGATTGTTCAGTTGAAAGAGAAAGTATTATTTATGAATTAGTATTAAGATTAAGGAAAATAAAACAATAACAAAGAAACTAGACAGATTATCAGAGAAATATGTTTAGACTTATAAGGAGTATAAGTTATTGGCAAAGGACAGAGAATCTCTATTCTAAGCTATTCATTTTGCTCTTAGTGATTAATAATATTAATTCGAATAGAAACCTTTAGGTTAGTGTTAATTTAAATGCTAGGTTAATTTGATTGCAATTCGATAATTGACTTGCTTAAATAAAAGGATGAAGATAAGTCCAAGGCTCTTACAAATTTAATTAAGGAGACTAATAATGAGAAATTTTAACTTGAAGAAAAGTATAGATAAATGATAGAAAAATAGGGGTCGAATAGCGATTAAAAGACTTAATAAATAATTAAATAATTAAAACAATAAATTAATGATTTAGATAATAATAATACTAGATTGGCTAAAGAAATTATTGAGTTAAATGACATTATATAAATAAAGAATGGATAAATTCTGAAATTAAGTCAATTGGAAGATGATTGTGCAAACTTAAAGACTTAGTTGATGGTCTAAGAGCTCTAGTAATAGTAGCCAGATAGACAATGGAAAATTAGCTCATCTGATAGTCTGAACGAATCTCTTAAAATGAAATAATAAGTAGATAAATTGCTGGAAGAAATTCAAAAATAAAGTTTGAAAATCAAGTAATTGGAACTAGAGAATGCAAATTTCTAATTAGTTTAAAAAACTCAAGTGAGAGATAATTACTCTAATCATATTGGTTTTACAAAAACTCCAAATGATTATGATGAAGTTAACCCATTTGAATAAGAAATAACGTTATAAAAATAAGATCTAAATTAAAATATATTATCTAATCAAAAATAAACATAAACTGATTTTATTTATTAAACAAAGGAAGAATTGCAAAGTAACAATGCAAATTTTGAATATTTAAAAAATGTAGTCTATAAATACTTTTTATATTAAGAGACTAGGAACTATAAGGAAGCTTCAATCTTGATGAATGCTATTATGACTATTTTGAAAATGACGAATGATGAAAGAAGAAGGATAGAGTAGGCAAGGGAAAGAGGGTTTTTGAAGAGTGCTAAAAATTTGATAAGTGATGGTTTCTTTTGTTTGAAGTAACCATAATTAAATGATATGAATTTTGAACGACCTAATAGTAGAATTGAACTAATGAATAAGCATATGTTAAATTGATTTTATTATTTTATAATTTTATGGCTTCTTAAAAATTTATGGAGTTCTTATCAAGCAATGACAAGTTAAGATTGAATGACATGAAATTGATTGAGCAAGAATAGTATTATATCAGCTAATTAAAGGATCAAAGGGAAAAAGTAATTATACACTATTATAATCATAGATGGAATTATTAAAAATTGAATTCCTGAAGAAAGATCATGTCATCTTGGAGTTGTAAGGACACTTGGAATAATTATAAGATGAATGTGAATAGCTAAGAGAAATTTATTAGGAACATGTTCAAAATTAGGAAAATGAATTCTATAGATTGAATAAATTATAGGTGGAAAAAGATAATTTAATTAAAGATAATTAAGAACTAAAGGATGTAATTTAACATTTACGAAATGAAAATGAAACTTTAAATGTATTCAAAATGAAATTATTTCATAGTCGTTATAATTTAAAAATGATGATTAATAAAGATAGTTATAAGAATAATTGGTTCTGCTGGCAGAAGAAAATTCAAGATTAAAGTCAGAAATAGCAAAGTTAGACGAACTCTTGTTTACATATGAACCTCTAAAGGAAGAAAATGAAAAGCTCAATGAAAAATTAAGATAATACAAGCACGAGAAGCACAAATTGTAATAGGAATTAAAATAAGGAAAACAAGAGATCAACAAATAAATTGAAGAATTTAAATCAGGTTATGTTAAAGATTTAAAAAATGAAATCTAGAGATTACAAGAATATAAAGATTAATATCAAACAATAAAAATACAAATACAAGATTTAGAGCAGAAGTATGTTGAAGCAATTGATGAGAACAACAACTTGAAACTTGAAATTAAGTCTCTTTATGAAAAGGAGGAAAGTGAAATTAAAATTAAATCAGAAATTGATAGAGTAAAATTATTTTATTAAATTAAAGGTTAGATAAGACCTTATGTCAGTGAGATACTAAGAGACTCTAAAATTAAATGAATTATTTAATGGAATGATTAGTTTGAGCAGTTTAGCAAACTCTAGAGATCACTTTAATTGAATATCATTTTTGCATTTCTAGTTATATATAAATTAATTATTCTTAAAAATTTATTATACAATAAATTAGTTATCCTATTATAATGAATAGGTAAAGAAAAATATTTTATCATTTTTCAAATAAACCATAATCTTTCTATCTAATGAACAATTCAATAAGTTTACTAAAATTGTAGATTTTTTCATAGCCAAGTTAGAAAAAGCTAAATATATTCAATTAGTATATAAACAACTATTAAATATATCTATTAAACCATTTAAAATCCTATTTAAATCTAAGAATACTTAAGTTAGAATTGATCAATAAAGTAAATTTAAAAAGCTTAGAACAATTCTGTTAATAAAAATATTAAATCATTCATTAAGTATGGTTTTATGTATTGAATGCATGAGAAAAATCCTGATTACATCTAATAGATCAAAGTGGTTTGATCAAATTTAATGGAAGATAAATTGTAAATAATAATATTAATTTAAATAGAATGAGTTAAAAAGAGGACATTATAGAAATAAACTTGGAAGAGAGAATCCAATAGCAGAAAAGAAATAAGCAGAATGTTAGAAAGGGATACTAAGAGAAGAGATAGAAATTATAAGCGTTTTTAGGCGATAGACATAGAAATGACAATCACACTCCTGGAACAATTGTTGATATCACAAACTTGCATTACAGTGTTACGAATGATGAATTGAAAGAGTTGGCTTAATAATTTGGGAAGGTGAAGAGGGCTTAGGTAGAATGGGACAAAATGGGGAGATCTCTTGTATATCATTAAATGTAATAGAAAGGGAATAAGGTTATATCGAGTTTTTTTATGCATCTGATGCAAAAAAGGGCAATTGAGAGCTTAAACAACACAACGATTGAGAGTTTGCCGATGAAAGCGTAACTAAGAGATTAAACTACGAGAAGAGGCATGTTCAAGCGATGATGAATATTAATGTACGAACAAAGGCGTTTAATCAATCAAACAAGCCTCCCATATCAACATCTTCTTCTGGTTCTTCAGCTTTCTTAACTTCTTTAGCTGGCTCTGGAGCTTTAGCTTATTAAGCGGCAGGAGCTGATGTTTATGCAGCAGATTAAGCGGCAGGTGCATTGCCTGTATTTCCATGCAATAAATCTCCGACTTTCTTTCCTTTGAGTGCCTTTTCAAATACTTTAGTCCAGATTGGTTCAACTCTTAAATTAGCAGCTTTGATGACTGATGCTAATTTAGAAGCAACAATCTGAGTTTTATTTACTAATATACTTCTTAATTGTCTTCATATAAGATGAGAGCAGCATAGGTACAAGCTGCTTCTGATGTAGCCTAATCTGCGATTGGTCGAGTGTCTTTTTATGCTCTAGCCATTTAAAAAAATAATTAAAAGATTTAATATTTAATGCTCATCTTATTCATCTCATAATTCTTTACTAATAAATTACATACAGGCCTCAAGGTCTCCATCCCAGGCAATGTCAGCTAAATATTGAGTCGATCCTTCTCCAATTAATCTACATCAAAAAAGAAATTACATTACCCTTTCTTTTATTCTTTGATGAATCGCTTTCTTAATTGAGGCAAAAAGGGTTGAATCATTTTGGACATCTTATTACTAGCATAATAGAAGCATCTGAAAACTTTGTAATAGTTTTTGGTAGACAAATACGAGCACATGCTATTTAATCGATTAAATAGCATACTTCAAAGCAAAGTAAATGAGATCATTTTCAGTATCAATTGATTAGGTATTGAAAATATTAATTAGTTAATCCTTATTGTCTTTGAGTGCATGATATAAAATGATGTAGCATAAGAATTCTGACTTCCTTTTGGCCTTAATTGGCATTAAATACAACTCTAGTAATTTCATTTAGCATTATTCAAAGGTGTATAAATCCAGACTATCAATACTCGCTAAAGCATTGGCCTCATATGTTTTTATGGTGAATTCATTTTCAATATTTTAAACATTGATATCCTATCTAATTGATCGCAATTAATCATTAAAATATTGGTAGTCAATTTCACCGGATTTATATTGCTTTTTGAATAACTTCAAAGCCTCTTGGAGAATGTTTAGAGGTCGTATTTTTTCAAAGTCAATTTATTATGTCAATCTCAAATATGGCTTATGGAGAGACTGATTGCTTGGTTCTTGAGCATCCTTTTTGGGATATAAGGCATTATAAAGATCACATATTTCAGCATCCTCTTAGGCTTGCTTTCGAATTCGTTGTAGTTGATATTTAGAAATTTTATATTAATTAGTCATATAAAATAATTTTTATCAGCACCAAGCATCATGCTTTTAGTTCCTAAATCCTTCTTCATGTTTTCAGGACTCTCACTAAAAATATTAAAATAACGATTGTCCTGTTCATCAATTTCAAGAATCGAAGCCAGATTCCCATTCCTATATAGGTAATTAGGAGCACTCCAAACAGTAATGCATCTGTCTTCAAATTTCAAATTGAATCCTTCGTTGCACAATTAATGAGCTCTGATCAGATGTGTCATGTTGTTGAAATGTAGAAATTCCTTAAGAACTTAACCTCCAAAAACAAAGCCTGCTCCTCTTGGAGATATTTTAAATCCAGGAGTATCTTCATCATCAGGATCAGACCACATAATATCTGTAAATGCTCCCTCATGAGGAATCTCTTAGAATCTATTCAAATGCTCTATCTCATCCACACTCTCTATGCATGGGGACAGTCCTCCGTGCACACACAATAGATTTGTACCAACAATACAAGCAATAGGAATATAATCAAACATATCTGTAAAGTATTCCCATGCTTGAGTGTTCCCATATTTCTATTGGCATTCCATGTAAAATCCATAATTTTGAGTAATCCCTCTAGTTTCATGATTTCCTCTAATCAATGTAACTCTATTTGGGAATTTTACTTTAAGGAGGGAAAGCAATGTAATGACTTCTACACTATGAGCACCCCTATCAACATAATCGCCTAAAAACAAATAATTCGTAAAGGGTGGCTTTCCTCCCACTTTAAAAAGCTCTTAAACATCGTATAATTGGCTAATTAGACATTTTCAAATACCCATGAACATCTCCAACTATTGTGACTGGAGTCGGGATCTTTTTTACATTTGGTTCTTTAGAAAAAATCTCTTTCAAGGTTAAACAGATAAACTTGATGGCATTTTCATTAAGCAACTCTCCTTAATAAGCTTATTCAAGAAATTTATCAATCATTTTATAATTATATAGAATTATTATTTAACTATTTTACAAACTTTGCTGCGTTTCTAAGTACATCATAGTTATCAAACGGATTTGTATACAGAGAATGGTTTCTAAGTAATATAAATTATATGCACATACCTCTTCTTGTATGAACTTCGACTTATTGTGGAATATTATTCATCCGATTATAGATAAGGCAGTCTTTTCTAAATAGTCTAAGGAATAGAAGGTATGGTGACTTAAACGCTTTTAATAATTCTCTCTGTATTTTATTGTTTGGGTTTAGTAAATAGATTGCAAGTGGATTTATAATTCTCCAATTCTGCTTCTAAATATTGGATAAGAGTATAGCATTTTGCAAGTTGCTCCTTTTTTTATTCTAATTATTTTCTCAAGTCTTAGACTTCAACATTTGCATTCTATAATTATGAAAGTTAAGCCATGTTCTCTTAATGGTATTACTTCTATGTCAATAATTCATCCTTTTTTGCAATTTATTAGTTCAAACATCTAATAATCTTTTCTTATTAAAAGACCTTCTATTTCAAATCATCCATTTAATCTGATTTAGTGGGTGTTAATGGCTTTGGCTTTTCTTTAATTTCTTTCCTTACTACAATAGAATTTGAGTGTAATTTAATCTTGGCATTTTATTCCTTAGAAGCATTAGCCGATTGACTCATCAGTTCATTTTATTTGTTTATTGTTTTAATTTATTCTTACAACTATAGAAGCTCATCTTTCAACTGCAAATTTTATTATTTTTATTACATTGTCTAATCACTCAAATTTGCTATCAAATCTTATAAATTCTCAATTTCTCTTCCTTTCTATTCCAATTCTACTTTAGTCTCATTCAATTTGTTAGTCTCCATTTATAAAGTCTTAACTTATTGATCTAATTATTCACACTTTTCATAGATATCTTCATCTAAATTACAAAAACAGCTGGAATCCTGAAATATTTTTTATATCGGTTGATTTTTTTAAAAATATTCAATTATTAAAGCCAATCTTAGATTCTCTTACTCTATGTCAACCAACCTATTCTACAATTTGCCATACTCTTTTTATAATGATATGAATTCTTAGCTTTCCTTAATTTGATCTTTATTTATTAACAGTCCTTATTACTCATTCTCTAATTAGAATTATAAAGTAGCATAAGGTGTTACTTTAAGAGACCATTCTGTTTGAATATGAGTACTTCTACTAGCCTTTGTATTTGTTGTATCTGCTATAGTTTCAGGTGTTTGATTTATATGATTATGTTCATTCAAAGTTGTATCTAATTTCAATTTAAATTTTTTTGAATGCTGTTTCTTTTGTGAAAGTCTTTTCGCTTATATGATTTAATTCAATTTTAATTTCCTAGCTTTGGAATAAGAATAATCATTATATTATTGTTGCAATTTTAACTCTTAATTAAAGTCCCCCTTTTTGGCATAAAGGGATGCTTCTTCTTATTCTTATTGTGCCTATTAATCTATATAATCCTTTAAAGTCATCTCATTTTAATCCAATTTTGGCAGTAAAGGAGTAGAATACTGTTAATTATTTTAATTTAATTCTTCAGGTTTAATTTCATCTATTTATTAGTTCTATTCAGTATCTAATTCTTTATCATTTATAACTTCTTATTGCTCCACATTTTGTACTTAATTTTCATCAATTTGTTATAAATTATTCTCTTCTATGACTGCTAAACTTTCAATCACATTACTACCTTAGTCTTTAGCACTCTTGATAGATTTCACATCATTCATTTATTCTGAATTCATTGATTAGGCTTAATCTTAATTTTTGATTTAATTTTCTTCAGGATCATCTTCTTTAACCCCCATCAATAAAGGAACATATTGAGGAACAAATAAGTTATGAGTTTTCCTTCTATTTTATTATTGAACTACTTTTTATTCTACTATTATTTCAGGTACTGGATCTGGATTCTCAGTTTATTCTGGAGTATTTGATAAATCCTAACTATTTTCCGATAATTGGTCATCTGATCTTTCTTCTGTTTTTGTTGTCACTATAACTAAGTCATCCGTCTATGTGTATTTATCTTCTTTAATGATGTGTTCTGATATTTAAGTCTTAATTTATTCTACCTTATCACTCTGTATTTCATTTGGCCTACTGTGCTCACTTAGCTATTATATCAGATCTGATTATTCTAATATACTTGGAAAGACCTATAGATCTTCTAATTTATGAATTGAGTAAGACACTTGCTTTTAATTAAACTTTTTTTATGAATCTTATGATCCTTAGATACTGTTTTTTATTATATTCAATTACAATTCTGAAATCCTTCTTTCTAATGTTGCAATTAGTTTCTCTTGAGATGAATTTACTTAACATTATTTATTCAGTTTATTTTTCAAATCTAAATTTTAAGTTTCATACATATTTTAAATTTCATTAAACTCTAACTTTTATTCTTAAATTGATTTGATTAACACTAGCAAATATTCTAAAGAAAATTAGAGCATTTATTAGTATTGTTGAGTCTTTATTTCTAATCCTAAAAATGTTGCTGCATTAGTGTATATTTCTTTGATTAATTAATGATAATTTTGAATAGTTAATTATTACTCCTAATTTTGCATTTTTAATTCAGAAATCTCTTACTGTAACTCACTTTAACGTTACTACTCTTTTTTATATTTTGAATCCCCATCCTTATATTATTAAAGTATTTTATTATATTCATATTATTAAGTATTAATTTTTTATTCTTAGTTTATTTACAGCTCTTTAAGTATTTCAACTTATTTTATTAATTGGCCAGTAATTTTCTCATTTTCATCTTTATGTGTTTAAATGTAAGACTCTTTTAATTTATAATCTTCCAATAATTTATCAAAATTGTCTTTCAATTTTTCATAATCTTTTTCCCTTGAATTTGATAATTAATTTAACTAATCTATTTGTTCTTAAACATTCCTTTTATATATATCGAAATCATTTTAAATACATTTACACTTAATTTCCCAAGACTGAACATTCTCCTTAATTGTCTACTCTAATTCATTAGTTTTCTCACTCAACTTATTTTGCCAATAGACTTTCTAATCCGTCAACTTGGTATCATAATGAATTGATTATTTTTTTAATAAATCATCCTTTAAATGTATTGTTTTGATTAAACTTGCTCTCCCAGTTTCTAATTCAACAATTTTTACATTGAGTTATTTGATTGTATTCTCCAAATTAAATATTTATTAATAGAAGTCGTCTTCAAGTTTAGAGAATTATGCTTTTACAACGTCAAGGGTTGTTTCTAACTCTTTTCTCTCCTCTTTTGCTTCTTACTTCATCTTATCATAAATTTCCTTATTGACTTTTTGAAGTTATTAGACTTATTGTCTCTAATTTGATAATTCAGATTCCAATTATAATATCCTTTGATCTTAGGCAGAGATTGTCTCTTTATAATATGTGATGTCTAATTCAATTTTATAAATTTTAGTACCTTCATTTAGTAATTCACTTATGGTTATTAAATCTGCCAACTTTTTCAAGAGTTCTCTACTTTCACCCTTAACATTGATGTCCATGACTAACTATGAATACTCCTGACATCTTTTGAATGATATTTTGTATACCTTTAATCTATATAATATTTCATAGCTAACAGCTATTCCTTAAGTGAAGAACATTCTTCTGATGATATGTGGAATATCTTCTATAAATGCTAAATGTTGTCCCTTAACTTTTATTGGAAATGTGTACTAATTTCTTTAATTTTTTCATTTTATAGTAGTTAATCTGCCATCGTAATTATTAATTATAAGAGTGTCTTATAATAATTTCCGAGATAAAATCTATGAAAGAGTTCATTCATCCGGATAATAGCATTAAAACTTGAAATTAAATCATCTCAAACAACAAAGACATAGAAGGAAGGCCAGAAAAATATAGAACATTTTATTATAGCTACAGTTATGATGTCAATTTAAATTCATCAAACCACTTCTTGCTCTAACACTTTAAATGATGATATTCTCTGAATACTATTTTGTTTAAAATGTTATAGGGTTTCTACTGATTTCTGAGGTTTTGTTGTTGTATACGAAATTTATCATGTATTTAGATTCGATTTGAATGATATTGATATATTTAAGATATTGTTGAAAAATGTAACTTAATAAAGAATAATTGATCATTATATCATCCCTCTTTAAGGATTTAATCTATTACAGGTTTTAATTCTCTTATATACTCTTCAATTACCTTTACATCCTATAACTATTGGACGAAGCTTAAAATATATTTTCCTTATGATTATAACTTACTATTTAAAAGTGTTTGTACTAATTCCTAAAATTAGAATATAACCCTTACAAAGTCATTTTTTTGATCACAGGCAACAATTAATTTTAGTTGTAATAATTTTTTTTAAACCTTCAATTTATCTTCTTTGTATTCTAGGCCATCCAACTAGATGAAAAATTCAACTAAGTAACGTTAAAAATGTCTATCAAACTAATTCGATCTCTCTATGTATCTAAATTCTTCTTTCAATTGTTCAGAATAACAAAGCAACCTCTTCTTTTCTTCAATTTACTTTTAATACCAATTCCTATTCAAAATAAAAATAATTGTACTATACTATTCGCAAATAATCGTTTCTATACATTGACAGTAATATCAATTCACTTTTATAAAATTCAGAATCTGCTTTGTTTTATGCATTCTGTAATTCTACAATCTTTTCTTCAACAAGCTAAATTATGAGTTTGATAATCAAAAGTCCACTTTGATACAAGAATATTTATTCATCCATAATTTGCAACAAGCATAAGTCTAATATTATTTGCTTAAAAAATTGATATTTTTCTTGCCAAGCATTAAAGTAGAATGATGAAATCACTTAAATTGAATGAGAATCTGTTGATTTGTTGATTGAGTATTAGTAGAGACAAGAAGAGACCTATGACCAATCTGCTCTCTCCTAAGCATTTTCTTTAATCATTTTGAGAATTAATTGTTTTAACATTTCACTAATTTCTAGAGTGCTCGTTTCAATTTTGGCTTTCAAATCAACATCCTTATCTTAGTTCGATAATAAGCCATATAGCATCTCATAGAAGACAACGCCTAATGAATAAATATCTGCTTTGTAAGGTGAATAGTGTTGTTTTTTATCAACCTCTGGTGCTTTATAATATGAAGTGCCCACATATGAGCGTGTTGTAGTTAACATGTTCTCTATATATTTTGCCATATTAACATCGGTTATTTTGATCACTCCATCCTTTACTAATATATTTTCTGGCTTTATATCTCTATGACAATAGTTTATTTCATGGAGACTATAAAATAAATTTAAATGATAATACCATTTCTATCCTTCAACTATTTGTATTAATATTTCAACAGCTTCAGCTTCTGTTAATCTTTTGTTCTCTTTTTACTGGATATATTCTTTTAAATTTTCTAATAAAATAAGTAATTCTATTTTACAATCACATAGTTCTAAAACTATGTTGTAGTGTTCTGCGGTTTCAAAGTGATCAAGGAGAGATATGACATTTTTATTTTTGCTTTTCTGACACTTCTACAAGATTTTAATCTCCAAATCATATGATTCTTTTAATCTTTGCGCAGTCAAGTATTTTTCTAATTTTGCCTACTTTGATATTTATTTTAACGCAACATAATGATTAGTATCACAATTTTTGGCTTGGTAAACCTAGATTAACAAATTTAAGTACTGTGCACATCAACCCTACTCCCAGATATTTTTTATTGTTGCAAATATAATTGCCAATAACTTTAGCCTCACATTTTACATTACTTGAATCTTTGATTTGTAATTCCATAATTTTCTATATATGAAGATAATAAAATATAAAAAATAAAATATTATCAGGCCACAGACACATTACGAACTTTAGAGGTTCGTTTATGTTCTACAGGAGTTAACTATCTTTTGAATTAAGGCAAAGTGACATTTAAATCGATCATTTTTTTGTTTATTATATATTGAGGTCTTCTCTAACCTTGAGGAGCTGTCGTTGGCTTGACAGTCTGATTCAGATTACTGCTATTATCTATGGATTTTTCAGATACTTTTTTGATCTGAAATGATTTATCACATTATTTCATTTCCTTCTCTAAGTTTTCTGCCTATTATTATATTTTCTTTCTGTATTCATTTGCATCGAAATTATCAACGAACATGTGCTCTATTTAATTTATATTACACTACTTGTCAAGTCTCTGATTTATTGTTTCATCACTAGAGAATGTCGATTGATACTGTTAGTATTCATCTGTTTTTTATAGACCTCTTGATGATCTTATTATTTTTATTCAATGGGTTTAGGTTCCTTCACGTTTACAACTTGAACATCTATCTTCTTTTTATGAGAGAATTTTCTAATGATGGATTTATTGGTAGTGGTGTGATCGGAGAACGAAAAATTTTAATTCAATTCTCCTAAATCTATAGTTGGTTTATCTACAAGTTTGAGTGTCAATGCCTAAAATGAGTCTATGGTTGGTCTTATATTGTATTCCTGATCATCATATAAAATTGAAGAGTTCTAGCAATCAACTTGGTAAATATTGATAGCTGATCTTTCATTTATGTCACTATTACTTAATCTAATGCATAGATTCGCATTTCAAAAAAGACGGAATCTTCGCATCTATTTTATGTTCTCTTATCAATTTTCGGGCCTTATGTATTATTTGTCTGACTATATCATCCACTATAATTTCGGAAATCATATGAGGTTGTATTAATTTAATATATATAAATAATAATTTATCAAAATAAATGGGCATCGTCCTTCACTTCTTAAAGGTAGGGATGGTCATAAATAATGTCTAGAGTAGTTCTAGTAGTTGAATCTGGCTAAAGAAATTGCTCCAGAAAGTTCTGTGTGATTAGATCTATTTATTATTTTGACAATTTTTAAACGAGTGCCCAATACTATTACCATTTTTTTTATTGAATCAATTTCCACAACTTGCAATTGGCACTCGGTTTAGTTGATTTGAAAGGCAAAAAACCCAAAATTAACTAGAATAAGGTAACTCCTAATGAAAACACATCACTCTTTATTAGTACTTGAGTATTTATATTCTCACTATTGTGTCCTCCCAGGAGTGTTTCTTAGTGTAATTCAGGAGGCATATAATTGAGAGTGCCAACAGTTCTCTTAGCTGTACAATTGCTTAGAGGTTCTGCAAAGCCAAAATCACATAAAACCAATGCCCCTTCTTTGTCAATCAAAATATTCTCCAATTTGATATCTCTATGAACTACTTGGTTTTGATGAACATAGTTTATGATTTTGATCAAAGTCTTACAAATTTCCTTTATCATTGGTGTGTTTAGTTTTTGAGATTGGAGTACTTCAAACAAATCATGTGTCTAAAGTCTTTCCAAAACCAAGTAGTTATCCGTGTAGGTAATGAGTTTTACAATGTGATTACTTTTAAGGAGTTCTAAAATTTGAACTTCCTTCATTCTGGACTGTATAGAGTAGAATGATTTATATTCCTTGATTACATAATTGGGATCCTCGGTTAGGAACACATTAGACGAAGATCCTTCACTCAGTAGAGTGGTCTTGTTGTGCATATGCTTTTAAGAATGATTGATTTATAATTATAAAAGAATAAAAAGGGATATATATTTTATTCAGTTATAAATTAATGGGTTAGGCAGATAGTAAATAAGAGAAGGACTTTTTAAGAAAGATTGACTCGTAGTATGAATTCCTGAAACACCTGAATGATGCAAGTTAATCACCATAATTATAAAGTAGGGTACGGGGATGGTAAATTGTTCGGTAAGAAGAATGACAAGTCCCAAATGATTGTATTAAAGAACATTAGTGTTCCAGATGAAGCTAGTTATTAAGCTTGGAAGAATAAATTATAGATGAGACAATCTCTAAAACATAGTAATATTATTGAGTTGAAAGGTATGCATAACGAATCCTATGAATTAGAATCAATTTAATCAGAGGAAGAGCAAGTTTGCAGTACCTTTTATAAGGTGAACCTCGTATTTGAATACATCCCTCAGACTCTGAAGGACGCAATAGAGCAGAGGAAACAAGCAGGTGCCTATTACGGAGAATAAGAGATTTTATAAATGTTGAATGGAGCAATAGATGGATTGGCCAAATTACAAGAGTTTAAGATTGCCCATTAAAATCTGAGAGTGCAAACCTTATCCTATCTAAATGGAAATGTCAAAGTGAGTGACATCCCCTTATTAGCCAATATCACATCCTTTGCAGCTGTTTTACAAGATTATGGAGATGCATCTCAAGGCAACTATCTCTCTCCAATATTGACTAAGGCAGTCTATGAGAGCAACCATATGCCTCAACATAACTTATTCAAATCAGATGTGTACACTCTTGGAATGATATTCCTTTAAGTTTGTTTACTATAACCTTAGGATAATTGTTACGATTACTTTGAAGGGAAAATAAACATGCAATAATTGTTCACCAACATTGAATAAGCCAGAACCATTTACACAGCTGAATTAGTTGAAATTATAGAAGAAATGCTAGAACAGAGTGAAAATGATAGACCCGATTTTATCTAGTTGAGAAACAAAAGAAAACAAATTATTCCCAAATAGGAACCACAATTTGCAGAGCAGAATTCTCCTTAATAGGATGAGGAATACTAGATGATGTTCTATAAGAATAATGATAATTAATTTGAAGTCAATCAATCAGTCTAGCCCTCTTATCAGGATGAAGGACCAATTCCATTACTGGAAGACAATTATGATGAGTTACATCCCCCCTTAAAAGAACCAACACCAGCTAGTTACAATGACCATGATATATTGATTCACAACGCAGACATCACCAGAAATTCTATCTGTACAAATAATAATTTAGAAATTAGCTCCTATGAAGTAAAACAATTCAATTGGGTAAATTCCAAAATCATAAATCTAAGAAATTCAAGTTCAACCAATCTCATTTGCTTAGAATACTAATATCTTAAATCAAGACCTTTACAGAATTCCAGATCTACCAAAATAAAATATTAAATATGATTCTCAAATCAACACTAGTGTATACAAAGACTATGCACAACCTAAAAAATAAGATGCTTACACTCAATCAAGTCTTTTATTCAACAACAACAACGATTAGCAAAAATCCAATATCCAAATACAACAATATGTTACATCATACTAACCTTAAAGAGAATCATTCAAAGCTACTGATTATATGGATAAATTCCACTTCTCATCACCCAATGACATCAAAGTATTTGAATAAACTCACCATATCGATTATAATCAACCTAATAGAGAGTCTTATCAATATTACTCTGCCTAGCCATAAAGTAGATTTACGTCTGTCCAATAATAGCCATTAACATAATAATCAAATTACACTCCTATATAGGCAGTATCCGCATATCTCCCAAAATAGAATATGTCAGCATATGTTAATGAGACCTATCCAAATGGATAAAGGTATGTTGGGGAGAAGATCAATGGCAAAAAAGAAGGCAGAGGAAGATTGTACTACAAAGAGGGAGGTTATTATGATGGAAACTGGAAGAATGACAGAATTAGTGGTCAAGGTATAATATTAATATTTATTAAATAAAGGAGTCCTATATTATGCAAGTGGAAGACCTGCCTATGATGGAGAATGGGTCGATGACAAATTTTAAGGATAAGGTATTTTATATAATGATACTCCTAAAATTGAAGAGATCAATTACAGAAATCTAGAAGATATTGGAAAGTAATTTATTTGTTTATCATTAAAGTGCTTGGACCAAATATGTTGGGTAATTTTATGATGATAATAAAAATGGATAAGGAACTCTCTATTTTTTGAATGGCGATCGTTTTGAAGGAAATTTTTAAGATGATAATGTCTAAGGATAAGGTAGATACATTTCAATTGGAGGATAAGTAATCTAAGGAATTTGGAACTTTAATCGTTTTGTGTAATGAAATTCTATTTTTATATTAAGTGATATTTAAATTTTCATCATTCATTTAAATACTTTCGTAAATTTATTCCATTCCCTTTTATTTTATGTACATCTATATGATTGTTAAGGAGATGTGTTCGAGTTGTTTTTATCTAAATTTTAAGTTCTTTAGGAATGAATTGTTATTTAATTATTAAGTTGATTGTATTGATTCTCTTAATTGCTATTGCAGGTGCTTCTTTGTGAATTTAATGGAGAAGAACTAGCTTTAATTGGATTTTCTTATTTCTTCTCATTAAACACAATAGCCTCTCTCAAATTTCTATTGGTTTAGACTAATTATTTAATCTGTTGACTCTATGTTGAAACAATCTCATTCAATTCCTGTTCTGTTTACAGTAGTTTCTCTTGTAATGACTCAAACTATTTGTTGGCTACCAATATCATATGTTTTAATTGCTAATTCTTTTATTGTAGATCCAATGAATTTAAACGTTCTTAATTGAGTTCACTCATATTTTGCTTGAGTTGCTACTGCATCTTCTACAGAATAGATTGTTGTTCTGCTGTTTGATTATGCAATAAAGTGATTTCTTAATCAGCATCAATTAGAGTTTGCTTTAAACTATTTAAGAGATTCATGGATTTTTCCATGCCTTAATAGCTCTATATATGCATAATCTAATTATTGCAATTTTATGTATACATAAATCATTTGCATTTTCTCCAAATAAGAGATGATATAATTTTACTCTTTTGAGTCTCTTATTAAATTGCCAATTAATTTTATTGCCTCAAAGTAGCATTTCTGAAATCCTTCAAACATTATCTCCTTTTTATCCAAAGGCTACTTTTATTGAAAACTATAATATTCCTCTTACTCCGTACTCATCACAACAGAGAGTTCATTTTTCAAGTTTGATGGCTTCACTTTCTATAGCAACCCAATAAATTGATCCAATTCAAGTTTCAAGTTCGAATCCTTTGCAATATCTTGCGATACCAATTTTTCCAATGATTCCATTGACTGATCTGATTATAAGGTGGCTATTGATTGGTGAGATTGCTGGTTGGTCGATTTACTTATTGATTGATAATATTGTCTATCATCCTCGATGCACTGTAGTTATTCTAGAGACATTGTTAATTTAATATCTGTTAAATAATATTAATTAATAATTTAGTTACTATGTATACTAAATATATAATTCAATCATACACTCTTCTAAAACCTACGTGAGTCTCCACCATATTGGTATCCAACTCAACCTTAGTAGTATTTCCATTCAGAAAATCTTTATCGCAATATAAACTTGAGATTTGCATATTTAGACTTCCATAAACTGTTTACGTATCAATTTTTTATTTATTTAACTCACCGTTTTGTTTATTTATCTAGATATTGATTCGAATATACATCCGAGAGTAATGCTTTAGTGATTTAATCCTCTTCTCTATATTAATTAGATTTCATTTTATGTAATTCTTCTCGTATAATATTCATATCATCTCTGCTAACCTTTAAATCATCCTTGATTTTGTTTAAGATATTCTATTTTTATATTAATACCCATTACAAATAACTTATCAATATGATCTTTCACATTCATTTACATTGAATTCTCAAAACTCTGTTGTACTATTTCGAATTGATCCTGTGGTTTTTCTGTTTCTTAATTAGCATTCTTTGAATTTAGAGATGTTAGAGATTATTGATTTTACGATCCCATATGTAACCTCTTCCCATGTTTATGCATAATATTATAATTTATTATATAAAATGCTTATAATATACATTATTTATAATAACAAATCAGTAATTACAATTTGATTGACATCTCAATATTGATTTATTAATAAATTGATGATACTCAGATAATGTTCAATATTAAAAATCAATATATATTTATATATTATTAATGGTATTGAAGTAAATTATATCAACATTATTTTCTAATTGAATCATGTGGTCGCTGACCTGATGTTGAAAACTTACTTTTTCTTGTTTCCTTTCTTGAAAATACTTGAATAGGTTCTTCAGATTCACTTCCGTCATCGTTCTTTACTTGTACCAATTCTGAAAACTGCACTTTTTTGCCTATCAGTTTTTCTGATTGAGTTTTCTGATGAATCATCTTAAGAGATGTTGAACTGTTTCGATCTGTTTGTTTTCCTAAAATGAAGTCAATACTATCAAATCCAAAGTCTGTGGTTTCGGTTTTTATGTGTTTTTGAGAGTTACTCAGATATTTATCAGGTAAACTAAATGGGTCAGAAAAGAAATCCCATTTTTTTAAGGATTCCTATCCGACCCTAGAGAGATTTAACTTATGTTCCTCTGCAAAGTAATTGGACAGTTGAGGCTAACTTGAGTTATGTTTATGACTTGATCTGACATAATATGGCTTTTAAGGAGTTTTGAATTCAGCAAAATAGGAATCGAAATTCATTTAATTATTTTTATAACATCATATCCCTTATTGAAACTTAATTTTATTACTCGCACTCATGGCATTCTGAGCAATACTCGCTAATTAAATTGAGCAATCCTGAATGTTCATTTCATTTATGTATTGTAAAACCTATTTAATAGTTGGTCTTTCTTTTGGATTCATTCTGAGCATATTTTCAACTAAGGGCTACAAATATTTAGGTAGAGTGGACAAGATCTTAGGCAATTTGGGTTGTTTCTCATTGACAAATTCCAAATACATGGGTAAGGATGAGACTCCTTTCCAATTTGAATCCTAGGATATAAAGACAATTTTACATTCAAGCTTCCCAAGAGTTCAGCGATTTAGGACATGATCTCAATTTCTGATCTTCCATCAAATAAAATTTTGCCTGTTAATAATTCTATCAACGTGCAGCCTAGGGACCAAATATCAATTGACGCATCATATTCTTTTAAGCCAAAGAATAATTCTGGGGCCCTGTAATTCTTGGTGCAAGTTTGAGGAGTCATCAAATCTCTTGCCTGAGTGGAAATGCCAAAGTCTCCTAACTTAACTTATCCTTCTGCTGTCACAAAGACATTGCTTGGCTTAATATCTCTATGAAGGATATTTTATTAATGTAGATAATTCAAAGCCTCGCAAAGCTCTCTGAATATATAGAGTTGGCAATCGCTAATGGAGAATAATAGTTCATGAAGTGGTGCCATATATTCCATCGTTAAACACAGGTATTTTTTGTATTCAAATTTTTCTGTGAAAGCATCTAGGAAGTTGACAATATTGGGATGATGCAACGTACTCAAAAACTTGTATTCATTTAACTAAGTATGATCTTGAGGGTCAGAAGGCTATATTAGATTCGAATTTATGCTTACTTTTCTGTAATACCTTTTCAAGACTATAGGGGTGTGTTTTTTATTGGGAGGATCATTTTCTGATCTTCTTTCGATCAAGTATACTTTACCTGCATATCCTTTGAATAGACATTTGATTTTTGTATAACTCTGATTCTGCTACATTTTATTTGATTTTAAATTTAATTATTTTCACAATTTGTTTCAATCTTTGCTCAAAAGGTATAAAAATCACAATACTCTGCGATCATTACTTGTAAGTTGGGTCACTTTTATGATGGAATAATTGATTAACTAATATAAATTTCAATAAAATTTATTGTGTATTAACTGAAATAACTGTCTAATTATTTATATTTTAGTTAATAATTTTAATATATGAATATTTATTCACAAAAATGTATTCAGTTTCATATGTTCTTTTAACTAATCTATATAACAAAGTAAAAATTTGAATTCTTTTTATTTGCAATCTAATATTGCAAATGCTTAGATTAAATGAAAAAAAATTTAAAAATTTAGATATTATTTTTTAATGGTTAATCTCCGCCTCTAAAAAAGATTGGCTTCCACATAATTAAAGGTTGGTATCAACAGAGTTTGGTTAGACCCAAATGAAGCAAGTGAAATCAGTCTTGCAAATTCAAGAATGTCAATTAGAAAATTAATTAAAGATGGTTTGATTATGTAGAAGATTGAGAACAATTCACTCAAGAGCCAGAGCAAGAAGATTCCTTGAAAGGCAAAGAGAAGAGGCAGACACACCGGTACTGGTAAGAGAAGAGGTACAAGAGAGGCAAGAATGCCAACTAAAGTTCTTTGGATCAGAAGACAAAGAGTTTTAAGAAGATTGCTCAGAAAATATAGAGCTGCAAAGAAAATCGACAGATAATAGTAAAAAATCATTAATAACTTAGATATCATGAATTTTATTTGGCTTCAAAAGGTAATCAATACAAAAACAAAAAAGTTCTTATCGAGGCAATTCATGAAACTAAATAAGAAAAAGTTAGAGTTGATAAAATCGAGAAGGAATAAAATGACAGAAGAGAAAAGAATAAGGCTCAAAGAACCAAGAAAACCTAAAACAAATTTGCTGCTGAATGATATTTACATATTTAGTACAATAATCAATAAATTGTTATCATATTTATATAATGGATTGTATGGTGTTCTGGACATCGAAGATGGTCAAGTATATATAGTGTAGTCATTAATTAAATTAGGCGATGATTCCTATTTTGTATATTAAAAAAAGATTTAAATTAATTTTTAGACAATGGTAACTATAACAATTAAATAAAGGCTGACCCAAAACAATAACCTGTTCAATAACCAAAAGGCAAAAAGGGAAAGAAAACTGGAGAAGAAACTACTTAATAAGTTGTAGCTACTTTGGGACCAAATGTGGCTGGAAATGAATTAGTATTTGGAGTGGCTCACATCTTATCCACATGGAATGACACCTTTATTCACATCACCGATTTGACAGGCAGAGAAACATTAGCCAGAGTAACTGGTGGAATGAAAGTTAAATCAGACAGAGAAGAATCGTCTCCATATGCAGCCATGCAAGCAGCCAAAGATGTTTATGAGAAATTGAAAACACTCAAAATTAATGCTTTGCATATTAAATTAAGAGCAAGAGGAGGTATCAAATAGTACTTATATACGTTTAGGTGTTGACACAAGATAACCAGGACCAGGTGCTTAAGCTGCATTGAGAGCATTGGCTCGTCTTGGACTTAAAATTGGTAGAATTGAAGATGTTACTCCAATTCCCACTGACTCTACAAGAAGACCTGGCGGTAGAAGAGGAAGAAGATTATGAAAAAGTAAAATACACACATACAGTAAATAATATGTACATATTAATTAAAATATGATATTTGATCTCTAACCACCATCTCCTTCATTGTCTCCAAATTCTAAAACGAGATTTTATTAGGAACAACTCGATAAGGCCCATGAGATTATTGATCAATTGGAAGTTCTGCTTTAGGAAAAAGAGCATCAAAAAAAAGTTCATTCAACAACTTACAAAAATATAGAAATTCCTCCTCTCAAATTGAATACAAAATTATCTGTTCTCAATGGTGAAAGATCAAGAAGTTATGTCACAACTCCCTTGCAATATTCTACACCCAGAGATAGAAGGACCAGATTATCATTGGGAGGTTAAACCTCTGCAAGATTTGTGGAGGAAATGAAGAATAGACATTCAGAACTTGTTTTACAATTTAAGGAAGACAACAATTAGAGAGAATGTAAAAATAAAGAATTAAATGATCAAATACAAGAATTAAAATCAGAATTGATATTTTGCTAAGAAAAACAATCTATAACAAAAAAGGAAAAGAAATAAACAGAACAGAAATTAGAAGTTTTGGAAAGCCAGATCTAAAGTATTCAGATGTAATTGTTGTTATCAAAAGAAAAAGGGAACCATTTATAATAAAAGATAAAGGAAATTAAAAAGGTAGATGATATTTAAGAGGCAGAACTAGAATTAGAAGAAGAAATTAATATTAAAGTACAATAGCAGAATCAGGACTCAAAACTAGAATCAGAAAAAAAATTATAAGAATAAGCTCTTATTTCTTAAATATCATAAAAACAATAAGATAAGAGCAGTCACAAAAAATTATTAGGTTCCTTATAAAAAGAGATTCAGTTACTAGAAAATAGGAAACAAGAACTTTAGAATCAGACAACAGTCTCCCAATTTGAAGAAAAGTAAATTGAAGCCAAAGAAGATTATTTTATCGATCAATAACATTTAATTGTAAATATTATTAATAATATTTAGGTTTAGGTTCCTTAAAATTAAAATGTTGTTTTGCCTTCAGAATCTGGAGATTAGGTGAATACATTTATAGAAGAAGATATCCATTCTATCAAGTCCTCTAAAAACAAGGAATATAGGTAAAGGAGAAGTTGTGAATCATGCTAAATCTTCTGATTAAATTATATAGTTTTAATTAATTTTATGATTATTGACAACGAAAAATAATAGATACGAGAACTGTTCGCAAACGATTAGAAGTATGTCTAAAATGAAAAGAAGATTCAAAATGATTTTATCATCTAAATGCAAGTTGCAAAATATGATTCTAAAAACAGGGATGATCCATTATTAATACATGCAGGTCTAAATTGAGAATTATAAACTTAGGTGTCACTGAATAAAAGCAATCTGTTTTTATCATATAAGGAAAATTGCAGAACGATAATAATGTAAAATCAATCACTTACTTTATGATCTCTTAATTGTAGAATCAAAAAAATTAGTAACTATTCCATAATATTACTTAGAGAATTTTTTATCATCTACATAAACACAGAATTGAAAACATATTTGCATCTATCAAAATTTTACTAAATCTTTAAAGAATTTCCTTGTATTTATTTTGAAAATCTGTAAAAAATATTCATATTGCATGGGAATATTTTCATAAAATCATGGTTTTGGTTTCAAAGCAGTGTTTAAATAAAAGTATTGAAATCGAAAACCATCTATCTGGAAAAGTATCTTAATCATAAAATAATAGAGTTGCATAATTGCTGAATTATCAATTTTTTAAAAAATAACAATTTGAGAAAATGCCTTCATATTGTAAGGATGCTTCCTATCAATAACTTTAATAAGCATTTATTGGAAATCAAAATTCAGTAATTTGTTTCCAATAATGCCAAAACTAACTTTACGATCTTGAATTGGATTAGTATGAGTTTACAAACAAAGGAATACCAATCATTCTTGATCTATGCATTACGAGATTATTGTAGGATCCTCAAAACCTTCAATTAGAGGGAATATTCAGGTTATGTTCTGCCCAAACTTAAGACAAATAATTTGAAAATTATTTAATCCAGAAACAGTATTCAGAAATACTAGATTTCGAGAACGTCCTAGTTATAGCGAATTTTATTAAGAGAGTTTTGGATAAATTAAAGTACTCAGTTGTTCCTTATTAATATTATAATTAAATATCTACTATGAAGCAATATTCTATTGAAGAAACTTAGGTATTGATTTAGCAATTTCCAAATTTGAATAGGAACTTATTTACTTTAATTATACTGTTTCTATAAGCAGTGGCTTAATATTCTCAAGTTAATAAGATGGGTCCAAGCAATTTGGCCATTGTATTTGGTATAAGTTTGTGTAGACCATAAGAATACGATTAATCAAATGTTTAAGAATAATATTTGAAGTATTATTCAATAAAGTATATTTAGAATTAAAATGGTAAATTAATTTATTTAATTCATTATTGAAAATGCATCCTAAATATTTCCAAACTAGAAAATCAGTGATTTTTTGCTTGAAACTGAGAATGAGCAAATTGAGTAAGATGAAATATAACAATAATGATACAATTATGGCATATCATGTATTTCACTCAATTAGATGTGTTATTAATACATAAATATAGTTTATAATAAATTATTTTAAAATATAATAATTGTAAAATTTCATATAAAATGAAATACGGGATATTTTTGTTACTTCTATTCAGAGTTAATTGCGAAAGCATAATAACCTCGATCAAAAATTATACGAATGGAATAATATAATCTTAAGTGACATAATAAAATTTAATGGAATTAGCCCCTCTATTTTTGCCTTTGGGAATCATATTTATCATTTTATTTTAGTTGATAAAATATTGTTTCAGAAGACAAATATTGTATGACTAATTACCTTAAAGTGAACAATAGGCGAGCAAAAATCGCAGCAAGAAAATAAAAATTCCTATAACACATAAATTACAATTGATTTTAATGAGATACTATTGCTAATTGATGAGGTTATTGACTATGTGATTAAAAAGTTTAATTATTAATTATATGTAATTATAAATTCAAATTTAAAATAATCCCCCAGCCTATTAGTTGTATGCATAATCTTCTAAATCATCTAGTTCTTCACTTTAAGCATCTTGATTAAATGAATCATTTTCAAAAGACATTTAATCTTCAAATTTATATTTTTAGTATTGTTGTTACTAGAATCAAAATAAGCAATACTTTTTATTAATTATGCTTTAATAGATTTGAAATAGAGTTAGAACTATTTAATTCAAAAGTCAAAGCACTGCACCATGAATCCAAATTATCTTGAACCAATTGATCGTAACTTCTAAATTGGATTTAATTATTAAATTACTTTAAATTCACCCAAACTTATTAGCTTAATGAGTATTTTTCGATGGATTGGTTATTGCCTCCACAAGCAAACAGATTATTATCAAAAATAACCAATTTGTTCCTCAAATCTCTTCCTTCATTCATTCTGCTCAAAGTCTTAACTACTTATTCATTAACATCATAAACTTGTAAATCATAAGAAAATCCTTGATTTGATCTAAAAATGAATTATATTTGTAATGTTTACCCTCCTCCTAAAATAAGAATCTTATTATCGTCATATGAGATAGCAGCAGCATTACTAAATCCTTGTTTAAATTTAACATCTAAAACTTTCCACTGATTTTCTTTTACTGAATATCTTTCAATTGTGTTCAATCTCTCTCTTCCATCAAAACCTCCAAATACATATATATATTTATTAATAGCTGCTGCTGCTGCAAAGGCACACTTTTGTTTTTATAAAGGATCAATTATTTTCCATTCATCTGAAGCCAAACTATACTTTTCACAACAGGATAACATTTGCTTAGCAGATCCATCATATCTACAAATGTTTAATTAATAAGAATACCCTCCTATAGCATATACAAAACCATCAAGATACACACAAGCATGCTCTTTTCTTGGAAAGTACATACTTTTTAATGCTTATGATTGAAAGCCTTTAGATGGAGATATTAACATTGTATTTCTACTGACTCCACCTCCTGTTATGATGATATCACCACTTGGCAGACTGACAGCTGCCGCATAATAATTATATTCTAATGTATTCTATTTTATATGTTTATTATACATTTGGCATTTGTTTAAAAGTCCATTCATTATTTTCAATATTGTAAATTAATATTTTGTGTTTATCTCCGAAGAAACATATTTATGGATTGGAGACATCTTTTTTGAATTATCCAAACTTTGAGATTTCATTAATTAATTTTTAATCAAAAACCAATTTTGGCAACTTCTTAATCTCACTAATCTTCAATTACTTTTGTTAAGCAACATCTCTATCTACTTACTCTTCTAGATCATCGATTTCTTTTATGAGATCATTACTTTTTAGAGCTTTAACTCCCTCTAGTGACTTAATTTATTAAATATACTTAGTTCTCCTTATTTTTAATCTAATTTTGTTGTTAAACTTGCCATATTTGTCAGTAAAGATTAATTAAATGCTAGTTCTTAATCTATCTATTCACATTCAGTATTAAATATTTTGAGTTGTTAATCTCTCAATTCTTGTTTTCTTTGTTCGACCTTCTTTATTAATCGATCAAATTGTTCTTCTAATTATTGCATCTAAATATTTGATGAATTCAATACCAATTTCACGTTTTCCAATTGCAATTGTTCTTTGCAATTATCAAACCCTTTTACCTGCTTTTCCAAAATCTCATATTGGGTTTTTAATTTCGATTAGATCTTTCCTAATCGATTTTATTATAAAGAAACTAATCATTATATTACTTTGATACCCGAATGCTCATATTTGAAAAACTTATGACCATAATGTTCTGCAATACATTCAGTGCACATATTCGTTTAATCATCCTCACAAAAAAATTATAAAGGAAGTTTTGTATGAATTGGACATAATTCGAATTTTTTTCTAATTATTATGCTATTAATTTACTATACTTCCAAATGCTTGGAAGCCAAATCCATAGCCACATAATTTTTGCTCAATAAATGTGGTTTTACATGCGGTTCATGCTTTGTTCTGCAAAGAGGACATTCTATTCTCTTATTTACATTATAGATTGATTCAAGACATATGGAACAGTAAGTATGACCACAAAGTAGATTTCTTGCCACTCTATTTTGGGCGTACAATTCCCAACACATTGGACATTCCATTATTTTATTTAAATTATTTATATTCCTCTAATTGTTTGATATATTAAAATTCTTGTTTAATAACACATACGTTCAAATTTCATAAAATTATTTAATATAACATCTAAAAGATAGATGATATATATATATTTCTACATTATTTATTAATATATCTAATCTTTATGAAATATAATATTAAATGAAAATAGAGATAAACTTAGTAGTTGAATAACGAATGCTATTCAAAACCTAGTTTATTTTATTAATAAGGCTAGAATAATTGCCTATCAAAAACTGTTATATTTCTTTTTTAAATAAGACAGATCATTACACAATAATAATAATAAATATATATCCTACAAGTATGTAATATCACTTAAATGAAAAAATATAAACAATTTTTATACTTAATATATTAACAGAAAATATTAGAATGATAATTACTTCTATAGAAGAAACATTAATTTTTAGAAAATTCCTTTAATAATCTCAAATTATAGGTGATAAATAAAAGATTTTCCCTAAATAATTTAATTTCTAATATGAAAACTTTTATTCCAATCCTAACACGTTATAATTTGATTAACTAACAATTACAATGATGATATAAAACAATCAACTTAAATGGATTCATCCAAATTATGCAGATGGATTTGATTCATTTTATTTTTTTTTCTTCATCATCTTCTTGAATAGGCTGTTCGCTATCATCCTCTTTTTAATTCATTTCTTTTTGTAGTTCAGAAAGCACTAAAGATGACCTGAATTATTAAGGACTACCTTAGAGTGTTAATCTAAAATTTATTATATCATATACTTTGCTGGTGGTGTTTCAACTGATTAGAGTTCTCTTGCATCCACACTGGGTTCTAATTAATCTTGATAATTTGATATTTTCTTGAAATCGGGTCTCTCTGTAAAGAAATTCAAAAGTATGCATTTTTCAAATCTTTCAATAGTCTAAAAATAAATAAAGATATTACAGAATGGTTAATTTAAGTGAAATGATTCTAGAATAAAAAGAATAAAATTCCTAAGAAGCCTGTTGAAATGAATGTCAATGATTATTGAATAAGTGTAAAAAAGATAACTAAAACAATAGGATAGTATTGATTTTTCAATTACATTGGAAATATTAAAAATAAACTTTATCCATTTGGAGCAGTCAAACATCTAAAATGATTTAAAAATAAGCGTACTCTTAGATGACACAGAAAATATAATAATTCCATAATCCATATGCTTTAATTGAATAAAATGGAGAGTAAATAAATGATAATATCCATTAAAGTAAAACACATATAAACTAAATGAATACAAGCAATATTTACTTGAGTGAGACATCCTAATACCACTATTAAAATGATGAAAAGAGCAGAGGAATGCTTTTATTCTAACTCTTCTAATTTTTTATACACGCAAATAATGGCAAGCATTAAATCAATGGTATAATCTATCATATTCCTAAAATAGATTTACAGTGAACAAATTGTGAAAAGAATAGTCTCTAAATTTAAAATGGTATTGTTTGCTCTGGAGAATTGCTGAATAAATCAAAGGCATAATCGCTCAATAAATCAATAAAACCAAATAACCAGGAAATTCCAATTACCAGTTTGGTACCAAATAAAAGTGATTGCCACCAGACTCTAAGAAATTATTCAAAATTGGCTTTTGCTAATCTATTAATGTCTTATTATTCTGAATTCATATACTTATAAAAATAATAATGAAGTATGATGTTAAAAGTAAGTTGATAACAAAAATGTATATCTAAATCACTTTTCAAATCGAATCACAATATTTCATAACAATCTCGGAATGAATTAAAATATTGGTTTTATGGTCTAGTATTATATTTATATATGTCTAAGTGTGTTAAAATACAAAAATTTTCAAATATTTTTTCTGAATTTTTGTATTCGATTCTTCAGGTCAAGGATCTAGAATGGTAATTTAATAAATTTGGTGGAATTGGTTGGGGTTGATTTGCTTTATTTGTGAGTTGTTAATGTTTTAACTTTTGTCAAGCATATTAAAAATTTATTTATGCTATCTAGATTGTGTGCATAGAAATTTACTACTTAAATCCATGGAGTTCCGATTAAATGTAATAGTTTGATCAAAATGATATAGTGTTGGAAGCAATGAAATTTGACATACCAAAAGTGTCAGAGGAACGATACAAAAATATAAGAACTCTTACATGTTATCTATAGGATCGATTGCATGACAGTTAATTGATGGACTTCGTGAGGGATGTCTAGTTGATAAAGGAGAAGGTATTGATGTGTCTTAATGTTTGTTTAGGAGTATACTAACACTTTACAATTGAAATCTAGTATTTTCAGACTTTTTAATTAGTGTATGATATTATTGTTATTGCAGACCAAGTTCTAGATCTCGTACCATTGGCCTTGAGAATCGATCTGTAAGAATTGCAGCCGGAGCATTTTTATGATGATTTTGACAGAATAGAAACAGAGATAAAAAGTGAATATACTTGTTTTGTTCAGAATCGAGCAAGTCTATTTTAGCCATAGAATAAAAGTCTAACTGATTTCATTTAATATAAACGTAAACATCATAAATTGAAAATTGAACAAGACGAGAAAGCTCCTGCTTTTTCGTAAATAATTGATGATAGTTTGATTAACACTTTATTACCAAGATAGGAGGAGACCGAGTCATACAATACAAGTAGTACAGATGTCGTTAGGAATCAATTGGTATTAGCCAGGAATTCTAGACTGATGAACAAACATATAAAATAGAAGGATGAGAGTGAACTCAGAACCCCATTACAATTGAAATAGATCGACAGTGATGGGGAAATCAAGGAAACCAACGAGGTCTGCTTATACAACTTACCCTACATATTGGAAGAGAAATTTAAAGAGGATTGCAGAGAGTACTTTGAGTCAAGATTCGGTGAGATAGAGTCCATTGAATACTTCGAGTATTGCAATTTCAAGAAGCAAATTGATTAGATAGCAACAAACAAGACTGATGAGAACAAGGACTTCTATAAGAGTTTGGATTAATTGAGTTCAACAAAGAAATTATTGGATAGAGTAAAAGTGAATAAGAATAAGAAATTGTATAAATCTTATGCTGTGATCAACTTCAAAAACAAGGAATCTAAGTAGAATGCTCTGTATCAGGACTTGAGGATATTTGGCATAAAATTCAAGGACTTACAACTAAGGATTGATGATGCTGATCACAAGAAACTACTCTACATCAACAATTTATCAAAGTTTTCAAATGTGAAATATTTGGTTGAGTACTTGAACATGCATTTAGGCATCCAATTTGAGCCTCTTGATGAAAGAATACAATTGTAGAATAATATAGTATGTTTGATTTTGAAGGACTTTGAAGAAACGAAGGAGGCGTTTAATAAGTTGAACAATTTGACATTTTCAGTAAAGTTATTTAATATTTGTAGAGATTCAAAATGAACGCATTTCATTATCCTGATGGTTTGAAGTATGTGGGTAGTAGGATTGCTGAACACTTTAATAGTAATATAGCCCTTTTGCTTTTGGAGCAGAATCTGTAAAAGTTGAGATTCGAGATGGATCAATATTGGAAGGAAGTGCAATTCGAGAAGTAAGATCGAGAGATAGTTACTAAAGAGCCTCATTAACCTGTCAGATAGGAGATTCATTCGACTGATATGCAATAATGCATAATGGAAATGATTGAAGAGTCTTATCAAGAGGAGGAATTTCAATTAGAGCTCTTTGGTTTGGTTTGGGATGAAGAAGCTCAATACTGATTATAAATATTAGCAAGAATTTTTTGTTTATAAATTTATTTAATTAAATTATATAAAAATGTATTATAAAAATGGCAGATTTCGAATTTCCAACATCTTTGGGAGATTACAAAGGAGAAGATCAAACGAAGAATAAGACAGCAGCATAAATTTACAAGTATTTGACAACTGTGAGTACAAATCTAATTGACGAGCCAGAAAAATTGAATGAGTGTACAACATGGTTGGACTTTGTGTACTTTTCAATTAAGAATGGAAACACTACTTAATAAATAAACAATGTTCTATCAGACATATTGAAGAATCAATTAGACAAGGCATATTTGGGAACTCTGAAATTGGGATCCGAGAGAATAACAGTGTTTTTGGCCTGTTGTTATTTGTGTTGGCATAACTAGATTGAATAATAGGAACATATAAAAGTCTTAAAAAGTTTTGTAAAATACATAAAAATAAGCAAATTAATACAGGAATGTTTTTCTATGGTGATGTCAGTGGCAACATCGAATTGTCAGAGTGTAATAGCACACCAAATAGTGGCATTTCTACTGAGTTAAAACAACGAACATTATTTCAACAATTTGGTTGTTGCATTTTCTGCATAGAACATCAATTGTGTACCACTATTGAGAAGATTAAATAGATAGAAATTAGAGAATGAAGATGAAGACACTTAGATTAGATTTTAGGAATTGCTACCGACATCCAACTCGACGTTTATTGAATGTGTAATATTGGAATATCTAACTACAATCAAACCTCTATATGCGAAAACAAGTAGAGAAGTCTTACTTCAGTTGGTGAGATACTTACCAGACTTTTTTACCTAGAATAATATTCTGCACACATTGTTGAAATTATATGATAAGGAGTAATGGATGATTAGAAATACAGTGACAATGACCTTGGGGGAATTGCTACGTTAATCAGTATTTATGGAAGATGTCGAGGAGAAATTATTGTAATTGTTATTATTGAGAACTCATGATTCACATGTTCATGGAAGATCCTGTGTATTGTATGCATTAAAAGAGTTGATAAGTTCAAGATCAGTGAAATTGAATGCCGAGATATTGTACAAGGCAGTTGAGAGATTGAAGGATAAGAGTAGTTCAGCTAGAAGAGCAGCCATATCTTTGTTGGATTCAATCATCAAGGCTTATTCAAAATAGTATGGCATTATGACATTCAAATCATCTCAGTTGGAGAAGAATAGGAAGTTGTTGGAGTTGGAGAAACAGAAACTCATTGAAGATTGTTAAAATCTGTAAGAATAATTGAATAAGAATTAGATCGATATCAAATATTATTTAGATAATTTGGAATCCCAATTGAATTCCTGTAGAGATCGAGAATAAAAGTTGAAGGCACAACAAGTATTCCAGAATTAGATATCTATTGCCATGCCTGATCTTATTAAGATTGCTCTCAGTAACATCCATACCGAAAGTAAGTGTGTTCTACAAGTGTTCACTACTCTTATGATCAATCATCAAGAAGGAATGATTGAATATGTTAAGTAAATCTTAGTGTTGGTTTATCAAGCAGAATTACAGGAAGATCTAAATAAACTTATTTTCAATTCTTTTGTTAGAAATTACTCCAAGTTGATTAAGCTAGTAGAAATTTGTGACATGTTAGAAATCACTTGTTTGGAACAGTTGTTCAAATCATTTAAACAGAAGAATCTACAACTCAAAACTGCAGATGTGTGGGATAAAGCATGGGATTACCTAAAACAATAGAAATATATATTGCCTAATTTGAGATTGATTAGATTCATTGGAATTATGGATGATGCCTAATTATATGATAAGTTATGCTACTTGCTAAGACACTTGAAAGACACAAAACAATTCAGTGAAATAACTGAAATTATACTCATTATTTAAGAAATACCTGTTGAAGATGTCCATCAAATTTATATTAAGGAAATCATCAAATCATTATAAAATTACGATGGAAGTGATCTAGAGTGGTTCAGAGCATGTGACACTTTCATTAGATTCACAGTTGAAAAGATTCAGAAACCAGAAATCACTTTGCTAGAATTCTTGAATTCAATTCCAATTGCAAACATACCTCAATTGATGTTCGCAAGTAGTACTATCGGATTAAAACTATATGTGTATAGTGAGAAGATGATCAAACAGTATAGGAAAGAGAAGACTCAACCTTTAGATGAGTTGGATCAAATGGATAATAGTATACAAGAACATATGGATGGAAAGATCAAAGAATTGTAAGATCTCTTTGAGAAAATGGGAGATCTCAGTGAATACAGTTCTAGTGCTGAAGCCATTTGCAAGAATATGATAACTGATTCGTACAAAGAAAGAAATCTAATGATAGACCAAATCAGTGTCATGTCGTTGTTGTAATTCATGATCATTTCTAAATCATGCACAGTCAGGAATATCAAAACCATCATGGAAATCTTAGATTGCTAACAAGTCTAATCCATTATTAAATGTAACATCATTACCATGCTTAGTGATATCTATTACAGGTACTCAGATCTAATTGACATCAATAAAGTCTTATAGAAGATGGATGACAAGGTTCTTAAAGTCAGAAGGACTGCCATCATTATTGTATCTCATCTGATGTTGATGGAATTACTTAGAATTGATGCCTCTTAAATTGCCAAACACATCAATGATTAGGATTAAACCATCAAAAAACATGCCAAAATCTTCTTCGTTGAATTATACAAAAAGGATAGTCAGAAATTTTATTAGGTTCTACCTGATCTAATTACTTCAATGGCTCATAATTATCAAGTCTCAGAGGAAGATTTCAAAATATTTGCCAAAGAAATCATCCCTTTAGTCCAAAAAGACAAACTTTAAGAATAGATACTCGAGAAATTCTTAAACAGATTCGATATCTTTGATAGAGAGGCATCCCTTAAAAATAGAAGCATTATGCAAAGAGTCCAAGAAGCCAAAGAAGATATTATACCTTATAATCCTGTATAGCTAACTGCTGAAAGGGAATGTGTCTACTTGTCCTATTGTTTGCTTTATCTTAAATTTCATCTTGAGAACCTCAGATTACTTGTAACCAATTTCCCATAGTATAAAAAAGTACTCAAGAATCCAATCATATAGGAATAGTTTAAATAGATTTATCAAAAATGTAGAAAGGCAGCTTCATCCTGTAAAATGAATGCCAGAAAAACTGAGGCCATCCAATAATCACACGAATTCTCTTAGTTATTGACCATATTTAAAACAAACTTAGATTCAGTAGATCCTTAATTAGAAAAACTTCACTCAACATCACATAATCAACCATAACAAACTAATTAGTAATAAGTAACCAAACCCAAAAAGATTCAAACTCAATATAGGCCTCCTAAAAAGAACACCAAATAATAGATAAGGATACCAGACTCCGATGATAGTAGTAGTATGGAATTAGAATATTGATTGATTTAATAATTATATATTCACAGACAATTTTACACATTTAATTTAATCTATCCTTCTAATTGTATTTATATCTTATATTTCAAACTGAAAATAAATAAAATTAATCGTATCAATGCTAAGCTATAATATAATAATATTACGATTATTTAATATAAACTTTAAATATAAAATATTAAGATTGGATATAACTATTAAATAATTAAATTCATTAAATCAAATCATCACACTGAATGCAGCCAAATAATCTAATAACAAAGTTGAATAGTTTTGTTAGAGTGTTTGAAGATCTAAAAATAAGATTTCTTATTCATCACTTTGACATTTAAACCATAATTCATTTTAAACCTGATGGTGAGATAGGATAAATTCAAAGGGGACTTTCTAATTAAAAACTCTGTGCTAGAATTATTGATTACGATAGACATTCTATAATGTTGAGAATCCTTCCGTTTAGGAATATTCTGATGCTAATTTAATAGGTTGAGAAGGTTCAAACTTATCATTAATTTCTGTAAATTTTAACATGTTTACTTCTTTCTCTTTTTATCTTTGCTCAAAGATGATCTCATTTAAATAATCCTTTTCTACCTTGTATTTACTTTTATAGGTGTTAATTTTAATTGGGTTCAGCTGTTATTGCCTTATGTGCATCATTCGATTGAAATCAAGAGTTTGTGATACTTTCTACACTTTGAACTTGTTTAGATCCTTGGACTCACTTTGTTTAATAGGTTTGAAACTGACACTTACTATTTGAACATCATCATCATCATCATTGATTTAGAAGGTCTCCTTTTTCTAAACAATTTCATCAGTATCTAACTCGATGTTTATAATTTCGGCCTCTTTGATTTAGACTTGAGTGAATCTGTTTCTAATATGTACTCTTATGGGTTCCTCTGGTTTTTTAGGTTGTTTGGCTTTTTCTACTTTCTTCGCTATCAATTTGTAATAATTTTTATAGGCCAAATATCTTTCGAATCGACTATAGAAAATATAGATAAAGTAATGGTTACCCAATTAAAAGCAAAGAGGCAGCACTGAAACTAGACATGGGTTCCCAAGTATGATGCTTTTTGTCGTATCCAAGCCATTTGACTGCATAATCGACCACATTCCCTTTATCTAATCTCTTACCGAAGACATATTCTACTTCATAATGTTCTTCGTTATTGTCCATATTTTAATAATTGAGTAAATATTTAGGATGGTGATGTTTATCAAATTTTAGCATACATAATAAATATCATTAAAAAAAAGTATCATTATTTTTTTAAGAATTATAAAATTGACGTTAAACCTTGTTATTTACTTTTTGATTTGGAATTTACATTACTTTACGAATTACTATTAGTTTATTGTAGACTCTTGTACTTTCTTTTCTTGGGATTCATTTCCTTATCCAAATTCTCAGCAATATGAAAATCATCATGAGATTCCTTGTCCTTCTTCATAATCTCCTGTCCACAAATCGAACAACTATAATAATCATCAGGAGAGATCATTTTTCCTTGCATTTCTGCCAACTTTGCTTATTTCTCGTACTCCTACTGTTCTAAGATCTTCTTAAAGAACATGGTAATGGGATTCTGAATGCCTTGAATCATAGGCTTAAAATATCTGCAACTGATGCCAATATGAATCAAGGGGAACATTTCATTGTCCTGGATTTGATTCAAGATGGAATGAACTCTTTCCTCTATGGTCAACCTGAAGCTTTCGATGGGCAGAGTAAGATAAATGGGTTCGCTTTTTTAATGTGATCCCTTTTCAACATTGTGATAATGTATAACTAGAACTGAAGGTACTAGATTGGAATCCTCATAGTAATCAGTTACTCTCATTGTAATATCGTGAAGTATGAGTTCTAGAGATTGGATAATGACTTCTCTTGAGGAGGTCTTCTTAATATTTTTTAAGGACAAGATAGACTTGTTTTTCAGATCTACTTCTTTTTTGACAATTTCATCATCATATCCTCTCAATTTATCATAGATATATTGAGCCTTATCTCCAAACAAAGATTAAAGTTCATAAATGGATAGAGTCTACGCTTATCCAACAGTTTTTAGTCCACTTTCAAGAAGTGCTTCTTGTACTTTCCCTCCGAATCCTCTAATTTTATTGATGCCGATATTAGATATACATTCAGGGAGCATACATTCCAAGATGATAGTCTATTTGTTGGGTTTGTTGGTGGCTGATGCTAATTTGGCTAACATTTTATTGAAAGAAATTCCTGCACTACATTTATACTTGGTTTCTGTGTAGATGGCATCTCTTATATTCTAACATAATAGGGATGCTCTCCTTAAGAGATGATCCTATTCTGTTAATTGATAGTCTTCAGGCAATTCTTTCATTAAATGACCGTAGAATTGTTGTGCCTCTATGTCTTCAAGTTCTTTCTCACTAACCTAGATGTACCCTTCATCTGTTCCTCCCTTTTCAACACAATTGCAAAACCTTTTAATGGTTGTGAAGATCAACTTGCTTTCTTGTCTATAGTATCTGAGACTCACTTTCTCTTCATATTGATTATGTTAAATGTATTTGTCTTTGAGAGTGGAGAATACCATCTTGCCATCGATCACTTTGAATGTTTCCACATGAGGCAACATCACATTCGGACATAGTTTAATGGCCTCTTCACTCAACATTCCTCTTTTGATCCCTGCATCTCTGGCGGGATAATTAATAGCGATTAAGCTATTCCATTATCTGGCACAAACTGGTTGATCTTCAGGGATGTTCAACAGTTTTTACTCTGCCTATGCATAATAAGCGTCCATGTCTATGTGAATGTATACTTAGAGCAAAGAATTCATAATATAATATTAAAACAAAACAAAAATATATTATATTTCAACAACACCCTTACTTTTTATTCCCAGAGGTTGTTATTTCTAAATCTAATTTCTCCCCTTGCAAATGTGACATCTGATCATACTTTTACAACTGTTTTGTTAGATTCTGATAAATTTCTATTTTATATAGAATTTAAAACATTGTATAATTTGTGTAAATGCTTAGTCTACATTGGTACCATCTTGAGCACTAGCTTCCATAAATGCGACCTTGTACATTTGAGCCAAATCCTGGCCAGACTCTGTTCTTATTGCTCTCAAATGTTTTAAATCGGATTTGTTTCCAATGATCATTATCACAATATCTTTGTCTGCATTCTCCCTCACTTCCTATATCCACCTTTCCACAGATTCGAAACTTTGTTTGTTTGTTATATCATATACTAGTACAGCCCCAATTGCTCCTCTGTAATACGCAGAAGTAATGGCTCGATAGCGTTCCTAAGTTCTCTTTAAGGCACTTTACCTGTCCTGCTGTATCCCAAATCTGGGCCTTGATGATCTTCCCAGAGATTGAAATTGATCGAGTAGCAAATTCAACGCCGATAGTAGTTTTGGAATCTGGATTAAATTGGTTTTTTGTAAATCTCAGTAGCAGATTGGACTTCCCAACTCCGGAGTCCCCTATTTTGAAATTAATGAACTCTTTTACCTGAAAGCACCACTTTAAATAAATAATCATAGTCGTCTTCGGCTTTGCTCATTTTTAATTAATATGGGTTAATAAATATCGAGGTTTTGCAAATATTTCAGAAGCAAGGATTCCAAAGTCTATCAACAATAAAACTCAGGATCACTCTCATAACACAGATCAAAGATTTTAGTGCAAAATAACTCCGATGGCTATGGCTCAGAATCTGAATAACCAATACATCATGTTCGATAATCCAAGACAATCAAATGGAAAAAGGGGGAATTGATAGGTCAAGGCTCATTCGGAAGAGTCTTCAAATGTATGGACATCAATTCCGGCAGAATTTTAGCTGTAAAACAAATTGCCTTAGGCTATGTAGACAAAGAGAGTCTAGAGTCCTTTCGTTAAGAAATTTAAATACTTAGCTAACTTAAGCACAAGAATATCGTTGAATATTATGGTTGTGAAGAAGATGACAAGAATTTAAGTATTCTCCTTGAATTCGTCGGAGGTAACTATGTCTTCTATTCTATTCCAAGGAGGTTCGATTGCTCAAATGATGCGCAAATTCAAATCCAAACTCTCAGAATCGATCATCCAGAAATATGTCACTGACATTCTACACGGTTTATTCTATTTGCACCACAAAGGAATCATTCACAGAGACATCAAAGGAGCCAATATAATTGTGGATACTAAAGGAGTATGCAAATTGGCAGATTTCGGTTGCAGTATCATAGGCCAAAGTGCATATTCTCTCAAGGGAACTCCAAATTGGATGGCTCCTGAAGTAATCAATTAATAAGAGACTGGAAGATACTCAGACATTTGGAGTCTAGGGTGTACTATCATTGAAATGCTAACAAGTGAACCTCCTTGGGGAAAATTCTAATCCCCCATGCAGGCATTATTAACTATTTCATCGAAACAATGTTCACCTCCTATTCCAAATAATATATCTGATCAACTTAAGGATTTTTTAAATAAATGTCTATAGTTTGATCATAAAAAGCGTTGGTAAGCAAGAAAATTACTGAAACATCCCTTCATTATTAATTTCAATAAGAAGCCTTCCAAAGGAGAATCAAATCCATCACAATTCAAAGTCTTCGAAGAAAAGAGTGACATAAATTTGTTTGTTGCTCCCCATATTGATGATCCACGAAAAGATCTAGAATATTTAGATAAAGAATAGAATCCTATGATATTCTCTGTTTAATCTTCTGGATTTCACGATGAAAACCACAATTTTTGATTCCAAATTTAGTTTAACTACTTTTATGTTAACTTATTTTAATAACTTAAATGAAATTGAAAATAGTTCTCTTGTTTACAATCAACTGTCTAGTATCTCTAAGCACCTTCTCTCTAGCCTCATAAAACAGTACAATCTTCAATCCTTATTTTAGATTAATCCCTTCTAAAATTGAATATTCCTTAATCCTCGATATAAATACCAAATACATAGGATATTGAAATGGCAATTTGCAATGCATTTCAAATTTTAAGCAAATGATAGAACCAGCTGTGGAAAAGCATGGTAAAATGCTGTAGACCTTCATAATGCATAACTGAGTGGTATTGTGCTCAAAATTACAAAGATAGAATTCCATTTCCTGGGTGTTCAGATGATGAAAATTGATTAAGATTAATACCTTATAGAAAGATTCTTGAATTTAGATTAAATTATTAAAAAAAGCAAATTCTTATGATTATTGATACTATCCTATAAAAAGTATAATCAACTATTATTTAAATACTTTCATTTATTAATAATATATTTAACACATAATTTTAATGTCATAATTAAGTGCTTATAATCTGTAAAAATAGTTATCATAATCATAAGCCTTGAAGAATTTTCGAAACATAATGAGGTTGAAATACTATCGTATAAAGTGAATTTTTTATAGAATATTAATGTTTTAGAAATTGATCCTGTATTCTCCAATTTCACTTAAAAAAGAGTCCTTGATAATAACTTCTTATCCAAACATTTGCATACATGCAATTCCTTTATTTAGAAAGTCTAAAATTAGTCTGTCTAAACTGCAATTGGTATAATTCATAATTATTTAGCTACTATGGGTGTACCTTTCGCTCCAGAATTGAATGAGATTAATTTAAAAAATGAAGATCAGGTTTATAATTTTATAACTTAAAATCTCAAAGATTCCTTTACTATTTATGAAATACAACACAATTCAAGTACAATTTGCATTAGCTTTTGTCCTGAATTAGATTCTTTTTGCATCTCCTCTGGAACACAAACTATTGTTTGTTATAATGAAAAAGATATTCATTTATATTAAGAACCAATGCATGAGAGACCTAGGCAAGCAGCCTATTAATTTTTTAGCTTTTTCAATAGGATGCCAATAAAATAGTAGAATAATTTTATTCAAGATTTGATGAATAGAAGTTTAATAGGTAGCTACAACCTTAAAAAATAGATTGAGTGGTTTGCTATAGTTGAGCATTATTCAAACTAGAGAATGGTCGATCCAATTACAGTTAAGAACTTTCTAAATCATTACAAACTAGTTGCTGCTTAAACTTAATTTACATCATCAAGTAAATTACAATAACATTTTTATTAAATTTATAATCAACCCATTGAATAATTTCATGTCTATTATAAAGGTAAAACCTTATATTTTTGGAGAGATAATACATTTCTTGGATGTTGTTTCATTCCATATCGATAATACTCAATTCTAAATCAATTCAAATCAATATTATTTAATAAAGAAAAGTAAAATTAAAAGGATGAACCTTATAAATACTTAACTCAATTCAATTTAAATGATTAGGATTTTGAATTTTATAAAAAATACACAGATTTGATGTTGGAAAATCCAGAAGCTATTAAAAACAGAAATCATTTTTCCCAATTATCCTCTTAGATCTTAAAATCTATTCGGTAAAATGTCTATTATCAATAAGAATAATAAAATAATATTATTACTAATTAATTATCAACTAGTATTGTTGTAATTCCTATAGGAATTTCAGGTATGGGATACGAAAAGTTGTGTTCATTTATTGTAAAAGCAGGCTAAAGAGTTTAAATTATTAACAAGGCAGACTAAATTAATGACAAAAATTAACTGTATTTTTATGAGAAGATATGCAATCCAAAAGAATTGGAATAAATCAATAAATAGTTAAAATCATTGCCATTTACTTTAAAAACAATTGCTCTTCTACCAGAATGCAATTTCCCATATCATCAAAAGAATTCATAATTCAAATTTCCATTTTCTTTCAATTTTATCATGTTTTGCTTGCTATCTGTTCTTGATGATAAGAATGCAGTTAGATAAGTCATAAATTAGCTGAAGGAATTTTAAAATTATAAGTTATCTAATTTTCAAACAGATTTTAAAGTGTATTGTCGTTTTATGCCAGAATCAAAAGAAACAGATGATCTTTATAGTGAATTGGTTGAACAAGATTTTTATACTGCATTAAATTCAGAGGATGATTAACTAATCGAAAGCTTATCCTAATATAAAGAAACACATAGGAATATAGAAGATAACTTTTTAAAAGATTAATCAAAGAGAGTCATAGCAGCAATAGAGGAAAATTCTCAAATGCTGATAAGAAAAAGTGTTTAATTTTAATTAGAAAGAAATGATAACTTATAATATGGTTTATTTATTGAGAATCCAGATTGGAATGTCATTGATAATTTTATAAAGTCTTGCTTGGAAATCATAGTATAAGATTATCCTAATGATACAGGCATTAATAGGATGTATTATTAGTATGACATATAATTCAGACCTTAAAACGCTGTGTTTATGAAACTGAGCCAACCATATATGGAAACTAATTAACTATAAGAGAAAACAATAGAGGCTAAAGTTTCAATAGCAGTGATCATAGTGGATGGGATTGTTATGTTGCACCCTTAAGAATTAGGATTAGATTTACTATAAGATATTCCAATATATTCTCGTAATATTGATAGTTCAAAAAGCAATAAAATTTCAGAGCAGTTAAGAATAGATGTAAGAAAAATGTAGAAATAAAATGCTGCAGAAGGATAAATTTAAAAAAAATAAGTAGAGTTCAATAGAAAAAGCTGGATTGCTTATATGGTTAAATATAAGCCAATTAACATAAAATTAGTAGGGAGACAAATAAATTGATTATTATAATTATTGTAATTAATTCATTGATTCAAATAATTTTTAGATTCACCTTCATAGCTAAGATGATTTTTGAAGGAATCTTAAAAAAGTTGCAAATAAAGAATCGTAAAATAATACCACATATCAATCCTAAAGGAATTAATCATATTTCGTATAATTTAATATTGATAAAATGTGCTTACTATATTCCCTATATTTGGTTACAATATTTAGATGGATTTTAAGATATATTCTTGAATAGAATGAATTGTTAAATATTAACAACTATTTAATATTTATTTTAAGCATTCCATCTACATTAAAATTACGTATGTCTATACAAATAAATATACAAATTCTTCATTCGCTAACCACTTTTTTTTTAGTTTTTTCTTCTTTCCTTTCCTTTTTTTCAATTATTCTCTGTTTTTCCGTCTAATTTTATAACATTACTCCTCCAAGAATAATTAATGAAACTAAACCAATTAGCACTGCCAATAATACAATGTGTACTAGTTTAAATTCTTATTCATTTTGCTACATCACTATTAAGTATTTCTTACTTTAAATGGGAACAACCAACTTACATCTCCCAAGTACTTATAAATTAATGATTATCTATTTATTGACATTTGATAAAGAATTTGTAGACCTTTTGCCATTACACTAGCCAAAAATACAAAAAGGGGTGTAATAAACACCAAAAGCCAAATAAACATTACCTGCTGAGAAAAAAAAGAAAACACTTGCCCTAGAACCATTTTAATTAACTCTTATTTTATTTAAAATAATTCTAAAAAGAATATTTTTTTATTTTATTGCACTTCTTTACATATATTATCGATTAAATTAATATTTTCCTTATTCATAAAGTTAAGCTCTTTAATTAAGTTAAAATATTGCTCTGACAATTGCTCTATATATCTTATGAGCAATGCTGCAAATTTAATTGGATATTAATAATTACTAGGGATAACAAAAAGTAATTATAAGTATATGAGCAAATTGGAATTCATAATAAAGGAAATTGAAGACTATTTTAAATTGGCGTCAAGTACTCAAGTAATATATTGAGAATATTTACTAATCCAGAAATAAATCATAATTTTGATAAATTTTATTAAATAATTAATCTTCAAAATAATATCGTATTAATTGTTTATTTGATTAAATTTATTTATAAAAGTTTCGATTAACAGACGAAGAAGGAGGCCTTGATTTGAATTTGTGAATGAGGAATGAGATCGATAAAACAAAGTCAATTCTGATGATTGCTACAGAATACTACAGATAAATGGAAGAATAATAGTATAATGTTAAGTGAATCATCTTCTAGTTTTATTCTTTTAATTGGTTTATTTTGGTAAATTCAATCAATATATTGGAGGAATAGACTTATTACTATCTTTCTTCTTTACATTTCAAAGGCAAATTGAATTAGATTGAATTATTATAGATTAAAGTATTTTAAAGTATAAATCAAATATAATACAATTGAAATCAATTGATAATTTATATGCCTAAAATTTATATTATTTATTTAAGAGGATCCGAATGGCTAATACTGTTTAATTCTTACTTTTCGAATAAGATGTTTTTTTGATTTATAAGTACATTTTAAATATATATTAAATATAAATAAAATTATGGGGGTTTGTGCATTAACTAAGAAGGAATCATCAAGAAAAATAAGAAAAGCTGAAGTTGGTTTGATTTTGGAGTGTGTTACATAAGAATCTTAAGTCAATGAATCTTACATGACTTTAATAGGCCAGACTTAAACTGTATTTGAAAATTTGTTAAATAACAAAGTTATCAGTCGAAATATTGGCTAGGCTGAATACGATTTCTATTCAAAATAAACAGAGGAATTGAGTCTACTGAACACTTATCTCTAAAATTACTACAATAACTATTACAGGATTGTAGTTTCTAACATCAAAAGTGAAAACCTGTATTATTTTGAGAATCTAAATCTTAAATTCATAATCCAACTCTATCTGGCTATGAAAACAATCAAAAATAACGGAAAGGATTGGTGGAATTAGTAGACATTTTATTCATTGGAAAAATTAATTACAAATAGATTCAACGTCTTTCCTAAGGTGGTTTAGGAAGGAAGGATAACACCATTCTTAAACTTTATACTCCTTTTAATGAAGTTGAGCATAAAGTTAATGAAGATGGAGGGGATGACTCTTCAAGAAAAAGAAATATAGCCAATTTATGATACGAAAGGGTCAATTCTTTACAATTAAATCAAGTTAGAATTATTGATTTGAATCTTATTCTATATTTTACTATCTCTAAAAGTGTCTAACTAAAAATTATTACAATGAAAAATTAAAACGTATAAGTCAATATAAAATTAAAATATTTATATAAAATTAATTTTATAGAATCAAAATTAAGGTTTCGATTAATTTACAAAATTTTATAATAAGAATTCTCTGCTTGGTAGTTATCTGAACATATTATGCTTACTTGAGATTATTTTTGAGACTTTCTGGCTAGTTGCTGGACTCTAAGATCTTAATTACACTTCACTATTATTAGTCTCTAATTTTCTCCTCTTTAAAATAATAAATAGAAATTTTTACTGTTGAATTTTGAGGAGATTATACAGTAGTCGTACATTTGTCAACTAATGATAATCTATTATTAAAAAATAAAGGAACAGCTTTGTATCCAGTTCTCACTCTTTCTTTTTAAATTTATTATGACATTTCAAACATCTATATACAATCTTGTTTTGGAGAAAGACTTCTTAATGCTTTTTTCTATCTCTTTAATAAACTATTATTTTATTTCCTGTTTTTGCTTTTTTCAAATTAGTTTGGTTGAGAATATATCTGTTCATATCTCACTACACTTTAGCATAACAACCGCTACTTTAAAATTGGATATTCTTTTAGCAAAGTTAAAAACTCTATATATTATATGATTATGTACTATTTCTGCTTTTATCACTAAGAGTGACACTGTAGAATTACTCACTGCTTTTATAAACCTTACTCTATTAAAAAAAACTTCATATTCTCCAAATATTTAATTTTCTACTAATATTTTTAACTATTTTTTATCTCTTTGAAGCTATGAATTTACAATATCAAGTTACTTTGATTTCTCCTTCTCTAATCAAGTACACAAACTTGCTCTCTTCATTTTCCTTATAGATCACATGTTTAAAAGGGAGAGATATCAAAAAAAAATGTTTTGAGATTCTTTCAATGCTATTCCGAGGAAAATTCGGGAAGAGGGTTTTTCTTAAAAAATCAATAATTATATCCGCTCTTGACTCCTTTAGTTGACTTAGACATTAACTAAAATTTGTTTTGACTGACAAAAAATGAATATCAGATTGAGCAAAAATAATAGCTTTTTCATGTGCTGGAATGACTAAGAAATTCGGTAGTTTGATATATCTTTTTGGTAATTAATACTAGCCAGCAATAATGAAATAGATTCCTTCTTGTAGAACTATTGAATTATCTGAATTGATTTTTTCATATACACAATCTCTTGCTAATTAATCAACCAATTAGTTTGTTTGATAATAGTTATAAATAAATTTTCTGATGAATGATTCTATTTCTATCTAATCTGTAGCAGATTTTACTTCTTTTTCTACGATTTTAATAAAGTCGTTCATCACACTTTAAATAACAATAAATTAATAATAAATCGTTTTGTATCAATAAATAAACTAAATTAATAACCAATCACTTTGTCCTAGCTTTAAGTCTGAATTTAATATAAAATATAGTAAGTATTTTAAGTTGCAATTCCATTAATAATTAATAAAAATTAACTCCTTAATTTAATTGATATGATATATTTTAATCCCTGTAATCAGTAAACTATTGGTTATTTACTCAAATCTATGATTATTATTCTTAATAATCATTTGAGTTCTGAATTTGTAGTCAATTGGATATGTTTTATTTAAGAAATTAGATTGCATTTGGCTTTCATGAAAATGGAATATCATAAGAATCTTTATAAAAGTACATAAAATACCAACAATGTCATACTAAAGATTTAAATAATATCTGATTATATAAAAATATTCGATAATATCTTTATATATACAAACATTATGGCGAGATATTGAATGAAAGAAGAAATTTATTAAATGAAATTAAACTCATCATATAAGTTAACAAAAAGAACAAAGTTAACAAATTTAACAATCTTGATTTGGTAAGTCATTATAAGTGTCTCTTAATTATTTGACTAATTAATTTATGTAATTTATTACTTTCTTTTGCAAACAAATCTGGCAATTAAGGCTAATTTCTAAAAATTTACCAATCATTAATCGTATCTCTTGCAATCTCCATCAAGCTAATCAATGAAAAAGCTGCACTTCGCTCTTATTCGTAATCAAAATTATCTCCTTATTGTATAATTCCTTCTACCACTTCCATATATTTGTCTAAAAATGTTTTTAAATTATTTGCAGCCTCACCTAATGATAATGCAGAGACTTTCCTTAAATAGTAATAAAATAGAACTTGCTTTAACAAGAGATATCAGTAAAATTGTTTAATGATTTAGAAAACTATCTTTAACAGAACAGATCATTTATTTCCCTTATGTTTATTTGGATTTCATCTATGAATTACTAACCTAATTTATCAAAACTATTAGGATGATCATTTTAAAATCTTGCAATATCCCACCTTTCAACCATTGAAATTATATTTTAATAATAAATATCTAGACATAAATAATAAGATTATATTCTCTTAATCACAATTTCTAATCCTATTCATCTTAAGAGATTATTACTGAAATCCCTAACAAATAGAATCTAAAACTGGATATTATCATAATATAATATTCATTTACTTAAATTAAAATAATATTCAAGATAATTAACCTCTCCTGTAGGCCTAAGAGAGACTTTCAGCTGATTTGAATGAATTTAGTTATCTAGTAAACTCATCTAGAGATTTCTTCTCAAATTTCATTTGATTTTCTTTCTTTATATTATCCCTTTACATCAATTAACTTGAGGTTATTAATTTAAATTCCTAGTTCCATCTTTTCCCATTTGTTGTGATGTTATTACTTGATTTTCGCTCACTAACATAAGAAGGACTAATAGAGTCATCACTTATCCTTTAATGTACAATTTCTCGTTTTGAAAGCTAAGGCTGCATTCTTTGGGAATGATTTGAATTATCTCTGCCTCTTTAATTTAACTAGTATTGTTTAAATAGATCGATTGGAGATGATTAATCCAGCCAATCCATTTAGGAGATTTCCAATAAGTTAGAATTTTTACAATTCAATACATTGCTTACGTTCAATTCTTTTTCTAAAACTGTTTCATTTTTTGGCTTTCGTGATATTATACACCCTCCTCCTCGTTCTGGTTTACAATTTTCTTTGTCTTCCTTTTTTTTCTTTTTTTGTTCCATCTTTATAGCTGACTCATTTTATTCTTGAGAAATAGGTAATAGTGATTAAAACTCTTATAATTCTCTCATTTGCTCCTACTATTATTCCTAAATTTGATATTCTAATAATTCTAAGTAATCCTTTAGGTTTCTATTTTCTTTCTCCATTTGTTGCAGCATAGTATTATTTCTATTTCTGGATTCAATTAAATCTTGAGAAAATTGTTCCAAATTTTGTTGTAATTGCTTATGAATAATGCTCTGAATTAACATAATAAAAAACCTTTACATTTTATTTCTGAACATCATTTTGCATGGAATTGTAGGCATTGAGCATCGATTCGTTAAATATCTTATAAGAATCTTCCCTTTCTCTTAACTCTTTTAACTACATTTCCAACAGTTCGTTTTCCTACTCTAAAAGAGCCTTCTCAGTCTTCCAATCCATAATATTATTTAAAAATTAACGACTAATTATATATTTAGTGGCACATCACATTCCCAAAGAGAATTATCTAAACCTAAATCTCATGTTTAATTAGTCTAGTCTTTATTATATTTTTAAGTTTTATTTAATTCTATTATTGAGTATTTGATTCATTGATTTACAATCCTAAAACTATAGTTTATAAGGCAAAAATCTTCACAAATCAATTTTTTTTCCATTTATTTTATTGCAATTAACAAAGATTCGTAAGTGATCGATATTAAATCGATATTTTCTTTGAGAATCTAAATCCAATTATTACGTTATGTTATTGATAATTAGACTAAGTGTAATATATTGAAAAATTGTAACATTAGAATGGTTATCATTATATCTTTCTGTTTTTAATTATTTTATAGATTATTACATATGATAAAATAGAATGAATGCAGCACATCATCTATTTAATATTAATCACCTTATAAATGAATTCAAATAAAATTTTAAAGATTTTTAATTAATATAAATAAATGATTGCATAGAAGATATTTAATTACTCATTATTTGAATTTTAACCTTAACCATTAATGAAATACTTATTCATTATATTTTTAGTCATTTTCATTGGTTTACTTTGCAATAATTCTAAGATTTGTTTCATTTATTGAATCTAATAGTAATTCTTTTTCTTGTTTAATTAATTAGCAATACTTAAAGGTTTGCTGTCCACTTAAAGATTCTATGAGCATGATACCTAAACTCCAAATATCGGCATCCATTCCATAATTCATAGACTGTAACCTTTCAGCCTACATATATATGGCTGTGCCAATATAAGTATTCAAATATTATCCAGTTGATTCTGTTTGGCAAATACCAGAATCAGCAATTTTTATGTTACATTCAGAATTTACCAATATATTAAGTGTGGTTTGATATCTGGATAATTTTGTGTTTATAATGCAATTAATCAAGTTCTCATAAAATTTTATAAGTTATCATCATCATGGGGTCTTTGATCAGTCCATCCTTTTGCAATATCCTATCCAAGGATCCTAAATTCATATATTCTAGCCGAATACAAGTATAACCTTGAGAATAAAATACACCATAAAATTATACTATGAAATTAGATTCACATGAAATTAAAGCATCCAATTCTCTGGTTAATAATTTTTCTTGATTTGTGTCCGAGAGCTATTTAATTTTCTAATTACAATAAATAATATTACTTTCAATTCATACATCTCTTGAATTACTTTGAGTTAGACCTTCTCAAAAAAACTGCAAAAACCTCCCTATCCTAATTTTTTGTGACAAGTTAAAAATCATTAAGAGTTATGTTTTATTTATTTTTAGTCTTTTTGGATTACTTATGATATTATTTATTCCTTTTTCATTTAATCTAAAACCCTGGGAAATCAGCGATCCATTTTCGGAGCTGACGATAAATAATGAGATGAGCATTCAATTGATTCATAATATCATCATCTTCATAACAATTAATATCTAATTTCATTTAAATTAATATAATAATAACATGTAATCATAAGGATAGGCTCCATTATAAATAGAACATTACATAATAGGTAAAACATTGGGTGTAGGTGCATTTGGAAAAGTCAAACGTAAGAATTAATAAATAGATTAGTGGCTAAACATAATATTACCAATACATAAGTAGCCATCAAAATCATAAATAAAAGGAAGATGAAAAACTCAAGAATGGGTACTAAGATAAGAAGAGAAATAAGGTTGCTTAGATATTTCAATCATCCTAATGTGATTAAACTATACGAAGTATTGGACACTCCAGGGGATATATTCGTAGTAATGGAATATGCAGAAAGAGGAGAGTTATTTGACTTAATAGCCCAAAGAGGTAAATTGCCTGAGAGTGAGGCTCGCAATTTTTTCCTGTAAATATTAAGCGGAGTGGAATATTGTCATAATAATTTAGTAGCTCACCGAGATCTTAAACCTGAGAACATCTTGATGACTCATAATTACGTTGTCAAAATAGCAGACTTTGGATTAAGTAACCTAATGAAAGATGGTAAGTATTTAAAGACCTCTTGCGGTTCTCCAAATTATGCAGCACCTGAAGTTATATCAGGAAAGACTTATTGTGGTTCTGATGCTGATGTGTGGAGTTGTGGAGTCATTTTGTATGCATTACTTGCAGGGTTCTTACCCTTTGATGAAGAAACTACTCAAGCTCTCTTTAAAAAAATCAAAAGTGCCGATTATACCATCCCAAGTAGTTTCAGTCCTCAAGTGAGAGACCTCATAAATAGAATGCTCACTCCAGATCCATTGAAGAGAATCAAATTCCATGAGATTCATCTTCATCCATACATGAGAAGCACTTAAGTTCCCTTTTATCTCCAAATACCATTCAAATTGGATGAAGGACGTAGATAAATCAATGAAGATGTCTTTGAGAAATTAATGCAATTGTAAACAGTCAACTTCAGAGGTATGACACAAACTCAAATTCAGAAGAGTATCAGAAAAAGGGAAGACAAATCATTTGTGGTCATTTATGATTTGCTTTTGGGATAATTAGGAGTTGAATCTTCCACTCCCATGACTCTGCACAATTTAACTATGCATGATCTAATCTTCAATCCTCAAATTCCACAAATTGAAGGACAATCATTTAATAATTGCCTATTGAACGAAATTCAGAAGCCTCAGCCTTATGATTATGGCAAGGAATTACCAAAAGACATAATGGCTATTGTTTACCCTTATCAAGCCAGATAAATTGTAAATGCTATTTACACTTGTCTAGAGAAATTTAATACTGTTATTAAGATTAAGAGTCCTGATTACAAGTTGAAATGTTATCATAAGAATCTCATTAAGATGACAAAGTATAATTCGAGTATGGAGTTGTTCAATGAATTCCAAAAAGAAGTGGAAGAGACTGGATCAAAAAATGATTTGGCTTCTCTGACTTTTAAGGATGATGGCAAGAAACCAAAAATTAAGGAAAATAAATATTCAGCCAAAGAGATTATATTTAATATCTAAATTTATAAGGTAATAAATAATCAATATAAACATAGATGCCAACTAATAATAACGATCATATGATTGACTTTTAATTGTGCAGAGGACACCCTGTTGTTTTCATGGATTTTTGCAATAAAGTGATAGCTTTGCTAAATTAACACTTCAATTAAATTTGATTATTTGTTTCCAAAAATATAATAAATAAATAACAACATTCATTTATTATTTGTCTTCTTTATCTTCTTGCTGACACCTGGTATTTAAGATTCATCTTTCAACTTTTTAAGGTAATCATCAATGGTTCTCTCCAATTCATTCGCACATTTATAGTATATCGTATCCGGTTGATTGTAATTTCTGCAATTGATGAAGATCCTCTTTACATCCTTGATAAAGAGGTCTTTGGAAGTATACTAATTGTTCTGTAATTTCTTTTCAATAGTCTTAATATCAATTGGATCAGTAATCACATCATAATAATCAGGTACATCGTCCTTATTGACAGGTTCAAGGAATGGCCAAGCAGATTTATGTTTTTTCATGGTGTCTATGATCTACTAGCATGAGATCATAAAAGTCTTTTCCTTTTACTTTTTCAATTCATTGTAATCCTCAATTGTCCAGCCACTCTCCATAATACCTTACACACTTTCTGGTTTGACTGCAGGTCTATCTCCATTGGAAGTTTCCATTTTGTAGTTCTGCTTCTCAATGCCAGGATATACTCGATCATTCAATGTTAATTTCTTGATCATGTCTATCATGAGCTTAATATTATGAAATGCAATACCTACTTTTATTCTCTAATCAGATCACTAATGTTCCCATAATCAATACTAGGATGCACATAACATTCCATCAACGTTCCTCCATCATAATCCTTGATGAATCCTTTCCATCTGTCTGGATTCATTTTTATTTCCTAATAGAATCCTTATTTTCTGAAATATCCAATAGCGTAGTTGTCTGCATAAGTCAGCAAATATTCAACATCCTATTTTTGTATATGTTCTTTGAATTTGTTCATCAATCTTGTTCCATATCCCTTGACTTACAAGTTGGCTGTAATCGCCAGAAATGCTATTTCAGCAAATCTTTAAGTGGGATACTTTCTGTAACAGATTCCTCCTATCACTTTTGTATCATCCTTCATAGTACACAATCACATACTTTGACAATGCACATGGATTCATGATTTCTATCAAATACGAGTCTAACAATATATTCCTTAGGCATCTTAGGAAGTTAACGAGCGAATATATTTTTTAGGTCTATTAACATCTTCATTCTCTCGTGATTCCCATTATTTGTTATAATTTTGAAGTCAATCAAACCTTGATCTTCTTCTACTTTGGCTCCTTAATCCCTATTGGTAAACCCAAGACCTGTCTATTCTCCATTTATTCCAACAAATTATTGAGACATTTAATAATTATCATACAAATTAAATCATTCTGCTATCCAATTCCCGCATTTCACATTAATCCAAAAATTTTATGCCAACCTTATTCAATACATCTCTCTCTCTCTTCACTCTCGCCTTGCAAATCAATCGCTCTCCCTCCTCACTGTTAAACTAAGTTTACGAGAATTTGAATTAAGGCAATCCTACCACTTACAGTATTTTATCGTAGACTTCAAAGAAATTGAAAATCGAAACCATAATCAATAGTATAGGCAATGAATAAGAGAATGACATCCCTAACACGGAACTAGTATCCATATTGCCAACCACATCTTCAAAAGGAGTGCCTTAAATATGTATCATTTGTAGGAAATTAAAAGTCAACGGAAAAGATACTCTTGAAAAATTACTAGCAATGTTAATAACATAATATTTACATTGAACCAAACATCAAGCTTGGAGCATCGGTTTATTAGTGATTATAAAAGCCATACATTCCAGCAAAGTTAATGTGAAATAGTCCATAAAAAGCACAAAAAGATATATACATCAAAGGTATTAAGATTGATATTTAAGTATGCATGAATCCATTGATATTGATTATTCTACTCAGAATATTGAAGTCAAATTCAGTAAAGCATGATATCTCTGACAATATTACAATGCTAGATAATATTGAGAATATCACACACAAAGATAATAGATAGGCTTTCTTTATCTTTGTGTACCATAACCATTATAATATATCAATGTAGTGACCAAATTGTCCAGATTTTGGATATCGAAGAGTTGATCTAATTTTGTAATGCACACTGAATTCATTATCAATCATATCTTCTAATAGAAAGCATTCACTGCAGATATGTTCCCATTTAGTTTAAGCTCTCTTGTATTCAGCAGCCTTCTTTTTGGCTTTCTTATTAATCTCACAAAAGGATGATAATTATTTAACTTCACTGATGTCCAAGATCTTATGAGAAGCATCTTCAATTATTTCATATGGAATCTTGGATAATACAAATTTATTTACTTCGTTCAAAATATAGTCCAGACATTGTTAGTTCGGATTGCTTTGTTTATTTTATATCAATTCAATAGTCATATTGAATAACTATGTATATAGTTCTTAGATAGCATGATTAATTTGGGCAGCTTCTAAATAGAGGGCCTTTAAGCATTTCTGATACTGTGCTTTCCTCCAATATTCTCTTGGGATAGCTACTAAACCATGTCCCAACAGTATAACGACTAGGAGGATACCACTTAGTATAAAATGAATATATACAAAGCATAAGCTAAAGCAACCAAGACTTTTAAAATTGAGTCAAAGTCCAGTTTGTTGAATATGGCCAGGTAGGCAATAAAGATTAAACCAAACAATAAAAAATAAGCATAGATAATTAAATTGTTCTTAATAGATCTTATCAATTTGTCTTTGCAATTGAATTCACCGGCATCTTCATATTCCTAGCAAATTGGTAATATTAGCCTAAAACGAATAAATGAATCATTCTCACCAACACAATATGAAGTTGCCCCAATATATCCATTTCCATAATAACACCGTATAATCATAGCCATCGCCATAATCATTCATAGTATAATAGATATCGTGGGGGATGATGAACACAATCCCAAAAGAAAGGATCCATGAGATGTATGTTAACAACTTTACATAGAAAGGCACTTGCTATTGCGAGTACTCTCGAACCAAGTATCCTACATAAAACAGTAAGATCATTCCCTCTAGCACAGTCAAGATGAACATAAGTTATAAATATTAAAAGTAATATTGGATTTTAATTGAATATATATCATTCTGGAACATCCTCCAAAGCTCGATCCCTTTCGTCTATGTTTTTAGCTCTACAAGCCTTTATGATGTGATGCATAGCATAGATCCCAGGAAGAAGACATATCCCCCCCAATACGAACATTGCAATGACTCCTTGAATCCCCTGCGAATACAAGCATCCTCTACTCAAATATCATTTCATCATTATACCCTACGATCAATAAAACTATTCCAACTATATTTAAAAACAAAATCAAACAAAGAACATTTTTATTCAATCTTTGCCACTACCTCTATATCAATTTTTTACTGTTGTTCGAGTATGCTATATTTCATCAATATGTGAATTTTTTCTTTATCCTGCTATCGTTTATTGCAATTCACTATCTTCCATTAATTAAAATATATGTAAAAGTTTTCAACTGTCAGATAATAACTTTAGCCTCTTTTCCCAATCGATTAGAACACAGCCGTTAAATTCAAACCGAGATCTTCATCTTACTGTGAAAGAATCAAATAACTCTAATAGAGAACTGTATCATAAATGCCCAAATGCAGAAAAAGCATCATATTTTGTATGGGTGAAACCAGTCGATTGAATTCGTTCCTAATCAAATCTAAACCAAAATATGTCAGTAAAACCAACACACGCCATCAAACCTTGTAAAATGAAAATTCCCTCAATTATGACATATCTCCTTGGGATAATTATTCACCAACTTGATATTTTTACTTTATATACTTATATAAACTGCTTTCATTATAGATATCCAATCATTTATAATTAAATTCTAATCACAAACTAATTCATTAGCATTCACTAGTAAATAGTATTTACTAATATTTTAATTTATTAACATATATCTATTATAAATATTCTTGAATTAATTTACTAAAAAATATTTGACATTTGTTCTCAATCTATGAGCATATCAATTAGAAAATAAATATATTTCTATTATTCTTTTACTAAATAAAGCAAAAAATATAAAATTATAATGCAATAAAAATTTATTAGATTTATAAATAATAAATGCTAGAGGTATACATAATAAAATTTAAAAGGATTTAATTAATAGAATTTATAAACATAGAATAGAAATATAATTTCATATTAAAAATAGAGGAATCTTTTAGAAAATATACCATTTAAGAGGAAACTAGATTTTAACAGGTATTTGCACTCTGAAGTCATCACTAATTAAGGTACTTAATTATATTGATGTTGAGATTTGATCCATCCTGTATAATAAACAATTATGTATTTAATGATTTAACAAAAAGATTAATGTCAGATTTCTAAGTTAATTTATTAAATTGATTTCAATCAAATAAAATTTGCTCACGAACTTTATAATATGATGGCTCCAATGAGGATGAATCTGAATATATTATAAATTAAATAGTATTTTAAAATGTTGGCATCTACGTAAGTTGACATCGATTAATAGATATGTTACTATGAGGACCGATGTTATCTAAAAGTAAATGCGTGATTTCAGATATTATTTAAGCATCCTCAAAAGGATTATTGTTATCGTTTTTATAAGTACTCTTATTGAAGTTGAGATTCTTTAAATTAAGGGGTTCATCGCTTAAAAAGAAGAATGTGAATTGAACCAATTTGAACTCTTTTACAGGTTGTTCATTTTATTTGTTATTTTCCGTTTCTAAGGGAGGCTATTTTTTCTCATTATCATGTTGTTAGAATTCCTCAATTATCCTGAGATTTATCTGATTATTTTTGATATCCTTCCTAATCAACTCATCAAATATATTAATTAAGATTTGAGTGAGATATTTAATATTAATATTAATAGAGGAGTTTTGATCTACATAATTGTGAAGTGCAAATTTCATTGAATAATGAGAGGATAGAGCTTGAAAATATTAATTAATTATTGCGATATATTGATGAAATTTGCAATTTTAAAGACTTAACTTCATCTCAGTAATTTTATTTTTCTAAAAAAATAAAATATAATTTCTAATGTAATTCATAATTGATAAATTAAGACATTATAATTGCAGTATTTATTATTATTCCTTTTAATTTTCAAATCTAATTTTCTTCATCTCTTCATAAAGATTCGATTATTTTTTTAATATTTGATTAGACATACTTATTATGACCTTTTGATATTCTTTAATCTAGCCTTCGTATTTATGAATCAATTTGGGAACTTATTCTGATTTTATAATGGCAATAATAATAGGTTTGCCCAAATTAAGAAATCTGATTTATAAACACATCTTCTTGGTTTCATTGTTGATCAAATCTTGTTAATAAATTTCTAACAAGCCATCCTTTTGCTCTTTGTAATTAAACGATTTTTCAAAACTCTGAATCCTTTGAAACAAAACTTCTTCCAAATTCAACACTTTTGTTGAATTCCTGTCTCTCTATTTATTTTAATTCTCATTCTACTTCAACAGAATAAATGTCGATCTCAAAAATGTCTTTATCTATTCTGTTTCCTTTATATTCATTAGTTCTACAAACCTATTATTCTGAAATTCTAGAACAAACTGTCGACTTCTATTGTCTAAGCTTACTGCAAACATAGCATCATTCACAAATTCATTGATCAAATCTCTATATTACAACGAATCAATACTTTTGCTTATTAGAAATGAGATTCAGAGAAAAAGCTAGTCTAGATGTATACTCATTCATGTACCCCCAAATTCCAATAATAATGGTACACGAGATGGTCAAAAAGACAAAAGCTAGTGTTTCTACCTTGTATACATCAAAAATCCCCATCAACACAAAGGGCGTGATCATAGTATATGCAATTTTAAGCTTGTTATCACTATATTGCATAGTAACAATAGCGAGAGAACAAGTGTTGAAGCCGAATATAAAATTAGGTCTAAATTATAGTGGTGATTTACATTTAGAAGCCAGCAGAAGCAATAAGAATGTTAGTGGTGATAGCCCAAACATAATAGAGTGAAAATATGGATTTTAAGTATGTCAAGATCTTTCTGCTTAATATCAATAAGGTGACACTTCCCATCAATGTCAAAGTCAACATTATGGATAGCAATAGTGTTTATTATTGAATAACGAAGGTTATAAGGCATATTAAGGCGGCTATACTTATTGTAAGGTTTAGAATGCGAAAGGATAACAGTCTAATCTTGTTCAAGTGATCCTCATACGAAGATTCGAATTCTGGATCGTGAAACTTTAAACTCCATTTATCAAAAGGTAGATTAAGCATTGAACTGAAGATAAATTTTATTTAATATTTCTCTAATATTTTAAAAGTCTTAAAATAAATTCGATATACTATTGATAGTAGATGTATTTTTTAGGGATATTGAAAATAATCTTTGGACTATAAGAAAAGTGTCTTTTACTATAAAATATTTAAATTTATTTATAAGCAAGATATGGCGATTAGATTTTAAAAGTAAAATTGAAAATTAATTGGCTTATTGAGCCAATAGGAATGATCAAACTTATAATATATATAAATATATAATTTATTAATGGAAGGATACCTATTGAAGTGGACTAACATTTTTCAAAGATGGTAACCACGGTATTTTATTCTTTACGATGACATCCTAACCTATTGTGAGTAAAAGGGCAGTTCTGTTGAAGGCCGAGTGAGTTTGAAGATATCTGGAATCTTCACAGTGGAAGATGATCCCTTGGAAATTTTGATACAGACAGGAACTAATGATTTAAAATTAAAGGCCAATTCTCAATCCCAATTTGTAGATTGGTTTAAAGCATTATAAATTGCATAAGAGAAATCACAAAAAAACAAGGTTTAGAATTTTGAAAGCCAAATCAATGATCTGCTTTCTACAATATGGGTTACCTTTGCAGCCTTTGATGAAACTTTGAATACTCTTCAGATAAATTGCTCAAAATTTTAGTATGAATTAATTACTAAATTGCACACTCTTGGTTAGAATTTAAAGACATTTCTTACTTTGGGATTTACTTTAATAGAGTAGGAAAAGGAGAGATTTGAGAATGACGCCAATAGTGTATACGAAAGTTTTAATGAAATGCAGAGTGTAATCCCGAATAATGGAATTCCGAAACAAATATAAATCAAGGTGCAAGAATTTGAATCTCCTCAAAGAGGAAACTCATTCAAAAGTATTCTAGAATCAATCAAGCATACATAACCAATTAAATATGTAAGATACATCATAATAAACTAGAGAAATCTTGTGAACAGTCCTGTGTTCACTAAAATATACATAACAGATGAACCAGAAAGATCTTGTTTGCCTTATAAATAGGATCCCAAAGAGAAATTCAATGTCTGGCCTTTTCTTAAATCCTGCATTGGAAAGGATCTAACCAGAATTCCATTTCCTTGTAAAATTTATTATTAAATTTGAAGTGATATTCCATTAGCCAATGTCAGTTCTCTAGTTAATTGTACAGCAATTTGCTTATTTTGATTAAATTAAGAAAGCTAGTTAATGTGAGGATTCTTGCAAAAGAATGTGTCACATAATTGCATTTACATTGTCTCGATGTTCATCTACATTAGATGGCCAAAAGAAACCATTTAATCCACTTTTAGGTGAAACCTTTGAGTTCTTAACGCCTGATTACAGTATTGTATGTGAGTAAGTGTCACATCATCCGCCAGTATCCGTTATGCATTGTGAAGGAAAGGACTTCAAGTTTTGGTCATAGAATGATGCATCTATAGGATTTGGGGGAACCCATATAAAAATATCGATAGTAGGTAAATCTCACATCTATTTAAAACGATTTAATGAGCATTATACTTTCGATATGCCGAATATGCATATTAAAAATCTGGTATTTGGTGAAAAGTATTTTGAACATGTTGGAAAGTTGAAATATATCAATCATCAGACAGGAGATATTGGTATGGTGGATTTAAGAGAGTATGGAGAAGGCAAAGTAATCAATATTATTAAATTAAAAGAACTTCTCTTAAGTCTAGGCTGAAGTGAGAGATTCCAATCAGAATCTCAGATACTAGATTAGTGGCTTTTATAATTCAGCCTTATACGTTGGTAACGAATTGCTTTGGTAGAGGATTATGCCAACCAAGGAGGCGTATTACTTTTATAATTATATCCCTTTACAAATGCAAGCGAACTATCTCAATACAGAAATTTTACTTGTAATTTAGACTCATTCATTATTTAAGCAAATACCCTGCACAGATTCACGTTTGAGACCTGACATCGCAGCCTTGGAACATGGCTGGAAAGAGATTGGACAAGATGAGAAAGTAAGAATGGAGGAGAAGTAAAGAGAGAAGAGAAGAATTATGGAATAAAGAAATGAGGTTCATGTTCCTAAGTTCTTTGAGATAAAAGAAGATGTTGATACAAGATCCAAAGGATATGTGTTCAAAGGAAATTATTGGACAGAGAAGCACGAAGTAATGGATATATTTTGATCAATTTTATTTGTATTTCGATATATTTAATCAATCCTGCCATATAGGATAACAATTCTACCCTACATCTTGATTAGGCTCATATTGAAAGTCATTTGGAGGACCTTGCTTTTATTTTTATTTATTGTTTTGATGATTCATATGTCTATTCTACTTCTGTTTTTATTTTTTTTCTAATTTCATCTATTGTTATTATAGGTGTTGCTAATGTTATTATTCTAATTCTTCTGCAGTGGGTTATTGAATAATAGGTTCTTGTCTCCTCATGAAGATTTGTTTCTGGGGTGCTGGTTTAAGAGGCACTGCAGTTTGGACCAATTAAACTTGTTATTAATTTTGGGGTGAAGATCTTAAAGTCTATAATTTTTCATCTTTCTGCAACTTCCTAGGTTGATCATTGACCTTGGCTTCCTTCATTTATTTGATAAAGTCTAGATGTTAGATGATATACAATACCAACTCCCGTAGTTAGATTAATCTGCTTTGATTATTTGACTTCTTCTACAATATTGATTTAGATATTCAAATTATTATCATTGACCCATTTAATCTCATACAGTTCTTCAAACTTCTCCTTACGTAATAAGTCACCGTATTTAGAGCATATAATAAATTAGTTATCAACTCTCAATCTTGGAAAAGTTGTAGCCAATAAAAAGTGTTCTCCATTAGGACTCCATTCAAACTACACTACTTTGTCCTATCTAGTTTAGCCAACCTTCTTGAGACTGTCCATCTCATAAATATATATGTCTCCAGTCAGATTTCCAAATCCACACAGAGCAACTAAATTATTCTTAGGAAAAATTGAATTTATATGAGCTTGAAGTATTAAATATTCTTTTTCTCCTTGTTTATTAAATAGAATTGCACCTGCTGGCATATATCCAGTTATTACTATAAATCCATTCTAGACCCATTGGACATCGTGAATAGGTCCTTCAAACAATTCTATATTCTATAATTTATCTTCAGTCCAATGATTTAGGTGATGAGTACCAAAATAACTCTGGTTGGTGTGATCATCTAGGGTCTATGACCATATTAATAGGATTGTTCCATCGTTTGACCACAACTATTTAACTTCGTTCGAGGGGGGAATTTAATGTTCGAAATGCTTATTCTTATCATAGTGATCAATAATCAGTTGGCAATCTTTTAAATCTTCCAAATGTTTTATTAAAGTAACAGATGATAAGTATAATGAATCCCTTTAGGTTGAAATCGTAAAATCGCCATACTCTGGGCATTTAAATTATTTCAGCTATTAGAAAGTTGCTGTTTCATAAACTATTCCCTTGCAAAAGCAAAGTGATCCTGTTGAATCAAATTTAACGTCATGTGGAAATGCCTTAACAAAATTCTATGTTTTTGTAGAAAATAACATGGTTTCCTTGGCTGACAATATAATGTATTCGAAATCCGGAGAGAATGAAATTGCCTACACTCTCATTTGAATATTAAACTTGTTGTTACCCCAGTGTTCAACGCCGAAATCTCCTCCAAACTACATTTTAATAGATGAAATACCACAATACTATATTTTGAGATTGCCATACATTTTATATTAGGTTGATCGGATATTTAAGTTGAGTTAGTGAATGTGTTATCCAATCCATCTAATCCGTGTTAATGTCTATATACAACAGAATAAGTTAATTCAGGAAGAGATTCTTATTATGTAAGGAGGAGTTGATATAATTGCTGCATTCTTGAGTATTAAATATTTAATTAATTATTGATTAATATCCATGCCATAAGCTATGATCAATGGCAACACTATCTTACGTAGATATATTATGTAGAATTTAAATTACACCAATTGAATCAAAAAAAATCAATATTCTAAATCTTCATATTCCATCTTGAGTAGATTGATTAACCTAAGTAGCTTCCTCTTCCTCTTCTTCCTTGGGTAATTTCACTCTAGAGAAACAGATTGCCGCAGCCAGAAATGATAGAAACAACAATAGACATCCATAGAAGGCTTGAGTTCTAGTGATGATTAGGAGGTGTAATTTTACTTATTTTGGTCATGAGTTATTACTGAAAGAATCTCACCGAAAACGAAACTCCATATATGTACGCCGGCCAGTAAAAAGCCTACTGCTATGGTTTGATTAATAGGATGGAGGACTTTGCATGCTAATTCAAGTTGCAATGGTATGCAAGGGATCACAAAGAAGCCAAGAACCTATAAATCTAAATTAGAATACTGAATAGCATATCAACACAAGAGGCAGACTTTCAGTCATCAAGGCAAAGTAACTCAAACCCAAACTAGCTAAAACAGGGATCAAATTGAACAAAACTATTTTCTTATGATTCAAATGGTATTTTCTGATTAATATGGAGTACATGACTGAACTAACAAATCCACATACAATAGGAGAACTTTCTGAACTGTAAAAGGTAAATAATTTACATATGAAACTGGTTTATGAGGGGGTGAAACCAAAGGGATTAAAAAGGTACGAAATGACGACAGCCAAAGCATGAAATCCACCCATCAACAGACTATAACATACGAAAAGTAGGAGCTAATAGTATGATATATTTATGAAATACAAAATTTTTATTCTTCGCTGTGATCTTCAAGGATTGCATGTATGTAAACTCATCTCTAAATTTATTGATTGGACCAGGTGGAGTAGGGGGACTTGGTCTAAAGAATAGAATGGCAGGAATTAAAATAGCACTAAAGATTTCTAATTCAATAACCATCAGTTCTCCTGTTAGCCATTTACCATCATCAGGATCAGTTTCATATTGATATCCCTTGAATATCTAGCCTGGCACTATAACACTTTATGAGAAATATGTTGTATAATGTACCCAAAAACACTTGAACATGTAATGATGAATGAGAAGGCGATCATAACAGTAGTCTTATCCTCGGGTCTGAACCATTCTTTTGCAACATTGGCTTAAATGTTGATAATGAAGGGTCTCCCCATTCCAGCAATAAGGGATCCCAAAATAACAGTGTAAAATCTATATTTTAGTGGAACTATACAACCTCTCTGATATAATTGTGGCCGTTCTGATTAATGCACCTAGCAATGTTAATGCACATCCAATTTTGAGACTAACTGAAATATCTGTTTGATTGACAATAAATGTTTCTGATTTTAAGATTGATTGAATTACATACAAAAGTCAAAAGAGGATGCATTAGTAGAAATCCATTGGCAGCTAATGAAACAACAAATGTTGGGATATCATAAACTGCTGCCAAAACTGATGCGATTGGATTGCAAGTTGAAAACATCATAGATGAACAGATCTTTAAATTACAAATTCAGATACAGTGGAGAATGCAAAAAAGGATGCCATTATATATCTCCTTGTGTAAACTTTATATTCTTCAATTTAGTCATTGATTTCTGGTTTGGCCAGATGAACCATAGCTAATTCCATTTCCATTTCATTCAATTTTTCGTCCATTTAATTAAAAACAATAGAACAATTTATATATCTGTAGAATATAGTTTTTATATTTAACTAGTTTTGTTAGGGAGGAATATATTTAATAAAACATTACAATAAATGATCAATTAAGGTAGATCAAATGATGCTGCAGTGTTCAGGGCGCTCCTCAACACTTAAGCTTAAATATTTTGCTATTAAGTGATTGCTGAGGGAACTCAATATCATTAAGAAGGAAACTACTCCCGCAGAGGGAGTAGCTGCTAGACCCCTATAACTAAACCTCTTTTTATGGCATGCAAATATTAGAGGCCCAGTAAGAACTTCTTATAAAGGTGGGATCTTTCACCTTGAATTAATTATACCCTCAAAATATCCATATGAACTACCCTAAGTAAGAACTTTTATTTAATTACCTCATCCTAATCTGACTTTGAATTCTATTTGTCTAGACATACTCCAGCCTCGAAATCCTGAGGACAAATAGTAAAAAGATTTGTCAAGTGATTACACAATTTAAACTCTCCTATTATGGTTGCAGGCCTTTTTGTTTTAAGAATTAAAAAGAACAGATAATTATCTTAAACTGCTCACTGAAACCAAATAAGCTGTTATAGTTGCCAATAATTTTAAATGTTCTGACAAGGATTGTAAACATAACGCTAAAGAATCGAAAATTGAATATTATATTAACACATAACCTGAGTAATAATTATTAGAATAATAATTCATCTGTTACAATAATACTAAGTTAAGTTACAAAAAAACCATAATTTGATGATGTAACCAATATGAAATAGAATAATTGTTTAGGAATCCTATTGGATGTGTGAAAAGTGCCGAGGACTGGAGCAATCAAGCAAGCAGTTCCATCTTAAGATTATGTTTCAATCAAAGCCTTTATAAATGAAAAGATCAATTAATTCTTTGTATAAAAAGTATACTCATTGATTGCCTCTTTATTTTGGTAAGACTGATAAAAAGGGAGAGTGTTGTATATGGAAGGATGGCCTTATATCTTTATCGTCAACACGTTAAACATTAATCGATGAGGAGAAATTTAAAATTTATAAGGCAGGAACAGGAACATTTATATATATATATTAAACTATTATGATTAGATTAGAGAAAAAAAGGTAGGGGAAAAGAAACCTAAAAGCTTTAAAAAATAACAAAATACAACTAAATTTGAAGTAAAGATCTTAAAAGTGTCAAAGAGTTCTTAGGTCTTTAAAGGATGTTAACGTAAATTCTAGAATTTGAATGATGAGTTTGAGAATTAGATTATATCTAATACATTACATATTATTTTATTAAGATAGCATTAATGTAATTTTTGAATACATTTCTTAAAATAATGTAATTGAAAAATTAAATATATTTTATTATAAGATGATTTAAGAAGGTGTTGTGGATTTCTTAAAACAAAAACCTTAAAGCCTTCTTTCATACAATAATTAAAAAGGATCGTCTCGTCCAAAGAGTTAATAAAAATATGGTAATCAACAATAATCTTAATTGCGTCCCCCATCATCATAACTTTAGAGTGTTAGTGGAGCTGTAAAACACAAGTAATATATTCACAAAAAGAACAATCTGATGATGAATAGGTAGTCTCATGCTCAATTGCAGCAATAATAAAAGGATGATCACAATTGTTATGAAATCACTCCTTAACTATTATCGGAAATAAGTATGGATGATCCCATTTGGAAACGAATTCTTCCAGAGAATCTGAGTCTGAATGAGAAACAACTCATACAATTACTCGATGAAAATACAGATTATTTTTATCATAACTTAAAGTTGTGTGCTTGTTTCAAATGCACTTGTGGAAGATGCAAATGTGATGCTAGTACCCAAGTCAAACTCAAACTTAATGGAATTTTCTTAACAAATTATGATAAAGATTTTGTAAACAATCACAAATCAAAAAAAAGTGTAACAAATCCACTCAATTAAAAAACATACGATACCAATTTTATGGATCAAAAATCTATAAATTTGAAATCTCTCTATTAATAAGATTATCAATAATAACCTCTTGAATTTTAACCAAATCTAAAAAAACATTCTAACCAATAAATTGGGTCTGTGTCCAATCTAACAAGTTACAGAGTATTTATCTAATTCTAACTTAGTCTAATTACAATGATTGGGGCACTAATTATCATAAATATACTCCATTCCCTCACATAAGCACTAGTCCTGACATCAAATTCATTGGCACCTCCCAATACAAAGACTCATATATGTCTCCAAACAGATGGAGCATTAATAATGCACATTATTTCAAGACTTCTTTGTAAACAATCTCTCCATATTTTAGAACACCTATACCAACTGGATAGTTTGAAGGATAAACTACACATAAAACTAGTTTCATTCCATACTCAACATCTCATAAATCTTAGATTGATCGACAACACGTATTGAATATTAACAATTTAGGTTTACGAAAAGATACCTACTTTTGAAGGGTAATTTATATCGACAGAAATGCATGATTACATTCAAAAAGAGGATAAGAATTGTCCAGCCAAATAATTTTAAAAAATATTTCGTTAATAAATGGCAGATAAACTTTTCAAAAAAAAATAACAATTCCTCAAAAACTAAATATAATAAAATTATTGATATTTAAAAGAATATACACACAATCAATGTTATTTATTTTTTTTCTTTTTTTTTTATCCTTCATATTATAATTCAGGTCTTCTTTAATTATCTTATATTTCGTATTTTTTCTATGTGATTTTACCATTTTCATTTCTTTTTTCAATTACAGTAGTTTTACCTCCATTTTTGATAGTCTCTTTAGTTACAGTAACTTATTTGCCATTACTAAAATAAATTAATATTTCTACATAAATTATGTGGTTGTTGATATTGATTTTGAATAACCACCCTAATTATTATCAAAAAAGGGAGGGTCGATAAAATTGTTTATCATAGATCCAAAAATAGAGTTCCTGTTCTTCTTCTTCTACTTCTTTCTTCTTCGATTCTCAAATATCATAAATTCATCGTCATCTGATCCGAACAAAAGATCTCCGGAACAAAAGAAATTATTAAATATTTCAAAAGGATCAAATGTGAAAAACCCAAAATCACCATCCTCTTCATGTTAATGGATTTATTCCTCCATACTATAAATACTAGAAATAATATTATACCCTTAATGACCATATTGATCATAAATTTTTCTCTTTCCTATATCAGATAGAACAGAATAAGCCTCTCCTATTTGTTTGAACATTTCTTGAGCCTTCTCTTTATTTTCTGGATTTTTATCCTATAATATTGTATAATCTATACAGGATGCCATTGCAAAGCTAATTTTCTGTATTATTTTTTGATTTCATCTGGAGTAGCTGCTCTATTTATTCCAAGTGTCACATAATAACACTCCTTTTGTATCATTTCCTTAAATAAAAAAATATTGGCATGCTATATTTTTATTATAAAACTTCATTCGAATTTTCTAGAATTCATAATTTTAGTTATATTATGAGATTAATTTAACTTCATTACACTTTAAGGTTGTCTAACTTAAAACTTGAAAAAAGATATATATTTAGATTGTCTTTTAGAGAACCATCAATAAAAGTACTTATATATTATAATATATGAAAAATTTTAATTGTAACTAATTATTTTTTTAAATAATATTTAATATTTCTCAATCTTTTAAATCAACATAATTCTTTTTGCTTTAAAATAAACTTTGTATTTCATTCTTTGTTAAACCCTTTGTTTCAAAAAAAAAGAAATAAAACATAGCTTCCAATAATAGGCATACTGCTGCAAATATCCCAAAATTGAATTGTAGACTCAATTATTCAACTATGATGGGAAAGATTTGAGCCAAGGCTGCACAACTGAACCAATTAATAAAAGTGACTAATGATATTCCTTTGGCTGGTAGGACTTCTGATAGATAGACCCAAAACACAGGGCCCAAAGAAAGACTATACGAAATGACATAAATAACTAGAAACACTAAATTGAATATCTAATAGTATTGTTCTTAATTTTCTCCTGATGACTAAATCGAGATGATTACACAAATGAATGTTAATGATATAAAACAGAATGCGTTACCAATTAATAAGACAATTCTTCTCCCTGCTCTATTAATCATAATACTGCTGAATATAGAGGCTGTAATACTTACTAAACCATTTGTGACATTTGCTAAATTTATTAATGTAGTGTTATCATTTGTCATGGCACCAATAATAGAACCAGCATAAAAGTTGACAGCATTAATTCCAGCAAATTATTATAACACTCCGAAGATCATACAGAGAATCATACTTTTTTTATACGATTTACTAAATAGGTCTTTAATGCTTTGATCCTCTTCCTACATATTCTGTTTAATTTATAGTAGTAATTCCTCGATTTCTTCATTTGTAGTCGTACTTGGATAGGAACTTTAAATTTATAATATGGCTTTTTCATCATTTCCATTCTTCACTTACTCAAATGGCAAATCTGATCTCAAAATTGAAAGCATGCCAAAAAGGCGGATAACACAGGGAATAGCTGTAAACATGAAAATCATCTTCCAATTGTTAAAACCTAAATATCCATAATATTAATCCACATTATATTCAGAGGCAGGCTATCCGATAAATATCCATTAGATTGCAAAACCTAATGTTAAACCGACCATCATTAGACATGGACCGAGTCCAACAAATATTCCCACATTGTTTAGAGGCACAAAATGATAGATGTATTGAATTACTAAAGCACTATTCAATCCTGTCAAAAATCCTTATAAGGTTCTACATAAGATTAAAACACTTAAGTTTTGTATTGTGAACAGCAATCCTATGCAGATTCCAATTATGTCAAAGAGAATGAAGGTAACTCGATAATTGAGTCTCTTAACTATCATCGCTATAAATATATCACACTATCATATTACATGACACTAGAGCTGCAACAGCAGCCCCGATTGGAAGTGATGCATTTATGAATCCTTCAATGACACTCTTGTTGGGAGATGTTATAAATTCCAACACATAAGCAATAGAATCCTAAGTAATTGCGTAATATGTTAGAGCATAGCCAATATAAAGGTATCCCATGGTTATAAACAGAACTTTGCATAAAAGATCACAAAAGAGTGTATTATCTTATTTACTCATTATTATGAATTTGATGTTATCATTAATATCATTGTTAATATTTTTTCACTAAGAAATCAATAAATTCTTATTATGAAATCTAACCATCTCCATTTGCGTCACACATTTAGAGAATTTCCGTCCATAAATTATCATCCACTCCTCCCATAATCTCTTAAAGTTCTTCCCTACTGATTTATCCGTCTCCATTCTTGATAATAAATATATAAGATTACAGTATCAAACATATTGAAAGCTTATTATAATTTAATTTTGCTCAATAGTTTCTCTTCAGAGGATGCTGACATCATAAATTCTGTGAAATCTACAAAGCCAGATCTATTGATATCAACTTTTTCAAAAATGTCATCTACCATTTACTTTGCTTTGATTTCATCATATTGTTTCATATAAACTAACATAGAAAACAAAGGAATTTACCTTATAGCAATTCATCCTTGCTTATTTATCCATTACCATCTTTGTCGATTTTCTTAAATTCATTTAATAAACCCTCTTTTTCTGTATTGGTCATTAAATTAGTTGTAATAAATTGCATGAGGGCAGCCCTGACTTTGTTTTTACCCTAAAATAATATTTAAAAATACAAAAAACGATGACAAATTTTTAATTGCCTTCATATCTATTGGTCCGTTTGGTGCATTCTTTTGAATCCAAGGATCATTGTAAGCTTCTTAAGCAGAAATTCTTAATTGATAATCCTTGGTTAACATTCTCTTAATTAAATTCTTAGCATCCTCTGATATTTTATTCCAATCCTCAGCTAATGAAAATCATAGTGACAAAGTCTTACGGTCAAATTCATATTTTCCTAATTCGATGTTTTACAATATCTCTTGATCCTAACCACCAAACGGAGGATAACCGCAAAGCATAATATATAAGATAACTCCACAACTCCAGACATCACATTTCTCATTATAATTCCTCTTTAAGACTTCAGGTGCAATGTAATATGGCTAAAAATACTAGCGAATATTACAGTTCCCAGTCTCTTGGTTAGATTTTAGTTAGTTTCCATCTTTCTTGAAGTTCCAAAATCGATTATTTTGAGATTTGAGTTTGGTTTTTTATTTTCGAATAGAATGTTTTCAGGTTTCAAATCTCTATGAACTACTTTCTTTTCATGACAATGAACGACCCCAGCCAAAATTTATTTCATAATATCTGCAGCCATTTTTTCTGAAAAATGTTTCATATCGGTAATCTTCTAAAATAACTCCCCTCCTTCTAAATATCTAGATATATTCTTTACTCTTACTCAGTTACTAGATAATAATTTTTTGCATCCTAAAACAGTTCGTGTAATTTCACTATATTCGGATGATCCAACTCCTTTAAAGTGTTTACTTCCGAAAACATATTCTCCTCATCTTCTTTTATTATTTTATCCTTTCTAATTTGCTTCATTGCTCTCTTATATCCTGAACTTTTATGTATAACCAACCTTACTTCCCCAAAAGCCCCTAACTTAACATATCTAACTACCTGCACCCAAACTTTTCTCAATTTTATAATAGGTACTTATGGAACCTTATTTTAGTGTCGCAAAGATATTGGGACGTACCTAAAACTCCTCTGCATTCGTTGGTTTAGTGCCAGGCACCAAAGCCTAACTAGTGCTAACAGGCTTCCTTTATTACGATGAACATGGTCCCATTATTAATATAATTTTATTTATAGTATTTACTAACTAATATTACTTATTAGCCTTATAACAAACAACCTCCAAACACTCTCAATCCAAAATTACTTAATTATTTCTTCCATATTCTTATTATCATATAAATATTTATGGAAACAGAATCTAAAATATAACAAAGCCTCTTAATTTTGCGATAAGTCTCCCCTCCAGTATTTGGATCATTGCATCATAACAGAACTCCTAATTTGGATTAATTGGACTAACTTGCATAAATCTCAGTAATGAGGAGAAAGAAATCAAATGATCCCCACAAAACCGAACCCATCTACACTGACATCCGCAGTAAATCATTCATAAAATTAGGAAAATACAATAAAATAGAAAGAAGAAATCAACAAAATAATTAAAACTAAGTAACCCTCATTGCCATACTTGCCCAAAAAATAAAAAGAATTTTATAATAAATGGTACATACCTTATGATTAGAGGTATCTTTAAAAGCCTGATGTAGTGGAATAGCAATATTAAGGTATTTATGTCTATCTTCAACTTTTAGATGAATTGCACTTTTATAAAAATATGCATAATATGTATGTACAGTATAATCCATTCGATCAAAAGCTACCTGATGATCTTATCAAAAAGATTGGTTACAAAGAGAGAACAGAGGCACTCAAAGAAATATTGAAAGGGCAGAAGTAGATAATTGAATTTAAAAGGTTTTTATTCATGATCATTACGTAGGAATTTAGAAAAAGAAAAATAAAGGGTTCCTGAATTTATAAAATAATTAGTAGACTCTGATAAAAAAAAATAAAAAAAAAAGTCATACTCATGAAGTTTTTTAGTATTTATTTCATTATTCACAAACTGTTTCAATAATTATAATTCAACTTATACAAATTTATAATTAGGAATTTGTCCCTACACTTTTAGTCTTCGATTATTTTGCACTTCAATTAGGTGAAATTAAGTGATATATTTATTTTCAATATTTCTTATGATTTTTATATAAAGTTTAATGAAATTTAATTTAATTTGATAAAAAGATAATTTGTTTAATTATAAAATAATAATCAATTATCATCTTCAACATCATCATGTTCCTCATCATCTTCTTTTATGATGGGTTATGTAACTGGATCAGTAATTAAAGTAGTAGAGAAGATTAATTCAAATAAATTTTTTTAATCTTAAATGTGCTTCTTTTTATTGAGAGGAGGTGGGAACATAGGATCAATAGCAATTCGGATTGAATTTTCAATAAGATGCGAAATTAACCTAGCTAAAAGTGGACAGCATGTTTCCAAACAAGGATTAGTATTCACTTCGATAAGCCAAGGTTTCATATCTTAATCAATCATATAATCTAATCCAAATAATTCAAAAGTGTAAAAATGTCGATTTGGATCTAAGTGTTGATATGTCGCTTTTACAATGTCAGTACTTAACTTTTTAAGTTATTCAATTATTATTGAAAAATTGTAATTATGATTATCCTGTAAGTATTTTTAAAACTCATTAAAAGACACCTAAATTAGATATTATTTAATTACTTTATTGCCAGTTTCATATTTTCCATAATTTTAATTCTTCTTCTAAACTGCATCATTGGTTAAATGAGTAAATTTGTCTTCCACATCATCCAATGAGAACTCTTTGCAACTCGTTCTGATATACCCCTCCTGATACCAATAGGCTTTGAATTTATTATTGATGCTGGTCATCAATATATAGCATCTAATATCAAACTTTCTTTTATTGTAGAGAAGAGGTTTCTCCATATACTTTTGAACAATAAAGGTTTTTTTCATTCCATTATGATGATTCGTGGATTGAGAAATAATTGATTTTACCTTTTGAATTGAATTTGCCACTTAAATGCCGTTCCCTCTATTCGATGACTCCCCTGGTTTTACTATCCACAGATTTACATTCTGTGTTTAAGCATACTATTCAAATTCTAAGTAAGCAGGATCATTTGGACCTGTTTAGACATGATACGTAAGCGGTATAAATTAAAAGGGATCCTCATTTCGAGAAATATAGTAATTTTTCATATTATAAAAGAGGGCCTTTTTATTGCACACTTAAAAATTACATTCTAAATGATTATGTACTTTCAAACTAGCACTCTAATTAAATATCGAGTATTCTGAGTCTTCAATTTTATATTTCAATTTGTCATTTACTTATTTCTTCTACAATTTACTAAATACAGCCAACTCTAATTGCTACTTTTATAATTGTTCATAATGTGCTTATTTTCGTAATTAAGTCCAATAGAAATTCATGTCTTCACTAGGTTAATCAATCAATATCCACCATGGTCTTTATTTCAGACTCTATCTGATCAATACTCCATTGTTACCCTTAGTCACAAAAGCCTTATAGATGGCTCTATCGGGAGGTTAAACACTTAAATTATTTGATAGTGCCATAAGAATGGGAAATTCATTTTATTCAAATATTATATTGCTATCCTCATTTTTAGAAGTTATTGCTCTTTTAATTGAAAATTATTTTTAAGGAATCAATCTAATATCTTTCTTACTTCTTTCCTAAGAATGTGATTCAGTAGGTACATCAATAAAACTTTTTTTTACGAATAGTTTCATCTCACTAGCTTTTCTAGTTTAAATTTCTATTTTTGGAGGATAAGAAATAACAGTTGGTAAAAATTAAGGAGTGCATTAAGAACAGGTTTTCAATTATTGTTGTTATTCTTATTATTTATTAATGAGTTCGACAAATTGTTGAAACCCTTTGAGTTTTATCGCATTCACTTTCGGCTGATGTTATCGAATTGGTTATTAAAAGGCAACATCTTGAAATTTCTAATTGCCCTTTATATACAAAAATTCCAAATCAGGTTTCAGCATCAAAATATAAAAATAATAATAATTGTCAGTTCTATAATAATTATACTATATAAAGATAATATCGCAATTCATAAAAAATTCTTTATTTTCAATTGTCTATGGCTTAAAGAAACACATATTGCTTGATTGATCAATAGATTTAGTTCTTATTATAGTGGTTTTTGGTTAATAATATTGAATATCACTTTTTTTTTGTTCAATTAAGATTTATAATTTTATTCTGAATATATCATTTATCTAATATTCTAATGTCAAATGATTTATTTTTCCTTTTTATATCAAAATTTCATTCATCTTCATCATGGCTTACTCCTCATTTCTATAACTACCCTGACTTAAGTTTTTAGATTCCTTAAATCTTGAACTTCAATTTTCTATAATTCCTTTAGATAGTAGATTTATCAGTAAACTATTAGAATCTTAGTTTATATACTAAGCATTATCTGATATGTATAAAAATGCTTGTTTATCTCCATCTATCTATCTTCTTTTATAATTAAATTAGAAATGTATCTAGTTATGATTCTTATCTTCATCTCAATTTATAAGGATAAAAGTATTTAAATTTATCTAACTGAATATCAATAATATTATGAATTTATCTATATTTTTGCTAATAAAGTAAATGGTGATGTTTTTGTATTTTAGATAATTTTAATCATTTAGTCAATCATTAATTAACATTATTATAATTATTTTAAATAGATAATAAAAATTGATAATATTTCATTTATAATAATTCCTTAGTAATGCATTTAAAGGTCTATCAGATTCAAAATATTTGCTATATCTAGAGCTTTAATCAGATGGATATAGTCTTTTCCAACCTCTACTTCGTTTGAATTCTTCTTCTGTCTCTTTTAAGATATATTTTTCAAATTCCTATTGATGTTTCTTAACATCATAATTGCTTTAGTTTCTAACATACGATAAATCTTATGAAAATCTTTAGTCCTTTAATCATAATGAAGTTTACTAATGGTACTATTCCGATAAGTGTGAATAGATCTGCTAGCATTTCTCCTTTAATTTTGAGATCCAAAGGAGCATCAATATTCAGTGAAGGTGAAAAATTGACTTCCAAAAGCCAAGGTTTCAAAAACTAATCCACCAAAACATCAAATCCAAATAAGGAAAAGCAATTAGATCTGAATGGCACATTCATTTCGCATGCCTGAAATATGGCACTCTCAACACTAATGATTGTCTTAATTATTAAATCCTCAATTCTTTCAAAGATTTGTTACTAAATCATTATAATTAAATACTTCATTTATTTTGTTTAACTTTAAGTATTCTCGTAAGGCCAGCAAACTCCATTTACTACCTAAATAATCTAAAGTTGGATCCTAATTGGCTACAAAATTGGGTGAATCTTTATTTACAGAATAATTAGTTAAGTGTACAAACCTATTCTACTTTACAGAATCAGGATTATAGGCTTCAGTAGCAAATCTTGCCAATCCATCCTAATACACATATATTCTCAAAGGATTTATACAAGTAATAGCTACATAAATTCTCAAATCAAATTTTAGATTGTTTATCAAGAGTGGTTTATCGATATAATGTGAAACAACATATGAATTATTGGAATTCTATTTATTTAATATCTAAAATAGTTTAGAATATTAATTTACATCTTATATCTTATCGGTAATGAAAATGCCTTTCCCTTAAGAACTAGCATGTGGTTTACATATGTAGACAGGATTGTTATTTTTAATTTTCTCATGTTCTTCTAAAAAATAACTCATCTCTGCTGGCAATATGTATGTCTTTGGGATAAAATTAAAATTGATAAATCCATGATTTATTTACATTTTTGAAATGTTACGGTGCATTAAATCTTTTCGAGTCATTTCATAAGATTTTGGAAAGTGACATACTTTTTAATAAGCAAATAAATTTGTATAAATTTCTGATCTTATTGCACATGAAGACCAATACAAAGTCCAATTTTTATCATTGTTTTCTTTGAAGCCATTTTCTTCCAATAGTCCTTTTACCAGTTTTATTGGACTGCTTCCAAATTTATAATAATAACCAACATCCTTTTTATTAACATTCATACATTTATTATTATATCAGTGCTTCCAGAATAGGGCTTAAAAGTTAAATATCTGGTCATTGGAATCAAAAAGGAATTAGTGTCTTTGGTTTGTGATTTCGGTTGTTGCTATCTATTTAAACTTGCTGCCTTTCTTTTGAATTTATCTGAATTATTATTATAAGTATTCGGAATTGCGCTCAACACATTCAATTATTACTGCATTAGTATATAAAGAATTTACTTTTATTTGAGGAAGCATAACATTTCCAATACCTGCCTTAGGTCTTGAATTTTATTAAGCTAATTTACTAATTATTCAAAAACTTTACATTGTTGTTCTTAATTACAATTTGGATGATAGTGTTTGTTTAATAAACTAATAATGTCATCAATTGAATCACCAGGAGAATTCATCAAAGTTATTTAAACTGTTTTTATTATTAATTTTATATTAATTAGTATATTACAATTTCGAATTTTTGCATAATCGAGAAGATAAATTAAATACTAGATTTTTAAATATCGAAATCAATTTATATTAAAATTATATTTTAAGAGTGCTATTTAAATTTAAATTATTATATCTAATTCTATGATTATTTATAAATATGTTTCATTTTGCTCTGCAATCGGTTTCGCTAGCGGTTAAACCACAATCACAATAAAAATCTGTGGCAACTCCATAAAATTATAGGTTATGTAGTTTGTGACACTTTATTGCACAAGCATGGCAAACTCCTGGAGTAGCACCATCATGATTTTACTAATATTTCTTAATATCGAAGCAATCAAGACATAAATACATAGGTTACTATACCCTTTGTTAACCTGCAGATTCTCTTGTACATAATTATACACGATGATCTTACTTACCACAATGACAACTAAATGATCCCGATTTTTTTATTATTTAATGGTCTTTATGACATATAAGGGCACAAATCCTGCAAGCTCCAAATATTGAGTTCTTTCCCCAACATGTGATGCATTCATAATAAATTTATTCATATTTATTATTGCTGCTTACATCATATGTACATTAACTATTTCCATAAATAAATTCAATGCCTTTTATATCTCCATCACTTAATTGTTGACGAAATCCAATATTTTTATGCTAATATTCAGCTTTAAGAGTCATGTATTCACTTTAGCCGTAATGCATTGTAGAATCAAAATCATACTCACCAATCATATATCCCATTTCTCTAATCTAGTATTAATTCATATCTTCAGGATCCAATTGTGACTATTAAAATGAGAGGTATAAATCTCTATCTATCCTGCATTATGTATGATCAAAACCTAAAACATGCATAGTTTCATGAAGATATGTTCCATAATCGCTATTCTCTTCTATGTGTACAACGTGCTCTTTTTCTTATATCTATCGACCAAGTTTGAATACAAAGCTTCTTCCATTACTGCTTTTTGTATATTTTACATATTGATTGTGTTTTTTAAAATCTTGTTTTTATACAAATTTAATAGATGTTTTCTCTTGGAATTCTTTGATTGCTTTGAATAAATATTGTCTCATCTTTTCAGTAAAAGATATATCAATAATGTATGGGATTATACCATATGGCCATACAAAACTAGAGAATTTTAGGTTGTAATTTGTTAGTATTTCTTACTTTTTATTTACTATTTTTGGGTTTAGCAATATGTTTCTTTATTTAATTGATTCTAATTATTTTGAACTGCGGGGTTTTTAAAATTATTGTATTATTTGATTAGATTCTTGATTCAAATGATTCTAACAAAAATGTTTAGCCTAACTATTTTAATTTATTAAGAATCCCTATATAGGTTTATGGTTAGATTTTGGGCCAATTCTCATTAATAATATTGTGATAGTTGATCAAACTGATAAATATATTAAAAAAAAATTATTCTATTTCGTTTAATCTGATTTCAAAATTATAAATTAGAGTGTAAAATTTATTTTGATGTGTTTCAAGTCGATCTATTGATCACAAATTTGGGCAAAACCTATCCATTTATACTTTTATTACATTAGTTTGAGGGTAAAATTATCTATTTGTATCTAGTTATAATTTCTGATTGATAATTAATTTAAATGAAGTTTGAGTGAAATTTTTTCATAAAATTTAATTCAAATGGGCTTAACCTCCTAATAACAATAATTACTAAATCATTTATATTGTATTGCTATTATTTGGAATACCTAAAGAATCAATTTTCTTAGTTTTAATTTCTTATAATTATTGCAATTAAGATGGATGAAATAATGAATTTATAGAGGAACGATAAGAGATAAAATCTGAACTTGAATTTATTGTGGAAGCAATTAGTGGAGATGCAGATACAATTTGTAAAATATATTAATTCATTTAGAAATAAAGGAATTATTAGACAAAAAATATTTTAGAGGTTAGACTTACATATACAGCCTTTTTATATATCTTTCCATTCTTGTATTTGCGTGATGTTTTGAAATTGAGATTGTTGAACAGCTCTATGAACGAAATGATAACCAATTATTTATTGTATTATCGATAATAACAATCAAATACGATTCGAATATTAGAGATTGAAATTTAATAAGAGAAAGAGAAGCTTCCGATATTATATTATTAGATTTTACAAAAGTTGATAAAGAGATCATCAATTTGTGCAAAAGAATTAATGAAGTTAAATGATAGGGGGTTAAAATAAATGCCAACTTATAATCCTTTATTAGTGATGCAAGTTGCAGAATGCGAGGGAATAGAACTATTTAAAATAATACCAGAGGAGTTATTTTAAATGAAAAGCTATTTAATATTTCTCGATTTTAGTAAATATACAGATTTGAAAAGAATGTAATTATTAGAATTTTATGAAGAGAAGTTACAATAATCAGATTATTTGGAGCAATAAATGAATTATAATGATAGATCAGAACTATTTTTCTTAAGATTGGCTAGAATGTGGTTGAAGTAGACCTTCTATTAAGACACATATAAATAATTTAGGTTAATAATGATGCTCATAAAAAAGAAAGAGTAGATGAGATGGGTAATTAGATAATTGGAAGTGCTGGAGAAAATAACGGAAAGAATAACCTGAATGATATATAGATATTATACTTTACAAAATTCATGACTGTCCCATTTATTATTTTACCAATTTTTTAGACTTATAAGAGAACATAATTTAAAAAATACTAATTTTTGTAAATTTATAGATGAAGTTATTCATTATGTATTAATAGATTAATTTCTTGGAATTTAAATTGCAACAGTATCTTCATTTATATTTACTACTAAATCAAATGATTAAAGTTAAACACAATTTTGAAGCATTTAAGTTTGATTATATTTAAAAATTGATCTTACCCTATTTAGTATTAGTTCCCTCAGATAGGAAAGTGTATTATATGTCAAGCATTTATTAATCATCTCTATCAAAGATAATAGTTATAAATCAGTCTTTGGAAAAAGTGTGTTTCTCAAAATAATAAATTTCTAAATTGAAAGATTAAATTTCTTAATTCTTAATTTTCAATTTACTTGTATTTCTAAGTTCTTTCAGTAGTTTATAATAGGATGATTCTTTTTACAAGGTTATCTTCAAAAATGGTAAAATTCTGATACGTATACATTAATGTGGAGTGTGATAAAAAAGATTATTTTAATCATTATTAAATTAATAATTATGCGAAAATCATAGAAAACAGGGTCTCAGTAGCATATTAAAAATATATTGACACCTTTGATAACCTAATAAAATTCAGGTAGTCCAGACTAGTCTTTAGGAAATAGAGCACCATACAAAATGGGACGGAGATCATCATTGATTGAATTGCATAGAGTTGAAAGTGAATCAATAAAATTACGACCACAAAGAGTGTTGTAAGTAGTTAAGGATGCTAAGAAACAACTTCTGTCTCAATAGAATCCTAGACCTGAGAAAAAAGTAAAACCTAGAGTAGAGACATCGGAATGCTAATATAGAGGATTAGATTTTACTTTTGCCTAGAACTTTTCAAATAAGTAGATAATTTTGAAAGAATTCTCAACTAATGGACTTAGAAAAAGATTCTTTGTTTGATTTAGTATCAATTATTTATTTATATCATTGTATCCTTAAGCGAGGTAACTACTTCCAGAACATTATTTTAGAATAGGGATCTTCCAAAAATTTGGATGGATCTTTGATATCAATTAAGATCAATTCATTTTCAGTAATTTTAATTTTGGCATCGACAATCACTTTTGTGTTTTTGGTGCTTTTGGATGAAGCTATATTGTAACCATCTCTGGTTAGCAATTGATTTTGGAAGAGACTGAGAGTTAAGGTAATTGAATTGTCTAATTTGTATTTGATGCATTCTTCTTTAAAGTTTTCGTCTGTGAACTCATCTTGATAGATGAAACATTCCGGATTGACTCCAGCATAATAATAGGAGTCTTTGCGTATGAACAGTAAACCATTCTTGGTGTAAGGGAAGAGAGTTTTTTGCAATTCAGCGATTGATGGTATAACTGGGATCCATTCAAAGTTGTAGTCCTATTGTTCTTAATCCTAACGCAATTGACTGAGAATGTGACCTTTAATCCAGAAATACCTCAATTCTGCTACTTATTCACTCATATCCATTTTGCCCCATTACAAAATATCATAAATATAAACTGTATTGGCACTGAGGAAACAGTCCAAAATGCATCTGCCAATCAGAGTCTTTTAGCTGCCTATTAAATTAATTGTCTTAACTTGTACCTCCAGGAAGCGAGGATGAGAATTTATATTTTAGACCATTGATTGTTTTCAAAACTGTGACTCCTTGATGACTGCTAACGATGCACCTTTATCCAACCGGTAAGATGCGAATAAAGTACTCATTTATACAGATGGATTCCCCATTATAATATTCAAAACTTTAAAAATTCTTGCAAAATTTTCGCAGGTTTTATTATTCTAGTTTTAAAGGGGGTTCTTCAAGTTTAAGTTTATTGAATTCTATCTCTATTTCCTCTGTTTATTACTTTTCTTCTTCTTTCAGCCAAAACCTTTTTTGATTAAAGATAGCCAGACGACTCATTTTCCGGATGTTGTCACTTTCTCTCTCCACTATTAATTAATTCATTTTCATTTTATTAATATAAATTATCAAATATTTTGATTCCCTAAGAATAGATATATATTATTGCATAATTATGTAAAATCATCAATTCAATATTATGGCGTGTACATAATCATAATTTTCATTCTCCATGATTCCTAATAATGAATGCAACGTATGAATTGGATCGGGCATACTCTGAGGATATTTGCTAAATCCACCATAAATAGATTAACAATGCTATAAGAATTCCAGCAATCTTTCCTTATCTAATAAATCAAGCCCCAACATTTTCAGAGTCCATCCAATCCAAAAAGAATAACAAGAATCAGCAACTTTATTGATTCTCCCAGCCATACCCCCAGTCAATTTGCATTGTCGATTAACTAACCATTCTATTAAACTGCTTTCATAAGGTATTTCCAACTTTAAAATCTTCAAACTAGCTATTGCACAATAAGATGCACCGCTGTGAGATTCCAAATGCGGTCTCAATCCAAATGCTCCATCTTAATTCTAACACATTAGTATGAATTTTCCGACAGTCTATTAGAATTCGCTCGTGTCTATATTCAACAAATCTAAGTATGCCAATGCACTATAAATCATTCTTATATCTGCATCCTAAGAATTAGCAGAGGAACGTATATTTCCATCCTCTTGCACAAGAGATCGAACAAAATTCAGAGCTGATTCTTAATCGACCTAAATGTTGTGTTAAAGCTCCCTCAATACGGATATTGCACAATAAGAATTCACTATTGATGGTTCTGAATCATCGAATGTTGAGGGCTTATATTAGTGAGGCTTCACTTCCAAGAGTTTCAAGAAATTTATGATTGGCTCAGATTGACATTCTGATTTCAATAATTTAAGAGTAGTGACACAACAATATAAAAATAAGGCCTTCAATGAGTCTGCTTTGTATGGGAGTTTCTATTCATAAAGGGTCTTTTGGACGAATACTTCGTGTTAGCCAAGTGTTAACTATTATTACATTATAAATTATAATTAAAATGGAAAGCAAACTATAAAATTTTGAGATCCTGAATAAACTGGGTATTATTAAATGAGCTATTACCTTTTTAGGTTCTGGAGCCTACTCGTCTGTTTACAAAGTGCAACGAAAGTCTGACGGCAACATATACGCTTTAAAGAAAGTATTTTGATATTATCAAATATAATAAAGGTTAAATTAGTAGACATCGGAGATAGGGAGAAATAGAATGCTCTTAATGAAGTCCGGTTTATTGCATCAATCCATCATGAGAATGTTGTTTCTTATAAGGAATGTTTTATTGAGGACAATAATCTATGGTATGGATAATCGTTGTAATCTAAGTATTATCATGGAGTACGCAGAAGGAGGAGATTTGTTGTAAAAGATTTAGAGGTTTGTAAAAAAATAGCAAATGATTCCTGAATAAGAGATATGGCAAGTTGCAATTTAAGTTTTATAGGGATTAAGAGCACTACATCATAAAAAAATACTGCATAGGGATTTGAAATGTGCAAATATCTTCCTATATGAGAATGACTAGGTCAAGCTTGGAGACTTCAACGTTTCCAAACTAGCCAAAAATGGTTTAGTCTACACTCAAACGGGTACACCCTATTATGCTAGTCCGGAGGTTTGGTAGGACAAACCGTATGATCATAAGGCTGACATATGGTCCTTGGGGTGTGTGATTTATGAGGCCTGCGCTCTGAAACCGTACATATGATCCTACTATTAGATTAGACCATTCAGGGCCAAAGATATGGACGGACTTTATAAATCTGTTCTAAGAGGCCAATATCAACCCATCCCAGTGATCTACTCTCAAGAGTTGGTTCAGTTAATTAAAACCATGATGCAAGTGCATCCGCAGAATAGACCGGATTGTGGTAAGGATCTAAGACTTAAACATTAGATAAGTTACTCCAATATTAATATGTGTAGAAGAAGGCCAAACAATATGGGATTCCCTTGATCTCAGAGGATATCGAGGATGATTTACTAAAGACAATCAAGTGGCCAATCACCAGAAAGGGATTGTAGGCTAACAAGTCAGAACTCATCAATCTAAATTTCCAATTGCCTGGTAGCAACTATTTGAATCAGCATAATTCAAATCATTTAAGGAGGAACCAGCAATCCAATAGAATCAAGTCTTAGGATACAAATGATTCGATCTCTTTAAATCAACCTAACGAAGCTTTGCATCAATTAATGAAGCAAATCACTCAACTTGAATAGAAGGATATTGAGAGGAGTCCTAATTTCAAATAGAACCTGAACAAATCTACTTCAAAATAGACCATTTAAGATAATGTCTTGCCTCCAGATAGAAGATTGAGAGTGTCTAATTCTACTCATGAAAAACATGAGAAGTACGAATCAGTTTAACCGTAATAATTGAATTAATATTAAAAGTAAATGTATCTCGAAGGATCGAATAGAACATCAAATACAAATAAACGCTAATTATTATGCTAAAGATGTCATCCAATCCCTCAACAAATAACACTATTCATAGAAGTTGCCAATCATCTCTGGAACTTAAAGATAAGATGAGGAATAGCATATCTTGAGAAAGAATTCCTCCAACGAGAGAAATCCAAGTAATCATTTGAAGAGATCAAAGAATGATCCACTGAAAAAGGATCTGTCCATGTAGCCTAGTGCAGAAAGACCTACTGTTTTAATGAAGATAATTGAAGAACATCAATAACTACCTAAAATAAAGAAAAAGTAGTAGTGAGCTATAATTAAATAATCACACTAAATGTAATTTTCCAAATTTTAAAATATTATATTATGATTTTTTCAGAAATATTTAAAAATTTAAGCATTCCATCCATCAACTATGACACCCAACCCATTGTTTCTCATATCATCTCCACTTCTTACATAAGTTTATCCACTAATCATTTCAGTTATAGTTTATTATCCACTTGAGGCATCACTTAATTTGACCAGTCCGTATCCTGATCCTTCAGAGAAGTTAATTACTACAATTATTTTATCTGAAGCATTGGTCCACTAAACAATAATTTCAATATCATTACTCTGAAAGCAAAGAATTTCCAAGATTAATCTCCTGTTACAGTCAATTATGTCCAATTTCCTGATTTGAATACCTCTCTTTTTAAGATGGCCATGACCTTTCCATAAAATGATTTAACGTAAGCTGATCCATTCTCTTTATAACTTCTTCTTAAATGGACATCCAATCTATTCGACAATCCCTCCAATTAACCATGATTAACAAATCTGGCCCCTGGAATAGAGTAACTCATCAATGCAGCAACGCAAGAAATATAATCTTTGCCACTGAACTTTATGATAGCTCTTGGTTCATCGTGATTTTCAACGAAATGATTTGAATGAGAAGCATACTAGCCATTATAACTACAGTAAATACATTCAAATTCAAATTAGATAGGATGGGTCTAACCTTTCCGACATCCAAAGTAGCTTATTGATCCAATAACCATTTTTCATAAACATAATCAAATCCTAAATTTATGAGATCCTGTTCCTTGCTCCAATACACTTCAGCCAAGAATATCACATTTGGATATTGTTATTTGGTCTCCTTTATGGCCTCAGACCAAAATTCAGTTGATGGTCTCTTGTAACCCCAAGCATCTAATTAAGGTTTCCACTTGTTGTAAAAGAGATCATTCAAGATCACCATAGCCATATCACATCTCATACCGTCAGACATAGAAGCTATCTTCTTCACTACGGACTTCAGATAGTTTCTAGTATCATTATTCCAGTAATTCCATTAAGCAGTGTCTTTCCAAAATCCATCCCATTGATCTCCACCGTAGCTAACTCCATCGGGAAGATAGTATTCAGAATCATAAGGCTTGGGTGTGTTGGGAGGCGCTCTAATATAATAATCAATATTTGATGTTCTATATGGACTATCAATTGCAGAATGGTTAGGAACAAAATCGAGCATGAGTTTTAACCCCATATCATTAAGCTTTTTTCTCAGATTTACTATGTCTTGGTCTGTGCCTAGTTCTGAATTGCAGACAAATTCAGTGATAGCATAGGGGGAACCTATGACATCATCCATAGTAAAGTCGGGCAAATTAGACTTGTAGTCATTTGCATGAGCCTTATCAAAGTCTAAACCGTGTTTTCCAAGTTGCCAAATACCTAAGTTAAATATCAACACTCACCCATCAGCCAGACATAATCAACTCCGATGTTTTTTAGATTCTAAAATTCTTCCATTGGAATATCATTTAATTTACTAATCTTCTTTCCATATTTATTGGTTAATTCATAAAGCCAAGGTCTCAATGATAATTCATAAATTGTAGGGTTGTAAGCATTCACCAAAACATTCATTAATAAAAGACCGATGACGAATTTCTACATCATATTAATAAATAAAAATCAAATTTTGTTTATTATTTTGCTCATTATTCTATAATTGTTGATCAAGTGTAATGATCATAATATTTAATTATAGATTTAGGTTATAAATTAATCCCTAACATAATTTAGATATAGTAATTGATCATTAATATTCTTAATCAAAAACATATCCTTAATTTATTCTAAAAAGATGAAATGCAATTTTTAATATTTCAATAGGATAATTAAATAATGTAGATTGCTTATATATTAATAATAAAATGATTGAGAGTTAAAAACTTTGTATCAGAAAATATCCATTATAGAATATCCATAAAATGATTTCTTTGAGATATAAGATTAAAAGGTGAGAGTAATAAAAAAGGTTTCAGTTGTAAGATGGTCTCTGGCTTATCTGATGACATACCTAAACACTTACAGATGTACTATAAGAAAAGACATTTCTTTTTTAAAAAGTTTAATGAGATTATACTTTTATACGAAGAATCTTGGTATTCTGTAATACCTGAGGTTTGAGTTGACTATCATTTTAAGGTGATGAGTTCTTACATTGCAAATAAATTAAAAATAAGTTCTTCAGAATCGGATGTAGTGGATGGTTTCTGTGGGTCAGGAGGAATAGCCATTTGATTAGCTTAATTATTTAAGACAGTTATTTGCATAGATATTGATGTGTATTAATTGTACTATTCATACAGAAAGATAACAATATCATGAAAAAACTTACAAGTATCAATCTATTGCCAGAGTAATTTAAATGAACTTTCTTAAGTATTCTCACAATAACCAAGACTTTATTCTTGTTATGTGTCCATCCTGGTAGTAATTGTTCTAACTCTATCGGGGAGGTCTCAATTACTTGCATAAATTATATGATTTAAACAACATGAAGCCACTTAATAAGAGTTATTACCCAAAGGTCTACAAATGACTGATAAAATAATTCTGCAGCTGCCAAAAATATTGATCTTATACAATTAGTTAATATATTTAAGATTGTTACAGATAAACTTAGACTAAAACTCTAATCCTTAGATGTTGAAATGATATTCATAAATGAGTAAATAAATTAATTAATTATTTACTATGGGTTATGAGATATATTTTACATTTCTACTCAATATCACATTGAGCCTTTATATAAATTATGTTGTCACAGTCCCTTACATGGTAATATGCTAATTAACTCCCTTTATAGGATGAAGAATTTCATTTGGATCAAATGCAACATTATTTAGACTCCGATTTTGCTTATTGGAATCCGAAATTGACAACTCCGCCTATGCTTTACTTTCTTAATTACCCCTTTATTGTGTTACTCTCCAAAATGGGTTTAAGCACACTCATGGCTTGCAGAATAATCAACACGTATATATATATTTAATTATAGTTTTATATATCCCTCTATTACATTTTTAGTTTTATCGAAATCCTTTTAAAATACAGAAAAGGCTTTACTATTTTCAATTCTCCCGACAATTTATTTTTATAACTTTCTGTTTTACACAGATACCTTATCAATCACATTGTTATCCTTATCTTTTCAATTATTGCAGTCAAAGTATTATTTCATCTCTTCAATTGTAAATATGATCTAATTATTCATAGTTTTCATTATGCTCCGTGATGAGTAGATAAACAAACATACTGTGGATAGTTTACTTCTGCATTAAAGACTACCTGGATCAAAACTAAGCCAAATTATAATTCAAAGATCCCAGATTATGTATTTATTGAATATCCAGCTTAGCTATTCTATTTCATGTTAATGCTTTGTTAAACATGATTTTGAGTGACATAAAAGGCATTGTAAGAAAATACAAATATCACATATTCATTTTAATCCTATTCATTGGATTCCTGTATACAAATGGTGGAGTTGTGTTAGGAGATAAGGATAATCATAAATTTGTTTTCCATGCTGCTCAGATCATGTACTTTTTACCAGTTCTGTTTATCTATTTTCCAATAAACTGGAATACGCTATTTTAATACACCTAATTATCCATTAAGAGATTACTCTTGTCTAGAAATGCCAAATTCACTTATTTGATTATTTTGATAATATGTTTGGAGATCGTTCATAATTGGACCTACATCCATCCATTTATTTTAAGTGATAATCGCCATTATGTGTTCTATATTTGGAGAAAGATCCTCTCCAAAGATGTATATCGTTACTGCTTGTGCTTCTTTTATGCTTTGATAATTGTGATTCTAAGCAGGATTTTAATCAGTAATTAAGTAATACTAATTTGATAGTTCGTAAAGAATAGACTTTCTAATTAATTTTACTCTTCATATTCACAACGCTATCTCTCATATTCAGCCCTTTGATTGAGCCAAGATATTTCAGCATTCCCTTATTGTTCTTCTATTACCATTGTTAATTTGCAGAATAAACTCTGAAGAAACAAATCACAGTCTTTACTCTAATGAATTGCATTATTGTTTATGTATTTTGCGAAGTTAAGTTTTCTTGCGATTTCCCCCAATGTAGATTTATGTTTTGATGTGTATGATTAATAATTAATATTCAAAATAATCAATCGTATTTATTTGTATACAAATATACATATATTACAAAAATCAAGTTAATAGCTCTAAATTGTGTTATTTCCCAAATTGTTTTGTCTTCTCCTAAACATCATTGCTTTGTGCTTGAATTAATTAATAATATTTACCTTTCAAAATATCTTAGAAATACTAGTTTTGACAAACACACTAAAATGACAAACTGACATTCTCCTAAAGAGGACTCTTATTTTACTTTAAATTTGCCAAGATCTCACCGAACTTCTTCAGAATATCCAACCATAATTAGAGTGAAAATCTGTCCTTTTGAATCCAGTTGAAGTACATCTTCTAAAGATTTTGTGAATAATTGACCAGCATTTGATCATTATTTGTTTAGAGAATCTATTGTTATCTAGAAGTAACTTAATTGAAGAGAATAGAAAATTCTTTTTCTTTTAAATCAATGTATTTGTAATTCAAGATAACCTACATCATGATTTATATGATCTTTTGCAGATGTTCATTTGACAGATTCAGTGCCAATGATAAAAGATCATTCAGAAATGCATTATCCTATTCATGAATATATTTTTCATAAGTAGTCATTATTTGTAAGGTGTGTTTGGCAATGAAACCGTCTACGGATGACACACTTCTGAGTTGTCTCTATTTAAGCAGAGTGTTTAATATTTCTAAGTGTTTTCTTAGAATTTGGACCAATTCTTTTTCAGATTGATATCGCTGAATCTACTCAAAAATATCTTAAATCAAATTCATTATGATTTGAGCGTCAGTTTAATCCAAGGTCTTCTTCTCCAATTCAGTAAATATGGTCAACAATAGTTGTACTATATTGTTAAGAAAAATGATAGAAAAGTCTAATTCACTATTTTGTTTCAAAAACTTCTGTATTTCAATTAAAAACTCTTACAAGATTTCAAGAGACTGATCACCCAAATATTCCAATCCCTATTTAAAACAATCATAATAGTTTTCTAAACTTTCTCCCTAATGCAGAAATTCTATCACTAATTTTAATAATGTGTAACCACAATAAGAGGATAATAACTACTTTATTGAATTCTTCTTTATGCTCTCGAATTTCTGTTTTTAAGTTAGAATGTTGACAACAGTAGGCCAAAACTATAGTAGTCTATCAGTATTGACTCTCAAGATTTCAACTGATATAAAAATGATTTAAGCAAATTTGATGTATTCTTTTTTGAAATCAGTGATATTTTAAATAGAATCCAACAAAAGACCTAAAAATTCATTCAATCTTTCTTTGTCTAAAAATTTGGTTTAATTTATTAGATTTGATAGTAAAAAGGGAGATTTGATCCCAATTAATGGTTGTTACTCCTCCTATTTAGGCAATTGATTCAATAAGTCATCTTCACTTTCCTCGTCAGTGGTTTATCTTAAAAACTAAGTGAAGAGCTAAATCACTCCTTCATTAGAGCCCATCTTCTTCTTTGTAAATTTATTATTTAACTTGATCCTACTCAGAACATTCCTACAATCTTTGCTGATGTTATCAGTGGCTAATTGATGTCTTTGCATAATAGTATTATTGATTAAAGATATGATGGGTTAGAACTATTATGTATAAGGTAACAATTGTTCAGCAATGTAGAATCCAGCATAAATTGACATATCATACTAATCATTGCTCATTTTCATTACACTAATAAGAATTTATTAGGCATTGTCCAACTTATCATTGCTAATACAGATATCAATAACTTATTATAAAAAAGAAGTCAATTCCTGAACATCTTAAGTTTATGCTATAAGTTCTTCTATATTATGAACCATGGCAGTTAAGATTAAATCCCCATAATGCTCTTCATCTGTTTAGATTTCAAAGTATTCATTCATGCTTTAATAAATTTATTTGGCCTCAGATTTTGTGTCTAAATATTTATCCCAAACAAATTAACTTAGATCATCTGTAGTGGCAAAATCTCTGATGCACTTAATTTCATCTTGTTGGATATTGTTATAATCAGCAACTAGAACATCATTAGGAAGACTTTCGCCATTATTTATTGTTTTACATGTCTTTTTGAAATCATCTAATGACATATGTTTGGTCACAGTTTTATTAAAGAGATCAGTATTAAGTAATAGAATAGCATAGGTGTAAGTAAATAGATAATCAGGATGTTTAAAATAAGTACTGTCCTTATTCTACTCAAAATATCTAATGGTAAATGAATTCAAGACTCTTTCGATCATTTAACTTTCTCCAAATAACAAAAAGTTAGATGTCAAAAATCTTAATCCTTCAACTAAACTCAATTACGAGTAATCAAATGTGTTTACGTATTTCTCCATTATCGTAACACACTCTTCCTTGTGACATCCTAATATTTCAATCATCAATTTTTCATTATATAGATTACAATACTTAAGAAAATTAACAACCTATTCATGTGGAATTCCTTTTATTGTATTTCTGGGTTCATTTGTAAAATCTGTCACAAATTTAATCAATTTTGTGGTTTCTTATTAGCTCTTCTTCGTTAAACTAGATTTGAATAATTACACCTATAATTCATAAATTTATTTTTGTAACATTCTGCCATCATCACATTATAATCGTTTTGATACTCTGCTTAATTCAAATATCTTCTATACAACTTCCTGAAATACTGGCTTTTAGAATGGATTCATATCGCATTTCTTGAAAATGAACTTTATTTTGTCTTTACTACTAAACAACTCTATTAGAAATTTGACAAAAAAGTGAGTGTCTATTTCACATTGTTATGCCATATCAGTAATGGACATATTGGATAACCTTGTCAAATGATTTGATATTCCCTTTAACACAATCTATCCAAATAGAGTTCGGGTTTCAAATAAATCATCTCCCAATTTCTCTTGCATATTCAAATTCAACACAAATAACAATGCCTAATTCAAATAATTCCATATCACTGGGTGATCAAATTTCACTAATTATAACAACATTGGTATGTAATATTGGATTATAAATTACTAAGGCTTCCTTAATTATAAGATAAATATCATAATTGAATAAGGGTACTCTATGAGTTTTACAGTTTCATTATTTCTATTTGCAATCTACTATAGAACTTCATTCCTTAAATCAAGCAATGCGGCTATCAGCAATTCTTCATTGCATGTCTAACTCATTCTTTTTAATCCTTAACTCAATGAATCTCTCGCCAATTCTCGTATTAATAGGTTGGGCACACTTGACTCTATTTGCCTATTCATTTTTATCAGACTATTCATTATTGGAACATCTAGTTCTGGATGCTCGAATGCATTTCTTATAAACTTTCAATAATGTATATATTTCATTACTTTTAGTTTCTTTTCCAACAACAATTGATTCACTGAAGTTATCTTCTATACTGCATCTACCATCTTCTCTAACACTTGTTTTCCTTCTAAATAAGTGATTTTAGAATAAAAATTTATTAAAGCTATTGAAACTTACTCATCAGAGTCTTCATACATCAAAAGTCCATTTAAAGTGCCTGAAGTGAAGATTTAACCGAAAGACCCTACTGCTAATTGATTCGACTTCTTGTAATCTCTTATACGAAGCAAAATGCTCTAGACTTCGAATTACACGTTGTCCATTTTTAATTAATTAATTCAATAATGCTAATTCACATTCCAAACAATAAATCATTCAATCTAATCCAGCCTTAGAACACGTCGGCTCTCTATTAATATTTTATATCTTCACCATCTATCAAATATTCTAGTCTTGAATGTACATCTCCATCTTAACTTCAATACTTACTAACTTATATCAGTAAAATGAAGCATGAATCTTTAAAAGTTTAAATGAAAATAAGGATGTAGATGTATTTAAAATAATGTTAATTTTAATACATTATTTAGAATTTAGATAACAATATATAATTTTTTACTGTCTTCTCTGCTTACAAACATATATTTTATAGATAATAATATAATATTAATCTATTATTATTGAAACTGAAAATTATGCACTATTAAGTATCTAATATTGTTTGCACAATGATTAAACTCAAATCAGGAAAAAATTATTTCATAAGTAGTAATTATTATATATTCGCACAGAATTAGTTCAGCATCTCATAATACAATAAACTTGTTTTTAATCAATAGAAATTGTAATTATTTAGTTTATAACTGTCAATTGGGTATTCAAGAAAGTCTAGCCGATAAAATCAAGATAATTAGAAAATAATATTCTTTTAGACATGCAAGAAATGGGATATATATTAATCTTTTGCGGTCTCTTACAAATATCGATTGCCTTTTCACTATCTGTAATTTAGTTTTGATTTATAATCTTTATATTCAAAGTTTAAATTAAATTTACTTTAAAGTTCAAAGTGTTTCTTTTGAATGCTGGAACTATCTTAAGAAATTCATAATAGAGCAATTTATAAATTATGGTGCTTAAAAAAACTATGTAATTTCATTTTATTTTAAAAAACAATGTTAGTTTTAGAACTCTTTAATTAATTAATTAATAAACATAATTCTTATAGGAAATGTAAGCTTGTGCAAATTAAAATATAGAAATTTAAAAGTCTTTTCATCTATCACGAATTAAGTATTATCCTATTATCACTTTTAACTTGCTTAATTTACTGCAAGAAAGAATGACCAATTTACTATAATACCAATTATATTACTTAATGAATTTAAATTTTGCTGATTGCATTGGTGACAACATTTAGAGGAAATCTATCTGGGATGTTTATTATAATGTGAATCAGTTATAAAAAAATCATATTAGTATTCTTATTATTAAACAATAAGAAATTTCATTAAATACATAATCATTAAATCTTTTTTTTACAACATAGAAACAAAATGATAAATATGAAACCATAATAGAAGTAAAAGTATCAATCTGTGAATTCAGAGGAAAGACTAAAAATAATAAAATATTTTATTGAAGGATCACTATCAGCATCCTAGGTATAATTTTAAATGAATATTCGAAGATTGCTTAAATCACAGGGTACAACCTCTCAACAATAAAGGCAATTTTTCGTGTTTATAGAAATGAAGGAAGAATAGACAAAAAATAAAAAAGAGATAGAGAACTCCATGCCTAAAAAAATGTAGCAGTATTTATAGTGGATGAGGAGTATGCACATTATTCATTATTATTTAGGACAAGATATTTAAAGTTTATCATCAAATAACAGACGAAGAAGGAGGTCATTTTAAGAAGTCACGAAAAATATATGGAAACCTCAAATGATATAGTCAATATAACTTTACAGAAGGCATAAAATGAAATAAGAAACAATTTGAGCAATTTGCAATCAAAAAGGAATTTTGACGAATCTTTGGAAAGCATATTGAAGAATGGGATTAAAGAAAAAGAAATTATCAATATACCCTAAAGAAGGAATTACTAATTTGAGCCTAATTCTTATATTGATGTGAAAACTATTTCAAATTTATTTAAATAAAGAGAAAACTTGCCATTAAAAAAAACGTGCACATAGACTTCTTAAAATTTTGGGATGCATTAGGAATAGCAATTATCTGATGTCAAACGAATTTTTGAGTTTTAAGTAGAAGAATATTTAAGAAAATCTTAATAAGAGAATTTAAAATGATTTTATAGTATTAATAAATAATTTATATATTTATTGTTAATAATCTCAAATTCTAAGTCATATATTACATTTATTAAGTTAATATTATTATACATGCTATTTTGCACTAAATAAGTTACATAAACTAATATGGCGTCTAGCCTCATGAGATAATAAATTAATTTAATGACCTTAATTTATAACTGTTTTTCAAATATTAATATATTATTGGCATTAAAATAATAATTTAAACTAATTTCATTTGATGTTTTATTTAAAATATTCAATAATTTGCTCCTCTATTTCATCCTTATTTCTTTCCATCTTGACAAACTCTCCCTTATTATAAATAACAATTTGATCTCTTCTATTTTGCAATAAATTTCCTATACACTAAAAACTCAATAAAACTTCATACATATTCTAAATTGTATTTCTTCATAGACTCTTAAATTTTCTTATATAGAATATCATCATCAGTTTCTAATTTAAATGAAATTATTATAGCTTCCTGATAAATTTCTCTTATCAAGCCCAAAATTTTAGGAACTGGCATTAACTCTAATTCTAGTTTGTCTTAAGCTTAGATCTTATGTTATGCCATCATGTTTTTTGGAATGTAATAATCACTGACGGCACTGGCTAAATAAACTAGTATGTTCAATTTCAATTCTTTGAAGATTTCCATAGCTTTTATAACAAAATACAAGTATTCCATTACAGAAACATAAGATACTTCGTAGAGCTTAGTTCTATCAACTTGTTAAAGTTACTTAAGTTTTTCTAGTTCCTCTCTTAAAGATTTAATGATTGTATAAATACTGATCAGCATTAATAAGTTTTTAGACATTTAAATGCCTTGCAAATGGTCTTAAGCATTTGTCTCTGTAATAGTATATGACAACGAAGCCTTCTCTCAAGAAGTATTCAGCAGAGGCTGCTCCTCTCAATCCAGATGAGAAGTTTTCGATAGATCTTACAGTGTTCTATTCCAGAGGAACTGAGGTTCCACCTGATGTAAGAAATACTACTTTCTAGTTCACATGGTTAAGGAGAAAGTCCTTCAATTTGGATACTTGTTAAAGAATTGGTTGTTTGTCGACTTATTGTTCTATAAGATTGATCATAATTAAAAGTTAATGTACTTATGTGTATAATATTTTTGTATTTTTCATTTTTCAACTTTAAGTTCTCCAGAATTGATTTTTCCGATGATTGCCTTGACTGGTTAACCATCAACTGTAGCTCCCAAGGATTATGCAGTTCCTAAGACTTATTTGACAGTTCCGGTGAAGGTTTTGGCTAAAGACTTTTCTTCAACAGCTCTGGCAACTTTGATGACTTATTCAAGAGTCAAATTTCCATTGTGTTTAACATTCTTGGTCTTCTTTCTATCTCTTTCGTATCCCTATAATAGATAAATTGGATGATTTACTCCGATTTCCTTAATGAGTAATGCACTTGATGTTGGAATGACTGTGACATCAGCATTTCTGTTTTAACATCTCAAATTAACCATAACTCTGATACCCTTCCATTTTACCACTTTCAGCAATAATCTTATCACCAACTTATTTTGGATTCTGTTTGATAAGCAATAATAATTACAAGACCAAGGGGTCCCAACTTGGGAGCGAGTGTGGATGCAGGACCACCTTCTCCTCCGAAAACTTTAATGTTGATCAATCTGACTTCATTTGGGTCGACTTTGGGAGGCATTAAAAAAGATTTAAATTTTTTTAATTCTTTATTAAATCTCAATATAAAACACAAGAATCAAGCATTCTTTCTGAAGTTTGCACTAACAACTGATGGAGGCCAGAACTCAACTCTATTTCTTTATGTTCCTCCAAACCTCTCCTCAATTTACTCTTAATTCACAGATTAAAACAATTATTTAACCTAAGTAAATACTATTTTCATACATCTCCCTTGACAAATATTATTTTTTATTAGGTTATCTCCTCCAAAAATAACTTAGCCATATTCCAAGTCACATTTAACATCATAGTTGTATTAAAAATAAACATTTTATACAATCTAGATCTATAGTTATTTTAAAGATATGACATCACTTATTTTAAGGCCTTGAAATATTACGAATTGTTTTACATTAATTTAAAGTCCAATCATACCTTTGTAATCGAGATCAATTAAGATGACCCAATTTTCAACTCTGCCTGGTACCATCATATCATTAACGACTACTTGTAAGAAATAAGTCAATCCCTTTAAATATTATTCAAGACTCATTTCATTAAAATTAACTTTATATGCGTTGAGTACAATAATAGGTCTATAGGAATGATCTCTTCCCTATATGTAAATAATTCCAGCTTTCTAATTATTATTATGATTAAAAACATACTAGAAATTATTCGACTTGTTAATCGAAACTGATTGGTAAGGTTTTCACCCATTCTTCATATTACTACATGGTTTAAATTGTTTAATCCTTCTTAAAATTGTTAGCTTATAAGAATCTTAAAATTTATGGTCTTGTCCAAATGGGATTTTGGAAAGGGCCTGCTTCTTCAAGAAATTTATTTATGGCTGCATTATCTTATTCATCAAGTTCTCCTTCAAATAATCTTCTAATAGTATATTTTCCAATTTTGGCTTTTTTCTCATCAGCAGTTGGTTCATAAGTGAGAATTTCCTGATTAGGTTTAATTGAAGGATAAGATTGATCCATAATATTATTAATAATTATTAAAATAATACATTCGTACCAATTAATATAGGAATAGAGTTCTAAATAAACAACCATGAGACTGTTTGACATTTATTCTAAGATGAGGAAATCATTATATAAATAAATTAATATCAGACTTTTTATTATCTAGGTTCATTTCTGATAAGAAGTTGTTATTATTGATTAGAATACCTGCTACTGTTTTTCTGTTTCCCATAAAAGTATAACTGCTATGTACTCATCAGCAATTCCATTAATTTTTCTCTATTAGAATGTTTCTTGAGTAAGTCTGATGCTTTTTTCCCCTTCAATGATTACAATTCTTTTTAAGCCTCATTATATAAGCGACATAAAATACTCCATTTTCAATCAGGAACTTGATGATCTAATAGTTAATGTCAGCCTCTTTTTAATTCAATTCCATTCTAATCGAACATAACTGCATTAAAAGATTGAATCCATGTGTCTTATCAACAATCCAATTTATGTCTGCTCCATAATGAAGTAAAAGTTCTGCCATTTTGAAACAAATTTTTCTATTTTCAAATACATTTTTTTCCTTTTGAAATATAAGATAATATGTTAAAATACTTCTTCTAATCGTGCAAAACACATTATAAAAGCGGTTTAATTAAATGTATTTGGCTTATTAACTTCAGCTCCAGCATCAAGGAGTATTTTAAGGATTTCATAATTTCCTGTCATTGCTGCAATTGATAATGGAGTTTATCCTGAATCCAGACTTGCTAAATCAACATCAACTTGCGTATTCGAAAGCAACAATTTCACTATTTCAAGTCTTCCCAAGTAACATGCACAAATCAAAGGAGATATTTTCTAATCTACTTCAATCTCACTAAATGATTCCAAAAAATTAATATTCCCTATTGAAACTTAAACATCAATACCTTTATTTATACCGAACTCTTTAAGAGTATCGTAATCATTCTAATGGATCATATGCAGAATTAATTGCTTATTTAAATTTAAAACATACTTGTTCTGATAAGCTTTTTTCTTCTGCTTAAAACATAAATTACTTTAAAATATGTAAAAAAAAAACTAATGATTGAATATGAGCATATAGTATATATTAAAAATACTAACATATTTAACTTGAATGCAAGAGACAACGATTAATTTTCAACTAATATATAATTTCTGTTTATTTTTCACCCTCTTGTCATATTTTATTTGAATCATAAAAGAGTATTTAAATTATAATTTGACATTATTTTTGATATATTTTATATAAAAATTGTGGCTTTCTACAATTTATCATTCATTTTAATATATAATAGATATATATTTCAGCGATTCATTATTAGGCCTCATTTTTAACTTTTTATAAGTTATTAGCATCGATTTCTGGGTATTGAAATGGGTTTTACAATTTCAATCCTCTTTAATCTAATTCATTAACTATGTCATTAGTAGTTAATTATAACTTTTCATCAGGGTCTTTTTCTTTTTTTCTCATTCTATCTTAGATTAATTTTTAAACCATGGAATCTGTCATTTCGATCATCCATTTATCAGTGAGATGAGCTTTAATTTAAGAGCACTCAAACCTATTAGCTTATGGCAATTTTAATCATTTGTCTAAAATCCGCTGGCTTCTAAAATTTCCTATATCAGAAATTCAGACATATTTGGTTTTTTAGAGATTGTTTAATGAATCAGATTATCTACGGATCCAGTAAATTGTGTTTTCTTTGAAGGTGGGACATCTGATTATTATTAATTCATAATAATATTATGGAATTTTAAGAAATATTGGATGGTTTTCAACTGATATGCAATGAATTATAGGGTACTTAGAATTACAAAAACGTAATGGAATTGTATAACAGATCTGCCAATTTGTAGGATCTATTTGAAAATGGGTTGATAATAGAGGGTACACAATATGATTTTGATTTGTCCGGTCACATAGATGTAAAATTGTCAGATTGAGTTTCTAGGCAACTAAATTAAACTTAGACAAATTTGTTTAGAATGTTTTGGATTCAGATGCTGTAGTCTAAGGACATAGAAAAATAACGAGTGCTTTTGCTACTTTGAAAAAAAGATTGGCTTAACAAGAAGAGTAACAAAAAGCAGTTCTAATGACGAATTCTTAGGTTATTGCACCCAATCCAATTTAATAATAAACACGCAATAAAGCTAAGTTATTTGACACATAGTTAAGTAGTGAAAATCTTGATGATGAATTGCAAGAGGAAATATTCAATATTACAAAGAGAATGAAAGGAATGGCTGTGAATATTTCAGAACAATTAAAATTTGACAACAAAGTTATCGATAAAATACTCCATAAACAAGATGCAAATAAAACCAAATTGAATTTAGAAGAAAATAAATTAACCAATTTTATGAAATCAAAAAGTTTAAGCTGTTCCACACTATTTTTGATGCTTACTACTTCCATTTTTTCCTTTATATTTGCCATCATCTTCATTAGAATATCATGAATGCTTATAAATTATAGAATTATTTCTAATAACAACCTTATTTGATTAAATTTATTTACATAATTAATAATTTAACGGAATGAATAAAGAAAATGTTTGTCAAGCCTTTAAAACAGTGAAAGTTAGCAATCGAGAATTAGAAACCTTTGTGAATTCTCGAGTTAATTAATTGTAGAGATAACTGCAGGAAAAAGAATAAGAAATTGCTTAATTGTAATAATACAATCCATCTGCGCATTCTCATTTGATCGAAATTAAATTTGATACCATTCAAGCAGAAAATCATTAATTAAGAAATTAAGTTAATTAATATGAATAAATGATTAAATCCATTTAGAATAAATGCAATTCGTATTAAAATCAAATAGAAACATTAACCAATCTTCTCTAAGAAACTCAAATCACTTTAGACTTTGAGAGATAAGCTAAATAAGCTTTGGAACTCTAACAGTCAAATATCTAACTTGATGCAGAATCAGAAAAATCAGCAATCAAAACATAAATTGATTTATTAAGGAAAGAAAAATATCAATATTAATCGTAATTTTAAGAAATTGATTTATAATTGAAATAATAAAATTTGGCCAATATGGAACTTACTTAAGAATTAAGTACACTCAGTAATTCATTCTCATAATTATAATTTTCATATTCCAAACTAGAGGAAAAGGCTTATGAATTAGAATCAAAGAATGAGATCTTAGTTTCTTAGTTAGAAGTTTACAAAACTTAAAATGACTAGTTGAAATCTCAATGGCAATAGTCTGACCCTAAAAATATAGAAAAACAGTATTAATAGAATGAGAAGATTGCTGAGCTTGAAGCCAAATTGAGATTATCGTATGAGAATACTTCTTAATTCCAGCAATTACTGAATGAAAAATAAGAACACATAAAGAAATTGGAAAGATAATTATAAAGACACTAAAATTGGAATGAGAATAACAATATTTTGCAGGATCAATTAGATAAATCTTAATATGCTTTTGAAGAGATGCAATTTGAAAATTAAAAAATTGCCAAGTACCAATAATAATAAATAGAATAATTGAAAAGACAATTGGAGTAATAAAGTAATAATAATGAAGAGTTGATTGAAACAAAATAATAATTAAAAATAATATAAACTGAATTTGAAAATTATAAATCCAATCAAGATAACAAATTAAATGAAGTAAACTTATAATGTATATTAAAATAGATTAATTCAAAGCCATAATTAGACTAACAAACTGAATGGCATTTAGAAAAATCTAAATTGGTCAGTTAAATATAACACTTGTCAAGTTAAGTTGAAGTTTAATAAAATCAAACTTATGATTAATTTAGAATTCAAATTGAAAGCTAGATGGCATTAAAATATTCAGCTGAAAAGGTCCAATTAGAAAATCAATTATGGGCTGTTCAAGATTAATTGAATGGAATATAAAATTCTATTGAATTATACGTTACAAAAATTAGTTAATTAAATATTGAGAATGATTAATTAAGAGAATAATTAATTGAAAATTAGAATAATTCAAAACAAATTTTGATCTTAGAATAATAAATTCGTAACTTTTGTGTGGAAATAGAAAAATTAAAGAGCATTATAATACAGAAAAGCGATCAAATAGAATTTTTGTCCTCAAAGAAAATATAGACAGAATAATTGGTTAATTATGTGTAAGAATTGGAAAGAAAAGTGAATCATCTAAGTTAAGACAATCAAAGGTTAAATGCAATAATAATTTAAAGATGCAAAAACTCTTGGTGAGCAAAATTTATTATTTTTACTTTCACATATATGTATATAATCATATTTATAATCAATGTTATCTTTTTTTAAATCTTAAGAAATATTTAGGCAATGATTTCGTAAATTTTTTGGATTCCAAATTAGAATTTTTTTCAACGAAATTAAAGTTAAATTCTTACATAGTTTAAGCCACTTACACAGTTTAAACTTAGACAGTCTTATATTCAGATGAATGTCTAATTCTGTTGGTTTTGACTTATGTAATTACAAATTTATTTTACTAAATTAATGGATTAAGGATTTTATCTTAAGGCTTGTAAAGTGATATGGTTCTCAATTCAGTTCTGCATCTAAAATCGTTAATTGGACTATTTAATTTGCTTGAAGGATTCTGAGGAGGATGTAAGTTAGACTGAGTTAAATTTATAATGATTTTTCTTGCATCCGCTAAAGAATTGGATTAAGTTCTTCTTAATAGTTTTTTAATTTCCTTGTCGTAATCAATTTCATGCAGCGACTCTTCAGTAATACCCAAACTCAATAATGTTTCCACAGCATTTTTTTCTTTTTAGTTATAATAATTAAACATAATTATTTAATAATAAATCATGATCCAACCTTTTTAATCTACTCTTAAATTTATTCAGGTGTTTTTAATGGAATGTAGGCATCAATTTTTGTATGTTGAGGCAAGCGTGACTGTAAATATTATATCAAATGAATACCCTCTATTCCATTAAATCAACATTAAAGAACTTTTTAATAATGGCTCCAATCTTTCTAGCTTCTTATTTGTAATTCACTAAATCCTTATCATTTCTTTTAATGTAACTTTGTAATGAATACAACTAATACTAAGATGAATAGTAATACTTGGACTTTGGATAGTTTTATTTTCTCACAACTCTTCAAAGCAATCATTAATTCATTGATCTTAATGATTCCAGTATTATCTTTGTCTTACCTTTTAAAATGTTCAAGTAAAAACACTTCCATTTTACTTCTTTAAGCTTCTAATAAACCTTTGACTAAATTTTCAAAGATAGTTTCTTCTAATACCTTATCACTAGTTTCATATTCAACAGTCTGATCTTTAATGATTTCCATTATTTATTTGATTTCATCCTCTGTAAAGAATTATTACTAGATGATAACAATATAAAAAATACTTCTTCCAGGATCTATTGGAAAACATTGGAAGGAACAGAATGAATCTCATCCTCGTCCTTAATTTTACATTATTCTACTATTTTTTTATATACATTTCTAAGATCTGTAGAGAGCATCCATTATGCTTCGAATCTGCTTTCCTCTTCCTTCTCTCTTAATTCCTTAAGTGCTTAATTCTAACAATAGATTGAATGCAGTGTTTCAATTCCAAAAGATGAAATGTCTTTGAATTACAAAATTCCTGTTCTCGATACATCCAATCTATTGAGTGTGTCCTCCAATTAATGTTTACCTAGATGTAAGCCCATCAATTGAAATAATTAGCCTCCTTCTTCATAAGAGATTACTCCCATATCATCTTTATCAATCTATCGAAAACATTAATAGAGGAGTTCGGCTAGCATTTTGATTTCTCTGATTTTTTCTTCTTCTGTGATTGTGAATTAATTTACTAATTCTTAATCGTGTTCCAATAATTCTGGCTAAACTACTAAATTCTCCTTTTCTTATTCTGGTTATTTTTCATATAATACTTCATCCATTCTCTTATTAATAATTCTAGTTTGTTCAAATTCTGTTCCTAGAAACATGATTCTACAGGTTCGATCTTTGCGTGCTAAAATGGTTTCAATCCATTTCTTGAAAATTATAGAATTTGCTTACTTCCATTTATGAAATTCGAATAGTTCGATTGACTAAATGAATAAGTGAATCATTTTCAAATCTGAATGACATTGTTTTTTCAGATGGATCTGTCAAATCTGGAATATAGAAATACACTTTCACTGTTGCAACAGGAATGGGATTTGATGGAGTAGGTAATGAGAAAACTGTCATAAAACTATATATAATTTAGGTAACTTACGTATGTCCTGAAGTGGTTTCTTCAATATAGCTTGTGTAATATAAATACTTCTTCGTCCATTGACTCACGAAATTGTTGATCAAATGAATGCTTCTTTCTAATAAATCTGTCATTAATGTTATTAATTAATTATTTGCAAAAAACAAATTAAATCAATTCAGGAGCAGAGATCATTTATTTACACTATTTCAATTAAGTTTTTGGGCATGCTATTTTTATGTCAATTATAATTACAATTCATCCATATTTTTATATAATTTGTACATTTTGAGTTAAACTAATATATCTAAATCAGCAGACAATTTTAGTTTTTATTAACTCATAATTTTTAAATACTTTGGATTCCATTTTAAGTTTAAATTTTATGACTATTAAGCTTAAAATGCCAGAATCGGAAACATCATCTTGTTTTCACTCTAGTTGTTCTAGTTTCTGTGGACTAGATTCTTTAGAGCAACAACTTTAATGAATAACTCTTGTAGTCTTTTCTTTTTGTCCTTTATCAAGTTCTTTTAATTGATCTATAAGCAATTACGTTAATATTATACCAACTGCTCTTTAAACATGTCAGTTTCATTTCTTCTCATCCTGTGTTTGCAAGAGACATCAGAAATGACTCGTTTACCATCCTTCCTTAACACCTTTGAAGCGATCATAACATTTAAAGCATCATAAACTCTTCTTTTGATATTTTATTCATCTTTAGGCTTGTAACTCAATTTAATTCATACATTATCTAATTCAACTATTTATCCATCAGAACCTAAATCTTATATCAATCTTTATGCAACATCCTTATAAGATGTGGATTTCAATTCCAATACTATATCTCTCACTTTGACACTCAAATTACGTAGTCCTTTAATACTTTTACTTTATACCTTTCTAACTTCTTTAAGGCGTCTAATCTTAATAAAATGCTAAATTTATTGACTTTTTTTCATTCTTCTCAGAATAATATCTCCTTGTTTATTCACTTCTGCGTTTCTATGGTGTCATTTCTGTAGTGTTAATTTAAACAATTTAAAATCCCTATTACTTATTTTGTGATTATTTGATCACAACTTATTTTAATTGGGGAGATTGATTATTTGATGTTTACAGATCAAACATTTTTTATAATGGTTATTGATCAAAAGGAAAAATATCATCTCCATTTTGTATGGGTTATGCAATGTAATAATCTTGCAAGACCATGTTATTAGGACTTAGGTGAGCACGAAATAAAATAGGACTGTAAGGCTAAAACAGAATCATGTTGGATTGACGAAGGTTTAGAGGAGAGGATTCCAGTTCAGAATGAAAATCATTTGGAGTCTAATCAGTCATTATAATAATTAATTAAAATTTGCATTCATTTAATTATATTTTTGCGCAATTTATAATACCCTTTCAATTTTATTTGTTACATAATAAGAAACAAGAAATAATTAATCAGTTAATTGATCAATATATTTATTTCATTCAATAATTCTTTTTTAATTTATAAAATTAACATTATAATATCGAAACAACTCTATAGAATATCTATATATTAATATGATCTGTAAAAATACCTAATGGTTAAACAAAGATTGCTCATGTACAAATTTTGATTATTCCATCCTCAATATGATTTATATTGAGTTATAAATTTGAATCAATTTCCAATATTGCATTTAAATTCAATTAATTGATAATTCATCAATCTCATTTCAGAATTGCACTATTAAGGTAATAAGTATCTGAAGAATCATAATCTTGTTAATCCTGCCCTTACAAAATCTTTTGATCTCTTCTAATTGGTTATCTCTTTCCCAAAGGAGTATTATATATTACAACTGTAATTTAGGGGAATCAATTTGAAATATTTATTAAAAAAATTAAAACTTACGATGAAAAATCAATAGCAATAATCTTCAGGCAATACTAATGCTGCTTAGATAAGAAAGAAGCTGCTCAATAATTAATAAGTTTTATCTGAAAGCTAAAAAAATGAAATCAAAAAAGCTTTTGATTATTTCGATACTGCAGGATCAGGCACAATTGAGGCAACAAACTTAAAAGTAGTGTTGAGAGCTCTGGGCTTTGATCCAACCTAAGAAGAAATTGGAAAACTTATTAAAGATCTCGGCAAAGGAGATGTGAAATATGATGCTTAGAGAATTGATTTTTAAGAATTTCTAGAAATTATGATGGTAAAGATGAGTCAGAAAGATTCTCTGGATGATATTAAAAGAGCATTTAATCTTTTCAAAGATGGTAACAACCCTAAAGTATTGAATGAATATTCATTTAGAAAATGATCACATTTGATTCCTTAAAGAAAGTAATCTAAGACTTAGATGAAGATATGACTGATTAGTAAATCCTGCAATTGTTAAAGGGAGCCCAATCAAATACAAATGAATTGAAGGAGATGGATAAAGATGGAAAAGAGGAGAAGAAACAACCTGAAGATGAGTACAAGATAGAAGTATCAGAAGATCAATTTATTAAGATATTAACAAGAGATCTTAATGATGACAAAGAGAAATTATGAAACTTAATTTCATATTTTAACAATCATTCTTCCCTCATATTATCCAACTATCTAATAATTGCATGATCTGAAATACTATTGTGCTATTGGTCCTATGACTGGTACTCTGTTTTTAGAGTGTAAACCTAAACATTTCAATTGAGATTACCTCTGCCTACAATAAACTCTACATCTATATTTATTTTTTTCAACCTTGTTTTATATATTTTAATCTATTCTATCAACTCATCCAATAGCTCCTCTACCTCTCCTCCATATATTCCATGCAAATCTACTTTTGTAAATGATTATCCTGCAACAATCATTGCAACAAATATCTTAATCCCTTCTTATTCCAATTATTGAATTTTGTCATATTAAGTTTCATAAAAATGATTTAATTTGACCCCCATAGCCACATTTCCATATTTACCTGCATATATTAGTCATATTCAATACCTGCACATCTATTCACAACTTGAGAATTGTTTCTTATTTCTTTTATTTTCTATCTATTATTAACAAATAATTATTTAAGCTCATTTGCAGATAGATTTCTGTACTTCTCACTCACAGTAAATTGTTAGACTTGAATTGGGTTGTCTTATTAAGCTACAACTTTAGTTCTTTATATAATTTTTGGATAATATTCGTCATTGTAATACTTAGTAAGAAAGCCTTTGCAATACTCATAGGTTCCCAATTATTCAAATGCAAATTTAATCTTAGAATAAGAAAAGAAGGGGAATTCCTCACATAATCTTTGTAAAAGAGAAGTTGAATCTGGTTTCGATTACTATTACTATTGTTATGTCCAAGAATTCACAAATTTTCTTAGATTACCATAATTTGAGATTTACATCTATTGAGAGAGAATATCCTTGTTGGTTTTTAATTGGATTTTTTAACCCTCATCTGGAGGAATCAAAAAGGGAAATTCATTATAGTCATTCTGAATTTAGTTCTACTATTAGTTTATCAACTTGTGCATATAGGATTGGATGTTGCTTATAAATTCAAGTGGTATTTGATTGACATCAACCCCAAGTAGATCAAGATAAGTATTATTATTAATATTATCCTCATTTTATGTTTCATCATAAAACTTATCGTAGGAATTGAGGACATCCTTTAGTTCAGGTTCATCCAGCCAAATCATCGACACTTCAGCTTTTAATGAATTATAGTCTTCTGATTTATCTTCAAAAATAAAGCCTTCATTTAATTATTCTTAGTCCTCATTGTTTTCTAATTTCTCAAACTCTTTTATATACTTTTAGAGATCGTCCTCTTATATTTCCACTACATCTTCCAGAACTACTGGCTCACTTTATAATTCTAGCAACTTTGATACAGTATTTTCGATGTTTGCTTTTTCTGACCTATAACATTATTCGATCAACTCTTTATCAAATGATGGAAACATATCATAAAGGGTTTATGGTGGTAATTATTATTGTCTTCTCTTTTTATTTTACCTCGAAGTTGTTTTTGTTGTTACATAATTTAATTCCTCGTCTGACATAATAAAATTTATGTTAAATAAAGTTCATTCGTAATTTTTTTAATTTAAAATCTTCCATACATTTAAATATTCATATCTTAGTTAATGATTGCATCTCATTCTTAATATTAATTATAATAATAAAAACTAAGTAACATTAATAAAAATTAGGTAAAATTCATTAAATATTCTATTCTCATGTTAACTAAAGGTTTTCATATGGATTCTTTATTCCTAATGACACTTTTTGAATCATCTGTTCTCGAAATTAATTTAAAGCTTCCCTGACATCTTTACACTTTTTTATTGCGATTTCTAGTCTTATTATCATTTATTACATTCTAAAAGAGGCATCAAATCTTTCAACGCTCTGTCCTTTTGCTCACCAGTCCAACTCTAAATGTATATCCCATTTTCAGGTTGCAACTAAAAGTTCTCAGGCATATTATCAACAATTATCACTCTATTTAAGTTCCTTCCAAGAATAGATAGATCCTATTCATTACTATATAACCCTTACTTTTATATAAACATTATCCTTTTGAAATGTATGTTCTCTATATAATCTTGCCTTGACTATCTGTTATTTATCGATTATATCTATAATAAAATTAGCATAATCAGGTTAGGCAGCTGTAAAAATTACTATTTCATAATATTTTGATAACTTTTCTAAAAACTCTTCTGTGTAAGGTCTCACTAAAAATTGTCCTCCACCATTTGGAAACTATTTATCATCATTTATTTGTGTATACTTCTTAATAATGAACCAAAGTTTCATCAAGATCTAAAACTAATGTATAATTTTTTGTTTGTTTAGTAGGAAGTATGGGCGATTTCTTTTTGTCTACAGCACTTGTACTTTTATTACTACTTTAACTCTTTAGACTGTTATCTTTTTATAACTACTTAGAAATTTGATTTAATATTTTGTTTTGCTAAACAAAATAAGATTCTAAACTTTGTTATTTGAAATCAAGTGACTAATATACCTCTGGATGAGTCGTGTCGTCAATACCTAATATTGATTAATTACTTACATCAATTCCAAAATAGATCTTATAATAAAATTATTTTTCTACAAGGTTTGTTTGGCCTTGCTCTATTATTTTTTTTACTAAAATTGCCTTAATTCTATCCTTTACTTTAACAAAGACTAATTGTATAATTATGTATTTGATACATGAACCACAGCAGAATTGACTGTTTGGATTAAGTAAAAATTACTTTAAGTGATGTATACGATTAAATTTTTTAAATTTTAATCCAAAATCTATTACCCTCTTGATTATTCCATTAACATTATCAAAACAGTAAAGGATTCCAATAAAAATGTATCAATTATATTTATGTCGATATCATATAGATATTCACTCTAAAATTAATAATTATTATACATTTTTTCTTTCTGACAATTAACTTATACATTAATGTAATTCCATGCAATGGTTGACCAATGATGAATAATTTAATTTTTCTAAATTTTAATTCAGTTGATTCCATTATAATTCCTTCTAGAGTACCAGCTAAATGAGTTGATCAGAGATTTCTTCAGTCTTTGCGAAACAATTTAAGTCCTATTAAGGTCTTTTAGAAATAGTAGAAATTCCATTATTTTTGACAGTCGATGTTTCATTCTAATTTTAGTATTTTTCAGTTTTTTATGAAGTTTTCTTTTGTAGACTATTATCGATTTTTTGTTTCAATTATTAGATCTAACTTATGTAGATGGAGGAATGATAACTATCTTTGTTCTAATTGTTATTGAACCAATTCTTTTATGTTATTTAGTTGTTATTGTTTCTTTATTGTTGATGTTGCTTAGCCAATTAGGATAAAGTTAACACATTCTATTTGATCTGAGAATCTGATTATTTATTTTGAAACATGTAATATAAATTTTGAAGGTTTTCGCTATTCTGATTTACTTCTCTAGTAGATTAAGGTGCTACTAGCTACTATTTGTAATACGAATCATTTGCCTTTGGGGTTTTAGAGTCTTGATATATTAAGAATTATTTACAAGTGTTATCTGTCAGCCTCATATCCTATTTCTCCCTTAGACTCTATCCAAATGATGATTTTGGAGAAATTTGATCTGTCTATACTAAATTTGAAAGTATTTATTTAATCTTGGAGGCACTTTATTAATTGCGATGACCTTTTCTCTCTTGAGGAGTATGATCTGAGAGATTAATAAATAAATGCAGTATACTTCTATATTCAATTAGATCTTTGAATGAATTCTTTGATTTGTTTGATATCATAGAGGTTTCAAGATTATTAGTTAGATAAGAATTGCGTAATTTCTTTTATTCATTTTGTCGATAAGAATTCATATTGAATGAGTTACTTTAACAGATTTTAATTAATGAACTTTTTTATATTTTCAATTAAACATTCTTTCCATTTTCAAATACCCAAAACTTATCAATTTTTAATCTATATCAACCTTACAAGAGATATTCTTATACAAGTACCACATTTTATGGGTATGTCTTTTGAAGAAGAGAATTTTATTATTTAAAATATACCATATTCAAAATGCCATAAGAACGACTAAATTAGTCTTAATTATCGCAATTCTGAATGTGCGGAGACTTGGAATATTGTGATTGACAGATAAATTTAAGTTTCGATCTAAATCATTAATTCAATGATCTTCATTATATTAACTAGAAAAATAGCTCAATTGCTCCTATAATGACTACCTTGTTACCCATTTATTTTATAAGAGATAACAGAGCAAACCATTTTTATAAATTATTTTATGTTCGAAAAAATGTATAAATTTGTTGGATAGTAAAAATATAATATTATACTTTTACTATCTACTTTTCTATTTAAAAGCTGGCATCGATTGTCAAGAAATAAATAATTAAATTAAGATGTAACAAAAAACACAAAGAAGAGGAAAACCGAGTTAATTGGAAGTGATTCAAGCAAACACTGATGTCTGGCTTTTTAATGAAAGATGCTTAGAATTATATTTATTACTCTAGGAAGAAGCGCATTATTTCCCATATTGTTCACGCAAGGGCGAATCATTGAGTCCAGAGGATGAAAAGAAGAAGAATCGCGTGATGGTAGCAGCAGAGTCACTTGGAATAAATGTCCATCCAGATAAAGCTATTGTGTTATTTTTTAAAACAGAATAATCTTTGGGGGAATAATACAATCACTAATTAATGGCTGAGCTTTTGGATACATTGAAAAAGGTGAATGCTGAAAAATTAATCTAATTGAGTTACTAGCTTAATGACAGCTTCATTCAAGAACTTATAACCATAATCAAATATAGAAATGTTGAAGAAGTTTTAGCTAGGAACCTATTGAATGATGAATTACATCCTGATCATAAATTTTAGATAGTTAAGAATGCTTATTTACACCATGTTAAAGTGAATGAGACGCCATTAACGTTTGTAGAATTTCTTAGTTCACATGAAGCAACTCAAAGAGTAAAAAGATTTGCTTAAAAGATTAACGAAACAATCTTTCTGTATAGCAATTGGCAATGGATATAATGATATACCATTAGATTATTATATTATATTTATATTTATATTATTTATTTATTATTAATAGAATATTCAAAAACTGGTAATTCAACTCCTATTTACATAAAAACTGATTTTAGCAGAAGTAGCACCTATCTATGGAAATACAGCAAAGCTTCTCAGTTATTATAATTTGATATGATATAATCAATTATAGAATTATTTTGAAGAACATCTATCTCTGTACTAAATATAAAGACATAAATGTTGTTCTAAATTCCGAAAAAAATTAGATTGAAATGTATTAAAACCTTATCAAATTAGAGTATTTAGCATTATAATTATATTTAATTATTTCTCAAAAACTCAAATTTCTATCTGATTAATATATATGTATTCATTACTATATGTTGATAACTTATACACATTATCATAATTTCTTACATATTTGTTAATATAATATATATTTCATCACGATCATAGTGCGAAAAAATGAGATGCTAAATTGATATTTAAATACTCATTAGAAGTGAGAAATAGTGTGAAATGTTGAAAATGAGAATGTAAGAAACGGTGGATAGTGTAAATAAAATAATAACATAGAAATTTTTAAAATATGGGTTTGATAAATATCTTAATTACGTAATAAAAGTTTTTATTAGATTACTAATAAAATACGTAATATAAAGGGATTAAATGTGTTGAAATGATCGTCGTAAATAAAATCACTAATAATGCAGATTTAAAACTTACAAACACATGAACTATTACAGAAATGGGGACTTCATAACACAACCGTATTCAGAAATCCCAGTGCCCCCCTTATTTATTAACTGTCAATGTAATAAGCAGACGGATCATCTACTAGACCAGACTCTATAAATAATACTGGTGCATTAGTGGCTTATTCTGGGAAGAAATGTGGGTAATTGTTTGGCAATAATCATATAGTCGAGTACCAAAGGATAAAAGGATTATCAAAGACCAAGTAACTGAGTAGGATGTGTGGTGGGGTGATGTGAACATTGCTTTGAGTAGAGAATCGTATAGTGAAGTTGAAAGGATTGCTTTGGATTATTTGGGAAGCAGAGAAAGAGTAAACAATACTATCAAATATACTTTAGTTGTTTATAATAGACGGGTATGCTGGTTGGGATCCTAACCATAGATTAAGAATTCGAGTATTCTGTACAAGACCATATCATGCTCTCTTTATGAAGAATATGTTAATCAGGCCAACTGAAGAGGAATTGAAAAAAGACTTTAACGGTGACGTTGATTTTTATATATTCAATGCAGGACCTCAAACTATCCAAAAACCAATAGACGGAGTCACCTCTGAAGGATGTGTTGCTGTCAATCTAACTGAGAGAAAGATGGTAATTTTGGGTACTCAATATGCTGGGGAAATGAAGAAAGGAGTATTTGGAGTTACTCATTATTTACTTCCAAAACAAGGCATTCTTACTTTACATAGTTCTGCAAATGAAGGAGAGAATGGAGATGTTACTTTGTTATTTGGCTTAAGTGGCACAGGCAAAACTACTTTGAGTGCTGATCCCAAGAGAAAACTTATAGGAGATGATGAACATGCTTGGTCTGATCACGGAATTTTTAATATTGAAGGTGGTTGCTATGCTAAATGTGTTGATCTCTCTAAAGAAAAAGAACCTGAAATTTACAATGCAGTCAAATTTGGAGCTGTTTTGGAAAACATTGAATATTTTTCTAATGAAACCAGGGAAGTAGATTTCTCAAATATCTCAATCACTGAAAACACTAGAGTGAGTTATCCCTTAGAATTCATACCAGGAGCTAAGTTTCCAGCTTAAGGTGGACATCCAAAAAATATATTCTTTTTGACTTGCGATGCTTATGGTGTCTTACCTCCAGTCTCTATGTTGACACCTGAATAAGCTATGTATCATTTCATCTCTGGTTACACTGCCAAAGTTGCAGGAACTGAAGTAGGGGTTAAAGAACCCTAAGCAACATTCTCTGCTTGTTTTGGAGAAGCCTTTCTAGCATTGCATCCAACTCTCTATGCTAACATGCTAGCTGAAAAAATTAAGAAATTTGATACCAAAGTCTGGTTAATCAACACCGGATGGTCAGGTGGAAAATATGGAGTAGGATAGAGGATGTCATTGAAATACACAAGAGCTATTATAGACCTTATCCATAGTGGAGAATTGAAGGATGCTGAATATGAAAACTTCCCTATTTTCAATTTTAAGATACCAAAGGCTGCCAAGAATATTCCATCAGAAATTCTTAACCCAAGAAATACATGGCCGTATCATATTTAATATATATATTTAGAAACCCAGATGAATTTGATAAACAGTTATTAGAATTAGCTTAAAAGTTTTAGACTAATTTCAAAAAGTATGAAGACAAAGCAACATTAGAAATTATTAATGCAGGTCCAAAACTATGATTTATTATTGTATATTGGATTTGTAATTTTCAGCCATAATAATTATTTAATATTTTATCTTTGTATTTGTCTGGACTTGAAAATGAGAGAATTCTTATAATCTTTTCTTATCAATTCAATAGTATTTAGAGAGATATCAAAGACACTCAATTCCATTATCATAAATTTAAAAATAGTACAAAAAATCAAAATTAACAAATTTATTCTATTTTACTCTCATCAATTATTTTGATCTGTGCAATCTTTATCATATACTTTCTTTAATAGTACTCAAATTATCACCATAAGTTTAATTAAGTAAACTCAAGAATCACATAAAATAGATTCATAATTATGAAAGAATATTTTTGATACTTTACTTTTATAAAGAAATAATCATCAAAGGAATTGGAAATTATAATAAATAGATAGATGTACATAAATATTTATCAATTTTCATAATATTAAATGTATTGATTAAGTGCTTATTCAATTTAACTTTTCATTTGTTTTTTCATTTGATTTTTCAACATTTATCTAAAAATAAAAAACATAAACAATAAAAATATAATTATCATACATACAACCAGGATTATTAACCATTTATATGATGTTTCATCATCTATTAATAATTATTAAGAATTGCAAATAGTAATATTAGTTGTATCTTTGAATGAAGAACAAAGTGCATTCTTAATAATCTCGACATCCATATTTCCTCTAAATATTTTCCCATTTATAGTCAGCCCAGGAAAATATACAATTCCAGATTTCATTTAAAGTATGAACTATCTTTCCAATAATTCAATCTGCCCATTCGTTTAAGAGAGACATGTGCTAATATTGGCTTAAATGTCTTCAGAGATATAAAATTCGAAGCAATTTTTATATTGACTAGGTTTACTACATTAAGAATTGAAATAATTCTATTTGAATAATAAAATTGTTCATTACCATATATCTCCACCAATATTTATGATTTAATTGCCATAAGCACAGTTATCGATACTATTCCATGACAACATCTGCTCCATTACCAAATTCATAATCACTTGAGTCTAATTGACAATACCTACCATTGCTTATACAATCAATTTATTATTTTGAGTAATTTGATTCTCTGCATTTTGCACATTACAATAAATGGTAGAAAATATCAAAATCAATAAAGTCTTTTAATTCATCATAATATTTCTTAAAGTTCTTAATTAATTTGAAGGTGTCTCTATTACTAATATCTAATCCAAATAAAACTTTAGGTTTTTAAGATTGAACGATTTAATCAAATTTAATATGCGCATTTAATGAACCTCCTGGTTGATCTTCTGCTAATTTATCATATAAAATCTTAGCCTCATTATGTCTTATCATAATCACAGGGATGTACACCTAGTACCCATTACCATCATCAGCGATGACTAATTCAGATTTATCGTCTGCTTCTTCATCATAAATTATAAGTAATTTTGCCTATAGTTTTTATGCTAGTATTGCTTTTTATGTGATTGAACAACCTCCAATTCTGCTGATGATCCATTTATCAGGTTTAAAAGAAAAGTAAGGACTATATGAGTTAATGCTCTTCAGATCACAGAATTGTTCAACCAAATGATCTGCTTTCTGGAAAGGAGGTTAAAACAATTATCCGTGCAATTTTTATCCATATGGAACAGTTCCAAAATTAGCAACTGAGTATTTAGTAGTATTTAATAATAAATCTCTATTTCCAAAAGTATAAACTAAGAGGGTGGAATAGGAATATCCAATAAATTATGTAATTATGAATAAAATTATCATTTATAATAAAATTTAGATAATTCAAATTTTATTTTATTGTCTTAGAATTATGGTGATTTATCAAAAATGGGAGCTGTTGTTAACCTAATAAGTTTTCAATTCACGATGTAGAATAATTACATTAAAATTACATATTTATTAATTATTTTATATTATCTTATTCTACTTATTCTTCCAATTCCTCTTATGAATAATACTTTATATTTAAATTAATTTTTCATCAAATAAATCCATTTGACTCATCTAATACTTTAGAAGAGATGAAATTAATTATTTTATTGAAACATTGAATATTATTTCTTATAAGAATTTGGGTACCGTATTTTCATGATCCCCTAAATTTTATGACGTTAGGATGTGGGAAATCTTTCAAAATAATCGGTTCTTTGATCAATTCTTCAGATTGGTTTATTATTTCTTCTTAATTAACCAGAATGATGAAGGATATAAGGAATTATTTATATTGCAACTAATAGTCTTGTTTGTTAATTTAAGCTTGTTTATATAGTTAGAAATGGAGAGTTAACTATGAAAATCAAAGAAATCAAATGAGAAATCAAGAGTATCATACATGAATATTAAATTTAATAATGGGATGTGTGTGTGAAAAATCGAAACGAGTGCAACCTGAACCTGCATAAATAGAAGTTCATCCCTGTGAAACAGCTCAACCTTAATCTCAAAATGTCAAATAAACCTCTCTCAAGCAACTAAAAATACCTTAAGTAAGCTAATTTTTAGATGTTTGTAGAAGAAGAAGAAAGTAAGAGAAACTCAGAAACTGGTCAAGAGCACTAATGAAGAGGTAAATTAATATTAAATGGAAGGGAGTGAAAATGATTAACGATTACATTTTTGATGAATTCCTTGGAGAAGGAGCATTTGGTAAAGTCAAGTTGGCATTCAAAAGATCAAGTGGACAGAAATATGCTATTAAAATAATGAGGAAGAGTAAACTGAAACGATAGAGAGAGTATATTAAGGATGCAAAGGGAAGTAGGAGTGACAATATAATTAGATATGGTGATTAAGGATGCACTCTAAGATGTAAGGAGAGAAATAGCCATCATGAAGAAACTCAGACATAAGAACTTAATTCAGTTGTTTGAAGTCATTGACAATCCAAACAATGATAAACTATTTATGGGTATTAACTTGTCTCATTATCAGTCTTGGAGTATGCTGAGGGTGGACAAGTGATTGAATGGGATGACGATGAATGCAAGTTTTATTTGGTCAATGAGTCAGTTGTACTTGATGAACCATTACTCAATTAGATATTTCGTGATTGTATCAAGGGTCTCAATTATTGTAACAGTTCTTCAATTATATTATATAGTGCATAAGAATGGTGTAGTTCATAGGGACTTAAAACCATAGAATGTTCTCTTGACTAATAATAAAACTGCTAAAATTGCTGATTTTGGAGTTTCTACTATGGTTGGCAGTAAAAATGATGTATTGGACAATACTCAAGGAACCTACTATTTCATGCCTCCTGAAGCATGCGATAAAGATAGAGTGAAAGATGGTTACTCTGGTAAATCAGCTGATATTTGGGCATTGGGAATTACTTTTTTTGCCTTTGCTTATTTAGATGTTCCATTTACAGGTTCATCTATTCCTGATATCCTTAATAATATTGCACATAATGAGTATAAACATTAATAATACTATTAGAATTACATTTCCGTAAAGAGCTGATATTAGTGATGGCTTAAAAGAATTTCTACAATTCATCTTATAAAAAGACCCTAAGAATAGACCAAAGATACCAGAGATAGCCAAACATCCATGGTTGAATGCTTAAAATATGAATTTATGGGATGAAATGTACTGATTCTTAAAATAAATAGAAATAAAGAAGAGTAAACAGATATGGAGATCGCGTAAACAGATATAGATAATGCTTATTCATTGAGTTCGATAATGATGATAAAAAATTGGGCATTTAAATGGAGAACCACCTCCAATCTAAAAAAGATGTCGAATATCCAATAAACACAACCATAACAAATCAATTCAGAATAGATAATTAAATGATAAAAATGAATAATAAATTATTTTACTCAATCAATCAGTTAAAACCATAATATGACTAAAACCCAAAGCAATATCCTTAATCTTTATATTTTCCAATCCCAATTCTGGAACCAACCTAGTGTATGTTTCATAATATGGGACATCCATGTATCTCAAGTCTTCTCCCCCCCAAATAATACAGTCTCCTTTACTTGTTAAAACCGCAGATCTATCAAATTTAGCATATATCTTAACGATCTTCTCATCTGCATCAAGTGGTAAATTGATTTCAGTTTAGCCACTAAATTCAAAATCAAATTTAGACTTCACTCCCATCTAATTGTGCAATAGACAACCAAAAAATATTAATCTATTATTGCTAGTTAATACTAGATTGTGAGCTTATCCTGAAACTATCTATTAAATTGATTCATCAGGTTGTAAATCCAGAAACACTTCTGTAGGTTCTTTTATTCTATCCATTTCATTATTCATTCCACATTATCCATACATATTTTATCCACAAGCATAAATTCTATTATCAGAAACCTACAAAAGAGTGTGATGAGCACCAGAACTAATCCTCTAGATCTTTTGATTCCCAATATCCATCAATTATCTATGCTATGTAAATTCAACTAAGAACAACTATTAACTTTTAATCAATACCATAAATCTATTCTTAGTCGTTCCTTCTTGTTTCAGTAAATTAATAATGATTTTTTTTGCCAGATCCATACACAACTCCTCCTTCAGTCAATAACAAACTGTGTTAATAACCACATGCTACTTAAATCACCTTATCTTTAGTTGGCAATTACAATTATTTAAACTAAAATTAATACTTTAATTCACCATTCCCTAACTAGCCTTTGTAATTTTCTCCCATCCCATAACAAACTCCATCATTCATCTGTATTATAATAAAACTGCCTCCAACTGCAAATGATTTGATTGGAGCATCAATAATAGGTTTGTTTAATAGAACTGGTTGAACAATGCCACCTCTCATCGATAACATAGTACCAAGAGGAGAATATTTCTAATGTTGACTCTTATTATAATACTTGCCATAATTAGCATAGAGTGGGATTTCTCTTATAAAATGAGAGTGTTCTATTTTCAGTCATTGTGTCTAATTGCCAACCCCAAATGTAATAATTGTCCATCTTACAATAATGCAAATGATTATGTCATGTTGGCTTCCAGTTATTTAACTCCCACATTTTACAAATCAGGAACAAGTGCAAACTGTTCTAGACTTTTGAAATTGCCTTATCCCAATTAGCCCATAAAATTCAAGCCTTTTGCAAATACTTTCATTAATTAAAATGTAAGATAAATAAAAACCAAAATTATTCCTCGAAAAATTATTCGATTTATTAGAGGTATATTCAATTGTAAATAGTCTGGTGAAGCATATAACATTATTCAATGGACTGTCGATAAAGATGCTATCAAAATTATTAATCGATCATAATTGATTCGAGATATCCTACCCAACATTTTCAAATAGACATCTTATAAGAGCTTCACCAAACAGATGAATCTTTACAATTTTAAGAGTACAAAAGATGAAAATGGCTTTACTGTCTTTATTAATCCACATTTTACTCAGAGTTCGCTGAATCTTACATTAATCATGGCAGAGAAACGAACCATTAAAAAGTCTAAAAAGGAAGACACTAAGAAGAGAAGTGAACTGCAATAAGAACACGAATAACTCAAATAAAAATTGATGGCATTATTCAAATATTAAGTCACTCTTTAAAATGAAATTAAAACATAATTAGAAATCCACAAACATCTTCAAATGAGAGTGGCCATTATTAAAAAATCTATTTATAGTCGTAAGGAGAATGGGTTAAAGAGGAGAAGGAAAGTTTACAACTTTTTGAATTCTTTTTTTACAAATCTCAAATCCTCAGTTATATGTATACATTTTACATTTACAGAAAATTAGGTCAAAAATTTCTCATTTTGAATCATGATCTAATATGTTAATGTGATGACAATGATGAAGAGTAATGTCGAGACTTTTAGACTTCTAGATCATTATATCAAACACCTTACTTGACACCTCGAAATCTTACAATTTTCTAATAAAATTCTATAAGATAATTATAAGATTTATTCTACGATGAAGATAATAAGCCAAAATCTTTTTTATAACTAACACCTGAATAATAAAAATAATTTATAGAAACTATTTGGGATGATTGATTAATATATATTATTAATATTATTTTGTAATGACAATTGAAATAGAAAATGGAGTATTAATATCAGTATGTTAATAAAATCTATACCATTTATTATGATTACAACTTGTTCCTAAAATTTTTGTTTAAATTATATTTGGTTATTATAATTGATATATTTTTAGCACTTCAATTTATAAGGCATAATCTAATTAAAACTTGATCTTAATGAAAAAATCTATAAACTATTCAACTCCTAAGTGACTCAATAGGAAATTGTCGAAATTTTTGAAGTCAAAATGGTCTAATAATATACATTCAAACTTAGAAAAGAAATATCGAACTAAAAAATTGAATAGGTTTTAGAACTCAAACAGTTAGATTTGATATAAATAATAGAAAAGGAAACTGGAAGTGAGTATTGTACTTCAAGATTTTATTAAAATGAAAAAGATTAATTAAGAGAATGTCTATTCAAATTTGAAAGTATAATATTCATATTCATATAAGTGATTGTAGTAAATTCTCGGGTAATTTATTAACTAAGTGTTTTTGTTTTAGAATAATAATCCTATGGTGAATGAATATAATGTATTTAAATGTTTAAAATAAAAAATTAAAACAAGTTCGAATTAGATTGATAAATAAAAAATAAAATGAAAAAGCAAGCTAAATCAAGGAGTCCTGATTAATATATTGAATAATTTATAAAGAATAATCAATAAAAAGTAGACGAAGATGAATTTTAAACATTAGATTTAACAAGAATGACCTCGCTCAATAAAATAAATACTGATGGCTAAAACTTTTACATAAATATATTGCATGGCAATTAAGAAATGACAATAAATCTTTCTTAATATTTACATGAATAAGTAAGCTTATAAATATAATTTAGTATGGATTGATTCATTCCTTCAAAAATTATCCTCCAGAATAATATTACGGTAATTGTGAATACAAATTAAAAATTATAAAGGTTGATTAGTGTAAAATGGAACACAGAACCACTTAAATGCAATTTAGGTATATTGATTATTAAATTTAATAAATAGATTAGATGAAGGAAAAGGTATTGCATAATATAGAGTTGGTGTAGAAGATGATGGAACTCCAACTGGTATAAATTTCGAGGAAATGTTGGTATCAATATAATGGTTAATTAAATTTGCAAACAATAACAAAGCTGAAATCATATTATAGAAGATGCATTAAGGAAGAACCAACACATAAAAGATAGCAGAATTCATGGTGAGAAGAAGGCTACAAGACTCAATTAAGACTGACATTAGAATAGTGATGTTGGGATAGGTGAACTCTGGAAAGTCCTCCTTGATTGGAATGATCACTACAGGCAAATCAAATATTGGAAGACAATAATTTGGTAAATTATTCAGATAAGTTGTCGGATTTGATAGCAAAGGCAAAGTAGTGAATAAACTCAATCTGTTAGGATAAGAAAAAGAAGATGAATATGTTTTTGAAAATGCTACTAAAATCATAACTTTTATTGATCTAAAGGAAAGTCATCATTATAATAATAATGAGGCAATGTAAAACATTTAATCTCAATTTCCTAATTACTTTATGTTGGTTATAAATGCTATTTAGTAATTAGGAGCAGAATTTATTTAATAATTAAAATTAACATTATCTTAATAAATTCCAATTTTCATAGTAGTTACGCATGCTGATAAGTTGAAAGATGATTATGAATTAGAGATATTATTGTTCAATATTAGATAAAAGGTGAAATAGCATATCATAAAAACAATTCCTATTATTTTAGTCAGATCTACTGAAGATATTATGTTATTTAGTAAATAAATAATAGATTAGTATGAAAAGGAAACAGTCATTCCAGTTTTTATTCTATCCAATTTAGAATATAAAACCCATAACTTATTTCTATAATTTTTAAATCAATTACCATTAAGAAATGAATTTACTAATAATAATACTCAACCTGTGGAATTCGGTATTCATTAAACCTTTGAAATTGCTCTAACTAAATAAATCAATGATGAATAACCTACAATAGAATCTGAGAGCTTCACTGTTGAAGATGTAAATATTCTTAATTAAATTTAGTTAACTTTAAGATCCAACAAAGGATTAATTCAAGTTCAAGATAGGAAATTATTAATCTTAGGAGGAACTGTAACAAAAGGCATCATAAAGAAAGGGTAATCTTTATTGATGGGCCCAGATAAAATGGGAAACTTTTATCCTGTTTAAGTCTAAAATCTGTAATCTAATAGAGTTAAAGTGAAGTCAGCCTTAAGTGGTCAACTGTGTACAGTCTAATTTTCACTTGTCAATTCTTATGTAAAAAACATTGGAACTGTTGAAAATCCAATCCGAAGAGGAATGGTTTTGGTTGATTCTAAACTAAAACCTAATAGCTATACGATTTTTATTGTTAATTTATAATTTTTTTCAGCAGGCTGGAAACAATTCCAATAATAATAATAATAATAAGAGTTGATATCTTTAAATCAAACTTAATACTTAAATGCTTCTAATGAAAAGATAAGTTTATCATAATCTCATGAATTATTAGTTCATACACCATATTCCAAGTAAGTAGATATTAAATTAGATAAATTTGCTTAATTTTGGAAAATCTACATGAAAATCCATTTATTTTGGTTAAATAACCAAATATATCAAGATAACCTTCAAGATCAGTTGAGGGTAAACTTGCTTCGTCATCCTCAAAGTATCTTTAAAAAAGCAAATCAAAAAGGGAGAAAATTTAATAAAGTATTGTCATTTATATAATTTATAGAAACAAATATATTTGAAATTAAATCTGGTGAAACATTATCCTTAAAATTGAGATTTAAATATCAAAGTGAATATTTGACATAAGGCATGAAAATAGTTATTATGGAATAAAAGTTTTCTGCTTTTGGACATGTTGTTTCTATGGAGATATGAGATTTATTATTTAAGCAATTCTTATTAATGGTTGAATAAGTCTATATAATTTAGTAAGTCACTGTAGTTTTGTAATTGTTTAATTTGAAATAAGTCTTTTGGATATTAATTAAATATATATATATTAATAAAATGTCCAATAATACTGTGTTGTAAAAGTTTTTATAGAACAATCCATTCATAGAAGGAATTGTATTAATGGATAAAGAAGGAATAGAGTAAGAAATTTAGAGAAACTTAGAATTATAGGAGCATTCTAAAATGAAAATAACAAGTTGAGAACAGGAGCATAATCATTGATGTATGTGGTGGCTATTCAATAATGCAATGAAAATTTAAGAAAACTTTCTGATTCTGAAACAAAACAAATTACATTAGTTTATGAGTATTGAATGGTTTGTAAACTTAGTGAATGGATTCTATATTTCGAAATTTGGAGCCATTCAATTTTGATATTTTATTGCAATGTCAAAGCAAATATTGTGTCATTAAAATAACTTGGACAGGAATTAAAGCGCATACTTTCGCCTTATAATGATTTATTAGAAAAATAGTAAAAATGAATTAAATATATTAAATCATATATAATGTCATTGTCATTAAGAACATTTATTTTGATATGTTTGATATTTGTAGGATATTGCAAAGAGTCAGGTGAAAAGCATCTTACAATTCTAACCCAGTCAATCGGATCTATGTTGGTGTCGGAAATTGGAGACAAAGTATATCAATATTTTGAGTTCAAAATAGACATTCTTCTTGGCAGCAATTTTGTCAATGAAGTTCAATAGAGTGGCAGTATTCGCTGGGGCTGGAGGAGCTTTGGTATTGATGACAGCAATAAGTTGCGCTTTCGGTATTATAGTTCCAAGTCTTCTCCCTCGATTTTATACAGCAATTGTGGTGACAATTATATTTTACTTCTTTGGAGCGAAATTACTTTATGAATGGTATCATATGGAGAACGAAGGGGATAAGGAAGAATTGAAATAAGTAGAAATGGAGCTCGAAGAATTAGACAAGAAACTGCTGAGCAGTCACAAAATTATAGATCCTGAAAATCCATCAGAAGCACAAAAAACAAGTAATTATTAGAATTTAATTCAGATTTGGCTGCTGTTGTGCCATTATAATAAATAGTATGGTAAGCATTTATCATGACATTTTTGGGAGAATGGGGTGATAGAAGTTAGATAACTACCATCAGTTTGGCAGCTGTTTAGGATGCAGATATTGTTTTTCTAGGTTGCAGTTTAGGCCATCTAATTTGTACTACTATTGCTGTAATTGGAGGAAAACTATTAGCACATTCAATCTCCGAGAAGACTGTTAATTTGGCTGGAGGAATAGTTTTTATCGTATTTGGTTTGATGCATACTTACGCTTTAATTACGGGCGATTTAGATTGATAAATATACAATATATAGATAACAATTTAAATGATTCTTCTTCTTTCTAAAATTTTATTTATAATCCAAAGCAAAAGATATTATTCTCAAATAATAGGTGCAAATAGCTTAATTTAATTGTGGCTCTATGGGAACAGAGTGACAATTATAATAGTTTATAAAACTTGAATTGTTTATAAAAAAAAAAGAAATCTTATTTTTAAATAAATAATGGGAAAGAAGGAAACAAAAGATAAAAAGCCTGCTTAATTCAAGTAAATCATTTGTTAATTCCTATTAGAAAGATCTATGAGTTGTTATCAAAATACTCCCAAGTGATTATAGTTGGATTAGCTAATGTTGGATCCAAATAAGTTTAAGACATTAGAAGAATTTTGGCAAAGAGAAATGCACTTCTAGTCATTGGAAAGAATGTATTAAGTCATTTCTATATTTAGACATTGTTTAAGAAAGTTTTGGCAACAAGAGTGTAAGATTTACCAGAAGGCCATGAATATTATGAAGATTTGAAGAAATTCGGAGCTGCAATTAAAGAATTAGATGTCCTAAAGAATTAAGTTGCTGGCAAAGTAGGATTCGTATTCACCGATACACCTGTATTCGATCTTAAATCTGTCATTGAAGAAAATAAGGTTGAAACACCAGCCAGAGTAGGAGCTGTTGCTCCAATTGATGTTGTTATTCCTCCTGGTCCCACTGGTATGGATCCAGCTTCAATTCAATTCTTCCACGCATTACAAATACCAACCAAAATTGAAAAAGGATAAATCTAAATCACCAAAGACTTTGTGGTTTTGAAAACAGGATAAAAAGTAGGTTAATCATAAGCTGTTTTATTATAAAAATTGGGAAAGAAACCATTTTTATATGGTATGGAAGTATTGGCTTGTTATGATAATGGATCTATTTTGAATAAATAATAAGTATCCGTTAATTTGAATGATGTTCTTGCTAAATTCTAAAAGAATGTGACAAACATTTCTGCAATCTCATTGGCTAATGGTATTTTGATATATTCATATTTTTAGGTTGGGTGAATGAGTCTTCAGCTCCACATTTGTTGGCTAATGCTTTCAAGGATTTGGCTGCTATTGGATTGCAATCAGGATTTATTTTTGATCAAATTAAACAATCCAATGCTCCAGCTACAACCAAGGCTCCAGTTGCTGCAAAGGTTGAGGATAAACCAGCTTAATAAGCTCCAGCAAAGGCGGAAGAACCTGAAGAAGATGTTGATATGGGTGGCTTATTCGATTGATAAAGTATAGTATAAATAATAATATAAAATAAAATGAGTTTATTAGAGAAATTTCTTTTAATTCCAAATGATCTATCAAGTCCTCGATTATTTGCTGTGAGTTAAAAATGGTATCTTTTATATAAATGCAATTTATAGGTTTGAGTAATTTCAGGATGAATTATATTGCTCAATTTCGAATTTCACTTAGATAGATAACTATTCTCTCTGGTAACTCAATCATTAAGCGTTATAGTATTTGTTAGGAAGAATCACAACAATTATAAGGCTTGATTGCAAATTTCTAAACTGAGTTCAACATCAATCCTCAAATAATTAAATAAAATTCGTAAGAGTAAGTTCTCAAGGCAGATAAACATTACCAGGTCCAATTCGTGTGCTCAGAAATATGGAATTTCCTGATGCAACACATCTAAGGAGGTTTTTATTATCATTATTCTTCTATAGGACCTTGTTTGCCAATTTACACAATAGAAATACATAATATCAAAAAAAGTACTATTTATGACTTTACATTTCTGTCACAACACGATATCGAATAATTACCAAATCATCTCGTAATACCAGTAGACATGACTTAAATGGAGTTCTTGATTTAAAATGAAGATGATTCTTTTACATACCTAACCAAAGTTGTTCCTTTGGCTTTTACAGTCGATTAAGTTATAAATAAGATACTGTCATCACAATTCAATATATCAAATTATTTGTGCTTTAATTAAACAAGTAAAAAGATTATATTAAATAAAAATTCAACTTTAATCTATGAATTAGAGTTCAAATCTCTCTGGTTTTTTAAACCCAACAAGAGAGACATTGGATTTTAAGAAAATTTTGATGAAATTACAATGTAGCAGGATTTCCAAAATCTCATTACTGGTTCAACAGAATCGACTTTTGAATCAAGGGAAATCCAATCAATATTAGACAGCAGTTCAAAATCACACGAATTCGAAGATGATATCAACAATTTGAGTATTGCACTTTTATAATTATATAGTGTTGAGAGATATTAATGAATTCAAAAACGAAATCGAAACCATTCTCTAATATCATAAAAAATAACCTCTTACATTACTAAAAGAAGAACAAGCCATTGAAAATATAAATCAAATAATCTTATAGATTGAATAGGAAAACTGTTTCAAAAAAGAGCAACAAGAAGAAGGAACTAATGATGAACTTATCGATTATTAGGATATTTGATTTCATTATAAGTCAGTCAGTTTTAATTTGTTTCTTTATTCTATCATTCATTTAATATTGATTCTTAAGACGTTGATTGCACAATTCCCTTAGGACCAAATCTGATATCTCTCCATTCTCATTGAATTCCACCTCTTTATTCGATAAACTATTCTCAGAAATCAATTCCAAAATCACTTGTTAATAGTCATCAATTAAAAATTTGAAACATTTCAATTTGCAAATAGGGCATTTCCAAATCTTTTTGTCCCTTTGATCATCGATAGCAGTTATAAAATTCTCCAAATCAAAGCACTGAAGATGATTACAAAATCTACCTCTGGCTGGAATATTAATTAATTGTAAAGTTATAGGACATAATAGACTGATTTTTATTGATTTTATTTTGACATCCTTGTTAGTAGAGCATTCTTATTTGAATAATTTGAATGAATCTTCAATACTTAAATAGTTTTTATGATATTGCTTTATATCCAATAAGAATTCTTTGGCATTCAATTGATTAATCGAGAATATACCTATAAAATAAATACACTAATGTTAAATTCTAAATTATTTTTTCAATTCCTCATTAGATTTGTATTCGATTAAAGTAATACGATTCTATTCATTATGTTTGATATGATTCGTAATATTAATGGAATCATCTTTTCGTTTCTTAACACTATAATTGATGCTTAAGGGTTTGAACTCAGCCAATTTGACTCCATTCATCTACAATTCCCCATAATCAGGCCAAGTAATTTCATTTAATCCATCCTTCCCATCTATTCTTAAACATCTAATCTCTATTTGAGATCCCTTGTGTTTTACAGGACAATTGAATAAGAAATGCTTCTCATTTTTGAATTGAAGAAACTATTGAAATGTAGATTGAACTATCTAATCGATCACTTTGTTTTGAGGGTTTAGCATTACAAGAGTACAATATGGACAAATAAAATCTTGAATGTCATGATTGATTTGCAAACAAAAACCATGAAAATTCTATGAACAAATTTTGCATTGTAGAACTTTGGAGGTATTTAATTTAGCCTTGATTTGAACATACAAACCAGGTTAAGAGTGACAATAACATTTCAGAAAGTTAACATCTTATTGTGTTTCATTTTATTTATCATTATTCGATTGAGAATTTCTCAATTAATTTAATAATTGTTGTTCTTTATCCTTAATGAGTTTTAACCTATCACGAATGCCTTCATAATAGATATGAATTTGTTTATTAATAAATTTTGTTAGTTCTTCTAAAATTGAGTAAGATTTGATGATCTTGTCTTCATAATAAAACATAGTGATCGTAATCAATTGTCCTAAATATATAGGTCTTGTTGGATTAATATTAGTAGATTATAAACTGCATTTCTTCATTCTGAGCAGATGACTGAGTAAACATTCAGTTAATTTTGGGATGAATTGTTTATCCTATTTATATTTAATACCACCAAGACACTTAATGATATCCTGCTTTTTTTACGTCGAAATTTAGTCAACTTTCAACTCAAGACAACCTTGTCTAATGAATTCAGGAACTTTTAGTTCAATGTCTTATTTGATTGTTAAGAGTTCCTTAGTTATTTCATCTTGAAGTTAATTATTTTAGTTCATATTTTAAATTATTCTACAGAATTTAATAAAGAAATTAATTTTTAATGAAAATTTTAAGCAAGAATATAATAAAAGGAGTTGGATTCATAATTAGTACCTAAAGAAGATAATGATTTTTGGCATTTGTATAATTTATTTTCTGTTGGAGATATCACAAAGACAAGCACAGATAGGAAGATAATAAAAAAAAGGGATTTTAATGCGATTGATTAATTTAAATTGGTACTAAAGTATCTGAGAAAAGAAGAATATTTGTATTTTTAAAGGTTTATGAAATTAATTATTGGGCAGATCAATATCTATTATTATCAATAAAGGGTAGGAATTGCTAAGAATCTCATTGGTTATCTTTGGGTTAGTTTCACACCTACGAAGTTGAATTGTATTAATAAATAGATATATAATTCGAAAACTGGGATAGATTTCATTATGCAATATTGGATTAGATAAAACAATGATAAACTTCATCAGAAGTGGCAGTATCAATAATGAAGGAAGAAGTTGGTCACATATGATTAATAGGATCAGCTATTACTAGATTGAAGTAAAAGAAGAAGAGAAGCGCTAATGAGTAAAGAGAAAAGAAAATGGAAGAGTTTTTAAAACATGTTTTGCAGCCTTGGAATAAGATTCGTTATTTGAATAAGTAAAACATTTGATAGTGGCATCTCCAGGGTAGTAGTACTGATTATAGTGTAAATTTTTAAAGGATAATTTATATTTATTTCTGAAAAATACAGTTTTAGAAGGAGGAGAAGTATAAGGAAAATAGAAAATGTTAGATAAGATCTTTCTGGTAAAATCAAGTTTGGCTATTGGAATGGTTTAATGGAAACTTCATAGGATCAATAAGTATAGCAAAGATTAGAAAATACAAATAAAATATTTGAATGTTAATATACAATTATATAGATAAAAATATAACATCTCATCTTCTGCTATAAGGATACTTCTTTCTGGCTTTATACAAACCAAGCTTCTTTCTTTCCACTTATCTACTATCAGTTCTGGTTAACAGTAACTTTCTGAATATTTTCTTGATACTTGGACACATTTTAACAATGGCTCTACTCAAAGCTGAGCAGATACATTGAGATTATGCTGACTAACTACCTCCTCTGATTACACTAATGTTTACAATAAGATTATTACACATTCACATCCACTAAACATGAAAGATGAGCCAATTCTAATACTCTCAAGGCTGTTCTTCTGTATATTGGATGAGTAAAGTAATTGATTAAGTTCTTACCATTTACAGTCACTTCTCCTACTCCTTTCTTGAGTTACACATAACAAATTGATGACTTTCTTCTTCCTCTTCCCACATAATAAAGTAGAGAAGATTCACTATAATCTTTTTCTATTAATTAATCAATTTAGATTGCACTCTTCTCCTTGAAATCCTCAATCTTAACTTCTTCTTCAACTACATCCTCAAAATCTGGATCTACATCATCAGCCATCATAGCTGTGCTTGGTACTTCATAAGTATATGGATTTATGTTGTCACTAAAAGCTTACAATCCATCATTAATTTATTCTCTATTTAATTTGAATATATTTGTTAAATAATGGTGGAAGAATTCCAAATTGCTTGGCTGTTGGAATTCTTTGTATAATTCAACTGAAAATTGATACTCATCTTTTTTCACTTCATCTACCTTCTCCTCAAAGAATTCCTTAACACTAACATATAATAATTCAATACTGTCTATTATAGGGTTGTTTCTTGATGTCCACAAAGGTATCTTGCTATTTGTTGAGCTTGACTTTAGGGAAGATAGTCTAAAATGAAGACCCAAAATCTTTCCAAAACAGACTTTGTCCTTTATTCTTCTCGACATCTTAAAACACAGATTCGTACCCCTTAATCTTATTTTTTGGATCATTATACAAATCCTTTATGAATTTAGGTGCACCTAATAACAAAAAGTCAATATTGTCAACAATATCCTATAATTTGACAGGATCTACGATTCTTTAATTAATTTTCTTGGCTTTCATTTGAAGTTACAAAGATTAAGTATCTAGATTCTTGAGGTATTTATGTATTTATTTGAATTCCCAATTTTATTGATCTTTAGCATTTATTTACTTTTTTGATTCTTTAGGATCTTATTATTTATTGGCTAATCTTTTCAAATATGCTCGTTTAACAAAATTTAAATTAACCTTATCTATAATTGACTATTCAGTTTATAAAGCCTCTTGACCATCAGAGGGTCTGATATATCTCATTTTTAATAATCGCTCATCATCTGATATTTCTTCAACAGTGCATCCAGATTCATAGAAATCAAGATCTTTTAGATATGCTTTTCCAAACGTGAGTTATTGATTTTTATCATTATATTTAGGGTCATAAATTTAAAAATCTTCTAAATCCTTTTACAAATTTTCTCTTGCCATCTCTTCAGCTACTGCTTTCACAGAATTAGTATCTACGTATTTATTTAGAATTGCTTCATCGTTAATTTTCTTATCAAAATCTTAAGCATCATCACCTAAAATTTTCTTTCTTTCCTCCTCTGGCAATTTTTTTATTCCTTCTAAAAATCTATCGAAAACAACTTTTCTTGCTTTAGCAATATATTCTGGTGCTTCACTTTTAACCAACAAATCTTGAGAAGTTCTTAGAAGTTCAGTTTCTGACATTACTCTCTAAATACTTAAATTATACATATACCATTTAAGATAACAATCCTTATACTTTGCGATTGTATTCTGCCTCATATTGTTGTCCTCTCTTCAGCTTGATATCATAAACAAAATCATCGAAAAATAATCCTAAAGGACAATTGGTCTCTTCATCAATGTAGACATGTTTCAATACATTTTATATTAAATCTTAGCCATTTTTTTAATACGATTCCTATTTATCTTCCTCTTTAGGCTGCATTTCTCTCACACGTCTAAGTTTAACTAATTTAGATACTGTGTCACTCTGCTTTTAATTTTTGCCAATTTCTTCTTATAGACTGCATGCAATTGCTTTTGAGAATCATCATAGGAAGTAATCTTAGGTCTATAAGCCAAGTCCTCCTTTTCTGGATACAAGGGAGGTACAACGAAGAAATTTCGTTGTGCTACGCAGAACCTCAGTCTGCTCACCAATCTGAGCATAATTATTTAAATAAATTATTTATACCTAATTTATATATAAATATTTAAATTATTGCATTTATTCATTAATTAAAATTAAAGATGCGAATACCCTAAGCTTACTATGAAAGCATGATGAAAAGATACAAGAAGTCTAAGCATGTCGATTAAACTGATTATTCTTGGATTGAAACTACCAAGAAACCTCTTGTAGAAAGAATTTAAGATTTTGCATAATGCAAACAATTATAAGATCCCAAGTATACTCGAATCATTTGTGAAACAATTGATGCAATATTTGAAGCAGCAGTTGCCTTATTTCAAGAGCAAGACTAAACTCTCTGCGTTCAATTACTGGGTGAATCCGATTCTATTTAAATTTGGGATTTGTGTATTTAGTGTTGTGATTATATAATCAAATCAGCAAATCCAAAAATAAGTATTTCTATTTCAATAATCCAAAGTCGATATGTTTTTTAGTTATGATCATATTTTGATACTTCTATTTCACAATCCAGATTATGAAATGTCAAACTATATATAAATTGGTGTAATGCATGCAATATTTGATTGAATAAATGAATTCATCCAAAGCCTGCAAATTTAAAAGTAATATATCAGACAATAAATATTAGTTGAACAATTCGAAAGAGTCTTTTTAAGATTTATGTACATTAACACATTTTTATAAAAGAATATTTACAATTTGTCAGATTAGGAATGTTAGGAATTATTTTAATATTAGACTGACAATTACAATCTCAAAATCACCATCCCAAATGAAGATATGAATATTTATCAAAGATACTTGGAGATGAGCAATTTCAGAAAAATACTCAAATCTCCACCTGTAATCTTAGACATTCCTTTTGATTATACAAAAAATCCCTTGGATTAAAGTTTACAGATTGCAGCTGAAATCAAAGTCTAAAAAGATAGCATACTATTTGATTAGATCTTTATTCGATTACTTTGCTAATATTCCAATAATGATGAACAAATACTATAGAAATTGTTCATCAACAATTACATTTTTCATTTTAAATGCACTTTCTAGGATTTATAACTATTTAACAACAAATATATGGCAGACATTACGAATAGGTTGATAGATCAAAAGGACTTCTTATTTTTATTAATAAGGATGATCGCAAGCAATAAAGAGTATCCTCTAGAGGAATCTTTAGAGGATACTCTAGTGGATAGTCTCCAATTTATTAAATCAAAGCAAATACAACTCTATGAACACAATACCTTCTTGGATAAATTATGGCTATTTGAATTATAGGGAATTTAAGACACTTTAGTCTGGTGGAAGAAGGAACTCAATATTAGTGAAGGCAACTTCTATGATAATAGAATGAAGTTAAATGTTAAGTTGGAACAATTATTCTTCTAATCATTATCAGATTCACAATTTACATAGATGTTTAAGAAATAACCCAATTATACCTAATGGAATTTCATAATCATTCAAATTATCAGAAAGTCCTTTGAATAGGTTGAAGAAACAAAATTGCCATACTATATCTTAAATCCCATCCTAAGTTATTGTATCAATTTGATCACTGAATTGCCAGGCAATAATCAAAACCAATAATTAGATTATCAATTAGAAAGTCAGATAATTTAAGGCTTAGTAGAGATTCTTAAGAAATGTAATAAGAAACCATAAATTGAATTATAAATCAGAGCATTTCAATTATTAAATTAATTAGTTACATACTATAAACAAGAATTTGATTAAGTTTAGATTCAAAATGCTTAATCTGAATTCCTGATGCCAGTTCCAGAGAGATATCACAAATTACTTGCAGAAATTTGGTCAAACAGAATTTTGGAAGATACTTTAAAAGGTGCCAAACCCAATGAAATATTATTTACCCATCTAATAACCTTATTAGCAATAACAATGGGAGAGAATCCAGCCAGAGTAAGATAATTTTACGAAAATAATAGTTTATAAGATCTGACCAATAAAATTATTGAATTACTAAGGACTTGCTCAAGAGCATCTCCTTTAATTGTAACGATAATAAACTTATTGATTGCAATCAGTACAAATGAATAAGCAATATCGTCAGCCTTACAATCTAATAATAATGGTGATTCATAATAATAGGAGAATTTGATCAAGAGGATCTTTATTAAGTGTTATTTGCCCTCAGCAGAATTATTACACGATCCAACAGTGAGTGATGATTTTGCAAAGAAGATTATTATGCTGTATAGCCAAAGTATGTTGGCAAAAAAGTTGATAGAAAAAGTGATTGAAAATACATTTGTTTAGATATCATAATTAGTGGATTTGAGTAAAGATAAGATAGAGGAAATAGTTAGTAATTAGGAAAAGTTACAATCCTTTTATAGTTATTCCAAAAGTTTACAAGCTTTATTGCAGTTATTTATGCAATTACAACCAGAGAAAAAATCATCATATCGATCATTCCAAGGATACGAAGAATTGTAATTAGAAGAAGCTTAGAGATAAAAAGATTTATTGTTCAATTCACTTTTGAAGAATTAAAAATTCGTTGAAGCATTAGAGAAAATAATAATGAGTCCAATACTGATAGGTAGTAAAAACAAAGATACATATGTTGAACATTATGTTGGCATCCTATGTAAGAAAAACAAGTTAAATCCCTATAATTCTTTGTGGAAGGAATTGGATTTGATCTCATAAAACTATATGGTCATAGGTGATCAGAAGATTATCGATATCGGAAAATTAGTTGATTATGAAGCTTTATCCATTCATATGAGCGACAAATATTTTTTTAGAAAAATCATCAAACACATCTCCCCTTAAACTTATAGGGGATTCTACATACTTAGTCGTTTCCATTTGATTCATTATTTGATCAAGATGTGTGTCAGTTAGGGTGTGGGATAAAATTAAGATTCTCATCTGATGATTTCCTAATTGTTAGAAATCTATTTTCTATCCTCATAACATGCAGGTTTTCATGAATCCATTATGATGTTTATGTCTGCTAAATAATAGATACAGAAATAACAGACTACTTATGATGAGGACAATTAAATAAGGAGAAGGATTAGCAAGGATAATTTGATTCCATTATAATCATCTTGTTTGGATTTGATAGGTAAATTGCAATAACAAGTTGAGTAAAAGGACTATGTAATTAAAAAATATGGGGAAATTACTTAGTTGTTCTTCCAGAATTTCTAAGAAAAATGCTAATAAATTAGATAAGCTCAAGGAGTTTAAATTATATCGATTGTAACCTATATGCAGGATATGTTAAAATCATTCAAATTTTTATAGAATTTATTTTTGAGTTTAGAATAACAATATCAGCCATTACAATTTGCAGTAATCTGTTTCCAAAATAGTAATTTCTTTTTGTAATTAATTGAGATTCTATAATATTTGGATAGTATCTAAAGACAACAATAATTCAATGCAACAAAAGAATAAGAGATTACTAGAAAGATATTGCCAGGATTTATAGAAGCAATACATCAACATATAGATAGCATAATAAAATTACTAATTTTTAAGAAGATTGCTATTGATAAAATATAGTTGTCTGGGTAATTAATTTAAGATCCATAACAACTGGATATAGTGTGCGATGAAATCTTTGTATCCTAAGCATCAATACTCAATTAAATGATCGATTTACTGCTCTACAATAATTGTGAAGGTAATTTAAAGACTCTTTTGGAACAATTAATATAGAAGTTTTATTCAATCAAGGATTTATAAGTTTAAGAGATGAGAAAGGTTGCTGGAACAGAAACAAAAGAATAATAAGTAGTTGGAAATAAGGATATCTCCTAAATCTTATCCGGAAATGAAGTACGTTAAGAATAAAAGAAGTCTATGTTTGACAGACCTGAGATCAAAGCAATGATTGATGATATTTGTGATATGGGATTCAAATAACAATTGATCAAGAAAGCCATCTAAAGAATTGAAATTCCAGAACCTACAATGATTATTGATATGCTAATAAACGAAAGGATTTCTGATGATGAAGAAGAGTAAGAAGATCTTTTTGATCAAGCATAAAAAATAGCTGAGCAAAATCAAATAATTTAGGATCAAATTGCTTAATAAAAGTTAAAAATGGAGAATGAATTAGAAAAAGAGTAAAAGTAAAATGAAATCCAAGTCTTAGATTAAGAGTAATTTATTAAAATATTACAACAAAATTTTCTCTAAGCTAATCAATAATTAAATATTTTGGAAAGATTTTTGGCATTAATTAATGATTTCTAAGTTAAATTAGATTCTAACCTCAATAAACTATTAGATTAATAATTGAATAATTAAAAGGCAAATACTAATTTATTAGAATATCTATTCACAATAGCTAAGAAATAATAACATATAAACAAGATTTTAGATTATATTTTTATGATCTTGAATCCCTTAAAAAAAGAAAAATCCTCTTAGGATTTGAATACAACTATGCTTCAGTATCAAAAAGCCTTACAATGGCTTAACTTATTATAATAGATTGCTCCCCAGGAACATGAAAAATTATATCAGAATTTGGCTTTAATAGATCAAGAACCATAATAAAAACATGTGCTATCATTTCAGTCTATGATTACATTTGGTTTTGCATTGTCTGACGATATATTTGAACAGTTTAAAAAGAGTGGTGATATAGAATTGTAATAATTAAAGTAACTAAATATTTCTGATATGTCTTATTAGGACATATTTAGTCAAGTATAAAACTTCACTGCTAATCTTAACAATTTATATGAAAACAAATAAACTACATTAAAATTATTCTGTAAAGAAATTTTAGAGGCACAAAAATATCTTACTAAGTTTTTCTTGAATTTATAAAACAAACATGATCAATTAATAGAAAGATATTGGAGCTAAATACTTATCTATCTTGAATTTTTGATTTAAGTAGGTACAATGAATTTTGATTTGTAAGAGTCAACTCAGCAAACCTATAATTTACTTGAAGAATTGGATACATAAATTAATAATAATTAAGTATTGAAAGAACAAAGAGATTAATCTCAAAATATGATTTACATGAGATAGGTAATTTAGAGAAGATTTATGTCTGATAAACAGTTGATTGCATAATTATTATAATGCTTGAATAATTTTGGATTGCATAATCAAAACAAATTGTTCAATATGTTAACAAAAAAATCATCAAGTGACAAGTTATCATTATTGGAGATTCTATTACAATTAAAAATGCATCCTTGTCATTTCGAATATGAAGAATCCTAGCCAGTCTTCATTGAAAACCTAATATACCTTGTTGCCATTGATACGAAAACAACGAATGACTTAATTTTCTAAATTTTGAAATAGGTAATGCTGAATGAACATATCGATTGGCATGCTTAATAATTAAAAAATACAGAGGATCTCGCCCAAATTTTATTCCCATAGAAATTTATTGAATGCCCATTGTAATACTTATTGCAATTTCATCCCGTCCTAATTAACAATCCTATTATCTATAATTTGATAATTGAACAATAAGGTTTATCTATTACAGACAAATATTCTGAACTAAATAGAATTCACACTCCAAAATAACTTTAACCTTAACCAACAGGAAAACTGACAAAAGAATAGGAGAGATTGTTGAAAGAGAAGGAAAAAGAATAGCAAGCTCAACCTTAGACAGAAATAGTCATCAGATACGAGATAGATTAATTGATAGAACCTTAATTAAACGAAAACTTCATTTATTTAGTTAAATTTATTGCCTAAGCAACCATTGATAGGTTTTTTGAGGAGAATTAAAGATTGATAGAATAGATATTTAAAGTGCAATTCAACCAATACAAAGATGATCCTAGGATGTACGTCTATGGTTGGGATCAACTATTGAGAATAATAGAAATGCTCATCATTAAAGTTCCTTAATTAATATTATATCTAAGATAATTGTAAGTAGATTTGCCACCACAATTAAGCAAAGGCGAGAAAAAGACTACTTTCATAGAATTTGTAGTTAAGTATTTGACTTGGGTTGGTGGAGATAAATTAGCTAACTTTATGCACAATTACTTGAGTGATATAAATTTGTTGTCTATTGGATATGGAGTCACTATAGGCTAAGAAGTTTTGCAATTATTATTGAACGAATTATAAATTGACATTCATCAGGATTAGATGGTCTAGAAATATTATCATATCATGTAAATATTGATACTGTTTACTTAAACTTTAACTATGCAAAATTGCAGCATGATCTTAACCGATCAAAGATCATAATTGAATATAATCCCTTAATTGATTGACACATTGAATTAAATTAAAAATTGTGATAACAGGCAATTTGTGAAGACATATCAACAAACCATAGCCAAAGTTATTGAACCTTTCTTGCAATCTTAAATATATTATGATCACATTAAAAATGGAAAGTATGGAGAAGTATTCAGACTACAACAAAGTATTACTGATGATCCTTTTAAATATCACTATTTGCATTGTCTAAGAAATCAATTGATTTGTTACTCTCTCTACCCAGGTTTCAAGAGTGTAGCAGGATCAGCTTAACATTTTATTTCTCACTAATAAGTTCAATAGACTTTAAAGGATGAACACTAATAAGAATTGGTTTGGCCACTTTATCAATCTAGAAAAAATTACAATAATTAAAGGTAGAATAATTAGAAGCAATAAGAAGAGGATGTGAGCGATTCTGATTCAGATCAAGATATTCTTTAAGTAGATAACAGTCAAATAAAATACAAAGTAAATTATACAAATATTAATTCTTGGGGTTCTGATTATTATTATTATGACAATAATGACTTCATGTCAAAATACAGCATGAACAGAGATGATGATAGGATGTTACGAGATAATTAATAGAATATATTCCCATAGAAAGATCTCAATATCATATTTTGCAAAGTTGATCCCCAGTCCATTTGTTTCAATTTACCTACATTAACAATTACAAAATAGAATATTTAATATTATTCCAATGATTATAAATAGTGGATAACTTCTATTGTAGGATTATATTACAGTTCAAATGAGTACTTTGAAAATAAAAAATCTTTAATTTCAAAATCATTTGAAAATTCACTTAAAATTGCTGTTGAATTCATTCATCAAATAAATAGATTATTATTATCATCAAATTACTACCGAAATAAATAGAACGATTACATGCAATAATATTTATCATATTATTTGAATGGAACTCTAAATAGCCTCTAAGTTTAGGTAAGCAATTCTTGTTTCTATTCAAAATTTGGTTAACCTCCAAATTAGTTATAACAAGACTATTAAGCAAATTCATTATCAATCAATGTCAATGAGTCATAGCAATAATAACATAGAATTTTATGTTAAATATCATGTAACGTTCTCTAAAGCAGAGTAGTTTTGAATGGGATGCCAAATGATTTGCAGGATTAAAATTTACTTAGAGCAAAGTTGTAAAGTTTATTGCATCCTGAAGAACACCTTATAATTCAACCAGTAATCTTGTAAATTCCAAAAAAATCATTCACATAGCCTGATACATAACAATTATAAATCTATGATAATGTGGTTCTTGAAATGTTCATTAATCTCATTTTGGATACTAATAATTTTCCATAGTTTCCATTTAATTTGTTTAGATAGGTCAGTAAATGTTCTCGTCTTGGTTTCAAATTATTGATTTAATTGTTACTCTTGTACTAAGAACAAAAAAATAGCTTAGATTTAACTTTAAAAATCTTATACCTTGTAAGTCAGAAAATTCCATCAACCAATCTTAGAGATTTGTTATCTGAATAGTTATAGTTGAGCCCAATTTTAAATAAAAGAGAAAAGGCAAATCTGGCTAAAGTCTAAGAAATTAAGGAACAATTTGTTATTGAAGAAGAAGAAAACTTTGAGGAACAACCTTAAGATGAGGATCCTGAAAATCCTCTTGTCTTTTTAATTAATTAGATCAATAGGTATTGCGAGAAAAACATCTCTTTCATAAAACTCTTTCATAATCCAGAATCCTATATACCATTAGAAAAAAGTATTATTAATATATATATTAGATATACTCTTGACTCCATTATTGGCTAACTAAACTGGAATGCATTTATCTTACCTGATTTAAATTATCAAAGGCTCATTGATAGTTGCAAATGAAGAATCGAAGGATAAGAATAGAAAGAGTGATGATGATTATTTATAAAAAATATAGAGAAGATAAGCTACAATCTTTACAAATTGCCAAGAAGAATCTAATGGTAAATTGTTTGACCTTGTTGCTTAACTCAATAAGCATGAAGAAGATATACATTTATAGGAATTGATTTTTAAGACATTTGCAGAAAGATATTCAGAAAATTCATAAGATCAATAATAGGAACCATAATCTTATTATAGTAGACAGCCATTTTCTTTAAGACAAAATGAACTATTGTTCTAATAGCAATAATAATAACAATATGAATAAAAATAATAAGTATTATTATTATAATTATAATAACAATAACAATAACAATAACAATAACAATAACAATAACAATAACAATAACAATAACAATAACAATAACAATAACAATAACAATAACAATAACAATAACAATAACAATAACAATAACAATAACAATAACAATAACAATAACAATAACAATAACAATAACAATAACAATAACAATAACAATAACAATAACAATAACAATAACAATAACAATAACAATAACAATAACAATAACAATAATAAGAATAAGAATAAGAATAGCAATAATAAGAATAACAATAAAATTAAAGTCTATAAAATAATTCCATATTTTAAATCCCTTTGTTACCATAAACTTTACATGGTTTACCTCAAACACTCCCCACTAATGCTCCTCCTCAAATATCATCTATATCTATTCTTTAGTAATAACATCAATAATTATAATAATACTAATAATAATTTTAAAGCAATTTGTAAAATATTAGAAAGTTGCCAACTTCTTAAGCTTAATTTTAGCAACTTAGATAGTTCTATGATAGGTTCCTTAAAGCTAATGATGATTAATAAGACCTTTAATAGACTTAATAATAAAATCTTAAGCAGTTTTATGATAATATTTTACTATAGAAATAAAAATAACAAGGCTAATAATAGGATTAGAATCAATAATAATCAAATAATCTAGAATAAAAGATATAGTAATTATAAGATTAAAGCCAAATTATCTCTGAAGAATAAAACTGAATCAGATTCTAAGATACAATAACGAGAGAGAAAACTAAGTGCCAAGATATCCCATGTTGAAATAGATATTATTACAGCATTGTGCAGAATTCTTAATAACCCTCTCCTTCGTGATTGTAACTCTCCAGAAATCATTAATATACTCAATTCATATTCAAATGATCGTTTAAAAATAGAACATGCTATTAATGAATTAACTAAATATATCATCTAACAATCTAAGATATTCAATTATGAATTGGATAGGAAAAGAAAATAACTTAGAGAAATCACAAGTTAACGAGAAAAGGTTCCAGTGCATGATCCTGAAAGATAATAGTAATTGTCTGAATAAGAAAATGAAATCATCAAAGAACTCAATTAGAAAACACCTGATCCTAGTGTAATTCAAAGATGTTTTATAGCTATTACAGGGTTTTTGAATTTTAATGTGAGTGCTTCCGAGTAATAAAAATAATCCACAATCAAACCAAACTCAACATAAACTAGATAATAAATTCAATTGGATAAAAAGAAATTTAAATTGCATTAATAAGGAAAGCATACAGATGATACACAAGAGGTTGATGCATTAACAAAAAAAGACATCAGAAAATAATTTATTAATGTGTTGTAAACAAGATAAACTCACCATTTGTGGCTTAATGTTGTGGAAACATTGTTATTAATTTTTAATTGTAAAGGTCATAGATCACTAGAGTTATTATAAAAAAAACTATACCCGTTATTGGAATGTTTCCTCAGACTTTATTAAAATGTACATGAAGATACAAATAATTAAGATTCTCATGTATAAGGTGCTGCAGATGCTAACTTTTTTGAGCGTAATACAAGTGGATCAGCTACTAATTCATTATCATTTGGTTTATTATAAACATAGAATATTCATTTAAAAAGGTCATTTTCTGCAGTGAGAAACGAAAATGAAATGTAAATGAAAATTGATGAGCTATTCACATATCTTTGTATTAATGGAAAAAGTCTCATTAATCATCTAATTTCATAAAGGCTTCATTAAGTTACGATTGATCATAAATTAAATTAGAATCCAAATTTAATTAAGTTATTTAAAGACTCTGATCCTTTAGCTTTTGTTTTCTTTAAAATGAGTCAAATAGTATCCTTCGAAAATAAAAAGCATTTGTTTGAATTGGATTTAGATGCTCTTAAAATAGGTGAAAAACCTAACACGCGATCGAGAGGCAGATAAAATGATACTATTGAGATTAATGTAGTTAGAGAGACAAGACTATAGCAATCTTTGGAAAAAGTTATTAATATTGATAAGAGCAAGTTTAGAAAATGTGATATCAAAATTAGATATTAAGGAGAAAGAGGTTAAGATGAGGGAGGTATTAGAAAGGAGTGGATGACTAATCTTGTTAAAGATATCTTATAAACAGATAAATTTGAATTAACAACAAAAAGATTCTACAAAATTAATCCAAATAAAAAAGCTTAAGAAGATTTGAATCATTACAAACTATTAGGTAAAATAATTGGCAAAAGTATTTATGATGGATTACTTTTGCCAGTGTATTTCATCTCTCCAATTTTCAAGCAAAATACTTTAGAAAAAAACCTAGCATTGATGAATCTTGAACATTATAATGAAGGTTATTTATGATACCTTTTATTAAATTTTTAAATGATGAAACTTAGGTTTAATATAAAGATTTATTTGAAATTTTGGATACCTGAAGAATATGCAAATCTGATCGAATTAAAATAAAAAGCTAATTTTTGCTGACCTTCTTTAGGATTATATAGAAAAGAATCCTATTGATTTAAAATAAGAAAAATAAACTGAATAATAGTAAGTTTAAAATTATAAATAAGAACTCAAATAAAGTTAGCAATAAGATTAACCGAAATCATAGTAATAGGACCAGCAATAATAATAATAAGAATTGTAATAGTAATAGGAATAAAAATAATTATAATAAGAATAATAAGAATAATAATAATAAGTATAATAAATATAATAATAAGAATAATAATAATAATAGAAATAAAAAGAATAATAATAATAGGAATAAAAAGAATAATCGGAAGAATAATAAGAATAGGAGATATAAAAGTAAGTATAAGAATAATCTGAGTTATAATATCAAAAATATCAATAAATAGTTGAAGAATTATAGAAAGAATAATTATACATATAATAATAATAATAGCAAATATTGGATTAATATATTGTAAAAGAAGCAGAAAATTTATAATAAATGAAAGAGAACCCATTATAATAAAAATATTAGGACTTTCAAGAAAATGAATCCTTATTAGAAATAAATTTAGAATAATTTGAATAATAATAATTATTATTATATCTCTAATAACAGTAAGAATAAACAATTGCACTTTCAAAAATCATTGAGGTATCATAAGAATCTCAATAAAAATTTGATTAGTAAGAGAAATAAGTGAAAGATTAATTTTTAGGATCTGAAATGAAACCTCCAATAATTCAAGTTGAACAACAACAAAATGGAAAAAAAGAAATACAAATTAAGAAGCTTCCTGAAGATATAACAGCAGAAGATATGGAAAATAGGGAGAGGAAACGACTTATTAGAAAGAATAAAAAAAAATAACTAAACGATGAAGTGTTAAAACATATTAAATTATAAGATGTCTTTGAAAAATAAACTACAAATGTATCAATAAAACACAAAAGATTAATTTGTGAATATATTAGCAAAAAAATTATGCTAGAAGAGATTAATACATAGTTGTAGGCATTAAGAGAAGGATTTTTTGATATTTTACCAAAAGAGTTTTTCTCTTATATGGATTGGAGAGATCTTTAAAAACTAATTATAGGAGTTCCTTCAGTTGATGGTATTGAATTTTGTTATTTAATTTTAGTTGATGATTTACAAGAAAATACAGAATATATAAGTGATGAAAAGACTAATTAAACAGTTTTATGGTTTTGGGAGGTTTTGACAACCTTAAGCGACTCTGAAAAGGCTGATTTCTTAATGTTTGCAACAGGAAGTCCTTTAGTTCCATTTGGAGGATTTAAGAATTTAAGAGGTCCAAATGGTCCAAGAAAATTTTCGATTTCAAAAGACTTCAATAAAGAACATTTTATTAAGGCTCATGCATGGTATAAATTTTAATTATAGCTAGCTTTAATCGAATTGATTTACCAGAATACTCCTCTAAAGAAATACTAAGAGAGAAATTGCTAAAATCTTTGAAGGAATCCGGTTCAGGATTTGATTTAAGTTGATATATTAATAATATGATTTCTTAATTTTCATAAGGTTATAATTAAATATTAATACTTGTAAATATGATTTTACCATCATATATATGATAGTAAAATTATTCTTTTGTATACACTATTACATATTTGTATATTGAAACAAAGGGGATTTACTATTAATTTTAGAATTAATTTTCAGTTTAAATTCAAATTATGATCCTTTTTTCATTTAATACAATTTGTAAATGATATTATATTGCAATTAGTTATTAAGGAATTGATGAGAATTTCAAATTTTAAATAACTTGATAATTAGTCTTCTAAACTGTTCGAAAAGAGATCTTTAGTTTCTGATATTTATAATTCGTTCTTTCATCTCAGTTCAATCTATTTCTCTTAGATGTCATATTTGAAATAATTTAAATAAAATTTTTATAATTGTCATTACAAATGATTTTAAGTAAGAAATAAATCATTATAGGTATCATCCATTACCGCTAATCTGTTTAATAATGCTATGATTGGTCTTATGTCTTTTACTCTTATGTTTCATTTACATTTACACTATATCAGTCAAAGTCCCAATATTTCTTAAACTATGTAAATCTTTTGAAAGCGAAGGTTTAAACTTACCTTGATCATCCTTTATTTTCTTAATTTGTTAAAGTGATCTGTTGCTCTTAGAATTTAATTGCCACTTTACAAATGTCCTTATAAAATTAATCTTTGTATCTCTTTAAGTTTATAACCCAGATGTTGGAGTCTATGCTTTAGAATATTTTTTATCTGTTAATGATGGATGAATCTTACTAATAAATATCAACTTCATACAGATATAAAAGTTCCAGGCAAACTGATTTTCTGAAGGGATTCATTTGATTGAATATTCTCAGTCTATATATTTTGTTTCAAACCTTTATTTCTAATAACAAATTAGATATTATTACAATGATTATAATTTTCTTAACAACTATTCTTTAGTTAATTGCTTTAAATTAAAGGTATGCTAAAAATCATTTTCAATTTCTATGTGTTTATCTAAAGATCTTTAAAACTTTGAAAACGAATGGTCTAAAATAGATGACATTTTGCTATCAAATTAGGATTCTTAGTAATCCATTCTAAGTTTTTTCTTTTTTTATTGGTTTTATCTAATTTGCCTCAATAAAAATGAAGAACACTAATATATAACATAAAAGTTGTAACATTTTAAATTTTCTTATACTCTTCATTTTCAGTATTAACATTTTATATGGTATCAAAAAATTGTTGATCTGATCTATGAATTTTGTATTGTTGGCATAAATTAATCGCCAATCTTTTATCACATTTAAATTATCTGAGTTTTATAAATTAATCACAATCAGTCCACTCGATAGGTTTTCTAGAAAGATTAGGAAAGTCATTTATATTAATTTTCTTATGTTCTTTGTTAGATTTAAATAGATTATGTTCATAAGTTTTCAATTCTTTTATAATGCTTTTTTGAGGTTTCATCAAATTTAAAATGATATTTATATAAATTTAATAATAATTAAATAGTTTAATTAAGATTGAATTCTCATTAACAGGTATTTAAGTACAACTTTGGCTTTCTTGGATGAAAATAGATTATATAATATAAAATTAAAATAAGTAAAAATTAAAATAATACATACATTATAAAGTTGAACTCATCTTAAATCGATTTGGCTCTTTTATTGATTTGCATGATTCATTTTTACTGTTGCTTTTTATTAAGATTGCTTAATCATTAAAAGATTACATTACTTATTTGTCCCATATTTCTTAGGAGCTCTTGATAAATACTTTATGGATGTTTTTTGGTTATATTGGATTATCAGGTGGAGATAATTAATATTACATGGCACTCTAAATAAATCTTTTCTTTCCATTCTTTAGCTCTGATTGGGCTTTGCAAATTTAATATGATGATAAAAGATTTTTTTATATTTTTGTCTGACTCTTGAATAATCTATCGGTTTGACTCTAATATGACTCTGAATATGGTTATCAATTTTTACAATTATTAAGATGACCTTGAAGATCAAGATAGCTTTTTAGTTTTTAAGTTGACTCATGTGATTTGTATTTACCAAATCCATAATTATCTTCCTTATAATCTTTTACTTGCATCTAAAATAGTAACCAAATAAATATTACTGCACTGATAGGTAGGTTAATTCGATGAGAAAAGTCTTGCTGTCTCTATTCACAAGTTCTATTTATTTTGAATATAACTTACTTTAAAATTCTCTTAGATTCTTTTTAAGAACTTTCTGTATTGGGATTATATCTAATATTTGATGAGCATTTTCTTTCTGGGGATTAAAATTAATCTAAGCTTGGAATCAACGTTCTTTTTGTATTTAAATCTTCAAGTGATTTTCTCTCTGTGGCATAATTTTTTGGTTTTGTTATGTCATTCTTGATTGGAGTGGTATTTTCTTTAAAGATTTCTGAACTCTAATGCAGTTTCTTATAGGCCTCATTATTAGGATTTCTTTTTCCACTTAAAATTGTTGGATGTTATTTTTTGCTTGATGAATTCAAAGCCTCATTATTTTTAGTAGGCTCTTTCTTGTTAGTTAATCTTAAAAACAGTTGGTATTTGTCGTATTATTCCATTATATTGGCTAACAGATAATATTTATTTATATAATTTATTTCAAATTTAAGCTTATAGAATTTATTTACGGTTTTTAAACTATTTTAGTTGCAGCTTTCTTTAAATTTAAATAACAATAAAGAAATGGACTTGTCCATAGAAAGTGAAATATAATAAACTTCTATTTAATTAAAATTACTAATTACACAATTAAAATCATAGAAATAATATTTATGAAGATAGTTTTTATGTAAAAAAATGTCTTTTATATAAATATAAGGTAAATTTAAAATCTAATCCTAAATTCAGAATTTTTTTGATTAAACTAGAATTTGCTTTAAATATGAAGGTTCTAATTAAGATTAATCTGAATAAATTAGAAATTTCAATTTATTTTGATAAAATGTTTTCCCTTCAGTATCTATAAGCTCTGCTTGATTAATTTATACAAAATTATTTGGCCCCCATCTAATCTAAAAGATAACAAGTGACATATTCAGGTATATGATTAAAATTATTGACATCAGTTTTTTATTCCATTGAAAAGGATTAAAGCCGTTGTAAATTAATGTGATGCAAAGAATAAAAAGTGAACATAAATGAAATCGATTTTAAATCAATTAATTATTTTGATTGTGTTTAAAAATCTTCAACCTTCTTTTTTATTTCCACTTATTATTATTAGGTTTATCGTTTTGTTGATGTTTATAATTCTTCAGTAATATTTAAACTAATTACTTAATTCTTCATTGAATGCATCAAAATTTACTAAAATAAATTGATTGAAATTTATGTTAAGAATTTAATGTTGATATTAAGAGAAAGTTAAATTTCCATTTGATGTTACAACATGAATTTAACAGAATAATATTCTGCAATAGTGGATAGATATTATTAGATTGTATCAAGATATAAGTTTAGGTTAGAAATATATTAAATCTAAGTTAGTTGCTGTATTTTCTCTTATTGAAAATATATTATATAGTTCCTTACCTAATTCATAATTTATAGATTGAGACATTAGAGTTTCAGAAACATTTAATCCTAAATATTTTTTGAGAAATGCTGTTTTATTTTTTTAATTTCTAAATTGATATTGGCTTAACTATTAAGAATTTCTTACGAATAACCCACAATTTATTATTGGTATTCAATAATATCCTTCTCATATGATTCTATTAAATTATGCACTTGTTCAGTTTTGATAATAACAATTAAAATTGGTTTTCCAAAATTAAATAATTTGACAATAAGCTTCATCGATTTATATTTTTCATTAATCTTGTCTTATTAAATAATCTCAATCTCATCGTCTTGATTTTCATTATTCATAAAGCCTTCTGGGCTCCTTATTTTTTTGAAAAAAAATTCTTCAAGTTTTTGTAATTTAGACAAAGCTTTTTCATTTAGCTTTTGGCTCTCATTCATATTATTCAAGACATATGATGTTCTTAGAAATTATCGAATTTATTCTGAATCTTTAATATTTTTGAGACTTTCAAAGGCTTTATTCTTGAATTCAAGATTAAACTGTCTTGTTCTGTCATCCAAACTTATAGCAAACATAGAATCAGTTACAAATTCATCAATTATTTCTCTAATTTATAAATTAGCTTTACTTTTATTTGTTGGCAATTAAGTTAAGCGAAAAAGCAAGTCTTGAAGTATATTCAAACATATATGTTAACACACTAATAAATGACATGCAAGCACCAGAATGTAAAATGAATTATATGTTATTTGTAGTGTAGACCTCGAATAGAAAAATTATAATTAAAGGAGTCACTATTGTGTATATTATTTTTAGTTTATTATCACTAAACTACAATATTCCAAATAGGAGTGCAGATGTATTAAACCCAAAAAAGAAATTCGGACTTATAATTAATATATTTTTTACATATTATTTCCACTCATTGCTATCATAACATTTGTTGACACACTCCAAATATACATACACGAAAACACAAATTTTAAACGAGGTTTTAACTTTGGACTTAATAAATACAACCCGAAACAGCAAAATACTACTGCAGCCATCATTATTATTAAAACAGATGGTTATTACTGAACTACAAAAATGATAAGTGCAATAAGTGCAGCAAAAGTCATCAATAGGTTTAATATCTTAAATCCAACTAATCTAATTTCGTTAGAGTGTTCTTCATATTAGATCTCAAAATCATATTCATAAAAGCTGAGTTTCCATTTATCGAAAGGTAAACTTATCATATGTATTAAATAATAATCAGTAATTAAATTAACTTATTTGTATATTAATTATAATCAAGGAACGTATTTGATAATCAAAAGCTAATTTCTCAACACATATCGTTTGATATCGCTTTAATATAATTTGTTTATACTAACTTTTTAAAAGTTGGTGTAATTGCAATTTAATAGCCTTTGAAACTAATAATAATTCATCACAAATAGAATGAATCTAATTAGAATATTAATAAATGAACCTGAAAAAAATGAATAATAAAACTCTAAGAAAAATTAACTGATTGAACATAATTTATTAAAGAAGTGTATTAATTAAAAATTTTATAATATATTTTATAAAACTACGACTTACTATTTACTATTTATTCCTAATATATTATTATTTACAAATTTTTCTAGTTTGTAAATCTAAAATGTAAAAATCCAACAAAGGTTATAAATCATTATCTAAGATGAATTAAAAAATGAGGTCAAAAAGTTATGATGAAATCAAAATGCAAAATTTTGATTTCATAATAATACATAGATAACCTTCAATTTGAATACTCGCTATAATATTAGTCATAAAGAACTTTAAGGGATAATTTAAAAATTACTTTTTACTATTCAAAGTGGTAAATACTTATAGTTAATGAGAGAATGATTGAAGAAATGATCTTATTGAATGGTAACCGAACTAGAGTTGCATTTATATGAATTGCTATTTCATATTGATTAAATATATCATAATATAAATAATACAATTAAGAAATGACAACTACTCCGAGTGTTAGAAGTCGAAAGTGGTTTGAAGACGTAAAAGGAGAGTTATTGATGCCAATAGTCAGAATTAAGCCAGCCACCAATTTTTAGAGAGAAGATTTAAGAATTAACAATCAAAATATTATATTAACAGATCCAAACAATAGAATTTTAGAAGAATTTGAAGTTCCAGAAGCATACGGTCAAGAAGTGGGCCTTGAATAAATATATAATGAAAGAGTGGCTCCTTTGATTTAATAATTTATATAGGGTTTCAATGTGAATGTTTTTGCATATGGTTCTACAGGTGCAGGAAAATCATAAACAATAGAGGGAAATAAGAAAGAAAAAGGTATAGTTACACTTTGGGCGAGTACTTTATTTGCATATTTGTAAGATAAGGTAGTATAAACATACAAAGAAGATAGTATAATTGCTGATTATAAGTATGAAGTGAGGATGTAATATTTGGAAATTTTAGATGAAAATATAATGGACTTATGTGCTGATAGAAAATTTGGAGAAAGGTTATTTGTTGAAGATCATCCTTGGGATGGTCCAGTTGTTTAAGGAGCATCTTGGCATGAAATTACAAAAGACACTGATTTAAATGATCGTTTATATAAAGGATTAAAAAGTAGAGATAATACTAGTAATGAATTTGGTAAAGTAAGTGCAAAGGCTACATCATTATTTATAATTGATCTTAAATAATGGTTCTCAAATAAAGACACTTAAGAAATGATGTTGCTTAAAAGTTAGGCAACATTTGCTGATTTGCCAGGAAGTGAAATATTGGTAGATGATGCAGAAACTATAAGAGTAAAACAAGGATCAACACTAAATAAAGTAATCATTGCATTTACCTAATTAATAAAAGATTTAGCCAATAGGTAAGAGGATTATGTAATGTATGATACATCTACTGTAACTAAATTAGGTAAAGAAATATATGGAAGTAATTCATATAATATTGGAATATTTTGTTGTTAGCATGGTGATCCAAAAGGGTCTTCCTTAACATTATAAGTCTTTAAATAAGCCCGTAAAATAATGACTTACCCTGTTATAAATAACCATAGAGTCATAGCACTATTAAGATAGTTTAGATTAGAGGCTGCCTCTAGTAATTAAGTAGGGAAAAAGAAAGATACTCCAGTTGCCTCAGGAGATTCAGTTGGAGTTTAAGAGTTGCTTGATTTAAAAAGCAAAGTCAATGATTATGCTAAATAGATAGCTGATATGGATGATGAGATTACAGATTTGAAATCAAAATTATCAGCTTTAAGAGCAAGGTTCTAAGAATTAGTTAAATAAAAGGTAGAGCTACAAGATGAATTGATCAAGGCTGAAGAGGATAAAATAGAATCTGCAAAGGCCTTATTGGATATGGAATTGTAGAACACGAAATTACAAGAGTTGATTATTTAGATTTAATCAGAAAATAATACCAAAAAATTGAATGATGAAAATATCTCAGATGATGTTAGACTACAAAAAGCATAGTAGATTATTCAAGAATTACAAGATAGATTAAGAGAAACAATAGATGAAAAGAGGGAATTTGAAATGGAATTTATGGCATTAAAAAAGAATTACATGGATAAACTGAAAGAATTGGAAAATATAAGGCTATAATAAGAAAATTACAGTCTTGAACTTATTAATTTGGGTAATGAGAATAAAGCACTTTAAGAGGAAATATCTAAATTGTATTAGTCAGATGGTTAAACAAATGAGCAAACTAAAATGATGTAAGAAAAACTAAAAACAATGACTGATGATCTGAGAGACAAAAGAGAAGCACTTGAATTTGCTAAAGCTGAAATTGAAAGGTTGAAGGTTGAATTAATGAAGTATGGATTGTTAGGAGCCAAAGATAAATTAGAACTTGATAAAAAGCGATTAGAACTTGATAAATCATCTACCTAAATTTAAGTAACTCAATCTCCCAATAATGATGATGCTTTTAAGAATGAAAGGATGCTATGGGAAAGCTAAAAAATGGAACTTACTCATAAAGTTAAATCCCTTTAGAGGAAAGTTAATGATGACAATGAAAGAATCAAAGATCTTGAAAAATAATTAAATGATTTAAATGGAGAAAATGTTAAAATGTAATTACAATTAGATGAAATGAGAGCCATTTATAGAAACAAATTGATTTAAATTCATAAATTAGATCCAAGAGATGAATTATTCTAAACTTATGCAGGCAAAGAAAGAGAATATTCATAATCCATTGAAATTCTGAGTAAAAAGAATAAATAACTACAAATCGAAATGCGTTCAATAAAAAGCTATTCTAGATAAATACGCTATTTGGCTGAGGATTGGGCACCAATTGGCTAACCTTTACCTGATATTTTACATAAAGGATATATGATACTTGATGAAAATGAACTCGTATTTATATTCTAACATATCATAGCATACTCAAGCATAAAAGGATCAAGAACAAGAGATCCAAAGACTCAGAAACAAAAATCATATTTTAGAAGCAGAATTAATGAATCTGAAAGAAGCTAAGAAAATTGAAGATCCAAACAATGCCACCAAGAGACTCATCTCTGAAATCTAGTTATTAAAATAGAGTTAAGTCTCTGATAATAATAACATTAATGATTCTTCTCTAAGGAGAGAGAGAAATGACTTACAAGAAGAAAATAGAAGATTGGTATAGTTATTGAAGGATTCCAATAAATGGGATCTTCATAAAATGTAATAAGATAATGAAAGACTATTGAAGATTGTTAAAGAATATGAGATGATTGGACCTCAATCTGGATAAAGTAAGAACGTTCAATAAAAAATCCAATTTTATGAATAACTTACTAAGCAATTGGAAAGGGAAAGAACTGAATTAGTTGTCAAAGCAACAGTAGCAGAAGAATAATTAGTATAATTATAAGCAAGTATGACCAGAGTAGCAGTTGATTATTAAAAGCAAATAAATGAACTAAAGAAAAAACTAAAAGTATTATGATATAATGATATACATTTTATATTTAAGCAAATTAATAAATAAGATATAAAATCAAATATCAAACTCATCAAGAAACTTAGCCTATCTAATTTTAGCTATATGATAATTCCAACTTTATAAAAATTTATAATCATAGATATTATCTAAATGTATAAATCTATCAAGTAATGAAACACTTATAATCTCGTGATTTGGATGTTAAATCATGAACCTTTCTTGACGAAAAGATTAAGGACCCTCACTCTCCTAATAATCATCCTATTAATTCTATATAAGAATTTCTTTATTAAAAGAATGCTAAAATTGCACTTATTATTAGTAAACCTATTCTTTCTTTTTTAAATCTCTGACTTCAGATTCCAATTCATTTTCACTTAATTCCTCTTCTTGAATTACCATCTCATTATCATCTTCTGAATGGTGATCTTCATCAGATTATTTAGATTCATTTGCCTTTAGAACAGTCCTTCTTCTACTAGCTACCTTCCCATGTTAATTTGTTTATTTAGATCCATTCTCTTAGAAATCCTAATTTTCTCTAAATTCTAAATCATCCAATTAATTTTCATTATTATTAAGATTATTTGAAATTTAAGATACCTTTCTTCTTCTTTTATTAGGTGAGATTATTTGATTACCTTAATCATCAAATTTTATAGATTCCTGATCTTAACTCTCCTTCGTTTAATCTGAGTCCATAGTCCCTTGTTATTTTATTTTACTTCTTGACTTAGTATTGTTCATTCTTTTCTTGGAAGGTTATCTAACATTTTTAAGCGGTTTTCCATCTTGGTTGTTATTGTTTTCATCAAAAGAAATTGAATCTTCTTGATCGAGATTGTCATCTTCAGTTTATTCATCAAAATCATTGATTTCTACTCTACCTTATATTTAAGAATTATCAATTCTTTGTGTCGCAGATTCTTTAGTTTCTTCTTGGATCGAATCGAATATATTTTAATGTAAAGATTAGCTTGATTTTTAACATAATCCGTAAGGCTTTTAAAGTGGACTTAATAATTTTTTAATAATCTACATGTGGTTCAATAAATTTTTGATCTTATCGGACTGCAGAAGTTACAGGATGAATCACCACCGCTGTATACCC